TTGAGCTCAGAAGTGGTTTGCTGCACTCACATCCTTCGGGGAGCGTATCCGATAGCCAGCGGCGGTGAACGGGTCGTCCTCGGGCCTCGAGGACGTGGAGGCTGAGCGCCTCGGAGGGCCAGACGGTCCCAGCGATACCCTTGCCAGCCTGATGTGAGTTCTGAGGATCATGGGAGAATACAACGCTGGAGCTTGAGATGGAGACTGAAAAGAACAACATTAGGATGGACATGGCTATGGTCGCGTCGCGGCGGTGGAGGTCCTCGCTTCTTTCGGCTTTCCCCGCCCGAGGTCTCTAACAAGCGAGAGCTTCGGACGAACGAACGTCCTCGACTTGCTCTCACTTCTGGCTTCCGTTATAGACTACTGTGCTCACACAGCTATACATTGACTATTGGAATTGCATTCAAAGGCTGACTGTATGGTACTTGTCGAAGAGGGACTGATCTATGCCCAAGGCATAATCATTCAGCACACCAAAGTGATCAGACCAGAGTTGAGATCATTCTCGCTATATACCAAGAGATGCTGCCCGTCACTCATAGAGGGACAGCTGGTGGTATTACCATACTCGATCATAAACTCGGGCTTGCCAGCAGCCAAGAAGGAATCGTAAATGTCGCACTCATCCCATTCATGCTGAATGCTTTCAGCTCGTCGTCTCTTGTCATCGTGGTACGAGACGGCTCACGCAAGACTCTATAACGGAGAAGTCGAATGCGCTGACTATCTCGGACTGCCACTCGGTAGTCTGTCCGTTAACGTCCACCAGGAGGCTTCCAGCGTTCTTGAGATCAATGAGCATATTGTTGTTGGCCTTGGCCGTCGACGAGAGCCAGAGAAGATAGTCGACTTGGTCTTGAGCTGTATTGCCGTGCTGCTGATCGGCATTGGAGAACTGCCACAGTGTGAGCTCAAACCCTTGTTATGGCTGATTGATGAAGGCTTACAGAGTCGACGTTGTCAAATCAACACCGTCACAGCCCTTTGCAGCCGCCTTCTCAATTCTCGTCGTCATAACGCTCTGTACACTGGTCTTGCAAGAGTCAGAATGAATATCAAGCCACCACTCGTCCCAGCCGTCGAGCTTGTTCTCATCCGAAGTACATCCGTCATCAGTGAAAGATTCACCGGCGGCGCACACGCAGGAGGCGTCGAACGAGCTTGCGTCAGGCCTGCAATCGAGACGGTCAGCGGGATCTCAAAAATGAGCTGTGAGCAGACCTATTGGGCTCCCAAGTACCAGCGGAGAAGTAACAAATCACAGTTTTCCCATTAGCCTTGTACTGGGCACTACGTTTGACATCAGCTGCTCCATCTTCTCCACCCTCGATCAAGACCTCTCACATAGTCTCAGCGCTAGTACCTTCGGCATCCACAATGTACACCTGCCCGTCGACAGAGAGTCCCGTGTTGGTCGAGACGATAGGCGAATGGACGGAAGTAGCATCAAGCTCATAGAGAAAGGTCGAATCGAGCGCGACAGAGGAAGTCGCATTTCCAGTGGCAGAAGGGCTGGTTGCCGAAGCAGTGCTTGTACTGCTGGCGATTTCAGTAGATGTGGCAATGATAGAGGTGGCCGAGATTATAGTAGTCCCTACTTCGGATTGGTGAGAGGTGATGGACGAAGCCGATTCATCATCTGTCTGGCTCGATCTACAAGCCTTTCGCCGCATGTCAGCTGCAATTTCCAAAATGGAGCTAGTTTGACTCACTGGCGCACCCAGTGCAGGCCTGAAGAAGAAAAGGATGGAAAACAGAACAGCGGTAGGAAGCATGGTCAGCGTGTGAGGGGGTACGGTAGGTCGTCAAAAGAGTGTTGTGGGTCGGGCTGCGATTTATGGAAGGATATGGGCAAGGGGAGAAGAACCAATGGTCTGGGTGGACTTCATTCAGCCATCCATTGCGTCTTTCATACCCTTGCTTCCTTGACAGTTGCTCGAAGGATGTCACCTGATAATTGCAAGATCTCTCAATCCTGAGTTTCAAGGGGCGATCAAAGTCGAGCTTGGCGGTGGAACAGTGAGGGCTCGTAAAGGCCAGGCTCTGCGTGTTGCATCGCCTTGATATATCCAGGACGAATCGGTAAGAACGACAACAAAGGAATACTTGAAGAACGACTTGACGACGGAATGGTAGATCCGAAGGAGGGTCTGGGAACACGAAGCCCTGAGCTCGGTCCGGGCTGGGACTCTTTGACGTTGTCTTCTGTGGTCACTTTGCTTCAGGAACAGAGACTGAGGACTGAGAAGCACAATACCCTTTACAACGTTCCCATTTTGGGGGAAGCTACAGACATGACTATGGCCAGCGGCGACAAGGCCCCTTGACTGAAGGACTCTGCCAAACTTTCCAACACTTACAACCTCAGCCTTTGACACTCTTCATCCCTTGATCATACTCCCGCTCATGCCCGGGGTGGTCGTCCCTGTTTCTTTCCCCTGCCCATTCTGCCCAACCTGCTTCCCGGGCCTCATCCAGAATTTTGCCTGCCCATACCTCGATACTGTCACTATACAATCCGGCAGACAATGCACCCCCGTCACGATCGTAAAGTCCACCAATCTCGACATGACCGGCTGAAGTACAGGGACTTCGCTACGCGGGAGAGCGGGGTGGTAGGTACCAGAAGGGTTCTGGAACAGGTTCGACATGCTACCTTGAGGGTGATTGACCGTAGCAGAACTGGCGGGAGCGATATGGCCAGAAGCAGAGGTGGGGAGATGATGGTGGCGTTTGTGTACCGCGGCGGGTGAAAAGTCCCACTACATCACGTCAACGCTGGCGCATCTGCTGACAAGTTGAAGCCACTCACAAAAATCAATTTTCCATCCTCACCGACACTCGTGAATCGATAAGCCCTCGCTTCGCCCTTCATCTGCTGGTCGAAAGCTATCGATCTAATATATGAAGTGTGTCCTTGGCAGCGTGCGATGATACGGCCGTCATTGGGGGAGAGCAAAGTGATGAGATCGTCTTGACCGCCGGCCGCAAGAAGGCGAGAGTTGGGAGACCAAGCGAGCTGTACAAAAGGTCAGCGTGCTCAGAGAAGAAATGAAGAGCTTACACAAGTAAAGGCACCGTAGTAGCTAGCATACGTGTCGGTGATGCTGAGATCGGGTCAATACGTTAAAGCACAAGCATATAATCAACTTACTGCTCCTCTGCTATATCTATTATTCTCAAGTTGCCATCCTCGGATGCGACAGCCAGTAGCTTTGCATCCGGCGAATATGCCATTGCTGTATAGCATCAGTCTCGTTCTCATGTCACGCGTCCCGGATTACCATTGATCTTGTCTCTTCCCACTCTGATCGCAGCCACCGGGTTCTTCCCCGCAAACGACACCGGTCCCTTGTCCTTTCCCTTTTCCCTTTCCACCCCTACAGTCCAGTCTTCATTCTTCCACTTGAGCAGCTCATCATCAGCCTCCTCCTTTGCCCCTACGCTCGCGCTCAGTCCAGCCACGCTCCCGTCCAGCCCTGAATCCCCTACACTTCCTCCCAGCTTTGTACTACTCCCTTCCGCACTCTGCCCTCGAGCACGGCGCGCCCATTCCCTTTCGAAAAAGAGAGACCAAGGTTTGGTGGGTAGAACGGAAGTAGAGGCGTTGATGGGGTCTTCAAGACTAGTGTTGAACCGAAGGATCGTAGAGTCGGCGAACACGGCAAGGAAGTGGGTTGGTTGGCGTGGGTCGGGGTAGATGCCATCCACTCGATTGTTATTCAAGATGCCCTATCTAGGGATCAGCATCATTGCGTACGCATCAGATTGATACTCACGTTCTTGTTTAATCGCGTATACCTGCCGAGAATGGGATCCACCCATATCAGGTCGCCCGATTCGAGACCGACGATGCAGTCTAAACGGTCGACGTTTGCAGTTTGTTGAATGATGGCGTGGCTCGTGACAGCATGCCGAAAGTAGATCTTTGCGAATGGCTCCTGTGACAGGTTTGAGCAATGTTGATATGATCAAATTCTACGCACCCTGATCTTCCCGCCCTGCTCGCCCCAAGCCCACTGCCGTCCCATATTCCAGGTGCCCCACCTCGCAGTTTCGCCCCCGAATCGTCCCTTCTCTGACAAGATTCGCTGAAGATTATCAACAGTAATGACCCGGTCAATGAGATTAGAAGTGCCTCTCAGACTCGTCTTTGGGCGAGGAGCAGCGTTTGTGGGCTTTCCAAAATGCCACTTGGACGGCGCTGTGGGAGGCGACATGGCAAATGGTACAGATTGAGGCTCCGATGATTGGGGCGATGACGAACTAGAAGACGACGAGCCGTTCGACGCGTTGGGATACAGGCCTTCAAGCGCAATGTTCCCTTGCGGCGCGCTCCCATCGCCCTTTGGTCCTTTCCCCAACAGACCCCCAAAGCTGCCTCCGGCGCGCGAAGGAAACCAGACACCAACCCAGTTCATTTTGACCGGATGTGCGGGCTCCCAACGACCGTTGACCTGGTACGCCCCCGCACTTGTCGCAGTCGACAAAATCGCCGGATTCTGCGGGGAGGGTATGGGCGCGCCTGGGCTCATCATGAACACGGCAGAGTTGGGCGCGTTCCTATCGACATTGGGAACCGGGGCAGGGCTGCCGATGGCGGGAAAGATGGAGAGCGGGGGAGCGAGGCAATAGGTGCCCTCGGGAGCCTGGAACTGACTCGGGATTGTGGCTTCTGCGACCTTGGGGACGGCGGGGGCTGGGCGGAAAGCCGGGCGGATTGTGGGGACATTTGTGGGCGGGAGATGGACGTACAGCTCCATTGTTGCTGGAGAAGATGGCTGAAAGAAGTCAACAAGAGATCAATAGTCATGTTCATGCTGCCGTCGGCGCGGCGCGGTCCGGCGTTCGTCCCGGGTAAATTTACGTAAGAACAGATGACTGCGTTGGTGTCGTGAGGCCGCGGCCGCCGAGTCCCGCAAGCAGCCCGCTGGATAACATCATTGTAACATCATCATGACGAAAATCGGAGCAGACAAATCTATGCATCCAATGCAGAAACGATGGGGGGGGGGCGTTATTTTTCTCCTCTTCTCCTTTGACACAGATATAGACCTCGTAGACACCTACACAGTCCTAGACCGAACATGTCCTCTGAAACTCCCAAGCTCTTCCAGCCCATCAAAGTCGGCAATGATGAGCTCAAACACCGTATCGTCATGGCCCCTCTCACTCGGCTGAGAGCCTCTGTGAAGACTGCTATCCCCTCTGACTGGGCGATCGACTACTATACCCAGCGAGCATCCGGTATGTCATATACAACGACGTCAGAACATGGCTGATAAACGTAGAGGGTGGTCTCATCATATCTGAGGGAACATTCATCGCCGAAGAGCTCAAAGGTTACGACTACGTCCCTGGAATCTACTCGCCAGAGCAAATTGCCAAGTGGAAGAAGATCACAGATGGGGTGCACTCGAAGGGCGGTAAAATCGCGCTTCAGCTATGGGTACTCGGGTACGTCCTTTGATCGCGTTGTTTGGTCCGTATTCGGCTAAAAAAGGCACGTAGCCGAGTTGCCGATCCCAAGGTTATCCCTACAGTATGGTCTGTGGGAACCAAAAAGGATCTTTCGCCCAGTCCTCATTCTGCTGAACCCGACGACAAGGTCCTTACCCCCGCCAAGGAGGAGGATCTCGACAGGTTTGTCGGCTACTATGTGCAAGCTGCCAAGAACGCTATAGAGGCCGGCTTTGACTATGTGGAAGTGCACAACGCCAACGGCTACTTTTTGGACCAATTCGCAAGTTGGATCTCCGCTGTAGCGCCTCAAGCTGACGAAGTAAAGCTTCAAACAAACTCGAACGACCGCACCGACCAGTACGGCGGCTCTCTCGAGAACCGCATCCACTTCCCCCTTCGCGTCATTGACGCTGTCTCTGACGCAGTTGGTCCCCAGCGCGTTGGTATCCGCCTATCCCCATTCTCCGAGTTTCAAGGGATGCGCATGGAAAAGCCCCTCGAGACGTTCGTCCCTTTCGTAGAAGCCCTGGCCAAAGCTCAGCCCGACTTGGCCTATGTCCATGCCGTGGAGGGCAGGGGCCTTGGAACGCCCGAGGACGAGTGGTATGTGCAAGACGATCTAGACCCGGTCAGGCAGGCGGTACTGGGAAAGAGCAATGGCACCAAGTTCATCGCCGCCGGAGGCTTTACGCGCGACAGCGCCATTGAGCACGCCGAAAAGTATCCAAACGACCTTGTGACGTTTGGAAGATACTTTATCTGTCAGTATAACGCTCCTCTAGAAGAACAATATAGCTGCTGACACGATACTAGCCAACCTCGATCTTGTCGAAAGGATCCGCAACAACTGGCCTTTCCGCAAGTACGAGCGTCCCACCTTCTACACCCAGACCGCCGAAGGTTACATCGAGTGAGTCGGAGAAAGAGCAGAGGGCATGGCTGATCATTTGCAGCTGGGAGGACTATTCTCCGGAGAAGCAAGCTCTTGTCCAAGACGAAGCTGCACCCACTGACCAAGTCAAGGCCAAGGTTTGAGGCGTACACGCTGGATCCTCATTATCCTCGAAAACATTTTTATTTCCGTATAGACTCTAGAAACATGCAATAATCTATATGTGAGCGTGCCTGATCGCCCACATCCCACAACATCCAAGAGAGAGGGGGCGTAACGTCAGCCCAAGCGGATTGAGTGGAGGATGGATGGATGTGTGGGCGCAGGGTGCCTATTACAATGAAACGGCCTGTTTTGCATCCGCCATCAATCTATGTGATTCGCAACAGGACTAGAAGAACTTTAAGATGGTCACCTTCTCTTTCGTCAACATTGGGAACATGATGTCGTTGAGATTTTCGTAAATATATAGCTGTCAAGACCGAGAAATGGGAGACAATGAGCAGTGTGTACTTCAAAGGAAGCAGAGCAAGAGACTACGAAGCAAAGCACTAGAAATACAGAACACAAAGTTGAAAAGTCCAGTCTTGTAAAAAGAGGTCTACTTCCCCTTCTATGCCACCTTTGACTCGTGGATCAAGCCCACTCTGCGCTCCTCCGTCTCCTCTCCAACAGCCCTTTAGCCCGCTTCACATCCCGACTCTCGACCAGTATATTTGCCGTATGGAATGTCGACGAATAGAGCATCTTGATAGGTCTCTTGACGGACGATCCAGCTAGTAGGGAGGAGAAACGCGTGACGAGGCCGGATTTGTCTAGAAGAGAGTCAGCTACAGGGAGAGGATGATGGGGTTGTGGACCTACCGAGATGGTAAATCCCTTCGCCATCACCGTGGCCAGCATCGCCAAGACTTCGCAGATCCATCTGAAGACATCTCTTCTTGCCCTTCCCTTCATTCTTCATTTTTCTGCCCGACCACCTGATGGGCAGTTCCACAGCAGGTAGCAGCGAGGGCGTAGGGAAGCTCACTCTGACCTCCGGCTCGATGGTGGTAGCAGTGATGTTGGAGGAGATTGACCCTGAAAGAGACGGGGGGTATGAAGCGAGGTCGACTGAGTGGATGGACTGTGTGGTTTGGATGAATTGCGTTTTGAGGTCGATTTGCGTATGGGTGCGAGTATGGAATGCGTGTAGAGGCTCATGGGGTGTACAGGGCAACGACGACACTTTCCTATGCCCCTTCTCGAATGCCTCCACTACGCCTCCATCCGACTCTTTGACATCTGCACTCTGCATGTCAACCGGAGTCTGGATCTCCCACTCCACCCAGTCGTCATCCTCCTCCTCCGAATCTGCCACCGCTTCATCCAGCCCAAGATCACGGTCAATCCAAGCAAGCTCTCCTCCAGATTGCACATGATCGTCTTCCCCTGCTTCCCCCACTGGAAACATGGTGCGGAGGATACGGATCTCGGTGAGAAGGGAGGCACCGTCTTCGTTCTGGGTGTATGAGATGAAGGGGCGTTTGTGGGTCTGGCTAGGGGATAGATCGCGTGCTGAGCGGGAGGCCGCTAAGCGTCGACGTTCGCCCTCGAGCTCATCCGCTTCTCCCTCACTCTCGTCCTCGTCGTCAGGGACATTCCCCACGGGCGAATGCACAGCGACAGCCCTCTCTGGCCATACCAGAAACTTGCGTAGTTGTTCGGCGAAACGGACTTCGGCGGCTCTTGAAAGACCAACGCAGGCAAGAGGGTGGGGAAGGACGCTTATCTCTGGCTGTGGGGAGGGGGTTGGAGACGGGGATGACGAAGTGGAAAAGGAAGAGAATGAGGAGGATGTGGGTGTAGGGAGAGGGAGTGGTCGACGAGGGGAAGGAGCAGTGGGTGACACGTGCCCTGTCATGAGTCAGATTGAGACACGCAAATGGAGCAGGTCACTTACAACCCTGTTGAGAGAAGATGCCTGCAGCTTTCTCAAAGTCCGACTCTTTGACCAGCAAAAAGTCTGTGAAATAGCTCGACTGGTACAGGATAGAGATACCAGCACGAGCCAGAGGCGCCGAGACGTGCCGGAGATGCGGTGAATCTATCAAAGTCAGCATGCTGTGCACCTTTCAGAGCGATGGGACGTACCATAGTTGCGAACATCGTCTTCATCCCCCGAGGAGATCTCAAACACCCGCCAGTCCGGGCTGATGAGCACTTCTGAATCGGCGGTCGCAGCCCATTCCTGCGCCATGAGCTGTGCGGAACCAAACATCGACATCTATTTAAGCGGAGATTGCCGTCGCGTTAGCCTCGCCAAAGGGAAAACGAGGCTGCCACTTGCCTCGATGCGGTTGGAGGTGATGTTGAAGAACTCGGGGGACAGGCGCTCGGCGGCATCGAGGGTCCAGTATATCTTGCTGGTGCATGCGTCGGCGAGGGTAAGTGCGATGGGGATGTGGACGATGGCGACGGGGTCCTCGAGGGCGCTGATGAATGAAGAAGTTGTCTGTCGTCAGCGGGGGGGGGGGCATGGAGGACGGCTCTGGGGGCGGGGCCTACATTATGGAGATGTCGAGCATGGCGATGAGATGTGGGGGCATTGCATTTCCCGTCGCTACATTATATTCCCATCGTCGTATGATTTTCTGATCGCTGCATCAAAGACACACTACACTGCTTCTGGGGCCTCGCGGCGATATCCGACGTGGGGGACAACAATGGCATGCTGGCTCCGATCCGAACTGATCACAGAACCACCTCTTCACCCCTCCGCCATGTATTCCCGTCGCCATCTTCTCTTTCCTCGCAGCCAAAGGGAGCAGCAGGCGTGGGGCGGGGGTTTGCATTCTTAAGGAACAACGGGCGGGGGTTTCTTGATGACACCAGCCACAAGCACTATACGCCGTGTATGATCCGACCACTGTCCCTGGCTGTTGTTGTTGTGCTGTGTGGCAGCGTAACCAGGAGAGCGATGCGATGGGGTGACCGAGCCTACCATACGCGCTGCTACGTACAAGTCGATTCATCCGCTCCTTGATTCATCCGCCTCAAACATATAATTGAAGGTGACCATCAAGTGGGGAGCCAGAGTGGGGGAATGCTAGGCTGATCAATGGTCTTTCCGCGTTGGCTGATGATGCAAGCCATCCCCGTTCTGACTGCGTTGTCCTCCATCATATAAAGTTGTGGTGTCTCTTTGCTGTCCACCTGGGTTGCCTTGATCATCAGCGCTGAAAGCTGCCGAGGAAGATGTCTCTTTGCAGCTTCTCCCCACCTGGAGCCAGAGTTGATCAAAGCGTCGCCTGGATGCAAAGACTAGCGTTTCGTAGTTTGTGAATCCTCGGCGGCTTACGGCAAGACACAAGATGAACCTAGTCGTACGTTGGTCGCCCAACAAAGGACGCTTCACAGATGTCGCCCTCATCAGGCCCGATGTCCAACACAGATGAAACAAGATCGTCTAGCTCCATATGGAACAACTTTCTCGCGGAACGTTGCTTCTGATATCCCGCAATTCGTGCCGAGAGGTGCCGAGCGCCAAAGCCCATCCATTCCATCGAGCCATGTTAACTTTTCAGAACAAACTCACCCAAAAGCGAATCACAGGAAGCGCCGACATATGCTCATCGCCATCTTCCCTGTATGTGAAAGTTTCTAAGGACAACCGGTGGCATCAAATGAGTGCGATATATGAAACTACTATGATGGCTATATGGAGACAAACGAACGTGATATGCAATCATCTTCTTGATGTGGAAACACACTTTGGGGGACAAGCTACTATACAAATGGAAATGTCGTCTAGCGACAAGTAACAACACGTCAAGAGTCGTAAAAAATCGTTCGGGCCATCAAGGCATAAACAGCTCCCCTTCTGTTCACCACTCCCTCGACCTCACCCTCTCACCACCGGGACTGCCCATGTTGACATCCGCATCCTCAGCAAACAGTGCCGGCTGGAGGTTCTGTCCCGCAGGAGGCCACAGTAACGCTGGCTGTATCCCTTTCCCAGCCCCGCCAGAGTGATCCCGACCGATGGGCTCTGGCGTTTCCGGTTCGCGCAAATGCGTGGGTTTCGTAGGGGTAGCGTGCGCATGGAAGGGTGAAGGGAATCGCCAGCCGTCCATCGAGGGATGGATAGCCTGAGGCGTGCGGGTATGGGTAAAGCGCCTGTTGACAGGCGTAAGCAGCGGCGAGGATTCAAACCCTCTCGGAGGCATCGTCAAGCTCCCAGGCCTGGCTAACGGTGGCGGGGACGCAAAGTCGAGGTTGATACTCGGCCCAGCACTGTTGGCGTCAAACGTCAAGCTTCGGCGGGTCTCGAGTGTGGGTGAGGCACTTCGGCGAGTAGATGTCGAGGGAGAGGCGGTAGCGAGGTAAAGCGCGGTGTGGGATTCAGAGAGGGATGATTGGTGCATGCCCACCAGGCTGGTTGGACGGGCGGGCATGGCGGGAGAATGAGGAGCAAGAGCGCTTTGCGATAAAGAGGCACGATGGCCACGGAAGGGCGCATCTGGCGCTCGAGAGGGAAGGACGCGCTTCTTGCAGCTCGCCGGCGACGGCGTTCGGGGAGGACCAAAGCTCGATGTGAACAGTCTAGGTGGGGGCAGGTCGTCGGCGGTAGAGATATCTACCTCTTGTTCTGGCGTCAGATACGATTGCTCGAGATGCAGAATCTCATTGAGAACGTCTCGCATATCTTGACCCATACCGAAAGGTAGAGCGTCCGGCGTCTGTTTTCTTCTCCTAGAGCTCATCGAGCGTCCTTCCCCACTTTTCTGGTGACCATGCTTGCGCATTGATGAAGGCGCATAAGGCTTGGTCGCTTCCGACCTCAACCACTCTTGTTCATCCTCTGCCTCCTCAATCACACTATCCACATTCACTCCACCCCCAAACGCCCTCCTAGAAGCGTTACTCGCAGTCGACGAATTGCGTGACAGGCTGAACGCGGATGAGGCGAGGGAAGAGACGGACGAAGCGGATGATCCATTACGCGAGTGACCGCCGCCGTGCCCGCCCACGAGGTCGGGAACACGCGACATGGATGATGATGAGGACATGTTCGTGCTACGGTTGTTGTTGCCGATAGAGTCGCCCATGCTGCCTTCAGCTCTCCGCCGCCGTCTCTCCTCTCGCCTCTCTTGGCGACGTGCGTCGGAGCGAGCTAGTCGGCGGTAGTGCGACGCCTGCCACTCTTCGTCCTGGCCCGTACACGAGTCGAGGGAACCCGCCGAAGAATCTCTCGGCAAGCTTGAAAGGGCAGACCCGAAAGAGGGCAGCTGGTTGCCGGCGTCGGGGATGTATAGCGCGCGCGCAGGGGGTTGGTTGGATTTGTAACATAATGAATTGATCGCGTCGGATCGTGCACAGACTACCAATGTCGACGCGTCAGTCACTGCCATCCCCAACGCGCAATGCTGGGACTCACCGACACTGCAATAAACGCCATCGTTTGTTATGGGTTGCCCGCAGAAACACGCGTTTCCGGGGTTGGGACTGGGCGAGAGGCTGAATTCAGAGTCGCTGACAGCCTCCTCGGCATATCTGGCGCCTGCGCCGTACATTGCGTACGCTCGAGGGAAGATAATGGGAGATGTGTATTATCTCACTGTTGGCGAGGCGTAGTAAGGGTATGGGGTGAGCCTGGGGGAAATTGTGGCCGCCTGGGTGTGGTGATGAGGGGCTGAAGGGGACGCTTGCTGCCTGAGCTGACGTTGATGGTGGGAAACTAGATGCTGGGTGTCTTGTTGGGATATGGACACTAGGCGATCGCTGATCTGCCGACAGTGGACGGTACAGGGGACGCAGGGGAGACAGAGCGGGGTGTTCTGGGAGAAGATGGATGAGTGGATGCGAAAGACAAAGACAAAACCAGACGGGGTGTGAATGGCGACGGAAGCAAAAAGGTGCCAAACAATACAGGCCAAACGCGTAATTCAGGGAACGGTAGTCACCGCCCTGGAACGCGTCGCGTCGCGTCTGCGCCTGCTGTGCTTCAACACGAAAGCCCAGTCGGGGAAGGGCATGCTATGCATGTCACATGCGTGCACGCAGAACTGTCACGTTCCTACTTTGCTCGATGAAGCACAGCCCGAAGGTTGAACTCGGGAAGGTGAGGGAAAGCAGAAGAAGGGCAGATATTGACACTCATCGCATCTTCTGCTGATCTGAGTCCGAATCTACGTTTGTTCTTCCAATCTCGGATGCATTCTTCAACTACTTGGCCGACAGCACTGAGATGCGAGGCACATCGAAAGTGGAGCAGAGAGGTGCTATCAAGAAGACAAATATTCACCATTGTCGTTGTGAGCCTGTCGTGGGTATTTTAACCTCCGCGGCGCGGTAGTACTAGAACCTCAGTACTGGAGGCACGCGCCAAAGACAGATATGCACCTGCAGGGCACAAAGGTAGGGTGTCAGCACTTTCAGCATACCTATGTTACCCGGCGACCCTTTCACATATTGGAAACCTGAAAATCCATTCTTTTCCTGCGGTTCGAGCAGAAATGTTCACTCCGCCGGGCTCAGCAAGCTCTATCTGTGACAATTGATCTTGAGCGTCGCGGGGATCGCTGGTGGAACTAAAGCCATCGAGACCTCGGATACTGTTCGAACTGCACTAGTTCGTTCGCGTTCCCCAGGAGGCGTCACGACCTACCCTCAATGAGCGCAAGCAACAAAGTTGTTGGGGGGAAGGTAGGAGGATCCACTTCTGTCAATACGAGAGTACTACCTCTATCAACTGCCACGAATCTTCGTGATAATTTCATTCCATGGGATGAAGGCAGCCGTATATTTCAAGAAACGGTGTTGCCCTAAAGTGAAGAGTCTGATGAAAAGGACATACCAAGCGGACCACTCTTTGAGCAGCCCGGATTGATGCCTAGAGCAATGATACGCCCAGCCCACGTAAAAAATGATGGAGACTGGGACGCTATCCGACAAGCTTCTGTGGGCCCAGAGACACAATACCGAGTCACCGCCAACAACATGTCTACAGGTGATGCGTGAAGTGGCTATGATCATTCGACTTTCTCCTTCCAAGACAAGCAAAGACATACGCTATGAGGTATGATTCCATGGAGTAGCAGCAAATTGTATTGTGAGGGTTTTTGTACTCCGTCCTTCGTAGCGTCCTTTAATTAACCTGCCACTGCTCTAACAGGCTCTTCGATTTTGCTATCCGAGAGGGACCTCGGCACATTTGGTGGAACCATTGGCTCGGGTGAAGCAGTCTCGCGTCATTTTAGTATGTTAGCTTGGCTGGACGAAAAGGATTGCCCTGCAGATAAGAATCTGCAGTCCAGCTACTTGAGGTTCAAGCCCAACTCGGACTTCAAACTCGAGAGCATCCCAATTGAGATCTCATGGCGCGGGCCAGATGGGGAGATGACCCATAGCTCCCAGGTCGTAGATATTGTGGTACAGAAGAAGGACATATACTCGCGATGCAAATGGGAATGACCCGTAGATGTACTGTACAGCTCGTCATAATGTCACGCCATTTGGATTAGGCAGTAAGCTGCTAAGGCCTAAGACCAATGATTATCACATGCGAGTCGACCACCACGACGCGTTCCGCTCGCGCTCCTGCCTCCTGTCCGACCAGCTTATGTTTACATATACGATTTAATCATCATATCTTTCAGCCCCTCGGTCCCAGACCGACGGGTTCCCAGGACCTTTGAACCCTCCTACCAATATGAGAAACCTCGGCAAAAGGCTATTGCTGGTTTGGGAAGGAGGTAGGAGGGGTGACCTGTCCGTTATTAACTCTCTGGCTGATGAGGTTATGGATGTGTCAATCAGGTGATGACGTGACGTGGCAGCATGGCCATGTAGTAGCGACTCTGCAGGCTGGTGTCTAGGGGTAGAGCAGCTGGTAATTGTAGCTGGCGCTGACCAAGATCTATCCACCGGTGACCGTCTTCTCATGGGGTCGGTCTGTTGTTGCTGCTGGTTCTTGGCTTGCATCTGGTGGTGCCAGTGAGTGATGTCTTGTAGATTGCTCATATTGGCTGTTCAGAGGTGACCAGGTACAGACAAGCGCACAGTCTGCGTGGTTGTACTGGTTTATAAGCGTGGTGCTGGTATTCACTTGTTGGATGAACACGCTTCGTGGTTGGGTTTTCTGGGCGGATTTGACAACGTTTTGGGCAGCAACCTTGACAAGATTGTCGTAGTAAGGATGCACCCGGCGGGACATTATTATATGTATGGTCTTCCAGTGTGCTGAAGCACAGAGTTAGTAGTCGAAACGTACAAAAAGGATTAACCAGACCTCTGTAAAAGATCTTCCTTTGATCACAGCGACGGTCGTCCGTGGAGGAGACTTCGCGAGTGTATCGTCCGTCTTCGCTACTATGAACTGTGGTAGGATCCTGAGTGAAGCACCATTGAAAAATGACATGTATACTGCCTGCTTGCAAGAAGACGGTTCGAAGAAATGACATTACGAGCTCATGATAGGGGTATGAAGAGATACGTGATTTGCGATGCGACTCATTACTTTAATATACAAGACAGCCCTCCACTTTCCCCTCTATACAAGTTACGAGGATCCACTGGGACCAGGCCCATCGTCATAAGACTGCAAAGACTCGTACCCCATTCTCTTCGCATAGTCGATAATCTCCATCGGCGTCAACCCATCGCCCCTGCTCCAGTTGGCGGAACTCGACCTAGGCCTGAACTTGCCGGCCCTGGCCTTGAACAACTCTTCCATGTTGAGCGGGCCAATGTGACCAAAGTACTCGTCAGGGTCGATTGTAGCTTGAGCGGCAAGTGCCTTGTTGAGCGCGGGAGACTCGGCCCAGTCGGGACGGTTGAAATCGCGAGTGGTATCATCGTCGGGGTCAGAATACCTATGGCCGGAACATTAGGACATGCAAATCAGCACAATGTGAGATTGACGTACTCGGAAGCAATATCGGGCAGAACAATATCTTCTGAATCCTGCTGCTGGACCTTCTTGTCCAACGACGCCTGCACCTGCTGCCAATTTTGAGGAGGTGCCTGAGGCTGAGTGTTGATAGACTGTAGTTGCTGATGATGGGCTTGGTAGAGCAACGACTGCTTCACACCGTGACCCTCCATCTGCGAAGGCCTCGAAGGTTGACCAAGGGGTTTCCTCTCAGGGGCAGACCAGGTTGCCGCTTGGCTCTCCCTTTGCGCGGGAGGTTGCGCGGGCTGGCCCACAAGTTTGATAGTGGATGACGGGGTCTGAGAGTCGGCAGTACGGAAAGCGTTTGGACCCATCTTGGAATCGGCGGTGATGGAGGAAGAGAGAGTGGTTTTGGTGGGTCGGAAAGGCTCTTTGCCTTTGGCGAGAGATTGGCTGGGGGCGGCGACTCGTTTAGGGGCGGGGGCGGCGGTCTGAGACTTGTTGAGAGCAGCAGCGAGCTTTCTCTTCTTGGCAGCTTCGGCTTCGGCCTGCTAAGTTGTTGTCAGCTATCGAGTCTACGCGCTGTCTATAGATACTTACCTTGACCTTGGCAGCCTCGTCAGCCTGTTCCTTCGCCGCCTTTTCTTTGGCCTTGAGTTCCCTCTCCTTCCTCCTCTTCTCTCCTTCCGCCCTAATCCTGCGCTTCTCCTCCAGCTCGGCAACTTTTGCCTTGCGTTCCTCCTCGGCCCTGACGCGCTCTTCCTCAGCCTTCTTCTGGGCCGCCTGTTCCTTGCGTTTTTCCGTCTGTTCGCGAAGAGCAGCTTTGCGAACGGAGGCAGCTTGCTCCTGTGGATGATAGTTAGTACCATATTGAAAGAGAATGATTCAACACACTTTTTGAGCAGCGGAAGCAGCCTGTTGTACACTCTTCACAGGCGCAGCGGCAGGTTTGACGCCCAACGCTTTTGCAGCCATGATAGAAGCATGGTTGAGCGTGGAGTTTGTGTTCGCTGAAGTGGACGTGAAGAGAGAAGCTTGCGAGGCTGAGGGCGTCTTTCGATGGTTCTGAGTCATATCAGCATCTTGCGTGGAAGTGTATAGGTGATACTTACAGATTTGGCAGAGGCCACATCTTCCTCATCCACCTCCATCGCTTGCTGAACACTCTTGCCTTTGTCCTTCTTCTCCCTCTCCCGTTCTTTCTCTTCACGCAGCCGAAGCTTCTCCTGCTCTCTCTCTTCCCTCCGTCGGTCTTTTTCCTCCCTCTCCTTCTGCTCCTTCAATACCGCAGCAGAAGGTTCATGCTGGTGCTTCTCCTTGCGGTCATGCAGCGCGGGAGCTTCCTTGTCCAGCGGCTTGGCAGGGGTGGTCGAAGCAGGAACAGGGGAAAAGAACCTGGTGTGTTGACCTTGGCTCGAGGTTTGGGAATGGGACGTTTGGTATTCGGTGACCTCGTCGGGGATGATCTCATCAAGCACAGACTCTTCATCTACCATTTCTTCGTCTTCATGATCTGTCATGGTGCCCGCTTGAGCAGTCGGGACGGCAGAAGGCTCAGAAACGGGGGCGACGACGGCAGGCAGGGCAGCGGGTTGCGGCATGTATGAAGGGTGAATGGAGTGTCGAAGCGTCGGTTTGGGAGGGGGAGAGAATGAAGGCGTGGTCGATCTCGGTTCCTCCTTCTTCACCGCCTGAGGCGCAGGCTCCTCTTCCTCTTCCTCCCCGAGGATCATATCCTCGTCAACACCATTCCTCGCAGCCCACATAAGCTTTTCGAGCTCTTCCTCCGCAATCTTTTCCTCCTCCAGTTCCCGAGCCCTTCGCGTGGCTTCATCTTCACCAGACTCGGCATCGCCACCGCCAAAGTTGAGCAACCCGCGAAGGAAACCGGCGCCGGTACTCTTTGCTTGAGGCACACGAGCGGCGGTACCAGCAGCAGGAGTAGCCTTTTGTTTGGCGAGGTCCTTGGCAGTCTTTTCGCGCAGCTCGTCGAGGGCTTTGGTGACTCGAGAGATTTCGGGTCTCTGTGAATCATCTTGGACAGGCCTGCCTTGGGAATGATGGTCGGACCCGACACTGGCGGTGCCAAACGAAGACGGGGTTTTGGTAGGGAATAGCGAAGCCTTGGCTGGCCCAGGGGTAGTTGTGGGGAAATGAATGGTGTGCGCCTCGGAAACTTTCGCCACCTTTCCAGGTCTTTCATGTTCATCCTCATCCTCGTCCTCGTCATCATCAAGACCCTCGTCGCTCTTGCGCTTGAGGCCGCTGATAGGCGCCAAGCTCTTTCGCAACCCTGAAAAGTCCATATTGGCGCGGTCAGGCTGCGAGGAGGCAGCATGCGACTTGCGCAGAGCGCTTGGCTCGTGGGTATGGGCGAAAGGAGGAGCACCTGTCCCGAGGGCTTTGCTGAGCCAGGACGAACGTACGCGGTGGGCGGGTTGAGAGTTGGAAGTGGATGATGTTTGGGAGATGTTGGTGGGAGCAGGCTCGGAAATGACTTCGGAAGCGGCCTCGGTGTTGGTTTCGATTTCAGGCTCGACACGAGTATCCACCTCCGGATCGAGAGGAGCAGTGGGTTCTTCAACTGGGATGCTTGCCATAGGCGGTGTGGCAGCTTTGTCGACAATAGGTTCTGTCGCCTCTTCCTCCACCGGCTCCCGAGTCACCTCAGGCTCGACCTCAGGCGCGGCATCCTCAGCCACTGGCTCGTCTTCCACCTGCTCAATATCCATAGGAACATCGGGTTCTTCCACTTGCTGCTGGACCTCTTCCATGGCGGGCGCAGCAGTCTCTTCCTGTTCCTCAACCTCGACCGCTTCTTCAAGTTCGGCAACAGGCTCAGGCTCAACCTCCATATTCTCTGCAACGACAGGAGCAGGAGCAGGTTCTTCCTGGGCGTTATCAGCCTCTGACTCTTTGTCGGGCTCGCCGGCCATGAGTGATTCTTCGTCGACGGCTTGCTCGACATCTTCGACGGGGGGTTCCACGACTTCAATCTGCTTGGCCCTTTTCGAGCGCGTAGATTTGGCGGGAGATGCTTGAGGCGCGGGATCATCCTTTTCCTGCGCCTGAGGCTCAGTAGCAAGAGTCTCTTCGACCTCTGGTTGCTTGCCAGCAGCCTTCTTGGATCGCGTAGATTTAGACTTTGTCTCGGGAGCTTGCTCATCAACATCCATGTCTTCCTCTTCCGGCCCCTGCTCTGGCTGCTTCTCAGCCTTCTTGGAGCGCGATGACTTGGACTTTGTGTCCTTTGTCTTCTCAGACCTCGAAGATGTCGAGGCTTGTTCAGCGATGGTCTTCTTTCCCTTCCTCGACGCCGCTGAAGGCTTCTCCTCGCCCTTTGCCTTCACAGCGTCATCAGCGGGGGAGACATCATCGGCGATATCGGCCTTCTTGGGACGGCCTCGCTTGGCCTTGGATTTGACAGGGGAGGAGATGGCAAGTGGTTTGGCAGGCTTGGACTTGACAGGCGAAGGCGAAGGGGAGGTGTTGATGTTTATAGACCTGGCCCCAAGGTGCAGAGGAGACAGGGCAGGACGATTCTGTGAGAATGACACGTCAGTCTTGGCTCCACCGTCCGAGATGAATCCACATGTACGACCTGGTTCGAAGGGCTGAGAGCCAATCGCGCATTCAACCCCTTGATCTTTTCAGTCTTCTCCTTGGCAGCAGCAATAGCAGCACGCGTCTTCTTGACAGTCTGTGTCTTGGAGGGAGTCTTGATGAGTTCACCGATAGGTGCTCTAGTGTGCCAAAGTCAGCACGATGCAATGTTTGTCGGCTTGTTTGGCGCGATTCTGCACGGCGCATCGCCTTCCACCATCAATGTCAACAAGCAATCAATACTCACTGAGGCAGACGTTCAAATATCTGTGCCATATAGCCTTCCAGCCAATCGTAGCCCTTGGTCTCTATGGCCTGGTCGAGCTCGTCGAGACCCCTGCTGGCGGTATGGTGGAGGCCATCCTTGAGGTTGTGGGCGTAGTGCCCGAAGGTGGGAAAGTCGTGGGTGAGGGGGGCCATGACGGACACTCCCTGTCTACAAGATGTCAAGATATTAGTGAGTGATAGAATCAATTGACGGAAAGAATACGTGACAGGGAGCGTTTGATGCAAACAACCCGGGGCGGGGGTCGCCGCCTTCCCCCTGAAATAAATCACGCTCGCGTCAAGAGGCACGCATGGATGGGGTGTCAACAAGCCAGTCTGCATTATCTCGTTGTTTGGTTTCCCTCCCTCCCACATCCTGTCTGTCCATAGCAGTCGGCACTATAATTGCAGTGGGCAACATGTCCAGAACAGGGGTCAAGGTAAGTCATATGGCGCTGCGTGCGATCCAGCTGACGCGCCTGCTTTTGTAGACTCGAAAGGCATGTGGTCCTCATATCATCTTGATCGTTTACTAACCCACTCCTAGGTCAATACCTATGGCAAGAAGACAAAGACTGTGAGTGATATATAATGCTGGCGGAAACCGAGTTAACCGGATGCAGCAAATCATCTCTATCCACTCTGACCACGACCAACAATCCTCTCCCGCCGTCCGGCCTCTTGTCGCTCGGCCTGTCCTCCAAAGTAAACTCTCTCAGGACAACTATAATGTCTACTCGGCCACTCCCCTCGCGGTACGCACCCTGAAGGGGAAGGCGTCTGCGAAAGATTATGGCACACCGACCAAGTTGGACCAGCACCTTGGGAAGCGGGATGAGAATACACCTATCAAGGTGAGGGCGGTTGGCAAGGCAAACTCTCCTATCTTTGGGCAACGGAAAGTTCCCAGAAAGGGACTCAAGCCGGGCATCTTGAGAACGCCCCCTTTTGCAAGTAGGGTCGTGAAAACCATCCCCTCACTCGAGCCGCCCGCATCTCCTACAGTCGATCGACCTGTCGAGTCTGTCCTCACTCCCAAACCCGCCACCACCGCTCTCCCAGCCAAACCCATCGTTAGACGGCGCTTAATCTTTGACGGTGTCGCCATTCCAGTCGCATCCGGTCACAGACTTGCCAACATGGACCGCCTTTCAGCGCGGATGGCGCAAATCACCATCACCGAAGATCCCTCTCCACGACAAGAAAAGGCCAAGGGCAAGGCAAAAGCCACGACCGACCCGGTGCAGAAGCTAGTGGAAAGATGCTCAATCAAAGCTGTCCACGACTTTACGACCCTTCTCCGGGACTTTCCTCTCCTGTCATCTTCAGCCAAGGCGGTGGTCACCAAAGTCGGTGAAGCGTCGTATTCCGAAGTCTTTGGGTTCTCCAGCCCTGTTGATACAGAGTCGGACCCTCTGGTGATGAAGATCATACCTCTTCTCTCTGAACCTGGCGACGCCGAGGGTGACACGCCTATGCCCGACTGCAGCGACCCGGAAGACGTATTGCGAGAAATTGAGGTGACAAAGCACATGTCCAATGTCCCTGGTGGGGGCTATGTCCAGTTCAAAGGGTTTGTTGCGATACCTTACATCTCTAATCCCAGCTGATAAGTAAACAGAGCATATGTGGTAGAGGGCGAATACCCGAGACAGCTTTTGAAGCAATGGGACACCTACAAATCCACTGAAGGTTCCGCCAGCGTCCGTCCTTGTAAGCTTCTCTCTCGCCTCTTCCGCAGTGACTGACACGCCCACAGCCGCATTCCCATCCTCACAAAAATACGCCCTTATCGCCCTTTCCCACTCTGGCCAAGATCTCGAAGCATTCCGATTCGACGCTTCTCGCGGCTGGGTCCAGGCAGCTGGTATCTTTTGGCAAACTGCGAAAGCGCTGGCCAAAGCTGAGCAGTGGGCCGACTTTGAAGTGAGTCCCAGATACACAAATGACGCTGGCATGGCTGATCGTCTCTAGCATCGAGATCTCCATGAAGGCCAGATACTCATTTCCATTGACACCTCCCTTCAACCGACCGAGACGCTCAACTATCTCTCGCCAACCTATACTTGCCTCACGACGACCATCATCGACTTTGGCCTCTCTCGCCTTGCTCTGCCTCCTCACAAGACACCCACCTGGTCGTCCCTGCCAGAAGAGTTGTATGAGGGTAAAGGAAAGCAGTGGGATGTGTATAGAAGTATGAAGGACCGGATTGACGGGGACTGGGAAGGGTTCCATGCCATCACCAACGTCCTTGTGAGTCCCATTTCAATTCGATCTTTACTACTACAAGCTGATACATCCTCGCAGTGGCTTCGATATATCCTACAATATATCCTCACCTCCAAGTCGCTCCGCAAACCGCGCGTTGCCCCTGCTGCCAGCACCAAGGCCCGTAGGCCCCGCGCGCCGACACCTGAAAAGGCAGCAAACGAACAAGCGCACGAGATGCTCCAGCAAGTCTCAAAAGTGCTTGCTTGGAGCTTGGAGGGGGCCAGGAGGCAGGGGCGCCGTGGAGCGGGAGAGACGGAAGAGTATGGGGTGGACAAGATGGGCGATGCGGCGGGGATCGTGGCTTGGGGTGAGAAGAAGGGGTGGATCGTGTAATGGGTTTCAGGCTTGGGATTATATGTCAGAAGGACTTTATGAGCAGGGACAGCTTTGTGATACGTCAATTATGTATGAGTGTAGTTATAGCCTTCCCGACATGGCGCGCCAAACACCAATTGTCAGTGCCATCGCTCGGACATACACCATCCCTTATAGCTCCCCATGCGCCTGCTCTGCGTCGGTCTAAGAAAGGGCGAGCCACTCGCGTAATCATAAACCTTCAAGTGCATATCGTATGGAGATGTGATTATGAGTGGCAAGAGAATTTAGTGGGCTTCGGGAGACTGTGTATTTGGTCAGCCTTCAGCTTTGCTTCGAGATGGAGGGCAAAGAGTCACGTACGTTGGAGATGTAGTCAATAGCTGTAGAACACAAGTCAGCTTCTGGATCACTCGGTGAGATGCAAGCGCAAGCCTTCCCCAACACTCGCAGCCTTCAAAACATCAAGTGGAAAATCCACTTACCCTTCTGCACAGTGGTGATCTCATCGGCCTCGGCATCGGGAATCTCGATAGCAAACTCCTCCTCAATGGCCATGACGACCTCAACAGCATCAAGAGAGTCGAGACCGAGATCGGTGGTGAAGGAGGCGTTGTTTGTGAGCTGCACAACGCAAGTAGCGAGGGCCGTAGTGATAGTGGGGGTAGCAAAGAAGGATCAAGGCGGGAATAGGATGTAACCCAATCAGCGCTCCGTTATTTCCCCAAACCTCCACTTCCACGGCTCTCCCTTCCACCCCCCGCATGCGGACCGACGACTCACCTTGGTAGCGTCCACCTTCTCAAAGTCCTGCAAGACCTCCAAGACTCGCTTGGTGATGTCCTCCTTGCTGAGGCCGGCGGCGGCAGAGTAGGCGCGGAGGGCGAGGGCGGGCTTGAAGGCGGCTTGTTGGGCGGGCTGGGGGCGGAGTGCGCGGAGGGCGGGTGTTCTGAGGGCGGGGCGGGCGGCGCGGAGGAGGGGCAGAGAGCGGAACATGGTGCGTGGTGTATAGAGTGGGAGGGAAGGGAAGCGGATGATAGAGGAGAGTGGGAATCGCCGCAGAAAACTCCGCACGTGGCGTTTCCCGCTTCTCTGTCTTTTGCCCCTCTATACAACTGCCCCATAACTATACCCCAGCACGATGAAGCACGGGATCAACCAGCGCAAGCTGAACCGCATGCCCGCCCACAGGCTCGCCCTCCTCCGCAACCTCGTCTCCGCCCTCCTCCACCACGAGTCCATCAAGACCACCCTCCCAAAGGCCAAGGAGGCCGCCAAGATGGCCGAAAAGATCATTACGCTCGGCAAGAAGAACACCACCCAGTCACGCAGCAAGGCCATGGCCCTCCTCATGGCAAGTCGCCCACTCGTCCATGCACCCGCGCTGACAGATCGCAGCCTCCACACCATGCCCCTGCAGAGCTGTACAATGCCTCTAGCACAAACCCCAAACCCACCCTTCCCCCTCTCGACTACCCCTCATCGTCTACAGAAGACCCCGAACAATTCCGTCCCCCGACCACGCTCTTGCCAAAACTCTTCACTACCCTCGCCGACCGTTATGCCGCCCGTCCAGGAGGATACACCAGGATCCAGAGATACGGTCGCCGGCCGGGAGATAATGCCCCGCACGCGATCCTCTCGCTTGTGGACGGTCCTAGAGATCTCAAGTTTGAATTGACGGCGAGGGCCGTGGGCAGGGAGGGGCTCGGTGTGCTGGGCAGTTACCACGACCGGGGAGAGCTGGTAGAGCTGAGCGAGAACGAATGGGAAGATCTCAGTGAGAAGACTAGGAGGGATGTGGGCAAGGTGTTGAGATATAGAAGTGAAGAGGACAAGGCGTCGTTCAAGGAAAAGGCCATACACTACATGGTGCGTAATATCGAAGTATACAAGGTCAAGCTAACTGGATGCAGGACACGCTCCAATCCGAGTCGGGCGCCCTCTCTGGCCTCCGCAAACCCTTCATCTCTCCCACCGCCCGCCCTTGTCTAACACCCTCAATAAACCACCCCAAATCCGGCAAGCCGCAATTCGCCGGCGAACGCCTGTCGGGCATGTCGGTCCTCAACACTGGTCTCGGTCTCGCGCGAGGCCAGCTGGGCAGGCAGAAAAAGGTGTTGGGGCAGGATGTCGACAGGACAGCGAGGATATGGGAAAGGGACCAGGTGGACGGGGTTCAGGGTGAGATTGTCAAGAGCGCGTAGAGAGTTGCATGTAACCATCCATTCATAACCATGCGCTGAATCTCTCGTCCCCGCTGACCTTCTTATACAATCCCACGGGTACATCCCCGATATAATGCGTGCTGTGTATGCGCGTTAGACTGGTACTGGTTGGGATCGGGAGACTTACTCGCCAAAGCCTCCAACGTAATAAATCTTTTCCAGGTCCATTCTCGCCCACTCTGAGAAATGCGGCGAGCCCTTCTTTCCAGGCAGCCAGCCGCGGGCATCAGGGTGGTATGAGAGGTAACATTCTGCCAAGTCGGTCTCTTCCTCTTCAGAGAGATCTCGCAACAGCGTCACGTTCTGAGATACGTCAGCAGGTTCACAGAGGAGAAACAAGACGTACACCCATCAAAGCCACCCTCGCTGAACTCATACTCGTCTCCCCCTTCTTCAACTCTTCCGCCAAAGTATACGTTGCATAGTGTTGCGGGTGCTCCAAGATGTTTTGGCTGGATCGGGATATAGGAAGGATCAGGAATGTGAGAGATGGTGCAGAGTGGCAAGGCGCATGGTACTGTTGAAAAGTTAGTTGGCGTTATTTCAGAAGAATGGTGTGTACCTCGGGAAGAGCAAAAGGCCGGCCTTCCATCTTTGGCTTGTAAGGTATGAACTCGTTCCCGTTCTCATCGCGATGAGTGAATTTGACCCCTGGAGCAAGGTGGGGCGGGTCATCGGCAGAAGCTGGGAATACGCTCGACAGAGTGCCCGATGTGACTTGATGCACCAGCTTTTTAATGTTGATCGCTATATTCGATCAGTCTAGTTTACCAAGGTATTCAAACAATCTTACCAGCATCACGAGCATCCTCTTCCCTGGGGCCTTGAACAATGTCAAACGGCGGCATGGGCAACTGAATGAATCCGGGAGGGAGGGCGGCCAGGACGGCCGACGCGAATACTAGTAGCTGCAGGAGCATCATCCTCAGAAGTGCTCTCAGGAGTCAGGAATGCTCCATTAAAGCGAACCCAACATGCGGCCGGCGCATCTATGGAAAGAAGCGCGGCGGCCGAAACAACTTCTTATGTAATGACGGGATTAACCCCGCCACAGCGGAAGCATAACGCGGTGTTATGGTCCTGTGCGAAATTCGAAAGCTCGCGGTGTGCGCCGCCGTGCATGATTGGAAGCGAATTTGGACGCTTTCGAGGTTTTTCTTCTATTCGTCAAGCACCCAAAACGGAGGATATTGCCCATCATGGTGAGTCGACACACGGCGGGGGCACAGCAGGGCGCGGGGGCGGAAGGGACAGAGGAAAGGAGGGACACGGCGCGAGATGAGAAGAATTGGGAGAAGGAGAAAACGCCCCGCCAAATACACTGCTCGACACCCAGCTCACACCCCCGTGTAGGACCCCGAAGGCCCCGTTACCCTCCGAACCTCCAAGTTCATCACCAACCGTCTCCTTAACCGACGTCAATTCGTCCTCACCGTCCTCCACCCCACTCGCCCCAACGTCTCCCGATCCGACCTCTCTGCCAAGCTCGCCGCTCTCTACAAGACCCAGAAGGAGCAGGTCGTCGTTTTCGGCTTGAAGACCAAGTTCGGTGGTGGTTCCTCTACCGGTTTCGGTTTGATCTACGATGACGAGGAGAGCCAGAAGAAGTTTGAGCCCAAGCACAGGCTCGTGAGGGTGAGTGCATGGAGGGTCGTTGTTGCCAGGCGCATGCTGATGGACGTTATTAGGCTGGTCTTGCCGACAAGGTCGTCAAGCCTTCCAGGAAGCTCCGAAAGGAGAGGAAGAACCGAGCCAAGAAGGTAAGTCGGATTATCCTCTTTTTTTGTTATCGCCCACTGACGCCGTCAACAGCTCCGCGGAAAGGCCAAGGGAAAGGCTGCCGAGCCCGCCAAGAAGAAGTAAATTGCTCCATAGTGGTGGCTTTGGATTCTTCTTTGTGTGCTTGGGGGATGTATCTTCATTCTTCTCTGCAGCACTTGATCGAGTTGCAAATATCGAGATTGAGGAAACACTGGCAGTGGCAAGGAACACGGGGAGTCGGGAGGTTGCGTTGAGGGGCTGGACGTCGTGTCAAGAGGCAAAGCGCTGAAAACTGTACTCACCTGTCGCTCTCGCTGGTTATTGGGGTGCAACTCTGTCAGCTCGTCAAATGTTTAGGGGGTGACTGACGTGTCCTTGTCCCTTCTCGTCATCAAACCAAATTACGGAAAACAGCCTCAAAATCTTGCGAAACAACCATCTGGATAAGAGAACAATCAGACAACCCCCTGCTGCTTGTCGATGGCACCGATCATTCTGCTGACCGTGTCTCAAGCTTGGCGGTCGATTGTTCACTCGACTAACGCCACTTGAAATATACCAGATGATATCAGACGTATATCTCACACAGGGCTTGTTTGTCGAGGACGTAGTCAGCTCTGAAGGGAAAATCAATGATGGCGGATTGCGAATGAATATTAATCACTTGACGTTACGTTATAGAAGCTTCTTAGAGTGAGTCCCAGTACATATTGTCCAACTCATTCTCGCTACTGGTCGCATTCCAGCGGGGAATTCTGGGAGACCATTACAGTACAAGTATCAACTCGACAGATACCCGTTCACGTCAATACGCGCCCACCTTCGAGTGCGTACCAGAGTGCGTACCACAACCAAGGGGGAGGGAGCGTCGTTGAGCCATGACCCGCCAAGCGACCCGTCAAAAAAAGATACGTACTGTAGGTCCCTCAAACACAAGGAGCTTTGTTTGTATCTTGACCCCGAAGCCGGTCAGTCAACATAGCCATGTCCACCGCGTGCAGATGTACGACGATCCCTGCGTACTTGACCATTCGCTTGAAGCTTGTAGAAGATTGATTGACGTTTGCCAGCTCCAGGACGCAGAACATGGTTGCCCACGCCACCGGCGATGACAATAGGTAGATCTGGTTTGCTGGTCATTCGTTGTCTTTTGTTGTTTTGTATCTTCAAGTCATCAATCAACATGCTCAATTGCCCTGCTGTGGACTACACCATGCAGCATCTTTATGCCCTGCCGACTTGGACACTGCTTGGAGAGAAAAAAATGCCAATGCATCCCACCCAGCCCATACCCTACAACCCTCCCACTCCTACAAAGCGACTCTAGTATCGCTCGAAGGGGCTCTTCTTGCTCGCCCTCCTCTTCTGGATCTTCTCCACAACGTGGTGGTCCCACTCGGCACGCTCAGCATCTTCGGCGAGGACTTGCTCAATGTAAGGGGTGAGGTATCGCTCGTCCTAAAGCCTCGGTCAGCTCGAACCATGCAAAAGACAAGATGTACGCACTTGCTGGGCAGTAGTCCACTTCTCCTTGGGAAGCTCCTTGTGGAGAGCGGATTGGATGAGACCCTGTCGTTGACGGAAGACACGGTCGAAACCGGCCTTTTCGGGGAGACGGGAGATGGCCTACAGTCCGAGTTAGTACTCGCCTCACGCATTTCGCCGCCTTCGCAATCATCCTCTCTATACCGGCATATCTGAACATCGTGCGCCGCCCGGCCGATTCCATAGAACACTTCTCTCTCATTGTCCAATCCGCGTCGATCCAATCTCAAATTCCTCCATCTCGCCGCCTCTCGTCCCAATCTACTGCTCTATCCATGAATCGTTCTCCATCGCTCACCTTCTGCATGAGGGCGGTCTCCTCGGGGATCAGGTCGTCCAACAAGTAACCCTTCTGCCTGTAACCAGCGGCCTGCTTGTAGAGGTTTGACCACCTAGACCAGTACTTTTGGATACCAGAGTGTTGGCGGATCCAGGGAGCAAAGCTGTTGGTTCAAGGATTGTTTTTGAAGGGTGATATCAATAGGGGCAATGAAGGGATAAGGCGATCATGGTTTAGGGCAGGCGTAGGTGTTTTTCGACGATAGAATGTTCGCGTCCGATCGTAAGCTCTCCGTTCTTTTTCCCCACCGTGTCTACTACACTCACGAGGGACCCAGGGGGCCGTTGCCGAGAACCATCTTGACGACTGAGGGCATGGTGGATAGTTTATGGGATGAGGGAGAGCACCTTGGACGAATGGGTGAGCGCGGATTCGCTTGCTACAGAGGGGATCGGGACAGTCCAGCAACAGAGCGGCGTTTGGTCGTGTGGCGGGCGGCGACCACCGCTTGTTGACGTTTTGGCCAAGTCGCGTTATGGATATGACTTTCGAGGGATTCTCGACATCAAGATACCTGGGCGAGAGCGTGCAATGGCCCCGGCGACATCCCAGAGAGCAACCTCCCGACAGCGCTCGACTTCAACGGCCTCCATACAGGCCATCTCGCCCCAGAAAGGCTCAGCCGCAGCTCAAGATCAGCTCTGGGCAGACATGGACCCCGAAGACCGCAAGGTTGCCCAGGCAAAGAAGCGCCACGATGACGATGTCAAGAGGCATTTGGGGGCTGATAATATCGGACCAGGAGAACCTCAGAATGAGTGAGTGTGGTTGCGATCGTGACAGAGTGGTGATGCGAGGCATTCAACGGTGATGCAAGCACACTCCGGCAAGTGTGTATGCATCGCAGGAGGACTTGGAAACTCCAGGAGAGGTGACTCAAAGCCAGGAGATGTCGAGAGACCGTTCGCAAACCAAATGACCCTCGCGACTGTGTGCTGACGTCGAGTCTCCCCCTTCCCTCATAGCTGGCAAGTCGCCTATATCTGGTCCTTCATCCTGAAATTCAACCTCCGACACAGAATAGCGCGTCTTGAATCGATTGAAGAGTAAGCTCACCTCCGGCTCATTTCGTAAAGGGCGGTCAAAGCAGTATAGACGCGCTGACGCGTCATTGGTCCAGCCTTGAACGGTGTCTATATGAGCCCGTCGCGAACCGACCTGATGACATCTTTGAAGGGATCCTAATTTGTTTTCTGTCCAACCTCAAACCTGGGTCTAGAAATATCAGGTATGTCTCCCCCTTTCCCTTGCTTCTTCCCGTTGCGCCTACCCGGCTGACGCCGATCCTCCGCAGCGCCGAAAACATCCAGTCCATCATCTCCTCATACATTTCCGAAAAGCTCTCTGAGACCTCCGAATGGACCGTCTGGGACCGTCCATGGCCACTGAACGAAGAACAGCGCGCCTCATGCTGCCTCACAGACGACCCTTATCGAGCAGAGCTTGGCCGGTTGAGATACCCCGGCGAGCCGATGGGGGCGCGGGTGGAGAGGAATCCGATCAAGAGAGTGGAGGCAAAGGGAGGGGGGCTGTTTGAGATGGACTGGAGGGACAGGGTGGCGCTGATGAGACAACTGGTGGACTGGCAGTGTGAGTGCTTCTTCCTTGCCAGATTAATTCAGCTGATAAAGTTCAGTGACGCACTCGGCCAGCATTCGAGATACCGTCAATACTGCCTCTTCATCCTCAACCACAAAACCCAAGAAAGGTTCCAAGAAGCCCGTGGAAGAAGTACCCGCTATCAACGTCGAGCCTCTCGGTCTCAACCGCGACAAACAACGGGTCTGGTCTCTTGACGGTACGTACGCTTGTATGATCAAGGCCACCGCTCATTTTAATAGATTCATGGCGTTTATATCGCTCCGGCAACCCATTCAAGCGTCCATGTCCTATGGAATCCGTCTCCGACACGAAACAAGACTACCTCGCCTATGTGGAATCTATCGTTGCTTATGGGGCCCAAGAGCAATCGCAGGCGGCTTATGAAAAGGCCCAAGAGGATGGCTCAAAAGGAAAGAAGAAGGCAGATAAGGGTAATGCTGGGTACAAAAAGTGGGTGAAGGGGGTTCAAGATGAGAAGAAATTAGGACAGGCTCTGGAAGGGAGAGTGGAGAATATCGAGAAAGAAGAAGGGGTCAGTTCCATCTCTTCTTTCGGCCTTCCTCATTACTCATGTCGTTGCAGAGGGTACAAAGAGCAAAACGCAAGATTGCTCAGGTGGTTCAACTACAACAGGCTGCTGAAATGCGTACCACCAGAACAAGACGGCCAAACAGAAAAGTCGACTACAGCTATGGTGACAGCGAAGTACGTTTGACGGCTTCTGCTGTCTGATCTGATGCTGACTCCCCCAAGCAGGAAGAACCGATTCCCGTCTCGCCCCCTCGGAAATCCACCCGCCCTTCACGGTCCGGTAGAGGCGCCCCAAGCGACGAACCCTACCTTGCCTTGGACTCGCGCGGTAGGCCAAGTATACCGGGCATGGAGTTTGGTTTGAGAGGAAATAAGAGGAATGGGCTGGATGCTGTGTCTGAGATCGTTGATGTGGAGGGAGGTGAGGAGCTGAATGGGGAAAAGAAGCGGGGAATGAAAGGGTACGCGTGGGTTGAAAACCCGGATGTAAGCTCGCCAGCAGCCAACGGTACTGCCAACGGGGAGTCGACAGAAGCTTCAACGCCTGCTCCTGGGGCGGGGGAAGAGACACCCCGCGCGGGTCAATCTCGGGGAACATCACCTGTGGAGGAGATTATTAAAGTTGATCCTGGAGATGGAGAGAACGGAGGAGGAATGGAAGAAAGCACAGAAGGGGCTATGGAGATTGATGAAGAATAGACCCAGAGTTGGTTTGAGAGAGGCGTAGCATTTCTACAACATCTTTTCCTGGCATTTTGTCTTATACAACCTTCCGCTTTTTCGAATCAACACCCATCTTGAATGGTTACAATATGCATCTGCATCATACATATCCGATCGGATACATGCCAGATATGCGACATCTTTTCTCATCTCTCACTCCCATCCCTCAAGCCTCTAGACTCTTCATCTCGGTCATGATGCTGGTGCTCTCCATCAGCGTCAAACTCGACACCGCCCTGTTGGGATTGAGGTGGCTTGGAGCCATATTTGATACGTTGGGCGAGGACAGCTGAACGAGAATCAGCGATATGCCGTGAAGGAAGCTGGATGACGCACCAAAGTCCCAGCAGACCAACATGATGGCGGTGATTTTGAACTGTATTGGGTTTCCCCGCAAGAAAAAGTATACCGTCCTGGCGATCATAGGTCAGCTGGTCCTGAACTTTGAAACAGATTGGACTCACTTGAACGAGTCTCCAAATATCCACCCGGCGAGAGCAGATTCTCGGAAACCGTAACACGACTTGTTTCTATAGTTGCTGATGAACTGAGGGATGGGGAGAGTTGATTCGATTGTAAGCGCTATCAGGCCGATACTACGTCTTGTCAGCACCATGTCAAAGCTCAAAGAAAGACGTACGTGTCGATATACCACATCCATCGACCCAAAATGATCTGTAGTATCCCCAAAACGACAATCATCCCCGCCAAGAATTCCAGATAGCTCCCGAACCCTTCCCACTGCCAGAATCCGAACGGCCTGTTACCGGCCTTCAACCCTTGCCACATGTTTTTCAGACCGCCCTCATTCAAGGGATGCTGGTGAGGGGCGAACGAAGAAGGGCCTTCGGTGTGTTCGATGTCTTCCAAAGACTGATCGGGATCATGATTTGAAGGATCAATGGGGGTGTATGACTCTGATTCCTGGGATCGGGCAGAAGGGGAGTAGTGAAGGCAGATGGCGAGGAGACCGAGTTGAGATAGTATTAGAAGGATCGACTGGATCAGTAGCGCTTTGACTGTAGTCAGTCCAGCAACAAACGTGTATATCAATACGCCTTACGAGTTTCGAATCGTTCTCCTAGCCAAAAGAATATACGAATGATATTGGCGATAATGACAACTCCGCAAACGTCTATATAAAAGGCGTCAGATCAAGAGGCATGGCGTGTTCGGCATACCATGGGAGAAACCAGAAGAGTCTCTACGTCGTGTCAGCTTCGATCATAGAGGGGCGAGGTGCTCTTACTTCTTCTTCACAATACTATACGCCTTTTGGTAGAGTGTCAGCACATTTTACTCTTCTTGGTGCGGAGAGTCAGACCTGGTCGGCATATACCAGGGGCGGGCTGTCGCCAGTCAGCTAGGCTGTGTGACTTGCAGGTGAGACGTACCCCACGGCCATCCCTATTGATGCCAGCGTTGCCACTATTGCCATATTTGCTTGATGTCTATGGTCTCTGACACCAACATCATCGTCATATGAACTTCTTACTACGTCGTCGGAAGAACGAAGCGCGGAGACCTCCGCCTGTCCACTGCGCTGCTGCAACGACGCTGCTGGCCAACTGCCAGTGCTGGCCAGCTGCTGGCGTGGTAAGGATATTGATGTGGCCCGTCTGTTGGTCCCCACACCGTCTCCGGTTTGCCGACCGTGCATTGCGATTATTTTCCTTCTCTCTACTAGCTTCAAGCAGCTCCAGTCATTGACATGGGCATCTTGAACCGTCTATCCTACATGTGGCAGCAGTTCATCAACCACGGCGGCAACCCCCTGATCTTTGGCGAAAATTCTACATGGTCTGTTGACCAGATCCCAGACCAGTCTGGCAAAATAACCCCATCCTTTCCCACACCCATACTCGGGCTCATTGTCGCGAGGGTGTCCTCAACACCGGAGGTAACTCGGGGGTGGGCCATGTGTCACACGGGTCCATGACCTCTAGCGATGCCCTTGTATTAGTCGAGGTGAGTCGAAATGACTTGAGGACCATGAGAGGTAGCCAAGCCAATGCCGGAGGACATGGACGCTTGTGTTGAGGCACCATGAAGGGTCCGTTGGGACTCATATCACAGAGCTTGGTTGATGTCGAGAGCTCCATGGGCCCTGGAATGTTCTTTCCTCTCATCTCTTTCCTTACAAGTTGATCTCGATACTGAATGCGGATCCCCTAGGCTCCGATATCTTTCAACTGGTACCAAAACGCGCTCAACCAACTGTGATCCGGCACCATTCCAGCTGCCCAAGCTGTGGATCTGAACGGCAAGTATGTAACACCCTTCAGCCGCATTATGGACGCTAGGGGAGGCCTGTTGGGAGAATATGGGGAGGAGAGGGCGAAGAAGCTCTGGGAAAGGTGTGATGAGCAGGGCAAGAAATTGGAGTAGTCGAACAGCCGTTGTTTGGTTCTCTTCAGGAAATGTAAGGCGCTCCCTTTTCTTGCCGACCCGGTTGATACTCAAGCTCTCTCTGTGCTTTTCTTCTTCTCTTTGATTGTCACTCTTGAGATGAGGAGACCATTCAAATTTGTACATGCCATTGTGACGGTCTATGTGCATCAAACGGCTTGTTGTGTGCGGTGGTCTCTTCGCGTACCATTCTTCCTTATCCGAGCATTTTTCAATTCTCATTCGGGTCAATTTTCTCCTGCTAATCAAGGAGCAGTTGGGACTTTGGGTGCTGCCTGCCTGGATGCTGTTGTCTACTCGTAGTGTCGTAGGCAAGACCCCCGGCCTCACTGTGTATTATGACCGTCGGTCTCAGTTCCAGCGGAAGACTCGCGTTGCCGACTGCCGAAGCATTACGCAAGCCTCCAACCAGGGGTAGTATGTTCTTTGTTTTCGATTTCTCATCACACTTCAATCATCATCAAGTATGGGAATCGTCGCCAGCTTCCTCCACTTTTGGCAACATTTCGTCACCCATAGCGGCACTCCCATCGTCTTTTGGACAAGACCCAATTGGTCGGTCGATCAGATCCCTGATCAGTCCGGTAAAGTAAGCCTCCGCCCCCCATTACCCGTATGTATGCCCTTACTCACTTTCGTTAGGTCGTCCTCATCACCGGAGGTAACTCGGGGGTGGGCTACGCTTCCGCCCTTGCGCTATACAACGCTGGTGCCAACGTGACCATCGCTTGTCGATCATTTGCCCGCGGCCAAGAGGCTGCCGAGGATATCAAGAAGAACGGCGACCGAGGTATCTGGGGTGTCCGCTACAATCAGCGAACTCCCGCAGAAGAGACCAAGCTTGGGAGTATCGACGTTCTCGCACTTGACCTCACGGATCTGGCCAGTGTTGAACAAGCTGCCGACAAGTATAAACTGTGAGTCTTTGCCGAGTGTCTTTCGTAAGGATGAAATTGATGGATATCAGTCGGGTGAAAAGGCTAGACCAGCTTTACTTGAACGCTGGCATCATGGCCGTGTGGGTGTTTTCTTTCTTCTGCAGACCAGGCTGACGATGAGAACAGCCAGGAAGGTCAATGGACAAAGCAAAACTACACTCTACAATTCGGCAGTATGGTGCGTTTTCACTCTCCTCTCTCTCTGAAGCTCCTGACCAACGTTCTTTCAGGTACTCGGTCACCAGCGCCTCACCACCCACCTCCTTCCCATCCTTCTCTCTCCCCGGGAAGAGCCCGCTAGGGTGATCAGCCTCTCTTCGGTGGGACACAACTTTGCCCCTCCTGGTGGCATTGACTATACCTCCGTTTCTCGTCATCCTGACGATGTGGCCAATCCCGACGGATCTCCCAAGAAAGGCAAGAATGAATTGGACAGGTGGCCAGAGTATGGGCAAGCCAAGTGGGGCAACATTGCCATTGCAAAATACCTTGCAGACAGATATGACCCGAAGGAACTGATTGCGGTCGCGGTGCATCCTGGTAGATCATCCCCTTTCTGTGTGGTTGGGAAGTGCTGACAATGAGATCGCAGGATCGATAGCGACCAATCTGGGAAACCATATTGGTATCGTGGGCTGGGCGGCATCAAAGGCCCATTGGGCCCTGGTACGTTCCTAAACTCTCTATGTCAGGAAGCATGATTGATGTTGACATCGGTATCGTCTATGCAGGCCCCGATGACCTTTTCCCCATATCAAGGCGCGCTCAACCAGCTCTGGTCTGGCACCCTACCCGCAACGCAAGCCCTGGAGTTGAACGGCAAGTATGTGGTACCCTTTAGGCATGTAATGGATCCCAGAGCCGACCTATTGGGGGAAGAGGGTAAGGAAAGGGCGAGGAAGCTCTGGGCGTGGTGCGATGAGCAGGGGAAGAAGTTCGAGTAGCTGAGCAGCTTTCGTCATGTTCCCTTTGAGCAATCTACTAGGCGGGCGCGATCACTGATGTGTACAATTCTGAGTGGCTCATGAATGACACTTTATCTGGCATCGGACGGCGTTCATTTAAGAGCAAGTGCGTCTTCTCAGTCTTACCTCGCCTCGCCTGTTGATCAGTCGCGTTCGTTGTTTACTATCCACTGAAGCCCCTGCACCGTCTTGTCCCATATGGCAGGCCTTCTGTTGGTCACGGTATAAGACGGCTGTTTTGTACGTACACACACGCATGTTCGTATGTTCGACGTGACCACGTCCGTTGGTCTTTTTCCGGGTGCCATAACCTTGACGAGGCTATCTTCCTCTGACCAGGCTAACGTGCTAATATACTCTGTACCATATGTCTTTATGGAGACAAACACTATAAATCACGGCTCAGCAATACAGCCAATGAGGACTATAAACACATCGCCGCGATTGAATCTGTTTTCGCTGGCCCTTGACCTTGTTGTGGTGTCACGCCAGGTGCTGCAACCCAGTAGTGGACGAGGTTGGCACAGTTTGAGGCCTCGTCGTAGAGAAACACCGTTGTAGCTCTGTTCATCTCGGCCGATCGTTTGCACATTCTGCAGATGGGCTGCTGAATACAGGCAGCAAATTTGGTGATCTTGAGCAACGAAGATGGCCAACAACTCATATCATCGCCTCGCAGTTGCCAAGAAACCATCGTCTCGTCTCTCACCACGTTCCCTCCTGAGCCACTGCTCCTCTTTCGCCGCTTTGCCTGATATCATAGATCGACAATGACGAATAGTGGACCCTGGCTTGTAAGGACGTCGTTAGTAACCTCGTAGCCGACGAGACGGACCTTTGTTGCCTAGCAGCCGCTCGCCGCACGATACCTGCCGCAAGGCGCATCGCTAGTCTGTCTATGGTAAACACCTTACGACGCTTACAAGCTGTGGTCTCAGAGGTGTGTAGGAACTTGGAGACCTTCTCCGGAAACCATACACGATAACACTGGAGCTAATGCCATCGTAGTGTGGAGGGACAGTTGCCTCTTTGCCCAACTGACACTTTTCCTTTCCCTCCATCTTCGACTCTCTTTATCTTTTTGGCTGGTCCAAATCCACTTCTTTCCCATTCCACCCCCCTCATATCTGGCTTGTCAGCCTGCTGTGCAAGCTGATTCCCACCCCTTAATCGCTCTCCTCGGCTACTTATCATCCTCCCTTTTCGCTCTATCAAAGAAAGAAGATGCCGGTCATCGAAATCGACAAGAAGGGTATCGTTGGAGATCTGTTGGGAGGAGGGGATGATAGCAGTACCGCGCAAGCGCAAAGTACTCAAGCGGCTAAGACTGCAGCGTCCTTCAGCACGGACAAGGACGCCACTACGTCTACTACCGCCAAGGCTGGGAAAACGGACTCGGCTTCCTCTGCGAGCGACAAGGCTAATTCGACTTCTGCCGATTCCAAGAATGACAAGGCCAGCTCGACCTCGAGCGGTAACTCGAGTGCCACTTCGGCAAACACTGCTGCGTCAACCAACGCCAAAAATGCCGCCAGCTCTGCGACGTCAAAGACGTCTGACTCGTCGGCTGCCTCATCCACCCCTTCTTCTACTACCTCTGCGATTAGTAGCGAGACCTCTGCGGAATCTGCCAGCAGTAGTGGAACGGCTACATCCAATTTGAGCACTCAGAGCGCTTCCGACTCTGTTTCGTCAGTTTTCATCATGTGCCTGCTTCATGGCTGACCTTCGTAGGAGCAGTTCGGACTCTGCAAAGAGCAGCACTACGGCCAGCGCTACCGAGCTCGGCGACAATGTTTCGGCTTCTCTATCCTCTTCCTCCGCGCCGAGTACTGCTTCAGTGGCCGCTGTTGCCGCCAACGCTTCTGCCAACACCGGCTCTAGCACGATATTCAACCCGGACAACAAGCTTTTCCCTTTGGCCATGGTTTTGGTCTCGCTCGCTGGTAAGTGGACACAGTCATAGACGGTGATGTTTTACTGACCCGGCTCCAGGCTTATTTGTTATCGTCACAACCGTCGTGCTTTTCATACGAGTGTTTGGGTGGAACAAGAGACGTCGCACAGAACGTTCGGCCATTCCATCTTACATCGGCTCCGACCCGTCTTTTGAGCCCGTCGAGCCCAAGAGGTTTGAGACCATAACCAACAACATCGCATCCACCAGCCCCGGCCAGCACGATAACTACAACTATGTTAATTACCCTCCCAACGCGTCTGCCGTCAATGAGCCTCCTGCGCGACCTGTTCGGGCTCAGTACGTCGCTGCTTCTGGGCCCACTCCCAACCCGTACGACGACTATTATGACGAAAAGCCGCAGCACATGGGGTCACCCGTACCATCGTTCAACACCCAGCGAGGTTATGACCGGCCTCCTCCTACAGGCGTCTATGATTACGGCGCGCAGTACCAGCAGCCTTCTGTGCCCCAGCGAAGCAACACCAAGTCGTCTGCCTACTCTAGCAGCAGTGGCGGGTCTATGGGGGCCCAGATGATGGGTCAAAACCCTAGCCAAGCGGGTTATGCGAGGAGGTATTCGGGCAGCGGGCAGAGTTTCAAGTCAGTCGCCAGCAGCAGAGCTGGGAGGAGCAATGGCGGAAGGTTGGAGAAGGAAAGGTACTAGGTGAGAATCTGCAGGTCATTGTGAAGGAAGAATATGGAAAGTGGAAAGATGGCAACATGAGTTATGTAGTAGCTAGAATCAGCGTCGTTCACTTCAAATCTAATTACCATGTGCATATCTGTACGCTACTTGCTGTACATCGATCTGATCCTAGTTGCTTTCCGTCCCCAAAGCCCACTACAGGGCATTTGTTCACGTATTCCATATCACCATACTATATAACCACACCCTGAAAGCCTCATATCAAGCCCGAGTCTCGTTGACCGTATCTACAATCTACGCAGCCCCCTTAGATCTTGACCTCCTTGAGCTTCTTCTTCAACTCTGCCAGCTCGGCCTTCAAAGCCTTGGCCTTCTTTACCTCCTCCTCTTCATCACCTTGCGCCAAACCCTTCTTGATAGAAGCCACCACCTGACCTTGCACCTCCACCTTCTTCTCGAGCTCGCGCTCCTCGGGCGTCTTCTTGGCATCGGCAGCAGCCTGGGCAGCCTTCTTGTCGGCAGCAATCTGAGCCTTACGGGCTTCGTGCGCGGCCTTCTTGGAAGAAGCATCGTTGGCAGCAGGGACCTTGCCGCCTTCGGGGTGACCGCCAGGGCCGGAAGGGGTTGTCTCGGCGGCAGCGACAGCATCGCCACCAAATTGACGCTGCCACTTCTTCTCCTGCGCTCCATCCACATTTTCAATCTTCTTGAACAGGTACTCGGCCTTACCGAGTACATGTCCGGGCAAGATGTCGATGCTGAACTCGCTGGCTAAGCTCCTCGCGGGGGCGTTGACTTGCCTGAGGATACCATCGCAAGTGTTGGGCATGAAGGGGTGGACGACAGCAGACAAGATGTAGATCAAGTTGACGGCGTTCAAGAGCACCTCGGCGCATCGCTCGGGTTGGTTGGCGAGCAAAGCGTTGTCGAGAGAGTTCTCCTGTAGGTATTGGTTACCACGAGCAGAGATAGACATGGCCTGAGAAAGACCGTCTCGGAGCTTGGTGTCGTCCATCAACTGACGGTACTTTGTCAAACGAGCGTTGATGTCGGCAACAAAGTCCTTGTCGATCTGCGTGGTGAGGGTAGGGACGCCACCGGCGAGGTCGGCGGGTCCAGGGACCTTGGAGTCGTATTTGGCATTGACGAATTTGATCACCTGTAGCCTATTAGAACTGCCTTGTAACTTGAAGCTCTACCCACTCGGTTGACAAAGTTGCCCAAGTTGGCCAGTAACTCATTGTTGTTGGCCGTGATAAACTTGCTCCACAAGAAAGCAGAGTCGCTGTTTTCGGGTCGTTGAGAGATCAGATAGTATCTCCAGACCTCGGGAGGTTGACCTGTCTCTCGCGCGTTGTTGCCAAACACACCGACATTTCGGCTCTTGGAGAACTTGGTGTCTTCATAGTTCAAGTACTCTGCGAATTTGTTAGATGGAGTTCCAATCCAATGGACTCAACTTACGAGTACTGGAGATGTTGTGCAACATGGTCCACGGCTCCTCGGTACCAAGCAACATGGAGGGGAAGAGCACAGTGTGGAAGTAGACATCTGTTCGCACCATCAGCACCCAGTCATCCAGTCGCAATGTTACTCACTGTCTTTGCCCATGAACTGGTAGAGCTCAACGTTGTCGGGGTTCTTCCACCACTTTTCCCATTGGTCGGTGAGGGTAGCAGTAATGGAAGGGTAACCGACAGGAGCATCGAACCAAACATCTACACAAACGTCAGAGGCGTCCCTGCAATACCCTCCATGACTCACAGATGACCTTGCCCTCCAACGCCTCGTCCTCCTCCTTGTTGCCAACCTTGGGCACCTCCACACCCCACTTCAGATCTCTTGTGACCGCACTAGGCCTCAAACCCTCCCCAAGCATACGAGGCTCCACAATCTCTCCCTTGTCGGTGATGACTGCATTCGAGCCCCAACGACCCTTCACTCTCGCCTGCTGCATCCATTCGACCAGTTTGGGCTGGATGAGGTCGAGCCTGATACAAGCATGGGTGGAGGGACGAACGGAGAGTTTGTGGTTCTTGTTTCGCTTACAACGGGGGCTGAGGAGTTGAGTAGGGGAGGAGAAGGTGATGCCGCACTTGTCGCACTGATCTCCTCGGGCATCGTCATACTCGCACGCAGGACAAGTACCTTCCACGAATCGATCAGCAAGGAAAAGCTTGTCGTCCTCGCAATAAGTTTGGTCGGCGGTCTCAAGTCGGAAAAGATCTTTCTCGTGCAGGCGCTTGTAGATGCCCTGAGTGATGTCGGTATGCTCGGGAGTACTGGTACGGCCCCACTTGTCGAAAGAAAGCTGGAACCATTCGTAGATTTCGGTATGGAGCTTGTGGAACTTGGTACAGAGCTCGTACGGGGTGACACCCTCTTCGAGTGCCTGTACTTCGAGTCAGCCAAAGGACGCCGTGGTGATCACGCAATGGGACGGATATCGCATACCTTTGTCTCTGTGGCAGTACCATACTCGTCAGTGCCACAGATCTAATGCCGGATCAGCTTATCCTAATCAATGGCTCGACAGAAGCGTACATAGAGAGTGGGAATGTTGAGGGTTCGGTTGTATCGAGCAAAAACATCGGCAGAGAGCGTAGAGCTAAGGCATGTCAGCGGCATTCTCCCAGCTCCACCGTCGATCGAATGCTGCTATGCACGTACCCAATGATGTTACCAAGATGAGGGACGTTGTTCACGTCTGTTCCAACGTGAAATTAGCAACCATTGCCTGATGCGCCACCACGAAACATACAAGGAAGAGCAGAAGTGATGAGCACATTCCTCTGACCGTCCTTGGGAAGACTACAAATTCTGTCAACTCTATACTGACCTGATGTCTCCCAACCACTCTTCGCCATTGCACCTCCGAGCGCACAAGAGGACCTACACAGGCCCGTTTTCGGGATCACGGACCTCCATGAAGAGGCCGTCCGCCTTTCTGATATGGTCTGTCGACATGGCGAAGATAGTAATCTCGAAACTGAGCAGGAAATGACAAGAATTGTCGAAAATGTCGGAACTCTGCAGCTCATAGAACGACTCAGAGAAACGGCACCAAAATGCGAAGCGGCGTTCCCCGATCTGCCCTCCACTTTTGGACGCTTGATGTTTTGGAATTTTGCGACCATGGGCTCGAGGATAGTCATCACCAAAGACAGCAAGTAGCATGTCCGCCCTAGCAGCAAGAAGGGCTGCTGCCATCGCCGCATCTGCTGAACCGCAACCAGAAATTTCTATCGGCACGGAAGAGCTGAATGAAGCTGAGGATTCTGGGTCTGCCTCTGGATCTGGCTCGGGATCAGAGTCCGCCTCCGAAGACTCGGAAACGCCCGTAGAGTCGGACGAAGAGAGTGTAGACATCATTGTGCCCTCTCCCAAACGCCGGAAAACGCAAAAGTCAAGAAACACTTCGCCAGAACCAAAGAAAGCAGCTCGATACTTTGCTGCGACCCCCGAGACAAAATCAAAGGGCAAGGGCAAAGCGAGAGTCACTATAGCTGAGAGGCAAGTCAAGAGGTACTCCCCGGCCGCTCTCGATAGCGATGAAGAGGAGGAAGAGAAAGGAGAGTCTGTGGGCGATAGTGATGAGGATATGGCAGAGGATGTGTATGGTGAAGCGGCTGGAGATGTAGACGAAGGGCGGGTGCAATGGGTGCAGACCAACGGTGCCGGGTCGTCCCGGCAAAAGTATGTACCTCCGCACATGTGTCCCGGCTCTTGTTGACTCTAGGTAGACCTCAACAGGCCGTGTCAGAAACGACATCCAACTTTGTACCGCAAGAGAACGTCAACCTATTCAGACTATCTCAAGAGGCACTCTCAGCGGCTGGCCTCGAGGACGAATTCGCTGGGCCCGGCATCATCATTAGTCTTGCTCCCGACGAGGTATGTCACTTCACGCTCTCGGAACTTCTAGCTGACAATGTAAACAGTCATTGGTGATTGCAGGCGCATACATCCTTACTCTCCTCCAACGCTCACTCGCCCTCTTCTCCACCACCATCAACCCCTCATCCACCCCTCACCCCATCTACGCCCCTACTTCCCATCCCCTGCCTACTCTCACCCCATCTACGACCACATCAACTCCATCGTCCCTCTTGTCTAAACTCAAACTCCCCAAACAGTTTTTGAAAAAGAACGATAGGACCATCTTGCTCATCCGCGAGAATGGATGTGGAATTGATGGGCTGAGATACGGCGCTGTACCCGGTTTTGCCAATGCTTTCCTCGAAGTGACAGGCATCTGGGGTCTTCGAAACGTCCACCCCGTTATTGGCTCGTTCCCCACTCCAGTCTACTCTTATCACACCCCTTCATCCTGGGATTCCGCCCTCGCTTCTTCTACCCAGCTCCTCCAAGGCGAATATGCGGAAGAGTCACCTTTCGTCGGGCTCGTCAAAGGTCAAAAGAGGAGCGGTAAATCCACTTTTGCCCGGGGGTTGTTGAACACGCTATTGGGCAAGTATGAGAGGGTTGCGTGGCTGGAATGTGATCTGGGTCAGGGAGAGTTTGGGTGTGGAGGTGTGGTTGGGCTTTGGGTGGTTGAGAAGCCTGTTTTTGGTGCGTCCTTTTTCGTGACCTGACGATTTCATACTGACTGAAATCAGGCCCGCCGTTCACCCATCCCTCGTCACCCGTCCGGGCACACTACCTCGGTACCTACACCCCGCTCACCTGCCCTGACGAATACATCTCCTCCATTCGTATCCTCCTCTCCCACTTCAAATACGAGCTTCAATTCCCCCTCTCCTCCACATCAACATCAAGGAACAGCAATGTGCTGCCGCTGATCATCAACACCCAAGGATGGGTCAAGGGCCTTGGAGAAGAGCTGTTGAGAGGTATTGAAGTCATGGCCGAGCCGACGCATGTCTTTGAATTCGAGGCGCCCGTGCAGGAAGGTGGATTCTCTGGCCCGGGGTGGACGCAGAGCCCCCCATGGTCGACGGCGCAATTGCCTTACGACCCTTCGAACCCGACTTCCATGGTCGAGCTGGAAGACGACGTACAGGGGAGGAAGAGCTTCAAGCTGGAGGTTGCACCGGTATCGCCCCTCCAAGCGAGATATACCCCCGCCGACCTCCGAGTCTTGTCCACCCTCACCTACTTTCACTCCACTCTACTTTCATCCTCTTCCTCTGTCCCCTCATGGGACTTTGCGCCCCTCGCCACAGTGCCGCCTTACGAAGTGCTGCTCTCTTCTGCCCAAGAAGCTGCGTTGAAAAAGGTGTATCTCATAGGAGAAGGCAGCGAGGGCGTCGTACTCGAGGACGTGGCGCTGGCGTTGAATGGGGCCATGGTAGCGCTGGTGCAAGACCTGAGTGCGGATGAAGAGGAAGAAGGGCTTTATGTCCAGGGTCGGCTCCCGTCTTTTGGCGAAAGCTCAACTACCCTCGGTCTCGCACTCGTCCGCTCTGTTTCTGCCTCTTCTTCCGGTTTCACCCTCCACCTTTTGACACCCTTACCACCTCACGCTTTGTCCCGCGCCAATGCCATCGTCAAGAACGGCGCGCTCGAACTTCCATTGCCCGGGTGGCTCGACAGTCGTCCAGGCGGGGTCCGCGAAGAAGGGATGTGGGGACGAGGCTGGGACGAGGTGCCGTTCCTGGAGGTGGGCGGTATGGTCGGGGTCGTGGGCGGGGAGAGGCGGCGATTCAGGAAGAATATCATGCGCAAGGGACAATGAGATGCATAGTAGAATGGAACCAAACATCACGCGCCAAGGTTATCTCCGAGGCACGGTGGCACTTGTACGAGATGTCACCATCGCTGCCGGCCATCTCCGTCGTGTCCTCGTCCATTATCTGGAATTCTCGCTGATTATTCCAGATATGCGGGCGCCGGGCAGCACGCACGTCGGCCTCCCCCGCCGCTCACCCAACGCTGCAGCTGCAAGGGTCATCTGGCGTCAGCAATTGCACATCACTTCCCAACTACGTACGTATATAAGCGCCCCCTGTGCATTCTATCTCTGCAAGCACAATGCCCGTCGCAGTCGCATCCCCCGCCCCCATCGAGTCCCTCAAGGCCTCCCTCGCCGCCGCTACACTCGGCGACGACGAGCCCTTCGACATCCGTGCTTACTCCAACTTTGACACCACCCCCTTCATCGGCACAGAGTTCCGCGAGTGGTCCAAGGACGGCAAGCCCACGCTCAGTATCCGCGATGTACTCGGCAACGAAGCAAGGCTCAAGGCCCTTGGTCGTCTCGTGTAAGTCCATCTTCTTGAGATAGTGCTGTGCTGATGAGAGACCAGGTCTGAGCGAGGCGTAGTCTTTTTCCGAGACGCCAAGATCACACCCCAAGAACAGCTCGTCCTCGCGGACGCTCTCGGTCGCCTCGGCGGCAAGCCCTCCACCAGCGGGCTCCACGTCCACCCTCTCACCGCCGAAGGGAGCGAGTTGGGTGACGAGATCAGCGTCGTCTCCCACAAGTTTGTTTTCGACAAGAATCACAATAGGACCGATACCACCCTGCTCACTAGGCCATTCGGTGCCAACACCTGGGTAAGCTCAACCCCTCTATATACTCGAAAAGATCTGACGAAAGGGGGTAGCACTCGGATATTACATTTGAGCCCATCCCTTCGGACTATGCTACCCTTCAACTCCGCGCGCTCCCCACTACCGGTGGCGACACTCTTTGGGCCTCTGCATACGAAGCCTACGATCGCCTCTCCCCGGCTTACCAACGCTTCCTTGAGGGCCTCACCGCCACCCACTCTGGCCAGGGTTTTGTCGACATTGCCAAGCGATCCAACACTACCCTCCGAGAGCCCCGAGGGGCGCCCGAGAATGTGGGGCAAGAGTTGAGCGCCGTGCATCCTGTGATCCGAACCAACCCAGTCACGGGCTGGAAGGGCATCTTCGTCAACAAGGCGTTCACTAAGAGGATCAACGAGTTGACGCAGCGGGAGAGCGACAAGCTTATTGATTTCCTGACCGAGCACGTTTCTGCTGTGAGTGTTTTTCGAACTATATTCATGGTGTGCGCTGAACAGAGCCAAGAACCACGACTTGATCACGAGATTCAAGTGGGACGAGAACAACCTCGCCATATGGGACAATCGATCTACTTTCCGTACGCCCTTTCTATCATCTCCTACATGACACGAGCTTATCCGGACTGCAGACACCGCGACCTTTGACCTCGACGAACAAGAGCGTGTTGGGACCCGTTCCGTTTCTCTGGGCGAGCGACCGTACTATGACCCCAACTCCACCGGTAGGCGAGAAGGTCTCAGGGCTAGACAGGAAGCAGCGAGCCGTTGAGCCATGTCGAAGATAATGTTTCTTGTAAAAAGTTGTAGTCTGAACCACGTCCAAACCTTTGTAGGGCGCTATGAATCCATTGTTATGAGGTTGTCAACAAGAGATAAGAAGGATATGACGTAACAGGCACATCATGGCGATCCTTTGAGGCGCGATCAGGCGAGTTTTAAGAACGTCCTATATATAGACAGCGCGGGACGATGGAGACTTGTTTGTACTTGCGTCTTTCTGCATCGCACTACAAAGCCATGTCGCAGATACAGGATGAGCAGAGGGGAGGCGGCCCTCCCCTAACGTCAACAACTCAACTCAACCCCCCTCAGACCGGTACCGCCCAAGAGGATGGACAGCTCCAAGCCGAGCACCAGGGACTTCACCCACTCCGCCACCACCACTCCATCCTCTCAGAGACCGAAGAAGAGCTGACGGAGGAAGAGCTCATCGAGTACGAGAAGGGTGTTCTGACCTGGGAAAAGGCCAAGAACTGGAGGTTTTGGCTGAGGAAAGAGTGGGCATGGTACTATGTCGCTTTTGTGCTTATTGTTGTGGTGGTGGCCTTGATGGCATTCTTCCATCACTCGGTTAGTCTGAGTTTTGTCTGGCAGAGGAGAGCTGAGAGAAGTAGATCATCAACTGGTTGTCGCCTTTCGTGAAACGGCTACGCGAGCTGAAGGGCGGATTTGCTATTCCAGCAGCCATCCTATTTGTACTCTCTTTCCCTCCGTTGTTTGGTAACGGTCAGTCGGCTGGCTGGAGTTGTGATCCCTCTGACATTGAGCGCAGAAATTGTGATTGTTCTGGTCGGGTTGGTATGGGGTCTCGGCAAAGGATTTGCTATCGTCGTCGTCGGCCTAGGATTAGGAGAGTTCTGCGTCTTTCTGTGAGCCTGTTCCTTGTCAAAGTCTGATCGCAAGCTCACGCAAAAGTGTAGAATGTTCAAGCACTGGTGCCATACTCGAGCTCAGCGCATGACTCGCAAGTCACTCAACTATGCGTGCTTGGCGCAAGCTATCCAGGATGGAGGACTGTTGATGGCATGGATCGTTCGGCTGAGTGTCATTCCCACGCAAGTATCCAGTGATCTGACGCAGTATACATTGCTGACATCTTATGCAGACATTTTACTACTGTAAGTCGCCACAAATAGAGAGCTAAGAAATTTCACTGATGCCTCGGTGCAGGCTGTCCTTGCGGTGTGCGGTCTGCCGACTTGGGCTTTCATCCTTGCACTGATCGGTGCCCTGCCGAAGCAGCTCATCAGCGTTTACGTCGGAGGCATGTCTCCTACCTCGCCAAGTAGTCCAAGCTGACCCTACTCAGTCGTCCTCGGCAACACAAACGCTTCGACCGACTCGCATGTCATATCTGATTGCGTCTTTGCTGCGTGCGCCCTCATCACCATCGGAGCGCTGATATTCATCTACAAGAGAATGCTAAAGGTGAGGAGGAAGGTGATATTATCGATGAGGGAGGACTTGAAGGCGAGGCATGTGGATGTGGGGGCGGTTGGTGACATTCCCGAAGATGGAGACGGGATGAGACAGACCAAGAGACATGGGATATGACTGATGACATAATACTACTGCATACAACATATACGAACAATGTACACGAAAGCCGCTTTATCGCTTGCGAGACTTTTTATTCTTGTCATTCGAGAAGCCGTACCTGGAGACACAGTCCGGGCAGTACCATGTTTCTGGCAGAGGCCCATTGATATCCACGCATTTGACATGGAACTGTACAAGCGTCAGCAATGACAAGAGCGAGAAAGAAGCGACTGACCCATTCGTAGACACACTTGTCGTTGTCGCACCCAATCATCTCTCCGTAACTCTTCTGCTGACAGATACAGTACAGCGTCTCATCCGTCTCCCCCTCTCCATCCCCCGCATCGTTCATATCCACATCCGCATCGTCTGGCTCCCCATCCGCATCTTCATCGCTCATGATCGAAACCTTTCTTGACGACCGATGTCCAGGACCATGAGAGTGGCCCGTGGGGCCGTGGTGTGACCCATGACCAACAGGCGACGGCGCATGGGAATGGGACGACCTTGCCGACAAGGACGGTCTCGGTGCAGGAGGTGGGGGCATGGCCAGAGCAGGGTGCTGCACCTTTGGCACCGATACGGGCGCTGCCACCACCTTTCGCTTCTTGACCGCCCTGGCATCCGAACCGCTCCCCAGCCCACCGGGGGGAAGAACAACCTCTCCTCCTCCCATTTCTCCCAACCCATTCGCAGCTTTTTCGACTTCTTCCACCGACATTCCTCCGACTTTGACCCAATGGTCTTTGGCGCGCTCTTTTGCTCTGTTGACGATCCGTTCAAGACGCTCAGCAAGATGAATCTTTTCGTCTTGCAGGGCAGAGATCTGTTGCCACTCGGTTTGTATCTTGGTGAGATTTTGAGCTTCCTTTTGAGTCAAGTGAGAAGTGGGGAGGGGCGCGCCGGGCGGTATGGGGAGAGGGAAAGTGGCAGTCGACGGGGGCAAGGAGGAGAGGGATTTGATAGGTTTGGTGAGCGAGATATGGCGGGAGTTGATCCGTTGAATAAGTTCTGGGGAGTATCAGTACGCGTCAAGATTGTTGGGAGGATGTCTCACGGGTAATGCGAATATCCTTTTCTCGGATCTCCTCAAGCAAGAAATTGACCTCTCCCGGTAGGTTTTCCAAGCCTATGCATCTTTGTCAGCGCATCCATCGCACTGTGCCAATGTTTTCCTTCGATAACGCGTTTCAAGCCCAGGATACGAGGCTGACCAACCTCCGCGCGTCGGAAAAGCGAGAAAACAACTTACTAGAAATGAGCCCTGTGACTACATGGGCGGCTTCTTCCGCATTGAAATGTGGGTGGACATGGAGAGACGGGGGAAGAGCCATCCTGAATACGTGGGAGGTTGATGGATGGTCGCCGGACGGGTGTTTTATATGGGGCTTTTCGTGTAGAGAGTGGCAAATGAAGGAGGAGAGTGAACAGCGGACATGGCCGCTTGAGCGCTGCTGCCTCCTGGTATAACCACAGTATGCTGATATACAGTGCAGGATTAAGGCTTACATCAAAGGCGGGATGTGTGAGTGGTCTAAACAGCTGTCTTAAGGTTAACTCCTGAGCAACGGCAGTCCTCCGGGGCGTGGGTTCGAATCCCACTTCCGTCATTCTTTTTTGGAACGTTTGGCTCCTTTTTGCATATTGGTCCTTCATGTCAGACGTCCACTAGGGGCTCTTCCAAAACACATTTTGGCCCTCAATATATCGCATGATGTTGAGGACAGTTCACCATTCCGCCTCGCTGTGCAGCATTGATTGTAGGATGGGCGGGCGACTTGCTGACATGATCAATGATGAGCGTAGCTGACGTGAGTCGCTGTTCAAGTTGGTGGTGTCGAGCCACCCACGTCTAATCGATACGCTTATTGTCCGACATAGACTAGTCTGTTTCTCAGTATCTTGTAGAAGGGAACAAGACGTCCGACAGCTTCACAAAGAGGTGAAGGCCAACAAAGTAAGCACCACGTTGAATGACAGCAGCATGAAAGCGTTTTTATACCTCATCATCCGATCCATGTCCCGTCTCCCTTCAGTCTTCAATCACCAGCCAGCGACTAGCACACACACTTTCTCTCTCTGCCTCATAGCTTAGAGTAGTGCATGCATAGCGCACCACCCATCAATGCCTCCAATTCGTTACGTAACTCACGCGGTCACCGCCGCCGCCGGTGAAATTTCGCCACGGCCAAACCCCGCATAATGCCGTGCACCAGAGACTGTCGCGATTTTCGAGGTTTGCTGTATACGCTCACGTTCATCCCTCAACCCCAACCAACCTCAAATCAACCGCCAAAATGGGTGCGTTACTATCTGCAGTCGACATCTGTGCTGGGAGAAAAAGGCGGGACAATCGAGGGCAGAAAATGGAGGCGACAATGGAATGGAGGACGGAAGGGCGAAGTGCTGCTCGAAAGTCTCGCCCATGGATCTTATGTGCGGGACGGAGTGTGCAGATGTGGAAGAGAGAGGCTTGGAAGTGTAATGGCACAGATGGAGACGGCGAATTGTTATTTGAGGATGGTCGCTGATTATGTCTTTAGAGAACGACAAGGGTACCCTCGTTGACTTGTACATCCCCAGACACTGCTCTGCCACCAGTGCGTTTCCTTCTGTCAGATGTGCGGAGATTGCTTACCATTGTGTCTCCCTCTGCTCATCTTTCACCCCCCTTTGTCAATTACAACAACCCTCTTTCCAAACCCTACAGACCGCCTCATCACCGCCCAGGACCACGCTTCCATCCAGCTCCAGGTCGCTGACGTTGACGCCGACGGCAAGGCCATCAAGGGCTCTGCCACCACCATTGCCATCTGTGGCCGAATCAGGGCTCAGGGTGACTCTGACGACTCCATCAACAGGATCGCTACCAAGGAGGGCTGTGAGTGTATATTCTAGTGATCAACTGAGACATCGGCTGACATGAATTAGTGTTGAAGAACGTGTGGTCTTACACTCACTAAGCGGTTGTAGCTTTTGGGAGGGTTGGGATGCATCTTTTCGACTAGCAACGAGAATCAGACTGGGACAGAAAGGGATTGTGGGATTGCATCGCATCCAGAAGGACATCGGGATTGTGGGGCAAATCATCGACTTTCGTGGCTTTCACCATTGGACATTATCAGCCGGTCATCGACACAGAGGTCAGACGGGCTCAAAGGAGGTTGAGCAGGAAATTCGATTTTGTGGCGACTTTGCCAAACAAGCATCGACTATATTCTGTGTCTTGTTGGCTCGAATGGTAGAGTCTTTGTGGACAACAGTGGCACGGTCGCATCATCAGATCGAGCAAGGGAAGAGAAATCACGTTTTGACGGCCGCTTGTATCGTCGTGAAGGTCTGCTTACCCAGATCATTTACATGCCGCCCTGCTTATTTGCCACCCGTAAGATCAGCGATAACGTCAAGTTGACTCTCCCAGTAGATTGACATCTGTCTTTCAAGAAGGAGTCTTGACAGCTGCGACACGCTTCGCGCCGTGGTCAACAGGATCGTGCTTGGTTGTGATCTTGGTCGCATATGATGTGCTCTAAGTGGTACTAATACTGTACATCTATCTATACTGTCGAGTGTGCACAATCAGGTCAATCCGCTTTCGAGCTTGCGTCACACAGCTACACCGTTATGCTCTTGTGTAGCCTCTCCCTGAAGCAACGCTGTCCGTTCATCCGGCGCTGATCCCTCAGCGGGTGTATCGAGCTCGGGGGGGTACAGCGCAAGACTATGAAGCGCGACAGTCAGAGAAGTGATTCGATACATGCTATTCGTACATGTTCTTACAAAGCAAGGGCGATGTAACTACTCAAAGTCAGTCATGAACATTATCGAGTTTGTTCGCGGCAGCTCACCCAGCAATCATGGCCAGTCCACCCAAAGGCGTAACAGGACCCAGAACCTTCACCCCCTCCCACTTCCTCCCCAACACCAACGCAAAGATGCTCCCCGAAAACACTACAGCCCCTCCGGCAATCATCCCCGCGGCAACCTTGTACCTCCTCGTGCCCGCCCCGGCCAAGAATCCGGGGTGGAAAGAGATTGCAAGGAGGGCGAGACCGTTGTAGATGAGGTAATTGGAGGCGACACCAAAGGAGGAAATCTGGCGGGGGGTGAGGGGGGGCTGGGCGTTTTGGAGGCCGTGAGAGCCGAATGCGCCCGCGGTGATGCCCAAGGCAGCTGGGAGGGGTGAGTATTGCACGTCTGAGATTGACGTGGGACCTACTGATGAGTGCTCCAGATCTGAATACGAGGGCAGGGGACATGGCTGGCTGTGAGTAATGAGGACACAACAGATAATCTCTGCCTTGCCTTGCGATGAACGTCGCCAACTTCGCCCGAACGTTCGCATCTCTGTCACGTGACTGGCAAGGTGAGCTCAATGAATCAGTCAACAGTTCGAATAGTCTGGGATACAATGCACATCATGGTGGCAACGAGATCACACTCTGTCATCGAATCCTCCAGTGTTCAGGATCATATACATTTCATTACTGGCATCATCACTACCGGTACTTTCTAGTCCGTGTCGTTACAACTCTCCATCCCTTTAAAGAGCGGGCTCTGATATCGCTGTCAGCAGCGCCCATCATGAGAGGCCAAGAACTTACCTATCCCTGTGCTTCCCGTCCCCTTTCCACGACCCTTACACACATTCCTACCACCCCGTCCCAGGCCTCGACCATCTCCTTTTCCCTCGCAATCATCCCGTCCAGGTACTTTTCGAGCGTTTCTTTAAACTCGATCACGCGCTCTCGCTCAAATCGGGTGAACTCCGACTTGCACAGTTGGGTGAGGCGGAAATAGTCTTGTTGCAATGACTTGGCACGATCTTCTGCCTGTTCACGAGTTAGCAGAGGTCCCTGAGAGTGAAGAAGGGATGCTTACCTCGGCGACGTCACGCCCATTACCACCTCTCTTCTCCCAAACCCCCTTCAACCTAGCAGCCTCCCTCCTCGCCGTCTCAAACTTTTTCCACCCCTCAACCCTCCCAGCCCATGCCGCCCTCACACTGCCAATAAACCGCACATACTCTTCCGCCAGGTTCAGCATGTAAGCCACTTCGTCTTTGGCTGCCTGTTCCGTCTGCGCCTGTGATCCAGCGAGGATATTGGCCACTTGCGCGAGCAGGGCGGAGAGGGAGGCTCCCAGGTCGGATTCCGCCAGTGCCGTGAGGGACGACGAGAGTTCGGCCAGGGACAGGGAGAGCTCGAGGCGATGCTTGCTTGATACCTCGAGGCCCTTGGCAAGACTCTTGAGCTGGGTTTCAAGACTGTCCAAAAAGACTTTACGGCTTTCAAACCAGTCGTCCGTCTCGATAAACTTGCCGCTGCCTGTCCAGCCGCTCAACAATCCACCCTTCTCGGCGATAGCAGGCGCAGAAGCTTGTTGGGCTGCCACTTGATGTCTCCTCTCTTTCGCCTCGTACCCAAAGTTGTCCGACTCGAGAAAGAGTCGCAGATCAGGATCGAGCTGCAAGATCGGGTGTCCCACAATCTTTTTCAGACACCTCTCTAGGGCTCGCCGTCTGGTCTCTACAAACGTATCTTCGAACCGCCCCCAGGGATGTTTTCCCGGGACAGGCGGCACGACCACGCCCGGATTGTTGCTCTCCAGCATCTCGACGAGCCACAAAAAGTCCGAGTATCTTCGCAAGCAAGAAAAGCTACGTTGTCGGTAATGCGGAGAGGACGTGGACGTGCGGATGGTGTAGAGGATATAACCTCGGACCGGGTCGCCCATGCGGGTAGGGTCGGAGATGACGATTTCAAAGTAGGGGAGACGTTGGCGGGAGGGTGAAGCGTGTTCGGTGGGCGTGGTGATGGGGAGCGCAGAAGAGGGCGCTGTGGGCGTGGTTGGTTCTTCCTCTGTGCTGCGCTCTTCGTGCTCAGAAGATACTTGGGAGAATGATGACGATGTACCAGGCTCTTCCCAGCCACCTTCGTCCCCTCCCCAAAGCTCTCCACTACCGACAGCAGCACTACTCGCTCCGAGCGGCCCAGCACTTGCACTACCAAACAGACTCTCGCCTGTTCCTTCATTCCCATCCTCATCCAGCGCGCCCCATCCTCTACCACCAAACCTCGCACTGACGGGTGTATGCTTTTCTCCGGCCCAGGGGATAGTGCTTGTAGGCGTCGACTGGAGCGGCGAGTCGGCTTTGGTGGGGGCACCATTGGCTGGAGCAGAATACGGCACAGGCCCGCCCACACTAAGCCCTTCAAACTTGTCCTCAACTGGGTCCTCTGGTGCATTCAGCGGCGAGACGGAAACTCTGTCTTCCGAGGGCGTCGTCAATTGCCGCATCGTCCCATCATCTGATTGAGCATCGACATCTTGGCTAGAATTGATTGGGAGGGGTGAGGGAGTGGGATGGCGGCTGACCACAGGGGTGGACGCTTCGGATGCCGGGAGAGGGACGTGAGAGGGACTTGGCGGTGTCCTGGGCGGATCGGGTTTGGGGGACGAGGGTTTGGGTGGTGAATGCTGGGCAGTTGGAGTCACCGATCTCGGTGTGGTAGCATGCACCTCCTTCTGTTCTTCCTTGACGGGCTTTGGGCCAGGGGCAATCCTCTCTGACTTCTTGAATGCCTTCTTCAGCGACAATTCGGGGTCACTCTCTGCCATCAAGTCTTCATCTATCAGCCCCTTGAGCAACACTTCTTTCCCCTGCTTCTTGTCTTCCACTGCCTCCTTGGGCGTAGAGCTCAATTCCTGAGGGAGGCGTGGCGGTGAGAGTGGTGGAGTGAACGGCTGGCTCGCGGGGTCTATCGGTTTAGACGACGACGCCGGGGCAAACGGATTCGAGAATGGGTCTTCACCACCCGCCATCGGCACTGGTGAAGCGAATGCACTCGAAGCGTACACTCCCTCCCCTGGCCCGGGGGACAGAGCCCGCTGCTCCCTCTCGCGCGCAGCAATGACCGAGGGAGGGTCCGGTTGGTCGTAGTCCTTCTTCAGCTCTTGGACATAGGGAGATTCCCCCACGTCCTCCCGTGCACGAGACGGAGATGATGATGCAGCAGGGAGGGGGGCAAAGATGGAGGCGCCCATGTTGGCGAAGGGGTCTGCACTTGGGCCGTCCGCTGCGAAGGGGTTTGCCCATGGGTCGGCGTCGGCGGGGGCAGGGTCCCATCGTGGCTGGGAGGGGCGGGCGGTGGAAGAGAGGAGACTGGCGAAAGATGCTTCCTCGTCCATGGCGGCTTGTTGACAACTTGTTGAGGAGGAAGCGAGACATCACTCATGGACGCCGTGACAAGGAGCGGCCATCGCCGACAGTGATAGCAACGTCCACAACAACGGGCATGAGTATCATGAGTATCATATCAAGTAGATGACAGCTCATCAAGCATAGCAGTGTATATAAACGATGGCAGCATGCAATGTGGACGGCACGATACACGGATGACGAAATCATGGCGAGGCTGTTTACAAAAGAACTATCAGAGTACGGAAAGAGAACAAGCAAGCAATCATGAGGCAATTTGGTAGTGCTATGAGAACAATCAGCGTGGCAACATGAGAGACTCAAGAGGACATACAGCTTCGTCGATGGTGGTAAACACATGCCCGTTCTCCGCCAGCCAATCCAGCACCAATCTTGAGAGCCATCATCAGCTTTATGACCCGCCATGGTCGGACTCGGTACTCACGTAAATTGCTCCAGATCCGTGTTTCCAGTAGCTTTACTCAAAGCAGCCACATGCATACCATCCTCGTGATTCGGCCCTTCGCGTTCCAAAATTTGCATGATTGCGCGCGCCAATGGGTCCAGCTCGGCGTAGGGGTCGGCGCCACCATGGTTGGCAGCGGCAGCTGGCTTGGCATAGTCGGAGGAGGAAGCTGTAGGGGCGCGGTACTACAAGGACAGTGTCAGTAACGCGTGGATGGCATTGAACGAAAGCGCGTACGTCGGTGGTAGCTCCGTTGGCTCCGGCGTTACCAGAGGTACCTCCTCGGAGAAGCAAGCTGACGTGCAAAGCTTTCAAAAGATGGTGCTGGATCTCGTTGGGGTCTGTTATGGGTCGGACGTGGGTAGCAGAGACATGGCGCTTGTTGTTGTAAGATTTGATGGTCCCCATGACGCCGATGTAGCTATCTTGTCTGTAATACCGTCAATACAGATTCAGTCACAAGGAGGTGGCCATACTGGATGCCGTCAGTCTTGCCGGATTGGTCGTCGGCAGAGTCAAGCCAGAGCTTGACGTCCACATAACCTGTTCCATCTCCAATCTCATAGGCGACATTTGTCGCTGTGGTCGACGCATTGCGCACAGATCCCACCAGCAAGACCTATAGACAGTCAGCATGTATGAACAAGATTCACTCGACGTGATGCCTACCTGGGTGACGTCCTCGCCATCGATGGAAAAGTCGGCATCCGGATGAACTTGCTGAGCCTCGTTGAATTGTTCAATCGTCAAAGGTCGAATGGTTGCGTTGCCTCGGGACTGGCAGCGAGTCAAATCTATTCGCCCCATAGTCGCTTGGTGCGCACCTTTTTACCACCGGGAGAGTCCTGGGAAGACCCGTAGTCGCCGTTGCCGCCGCCCGCCATGTACCCCCCGCCAGCGCCGCCGTAGTATGGGTTGGAACCGTCGTCTACACATAGATCAGTATGTTATCGCCCCTCTACACCCCTCTATCCCGCTCACAGTTGCTCATGGCTGTTTATATATTTGCGTTGTGATTGAAAGAGAAAATAGCAGTTGACGGGACCCACGCGTCGGCTCATGAGTATTCTCAAAATACTTACGCGTTCAGATGTAACTACGATGTACGTATCTGCTCCCGTGTTCCGTCTCTGTCAGGTGACTTGGCCATTGTTTGGTTTGTTTGGTTTCCCTGCCCGCCATGTCCCTCAACCACATCGACCCCGCCCTCCATCCCACCCTCGACTCCATGGCCAACCCAGAGCACCACGACCACCCGCCCCAGGATGATGCCCCCGGCATGAACCCCCTCAACGAATTCGCACAACAGGTCCTCGGCCGCGAGGCTGATGCCGAGAACCTCCTCGACTTTGGCCGCGGCCACTCTATCCTCGGCGAAGAGCAGAGCTTTAACGATATCCTCCAGGCAGAGGGGAGGAGACGAGACGGGGAAGACGATCCGTCCAGACCATCGCACCCTTCGCACCCGCAAGCGCACCATCACCATGCGGAGGAAGATCAGCTCGAGGGGGGCAATTTTGAGCCTGAGAATTCCCTTGATCAGCAGTTGACGTCTGAAGAGCTGGCCAGAGGCGGGGCACGGCAGATGAGGCCAAAGAGAAGAAGACTGGATGAGGTGGGGGAGGACGGCCAGCCGCTTGACCCGCAGACATACGCAAAGAACAAGAAGGACAATCACGTGCGTCTCTCTATTACTTCTTGTGGTTCTTACTGACGTGAATCGTAGCGTGAAGTCGAGTCTCGCCGGCGGCAAAATATAACAGACGGCATCAATGAGCTATCTCAACTTTTACCACCCGGCGCCCCGAAAGAAGGCAAGGGCCAAACCCTCAAACGCGCAGTGTCATATATCCAGGATATGCAGGCGAGAATGGGCATCCCCCCCGGATCCCATGTGCCGGCTTCGTCATCAGGGGATGTACCGACGCTCAATCAAGCGCAGAATGGAATGGACGGGCAGGATGGGTTGGGAGGTATTGGTGGAGGACATCTGGGAGGTGAAGAACAGATCTCGGGGCAGCTGAGGGTAAGCCTCTCCCATGAACGTCTTTCAAATGCTAACGTATCCGACAGCTCAAAATATCCCATTTGGAGACTCGCTTGGCCGAAGAGCAGCACCGCGCTTCCGAGGCGGAACTAAGTGTGCGCGCGGCCGAAGACCGATTAGCAGCGACAACGTTCGAGTTGCATAGGATGGCCGATGAGAGGGACCAGTTGAAAGCAGAGCTGGAACGAGTGAAGAAGGAGCTTGCAAGTTTGGAATAGTATAGGAAGAGATCGCAAGAGACGAGCCTTGGAGGGAATTGTATACTTATCAGGGGTGTAGGCTATTGATGTAACATTTTACTTTTTGGCATCGAGTCATTTGGCTTTCCAATTCATATTCAAGGAGATAGCGCGCCCATGCTTATGCGAATTTCTAGGGACAAGGCGCCCAGTGGAATCACCTCTATGATCGACTATATTGTACACACGCTGACAACGCAGATCTAAAGACCTTTCCTCCAATGCTTCTCTGCGTACTTTCCAAAGACGTCCTGAATAGTCAAGCCTTCCGCATAAGGCTTCATATGGGATGGCTGAAGGTTGATAGTAGGGTCAAGGGTATTCACTGCTGTCACTGCATCTCTTTGTCAGCTGTCGACCAACAAGGGCAAAAGAGTGCAACGCACAAAAGTCATCGAGGGCAAAGTCCATACAGACAACGTCCATCTCCTGGTCGTCCGGCATGTCTTCAGGGAACGGAGAGGAGACAAAGTCGGGCTGAGCCTGGAAAGGCACTGAAGCACTATCAGTAACAAGGTCTGACACGAATAGTGGCCGGCTTACCGGGTATATGCTCGATATCGTCTCCTTTCCCTGGACACTTGTCTTTTGTCACAAAGCCAAGTGTCCTAGGCTTGGCCTGGGATACCCCTTCCAATCCCAAAACAGCCTGATCTCCTCGCCCCACAGTTCTCAACCTCGTCTCCTCCTGCTGCAGCTCATAATCTAAAGCTTGCTCCTTCATCCAATCTTGATAGATCCTCTGAACACGCGCTTCTTCTTCTACCGGTGTGGAAGGAGTCAACGATGGAACCAATTTGGAAGCGCCATTGCGGTTCATCTGGTCTGTGATGTTCCGAGCCAGGCCTGCTAGAAGGCGGGTGTAGAGGAACGTTGTGCCACTGGAGACGAGTAAGCAAACACGATCCGTGGGATGCAGATATCACTCACAATGGAGAAACTGTGAGTTCGTCATTCCTGTCAAATCTGCCTTGGAACTATGCGAGGTCAGCATTGCACGTCTGATCAGGATAGTGAGCAACATACGAGGTCAAATCGCAAGCTCCCGGCATTCCCAACAACGAGTCTCTCGCCTCCAACGTCACCCTTTTGCCCTCTACCCCGCTCTTTATCCTCCACAATCTCTGGAATGACCTTGTCTGAAAACAGCGTCGCTACCGAACGGGGATGACCCCAGGGGTGTCGAGTCAAAAAGTAGTCGTGCGGCGCCAGACCATACAATTTGGTGATTTTGAGAGAGGAAGAGAGGCGCGCAAGAGCCACTTGGGCACGACGGCCAATGTCCTAATGCCCATGATCAGCGAGTTGCTCCCGAATGATAAAGACATGGGCATGCAAGGTTGAACGTGTCATCCGTGGTGTTGGTGTGCCACTTGTACCTGCAAATACAACATCAGCTCAGGCTAATCGTATAAAGTAGATTGGAAACGCACGAGACGGGGTTAGCATCGAGATATCGCCTAGCAACGTCCAAAGGCTTTCCATCATCCTTGTCCGAGGGCAAAGATGATCTGCCGGAAGGGGTGAGTATTTTCCCCCGTCAACTGCGAGATGGGACGTACGAAGTGAACGCTACGGACTCCAAATATCGCCCGGGTACCACGCCAATAGACCTATCGTCATATTGGACACAGTCCCTGACATGAGTATGACCACCTGTTCATGATATCAGCTAGTGTCATCGAGGCTGAAAGAAGAGCTTTCGACTCACCGAAAAAGTACACGGGAACCTTGGGGTGCTTCTTGCGGATGGCATCAAAGATGGGCATAAACTCCCCCGTCTCTCCACGGACCGGCATATGACCTGCCACAACACTGGTATAGTACATCAGTATGATCATGACAAGGACATGGAAAATAAACGCACAAGTAGTCGGGAGCTTCTGTGATGACATCCTGGAACCACTCCTCCTCGACAAGCTTTGAAGGTTTCTGGACAGTGATGCCTCTATGAAGGATCGTCAGTCAGTCCGGGGGCGCAGATGGTCCCGCGCTTACTTGTCGTGCGCTTTGACTGTTGGTCACAGCATTAGCAGAGAATCTCTCCTGAGCAGCTCGTCACCTACAGTCAAATATCACACCGAAAGCTGTCACTTTGCGCCCCCTGATTGAGCGATCAGTCTGATAAACTGTATCAGGTAACAGAAACTCGTACAGTTTGGTAGTGAATTTGATGTGCGTTTGGCCGAGAGGTACACTCTCAAAAGCATCTCCTTTCGGGATGGTGATATTGACGTTCGAGGTCACGTAACGGCCATGCCTTTACATGGAGTATCAGCACCTCGCGCGACTAGTGTCGTTCACAGAGTTCCAGAGGTCAGACGAGAAACTCACCATCTCTCCTGATTTTCCCATTCCTCGTACGCGTCTCTGTACTTGTACAGCTCATGATTGCCACATGTGATGATATCATACGAAAGGAGTGAGAAGATGTCCTCGGCGGAGGAGGCAGAAGTCGCAGAGGAAGACACGAGGCCCGAGCCGTCGTGGTGATCGCCAGCGTCACTGAAAGTACTGGTCAGTAGAGCTCCCCCCTAAAGATGAGTACCCAAGATTCCACCTACACGAGTAAGAGATCGACCTCCTTCTCCTCCGCTATTCTCCGCATATGACTGACAAACGAGGCAAAGGTTCCATAGTCGCCAGAGTAATTCTACGCATTGTCAGTCGCTCGCTTCGTTTTGGTAGCTAGGACTGCTTACGGGCTCTGGCCATGTCGCCTGTCGCTCTTTGTCAGCAAGCAGTAGTAGAACGTCAAAGGCAAGACCATCGATCAAAGGCAAGCCCACTGAACACGTACATGCTGGTGCCCTAGTAGCCAACCTGTGGACTTTCATCAGCTCACTCTGACCATACGATTCGATATAAGCGTACCATGAGAGTCTGATATGCTAAGAAAGTTGGCATCCTTCCACTCGAGCTGTCTTGTTGGTACCGGCAGATCCTGAGGGGCGGACTGATAAGCGGTGGCGGTGAAGGCGAAGAGGGTGACGCCTAGTGGAAGAGATATGTGGGACCTCATCTCTGTCTTCAGTAGCAATCCTGGGGGAGAAGGAGGCGAGCGATAAGGAACTCGAGAGAATAGTCAAGAAGAGATGAAAGAGGACTTGGTGGTTGCTGCCGAATCCGGATGAACGCAACAGGCGGTCATCGCCGTCCACCGGGTGCCCGAGCTCTCCTGTTTGTCTCCTGTGTGGGTTCCAGCCATGGATTCCTGCTCGTAGACAAGGGGGTATGGGGCCCTCAGGAACAATATATAGCATGCTATCAATGGCGAATATCATCACGAACGGAACATGAACAGTTGACAAGCAAGCATGCCATCCGACATTATGCCGCTCTTGGGGATCAATTTCGACGTGAGTTCAATGCAAAGGGGTAATCGAATGAGTTTGTCGAGATGGGAGCGGCTGTCGGTTCTTAGGTGCAGGAGTATATGACGGAACCCAGCAAGTAGCACCCAGGGAGACATGGACCAGTGACAAGTGCGCAGTGCCAATTCAAGTTGAACGATCATGGAAGAAAGGCATGCCAAAAACGACTAACTGACTGACTGGCACACACTCTTCAGAGAGTTAGAAACAACGTATATCCCCCTCCAGCTACTATAGTCCCCTTGAAGGTTGCGGTAAGCCATCTAAATGCACTCTGTATGATCACAGCTCGCCAAACCCCAATCCACTGTTTACACGGAAGGCGGCCCCTCCCGCACTTCGCAGCCGGCAGCCCGAGACTCGCTACATAGACAGTCCACTCTTCTCTTGCATATCGATCCACCCAAGCCGCAACGATGTCTCTCGTCGACCGCCTCGCCTCCCAGGACACCCTCCAGCTCCTCTCCACCGCCACCTCCATCTCCCTCATAGGCGCACTCAGCCAGAGCGGTACAAGCACCTACAACTTTCCTCTCTTTGTACGTCTAAAGCCCCACCAGCGACTCCCGGCGGGACGTATGGAACACGTATACGCCTGTGGTCGAGTACTGCAAAGATACTGATGGCTATCAGTTATTCGGCATCATCGCGCACGAATTGAAGAGCTCAAACACCGCCTTCCGTCAAGTAAGCTCCTTTCCCGTACATACATCTTTGTTCATACCTAACCCATGCCGTCATCCCAGTTCCTCATCCTCCTCCCAATCACCGGATTTCTCGATCTATTCACCCTTCTCGTCAAATCGCAATCGTCCATCATCACCTGGCTTGCCATCGTTCTCGTAACGCTCCTCAAAGTCCCCCTGTGGTTCAGCGGCGGGGCCGCCCTGAGGGAGAGAGGCGGAGAGCTCGGTGGGTTTGGAGGTGTCGGTCTACCTGGGGGCGGGGCCAACAGTGCTGGACAGGGAAGTGAGTACTGCACATGACACATGGTCCCGTCCTTCCACTGACCCGTGCTAGATTGGAACCTTCCCATGCCCGGCAGTTTCGCCGGAGCGATGCCCAGAGTGTACTCGGACAATGGGAACGGCAGTGGTACTACCCAGCCTGCCTCCAACAACAATGGCGCGGGTCAGCCGTCGGGGCAGTTTCCTACGAGCGGTGGATTCAGGCTGGGCGGTGATGACGATGAGGGTCAGGGTCATGCTGCTGGCCAGCCCGGTAGGAATGGATATCAGACCATCGGGTAGACTCTCCATCTCAGACCGTTGTGTAGAAAATACGATCCAGGTTGAGTACAAAAATGTTTTTGGAATGCATAAAAGGGATGTTCGCTACGTAAAAGGAACACTAGCTTGATAGCTAGAAAATCGTATAAAAGACGCGACCCTAAGGGTAACGCCAGGAATTGATAAATCGACCTCGTGACTGCAGAAGCAAACAGGAAAAGGATCCTACTTGATCAGCAACAAGAGGCCTATATATACTCGAGAAATAGAAAGTAAAAAGCTGAAACGGGAAGAGTCATTGGCGCCCTCTCGCGCTCAAACCATACCCCGTCATCTCCCACTCAAACCAGTCACCTCATAACAGTATAGTTGAGGGACCAGGAGTGGAAGAGATGAAACGTTCAACTTTGGGGGTGGGTGGAGGCATACGAGGAACCCGTGCGGGCAATTGGGGCAGACTGGAGTTTGGTCTGTGGCGATGTGGAAAATGAGGGAAGAGGGTGAAGTTGTAAATTTACAATGTGGGCGAGATCATCCCAACCAGATACCCGCGTTGCCAAAGGTGTAAGGGCACACGAGCGAAGATGGTGGATGAGGGGGTGGTAGATATGCGAAAGTGGTGACAACCAGTCAAAGAGACCACTCGTGTTTGGGGGGGAAAGAAGGGGCTGAATTAAGGTAACAGGGCGCGTGATAAAGACATGGAAAGGAGATGGGAGCGGAGAAAGGAAGAATGATAGGGGGAGCGGTCGAGAGAAGACAAGGGAAAGGTATCGGGTCGCTTGGGAAGAGAGTCTCCTGCTAGAGTTGAATCTGTCGTAGTAGTTGTCTAGACTCTCGGCGCGCCGAACCATGAATCCTCCTCTTCCTCCTCTCGCCTTTCCTTGGACGATGAGAACTGACTCTTCTAAAGAAGTGTCGTCCCTGTATCCGCTCACCAACCACCAGTGTCCCTCGCCCTAGTTTGGCTTCGAAGTTGCCTCTGACTATCTTGCGCCTGTGCTACACCACCGTCGTTAGGCACCACTCGTCTCCTCCCGCCAGAAGAAATATGCTGACCCATGTGATCATCCCCGGCCGCGCCAGATCCGGACCCGCTGCTCTTGGGCTGCACAGACCAGTCAAAGACATAGTCGTACTGGAAGCCTTCACGGACAAAGAGGTCACGGAAGAGCTTGCGGAGGTAAGAGTAGTCGGGCTTGTCGTCAAATCGAAGCGAGCGGCAGTAGTTGAGGTAGATGGCAAACTCGTTGGGGTAACCTCGGCAGAGGACCTCGGTGGGGGTGGTCATCTCTGTCAAAGTGATTAGCAATGTACCGGGGTCAGATTAAGGGACGTACTCTTCTCCATGATTCGGTCATACTTTTGCTTCTTGGTAGCAGCCTTGAGACCCTGCCAAGGAAGTTGGCCACGAAGGAAATACTATGATATCGTCAGCACCAGAAACTCGTCAACCAAACAACTCACCATCAAGACGTAACCCAAAGACTCGAGATCGTCCCTTCGACTCTGCTCGACACCCAAATGCGTGTTGATAGAGGTGTATCGCGCGGTACCCGTCAAGTTCTTGTTCTCCCTGTAGGGGATATGCAAGTGGGTCTTGGGGTCCCTGTACTTTTTGGCCAACCCAAAGTCAATAACATTGACTTGGTTGCCTCGCTTGCCAACGCCCATCAAGAAATTGTCGGGCTTGATATCACGGTGGATAAAGTTTCGAGAGTGAATGTACTCGACACGCGAGATGAGCTGGTCGGCGAGGAGGAGGGCGGTTTTGAGGGAAAACTTTCGGTTGCAAAAGTTGAAGAGATCTTCAAGGGACGGGCCAAGGAGATCGAGGACCATGGCATTGTAATCGCACTCGGTACCGTACCATCTGACAAAGGGGATACCAACACCACCGGCGAGGGTCTTGTAGACCTTGGACTCGTACTCGAGCTGGGGGTGCTTGGCCTTGACAGACTCGAGCTTGATGGCAACCTCTTCGCCAGAGACAATGTTGACACCGAGGTAGATATCACCTGAACGGGGTAAGAATCACTCGTGTGTAGAGGGCCGGGCTTACCGAAAGAACCGCTTCCAATCTTTTTCCCGATTCTGTACTTTCCGCCCACGCGAAGATCCATGGAAGTCATTCTGTAGTATGGCGTGCGGTGTTTTGTGATCAAATGAGGTGGGGATGGATATAGAAATGGTTTTTGGCGAGGATGCGGCACGGTTGATGCGAGCGTTTGGGGTGGTGTTTTGACGGTAGGTTGCGAGTCGTCGGTGGTACACGAGGTAGCCGATGGTTCGAGGAGAATGAAGCGAAACGATTCGAGATGATCAATGAACCGAGCGATTTGTTTTACAAGACCCCAGAATATAAAGAGCGAGATGGTTTCGGGAAGAGCGTTGGGAGGGGCGAAGTGGGACACGGCGAGAGTGTTTAAAGGGACCAAGGGCCGAGCCAAGAGTGTTGGGGATGGAGCGGAATGAGGCGACGATGTGAAAGGATGTTGTGTGCAGTGGGGATAAGTCGAGTTGAAGGGAGGGATGGCGGCAAGTGGTAGAGTGGAGAGAGAAAAGAGGAAAAGTTTTCGTCAGCAATGATTCTTATACGCGCACAGCCATGGCAAGACAACACGACAGTTCCACGCATGCACCCGCAAGGTTTCCTCGGCAACGACATGCACCATCAGGACCGACTCTGGGCAGACGAGATGATCTCGCGCGGGTCTTTGAGAACTATCCGCCGCCAATCGATGCGGTGAAACACGCTGATGGTCCCTTGAAGGTTGTCTCGCTCTAAACACGCTGTACCCTTCCCGCGCCGGTCCCTGACGACAGATTGTGCCGCTACGTCTTCTGCGGTGCCCGTTCGAAGCAAGATGCAAGCAAGACTCACGTGAAGGTGTTTGTTTTTGCTGGATGCGGAGGGTTGCTAGAGGTAGTCGGTAGGATTGATTGGGTTGAGAGAAAGCGCGAAAGGCGTGTTGGCTGTGCGATGGGAGGGCGCCTTTTCGGTATAACCGGGGTGGAGGTGGTGGTGAAAGGAGAGGGGGCGGGTGAGTGGACAATGGGGCAGGGGTAGGGGGAGAGGTGAAAGAAGGGCGGGTATGGTGGAAGGACGGGAGGATAAGGGAGCAAGTGGAGGGCGGCGGTCAGCGAGCGGTCCTCAAGGGGGCTCCTTTGTGGCAGCGGGGAGGGGAGGGGGGGAGGGACTGGACTCACCTGTTGGGGATGGAGATGACTGGGGATGACGGGAGTTGACTGGACTACTGCCATAGCGGGGCGAACAGAGTGCAATGCTGGCTGGGCTGATTACATAACACCGCATATCCCCGAGCGTGGCACACACGCGTCAGTCCTCGTCTCTTGAGCGAGCCGTCCTCTGTTGCCATAGCATACACCATGGTACGTAGCATCCCCGTAGTAGTAGTAGAGCCAGCTGACCCCCGCAGTCATTCCGTCTTGTCCCCGCCAACGCCCAGTCCTCCCAGGACGCCCACGTCGTTTCTACACAGGTAGGTTATATACACTCCATCGACAACGTACTGACGGGTGCAGGCAACCGCTCACGCCATCTCGGGCACCCACGATACTTTTCGGTATGGCCTCAAATCCGCTGCTCAAGGCGTAGCCCCCGCCAACGTCAGCCCTCTGCAAGCTCGATTGGAAAAGGCAAGTTGGGTGTCTAGTCCCAGACGATGTGTCTGACAATGAGCTCTAGTGGAAGCAGACCCAACTTGAGTTGCAGCAAAACATGCAACGGACCACTTTTGGTCTGGCTGTGCCTATGAAGCAAGCCATGGAGATGAAGCTCGTCTCCGAGGCAAGTCTTGTAGCCACACTCCTCGTCCTTGTTCTAACTTTTGGGAGCAGAACCTCCACAACCCCCTCCTCGACCAAGCGACCCCTTCCGGTCTTCCCCTCGGCGGCGGACACAACATTGCCCTTGAGATTCTCGAAGGGAGAGATGAGAGCATCGATGCAGACGAGTTTATGGGAGGCGGCATCAACTTTGGAGAGGTCTTGGATGTCAACGGGGCGTTGGAGAGGAAGAGAGGGATATGATCCATGGCGAGGAGGAATACGCATGATTAGAAGAATGTATTGTATATTATGATGCTGATGTGAGCATACCCTGATTATTGTCCCTCAAGTGCATGGAACTCCTGCCGGCGGCCGCCAGATATAGCTGATACTTGACTGTGTATGTATGAATATGCATAATGTGTGTGCAATGTTACAGAAAGACAGCTATATGGAACAGATGATAGACCCAAGAAGAATGGAATATGCCCCAACCACCGATGATCACGTCGAGCTTGCCAGCTACTGTATCTACGCCTCTGTGTAGCCCCTTGTATGGGAACCGATCACGAAGAAAGACTCGTTCAAGCCATAGCAGACAACAATCTCTCCGCCCTCTCCTTCTTCGCCTCCCTCTCCTCCTCCGTCTTTTTTTGCTTTTCAGCCTTGGCAGGGTCGACCTCTGCCACCTTGGGCTCCTCATCAGCCTTCTTCTCCTCGTCCTTCTTTGACTCGTTGGCGTCGCCATCCACAGCAATGGGTTCGGTGGTGGATTCAGACATCTCGACGTCGTTATCAGCGGGGGCAGGCTCGATGGTGGTAGGGGCAGGAGGAGTGATGATCTTTTGAGCGGTATCGATCAAGTTCTGGTTTATGCCAATCAGCCAGTATCTCCCTGTCATCACTCTACTTACGGTTCGAGACAAGCCCTGGATGGTCTTTAGATACTCTAGCACAGTCGGCAGATAACTCTCTGGCACCTGACGACCGATCAGCACCATGTTGAATGATTCAGCCAACAAGACATACCTCGGAAAGGTTGAAGACATTTCGGATCAACCAATTTTGCTTGGCTTTGCTAAACTTCCATTGGGTAACGGGCGTCTCGGCCGGGGGAGAAGAGGCAGAGGGGTGAGAGAGGGTAAAGAGGTGGGCATAAAAGATGTCTAGTAACGAGTCAGTGTAAAACACACACAAGTATTACGCTGACGTACTCTTCTTTCCCTGGTCACTCAACCTCTCGTCCAAAAAGATCTTTTCACCAGCACTCTTCTCCTTTCCCTCACCCCCCTCTGCCTCGGTAGCAGCCTCAGCCTTTTCAGCTTCCGACTTTTCCCCAGCCTTGAGCGACTTGATCTTGGACCTCTTTGGCTTCTTGGGTTCCGCTGGAAGGGCAGTTTCAGAGGTCGAGGTCGAGGGCTCGGTGGGCTCGGCAGCGGTCTCCTCGGCTTCGCGCTTACGCTTCTTCTCCGCCTTCTTCTCCTTCTTGTCCTTCTTATCCGTTGTGGCAGAAACTTCAGTCGCCTCGACAGTAGGTGCCTCCTCGACCACTTTGCCAGCAACCTCTTCCACACCAGTCACGACTTGAGCAGCAGCCTTCTTCTCTGCCTTCTTGTCCTTCTTGCTCTTCTTTGCCTCCTTCTTTGGCTCTTCGTCGGCTTGCTTGTTAGCCACAGCAGACTCGGCAGGCTCAGAAGACTCGGCAGCAGGCACTTTTGTAGCAGGAGTAGGCTGTTCCTGCTTCTTCTTGTCCCTCTTTTCCTTCTTCTTCTTGCTCACCTCCTCACCCTTCGCCTCGTCCGCTTTCACCTCCACCTCGGCAGGAGCGGGAGCAGCGACAGCAGGCGAAGAGGCCTTCAAAGGCGTCTCTACACCGCCCTTTGATTTCCTCGCTCTCGGTTTTCTCGGCTTCCTCTCACCCTCCCCCGGTGTCTTCACAGGCGTCTCTGGCTTTGGGGCCTCAACGACCACGGGAGAAGCAGCCACAGGCGTGCCAGGCGCAGAAGGCGCGACAGAGGCAGTCGATGGACGAGCTCGTTTACGCTGCTTTTTGGGCTTTTGCGGGGTGGTGGTGGTGGTGTCGGCGGGTGGGGCGGGGGAGGAGGCAGCTTCGGCTGCCATTTTGGTACGAGTTTTTGTAGTGCGTTGAAGAGATGCACCACAGAGATGCGAGATGATACACCTGGCCGACATTGATTTTCGAAAATATTTGCATTAGCCCAAGTTTGTAAATGCATTAGCTTTTCAGAAATCTAATGGGATTTGCCCTCGCGTCGCGATGTGGTCGTGCGTCGGTTTGTCGTCTTATTCATCTCTTTCTTTCGCAAACCATCCCGCTGGCTCCCATACATATCCTCGCATCGGGGTCTCATTCGACTGCAATTTACGGATAGCTCACCGCCCTTCTCGACATCGTATCGACCTCGCCACAGAGACTCGCACGCCTCGAGAAACAAAGCCTCAAGCCATCCCCGCCACCATCTCGCCCCCTAATTTCTCTACAAACGGATAAAAGCATCTAGACAATGGGCCTATCGCTCTCCCGCGTGTACTCTTCGCTCTCTTCCCTCGCGTTCTGGGGAAAGGACAAGGAAGTCAGGATATTGATGGTGGGGCTGGATTCGGCAGGCAAGACGACGATCCTGTATCGGTTGCAAGTGAGTTGGGATTTGATACGCAATAAAGAGAAGCTCATACTGACTTGTGTAAATTCCAGATTGGAGAGGTCGTTTCCACCATCCCAAGTATGTGTCAAAAGCACTGCCCCTCGAGCGGCCCCATGCCCCGAGCTCAACTGACGCACGATCTACAGCTATCGGATTCAATGTCGAAACGGTTTCCTATAAGAATATCAATTTCCAAGTATGGGACCTTGGAGGGCAATCCAGCATCAGACCGTACTGGAGATGCTACTATGCCAACACCCAGGTTCGTCTTCGATCTCCCTCTCGCAATACTCTCGACTGACGCGCCTGTGCAGGCAATCATCTACGTGATCGACTCGTCCGACGCCTCCCGTCTCCCCACCTCCCGCTCCGAACTCTTGACCATGCTTTCGGAAGACGAGCTCAAATCCGTGCCCGTGCTCGTCTTTGCCAACAAACAGGATGTAGAAGGGGCGTTGAGTCCGGGAGACATTAGTGACAAGTTGGGATTGGCGGGGCAGGAGAAGGGTCGGGAATGGAGTGTCAGGGGAAGCTGTGCGGTCAAGGGTGATGGATTGGAGGAGGGGTTGGATTGGTCAGTGTTATCACTCGTTCACACGTTCTGTTTGCTCATCTTGTCCCAGGCTCGTCAACACAATACAGAAATAAGAGCGCTACTCTTTGTACATACTCAACGTCATTCTCTCGCCGTTTTCACTTTCCATATCGGTCTATACAGCATGTACCAAGTAGGACAATCGGTTGTGGCGACCTTTTCTGACGATCCCGTCATGTATCACTGACCCATCAGCCACTCGAATAATATGTGCATGTGATCGTAAGTGACATTCTTGTCCTAAGCTCGTTTCTAATACCTCATCCCGTTCATAGATCCCTGTTGTCCCCCGTTCCCTTGTTGCCAACCCGTCTGGCCTGAACTTGTATACTGGGTTTGTGCGCCCCACTGACCCATCCCCTGTACCTCCTGCATCTGTGGCTGAGACACACCGTTCATCCCCGGCGGCATGTTCTGCTCAGGGCCGGCACCCCCCGGAACTTGTCCCGCTTGCATACCCGCTTGTAGCTGACTGTACATTGCCAACCACCCCATCAACTCTGCTCCTCCCGGCTCTCGTCCCATACTGTTTGTCCACGCTTGACCAAGGGCTACCCAAGCCGCAGGATCAGAGGGGTCGAAAGTGTGGAGCGGAAAGTCTTCGAGGGTGAGTCGAGTCGGTTCAGGAGTGGGTTGCGCAGCTGGTGTCGGGAACGGAGGTTGGGGATTGACGTTGGGTGGGGGAGGCGGAAGGGAGCTTGTATGCGAGGGAGGAGTCATTCTCACAGCAATCCCAGACACATTCCCCGTAGGCACAAACGGCTCATCTCTTACTCTCCCGGACGATTCATCATCTGCGAACCGTGCCCGACGCTCCCCATTTCCAAACCGCTGTCTCTTCTCGGGCGACCTCGACCTCGCTCTAGCCCCGCTGTCATTATGAGAGTGGGACCGAGACATGGGCGCAGCCATCGTACGGCCATCATTGGAAGGCCGGCGGTAGTCGTCTCTACTCCTATCACCTCGACCCAGCCTGCCAATATCTCGCTGCTCGTCCCACCTATTTTCTCTCCCGGCGCTCGATCCGGATGGCGAGAAGGAGGAGCGAGGCATCTTGGGCTTCTGAGGCGACGAACGATGCTTGTAACCATCCTCACTGCCATTCCCATGTACCTGATCATCTGTAGATGGCTGTGAAATGGGCAAGCCGGAAGTGATCCCTGCCAGGGCCGCTAATTGTTTAGGATCTATACCCAGAGGTGGCGGAAGGGAGTTGCTGGAGGGAGGGACATCTGTAGCGGGTGTGGATCTGGTTGACTGGGGCGTTGCAGTCCTGTGAACTGTGTGAGCCTTTCCTGGGGCACACATAGAGTCGAAACGTACGTTGAATCAGCTGGCGCTATGCCAAGCATCTTTGCAATCTCGGGGGGCAACTCTCCAGGTTTCGACTGTTCCCCTTCTCTCCTATCTCCATCCTGCTCCGACGTTCCATTGCCCTGCTCTTTGATCTCATCGAGTTCGTTGGAGATGTCGTATCCCGAAGTGCGCCGACTATGCTTGGGAGCTCGTGAAGAAGACGAGGCTGATCGGCGATGGGGCGCTTGTGCAAATCTGGCTTTGAGCCAGGAGGGAGGGGACGTTGACGGAGTTGTCGAACGTTTGTGGAATGAACGGGAGGCTAGAAGACAGTGTCTCAGCGTATGTCACATGTGATGAACGACCCTGGGAAGCAGTAAAGAGTGAAAGATACGAGAGCCGCAGTCAAAGCACAGTGAGGGGCAGTCTCCCCCGGCCAAACCGCTGCAGCCATGCTCATATCGAACATTACTGTCCAGCGCTGGCGCCTTTCGGACTCTCGACCAAAGGTCTAAGCGCCGCGACGCGTTTGATCTGTGCGGGCAAGTGACAGCCTGCTGAAGCCTCTCTCGACGACCGCCCACGAAGAGGAAAGACTGATACGTTCTGGGTCTACAGGGCAATCTCTCATACGCTGCCTTTTGTGCTTTTGCATCATTTTCTGGCGGCCGGAAAGTGGGAAATGCATGCCAAATGATGGGGTTGATGACAGCGCGCATTGCGCGTGAAAGTGGGGTGGGGTGTCGATGAAGGAGGGGATTATACGTATAGGTACATTGGAGTGATCAGTGTTGACAAGCCCTACAGTTTGCCTATACGTCCAGCTCCGAGACTGAACCGAGTACCATCTTGACAGGCCTGGCCGACTGTTCTCAATCATGACACCACACGTAGTAATCCCGAGACACGAGCGCCTTGAAGTCCACGCCGCAATACCAGATTACGAGTTCAAGGATAGCCGATCGCGAAAAAGGCTGAGAGAGGAAACCCGAATTTACCTGACGTCGCCGACTCTTTGTCTCTGGAGCCTCTGCTCCCGGTTCCATTCTCCTCGCGCTTTGAAGTTGAAGTTGAAGTGTCAAGTCGGATGCGTAGATCGTCCAGACATGATTGATTGAACGTCCCGTGCTTTTGCCATATATCGATGATCTTGCGGGTTTTTTCCTGGTATCAAACGTCAGTAACAGGGATATGCCCGGTTCAGGGAAAATCCCACCTTTCCTTCCGTCCAGACGCCTCCTTTGCCGTCAGCCGTCATCCCCTTGACCCAGCTTTCAGCCACCCCCTCCATCTTGTGCAACATTTTCGCCCTGGCTCTTTCCAATCCCTCCGCCCCCTCTTTTGGTCTGCCTTTGCAAGCCCGGACGATGGCATCGAACACATAGAGACTTGATACCCGAGCTTGAGAAGCGGGTGGAAGGGACGAGTTGAGCTTGTAAAAGGTCGTAATGAGCTGTTGGGCGTCCGGCGCGAGAGATTGGGCCAGGTCGGCGAGTTTGGTGACTTTGGATGCCGAGAGACGGGGGGCTTTGACAGTCGTTGAGAGCAACGAGGTGAACTCTGCCAGGTCTGCCATGGCGATGGCGCTGAGGAGAACAAGAAGGGAGAGATAGAAAACAGATGGTGATAATAGAGGGCGGGGATTTGCGGTGTTATGTAATGTGGCTGCTTATGACGTAGAGCATATCATTGCAACCCCGTACTTGTACATTGGATCTATTCTTCTCTTTCTCTCATCATCTTCTGTCTCAACCACCATGACTGTGAGTAGCCTCGCAGCCACCCATACACTGCTGACCACCGCCCACAGCTCTACTACTCCAGTCAGTCCGCACATCTACTCGCCCCTCCAACTCGCCGCCTCGGTGTACACCCGCTGACTCGTCAACAGTATGCTTTGCTTTGCTCATGGCCGAACTCGGCCTCTTCTGCACCATCGTGTGCCCCATGCCCTTCGCGCTCCGCAAAAAGTAAGTCGCAAGCGAGTGCTTGCCTCGAGGCGAAGGCGCTGCAGTGCTGACCGCCGTATAGGATGTTCCACTTCTTGAGCGAGAACCCTATCGTAAGTTGTGCGGCAGGCGGTGTAGATGAGCTGTAACTGACGGAATCGCAGGTGGCCAAGGTCCAATATGGTGTATGTGGCTGATCTCAATCTTGTTCTAGACGTATCGCTGACTAGCAGTTTCCTTTCCCTTTCAGCTCAAGATAACGTTCATGTGTGTATAATCTCTATTCACGTTTTGCTACCTCAAGCTGACTGTCACCCAGATTTGTCGCTGTGTTGTTTGTTGATGCGCTCCAGAGGATGGTCAGGATTGCCCAGGAAGGTGAGTCGCCCGTCATCTGCACAAGGGGAGACTTACTGATATGCTGCAGGCGCCACTGCCAAGATGAAGTCTGACATTTCTGATGTTCGCGCCGAGACCAACTAGTCAGCACTCTTCGTCTTACAACAGAGCCAGAATTGACACTTGTACAGCGCCGCCCGACGATTCTACGCCCAGCGAAACCTTTACCTCACTGGCGCCACCCTCTTCCTCTCCCTCCTCCTCGCCCGTGTGTTCTACATCATCCTCGACTTTATCACTGTCCAAGAGTCCTACACCGCCCTCCAGGCCAAGACTGCCAAGGGCTCTGGTGCCTCCGGGGAAGAGACTGAGAAGCTGAGGTTGAGGGTGCAAGAGTTGGAGGCCAAGGAGAGGGATTTTGAGACCTTGAAGAAGCAGGCGAACCAGCAGAACACCGAGTATGGCAGGTTGGCTGATGAGCACAACAAAGCTGTAAGTCGATCGTTCTGGAAATCAAACTTTGCGGCTGACATTTTTAAGACTGGTGCCGTGTCCAACAAGAGAGTTGATTAGAATTTTGCTTGCATCGATCGTCTGAAGAGACAAATCAAAGAAAAGAGAGAAAAGACCATGATTGATCATAAAGTATGATGCGTGTAATGTAATATGCAGGACGCGATACACGGCCGTAGCACGGGTCTCACTTCGCATAGGAACCCAGGGATCTTCCATATCGCACGCACAGCCGCTGAGATCCTGGTGAGAGAAACCTCTAGAGCTTTGGCAGTCTTTAGAGGCGTCGGCTAATACCTCCATCAACGCCGTTAGGAACATGATTGTCCCACAGAGGTGTAAACGTCTCGAACTGTGGAGTAGGTGCTGTCTCAAAGCTCCTGAACTATGGGGAAAATTCGGGGATCGTCCTTTGGCGGTTGGAGGGGCCAAGAAGAAAAAGACTTGGGGGGCATATTCTTCCTTCCTCTGCGAACCAAATAATGTCCTCAAGGAAAAGAGGCTTGCGTTGACGGGGAGTTGCCATTTTGACTCTCTTTCGGTTTGGTTGGAGGTCTGCTTGCTTGTTGTCCGGCGCTGTTGGGTGATAAGAGGCTTGTCTCCCTGGTCCATGGTGGGCGAAAGGCACTGAAGAATAATGAGAGGAGCGACAGGGGAATCGGAGAGTGGGATTTGAAGTGCTCATGTGAGGGAAAGTGCAGGGGAAGAAGTGTGCAAGTGTACTTACGTCTTGACTTGGGCGGTCGGCGCCGCAGCGGGGAGTTTGAACACTGTCTCGCCCGCACGGCACGCTGCCTCTCCTCTTGCAGCTGCAAGCGTCGAGCCCCGGGCAACACATTCTCACTATGCCCCGCCCTGGCTCCGCCCCTAAATCGTTTCCGTCCTTCGTGCCAGACGGGCCGTCGCCCTGTTCGTTGCCCGAGCGTCGAATGGATCAGAGTGATGGATGATGAGAACGAAGGAGGGTTGCATGTTGACTGATGATGAAGGCACTACGCAGCGGTCATTCTCGAGCCGCTTCAACCTCTCGCCAAGAGACCTGTTCAAGAGCCAGAGTGAGTGAGTGCAACAAGGTAGGTGTAATTGTCACTAGCTTCGCAGCAAGGCGAGAGACATGCGCATGGTCTTATATTAGGTCTTAAACTCTGAGGAGTAGGGGACGCGGCATCAAGCCAAAGTGTATTGGTTATTGAAATTTATATCTTGCTCGTTGCTCCAGCATTGCTGGTGGTCTTGAGCTCTTCCCAGACGACGGCATTTACGACACTTTGCTCCACACATGAAGCACAACTTTTGTACCCTTGTACTGTTAGTTTCTCCCCGGGCCTGATAGCACCAGCTAGCGCGAAAAGCAACTAGGCCGGACACCCTCGTCATCACAAAACATTGACAACTTGGTTTCGTCTCCTCATCAGCACCGCAGAGGCGTGCCTCCCGCATTACCTGCATCCAGAGCAAAGAAGGGGATTCTCATTCCGTATTCCAAAACGCTCTGATCGTCCAAGGGTCCCAGGCATAAGACTTGCTCGCACCATTGTCTCTATCGTCTATCGTCGACCCCATATCCATAACACGAGAGATCGAGGCAAGGTGGATGAGATATCAGGAGGCCCGGGAGGAACCAGGAGCAGGTTCTTTTGATTGCAGGATGGTGGGGTAAAGGGTAGTAACGGCGGCCACGGCGGTCGATGCCGCTGATGGGTGACAGCATCGTTAGCTAACCTCGACCTCGGCCGGAAGTTCGGAGTTGATGATGTTGTAAAAGACCCGATTCCGGAATAGACACTGCACTCAAGACGATACATAACACATTTGAAGGCGAGTAGAGCAGCTCTGACCACACGAGTAGTGCTCTCCAATTCAGAGCCATCGCTATGTAACCAGCAGCAAACAAGTACCCGCCCCCAAAAGCTCGCAAAGGACCCCAAGTTTTCAGGGTGTCGACAGATAGACAATCAGGTACACGGCAGGCACGATCAGGATAGAAGTTTGATTTCTTTTTTGCCCGCGATCTCTACTACTTGTTCGCTCCAAACGGCTGCTGCGTCTATGATCTCTGAGCCGGGGATCGTAAACATTACGTGGGGTGCCGGTGCCCAACTTGATTTGTTTGACGATGAAGATTCTTCGCGTTCACCCACTCTCCTCTTCCATCTCAAGTCGAGGTGCGTTCCCTCTGTCTCGCGCCCCCACAAGCTAATACTCCGTCAAGCTTTACCCTTTCTCCTATTTCGGAAAAAGGCGCATTATTGCTGGCACTACCTCCACCCACCGTTCAGAGCCTATTCTCTATCGAGCGACAAACTTTCCATTGTCCATCGGCGCGTACCTCCGCCCCGTCCCCTCCGACAACGCAGATCTGTCATTGCCAACGTGATCCATCATGGGCCGAAAGAATAAAAGCAACAGAAGGACAAAAATCGCATCTTCTGGCTCTGCCAACGCGAACACCTCTTCTGCGGCCACTCTTCGAGACGAACCTCCCACTGGCAGACAGCACAACAACCCGCTTTCAACTGTCGAAGAATCCCCCATCCCCTTTCGCTCTTCGTTAACCTCGTCTCCCACAAATTGTCAGCTCCCCACTTTCAGCTCTCAACACTTTGCCAGTCTTGTAGAAGAAGACGATCAGTTGTCTCCGACTGCCATGAACCCCTCTCGGCGCTCATCAGCGAGCTCTCTCTCCAGCGCAGACCCCCTACCCCCTCACAGGCGGGCAACGGCGTCTAGCTTGGACGATGCTCCTGTCGTTCAAAGGAGGGTCTCGGCTCACAGTCTGGATGATGACGACGAGCCAGTCATCCACAGGCGACCATCAGCTTCCAGCTTAGACGACCCTGCTCCATCGTCTGGGCTCGCTGTTCCCCAACGACCCAGTCTGACATCTACTCCTTCCGAGCAGCCCCTCTTGGCCGTCGAAACCCCCAGGGAAGAGGAGGACTTTGAGGTCCCTTCGCCCGGTGCCGAACAGCAACTGGATCACCGAGAGGACTCTACCCCCAACACATCCTTTTTCAACAATCACCACTCGTCTGCTCCCTCAGCGGCTCCAAAGATCCGTATCAACGATATGCCAAACTCTCCCCCTGTCCATGATGACTCGAGAGTTCCAACTCCCCCCGTTATCGCTTCTCTCACTGCTAGCCCCTTCGCCCACGGCGTCAGAAGGCCTCATCACTTGCAGAGTCAGCCCCCTACAACCACTACCCCTATCAATCCCACCAACATAATTCACGAGGTGCACACCAGGCAGTCATTCGCGAGCGCTGGTAGTCCCTCATCCTACCATCCAAGGAACTTGGCTGGTGTCGGGACTGGGATGGATAACTCCAGCGCTCTTGCTGGCCCTGGACCCAGTACGGTTGCCGCTGCTACCCCCAATGTACCTATACACACTGCAGGCCTTCCTAAATCTGTCAGCACCGTCATCACCAACGCACCGGGCGTCTCTGCCCGTACCACCGGTTTCGATCTTCCCAATTCTACCAGCCAAAACACCATCGCCGAACGTCGTGCCATGCGTATGAAGCAGACCATGTCGACGAGTACGAGCAGGAGATCGAGGATCAATGACATGGGGACGACGGCCAACAAGCCCGTCAAGGGGGTGTTGAATCGAAAGCCGTTTCAGAGTACTAGGCTCAAGGGAGAGATCTATAAGCCGTGGTTGGAAAACAAGGACCCGGCTTTGAGGTGGGCGAGGTGGATTACCCTCACCAGTATCTTCATCGGATTTGCTATTGCTGGTATCAGTGAGTTTGGTGATTCGTAGCTCACCGAGTTGTGGCTAATGTCAATCAGTCTGCTGGGATGGTTATCGGTCAGTGCCCAAGCTCGGTACCGTTTGCTCTATCCTCAACGAAGATTGGTCCAACGGCATCGACTCCAGTATATGGCAGCACGAAGTCCGTACCGATGGCTACGGCCCTGGTTCATTTAGTTGGACTACCGCCTCTTCCAACAACTCATACGTTGAAGACGGCATTCTCTACATTGTTCCCACCCTGACTTCCGATACCATCGGCATCGACGCCGTGACGAGCGGATACACTCTGAACCTTACCGCCGATGGTACATGCACGTCCAGTAACGTCTCGCAATGTGTCGCCGTCTCCAACTCTTCCAAGTTGACCGTCATCAACCCCGTCCAAACGGCTCGGCTGATCACCAAAAACACCGTGTCGCTCAAGTATGGCAAAGTGGAAGTCAAGGCCAAATTCCCGACTGGTGACTGGCTCTGGCCTAGGGTCATGTTGTTGCCCGTGAATGAGACATATGGGACATGGCCCAGGAGTGGACAGATTGACGTGAGTCAAGTGATGATTACATCCGACCTAAATTCTAAACGAGTCTTTCCAGATCATGAGCGGCCGAGGCAATAATGCGTCTTATGCCGGACGAGGTGTCGATTACGCACAGTCGGACCTGCATTGGGGTGAGTCTTGTTGGCGCTGTATCAGTTGAAAGTTGACCCTTTCCCAGGACCGACTACCGCCCTTGACAGACTCTACTTGACTTGGGGTTACCGAGAGCAGCGCCGAACGTACTACTCGGACAAGTACCACACTTTTGGTTTCGAGTGGAACGAAAACTACCTCTGGACATACATTGATTCTCGAGTCTCCCAAGTAGTGTCGTTGAGGTTTAACAAAGAGTCCTTTTGGACGCGTGGAAAGTTCCCGTCCACCTACACCAACAACTCTGATGTTGTCAAGTTGACCAACCCGTGGTCCTCTTCCGAGAATAACAATGCTCCTTTCGATCAGAGTGAGTCACATTTCGAGCGCGCCTCTTTCCCTTGCTGACGTATCGTTGTAGAGTTCTATCTTGCGATCGATTTGGCCGTTGGCTCCACGGACGGTTGGTTCCCTGACAGCGAAGGTGGTAAACCGTGGACGGATGACTCGGCCTCTGCCATGTCTGATTTCTGGGCGGCGAGAAGCAAGTGGAACGGGACCAGCTGGAGTTCGGATCCCAAGACCAGAGGCTTTGCAGTAGATACGGTAAAGGTGTGGGAGGTCTGTTAAAGGGAAGTATAGATTTTGGGCTCATTGAAAGTTGTTACATACCTTATATATCCAGCATATTCCATCCAAAATCCCCTTGCATTATTGAGCCTGGTCAGAATGGATAGACGCATGAGTGGACGAAAGCAGGTTTCGTCATATGAGCCACATGCATATACATGGGTCCTGTATACAATTGCGGTGTTTGACTAGATATAAACTTGCCTGTGCGGTACCTGTATAACCCAGTATAACCTCAGGCATCATGCGTCAGATGCCTGTCTAGGCCACTGGAAGCACATACTTTAGCACACACGCATACATACCAGACAGTATGGAGCACGCACCTCTCTATAGCACGCAAACAATGCAAGTTGCGACTCTTTCAGTCTGTCTAGCTCCCTCCTGTTGTCGTCCTGTGTGGCCACTCCGTCCTTCGCATCTTTCTCCATGGCCTGCTTCAATTCTCCCATCATTCCTTCTTGGACTCGAATCTTGAGCTTTAAAGCTTTGCGAGAACCATTCTTCTGGACGCAGTCGCGTAAGGGACTGAGACAGGCCTTGGCGCAGAAGGGGCAGATCTGTCGACTGGAAGACGAAATGGCTAGACTGGAAACCGGAAAGTCAATACCTGTTCCCAAATAGCAGTAAAACTTACCCTTCTGGGGACCTCGATTGAATGCTTGTCTCAATAGTCTCTCGCTCCTTCCCCTTCCTCTTCAGAGGCGCCAAAAGACCCTCTTCTCGCAGCTGTCCAGACAACAGCCTCCCTCGCGCCTCTGCGCCCACCTTTTCTGACGCCCTCTTTTCGGGATGTTTCAACGTCGTTTCTGTGAGCAGAGGTGGCGGTAATGGTTTGTTCGTCTGGGAATGTGACAGTGATACGCCCCCGTTTGTCTTGTACGAGGCAGGAGATATCGAAGGCTCGATGGGAGACGGCCCAGGAATGCGATAATTCGAATCTACCCGACCAGCCTTGATGAGTAGGTTACGCATCCTCTCCAGGGCCTTCATACCCGATGCCTAACGAAAATGGTAAGTGACACAGTACCCTGATACCTCTACAGACGGAGACTCACCTTTTGCTCAGCGTCATAATTCTGCTCATGATATACCCTGGCAACCTTTTCCAGAGTTTGCACACCGAACATTTCTGGGCATTTTCGCAAGTCGTGCTCTCTAGACTTGCATCGCTCGCAAGGGTGCCGTGGTCGATTGGTAGAAGGACCAGCGGGCGGATTTTGTTGGAAGCCGCCCGGGCCCTGGGTGGCATCGGAAAGGTGAAAAGGAGATGGGGCCTTGGGTTCATCTGGCGTGGGAACCCCAGAGGGAATGACCGAGCTTCCAGGTGTGCCGTCCGCGTCCCTCATACCTGCCTTACCTCCTGGATACTCCATAGGTCCTGGGTGTGCCTCTGGCACGACATCGAACCCGCTCCTCAACAGCCCCTGTATGGCCTTCACTTGCTCATCGTTTGAAAACCACATTGCCTCGCCATATCCCGCCAGGCGTGCATCGATATCTCTGGCCAGAGAAGAGTAGGCGTCCATACGCTCCACCGGTGTCACCTCGGGTAGGCTGATGATGGCCCAGCGATCGATGAGAGAAAAGTCGTCCAGTTCGCGAATGACGTGATACATCCACTGCACAATATTTTGTGCTTCGGCGATTTCCCTTGGTACCTTAGGAGTCGGTTTGGAGTGGGTGCTCACAGAGTTATCCGTCTTGAACCGCCCTTTGTCTCCGGGTCCTCTACCGTGGATAGCCTCCCATAGGCCGACCATTTGATCGTGCACATGTTGGGATGGTAGAGGTGGGGCGGAAGGACGCTGAATTTTGGGCTGGGGCGCTGAAGACGTGGGCCGAGATGACCAGGATTTCTTGTGCTGTCCTCTCTTAAGGGTCTTGGGGAGGTGATGAAGACTGGGTCCTGCTGACAGATCCTTAAGATCGTCATCAGGAAGAGGATCGTATCCGGACAAGGGCGAGTCCTTCTCTGCATCAAAGAGGCCGTTGTTGTTGACCCAGTCCCTGTCCGATCCCCCGCTGCCCTGCCCTTTGCTTTGACGCCTTTTCTTGTTTGGTTTCTGCGGGGTGTCCTCCTCATCGAAGATGCGATAGATTCCCTTCTGAGCCTTTTGCTTTCGCCTCAAGCGTCCCTCCTCCAGTTCTCTCGCCGCCTTCTCCACTCTCTCTTTTTCTATCGTTGCCATGAGCGATTCCCAGTCCATCTCATCTTCCGCGTCTGTCTCGCCCGCATCCTGTTTGTCGGTTATCTCGTCTTCCTTGATTGCATCTCCCTCTGCCTCCCATATTTTGGCAAAGGCGAATTGGGCACCTCCTTTACTGACACCTGCCTCGATCTCTCCATCGTCGATCTTGCGATGTTTCTCTGCCATGAGCTGAGCTTCGGCCTCGGCGTCTGCCTCGACCTTTTCTATGAGCTCATCCACACGAGCAGAGGTATAGTTGATATCGGGAATGTTGATACCGCCATTTCCGTACATTCTGGCGACGTTCTTGACGAACAGATCCTCGTAGTCGTTTTCGTCGGGCTCTTTTCCTAGTTGTTGGACGACAAGGTGATCAAGGACCATCTTTCTTTTGCCTTTGTTGATGATGGTCTCTGTGATCAATGTCAATATAGCCCACCATATGCAGAAAGCACTTGCCTTCAACAGAACCCTTAATCATCAATTTGAACACCAATACCTTCTTCGTCTGGCCGTAACGATGCGCCCTGGCGATGGCCTGTAAGTCTTGATGTGGGTTGAAATCTGGATCGTGCAGAATGACTGCGCATCAAATAAGTCTGTGTCTCTGATGTTTATCACCATACAACAGCAATACGTACTGGTGTCAGCTGTAGCCAGGTTGATACCAACTCCTCCCGCCCTTGTCGTCAACAGAAATACACCGATAGGCGAGTTTGGCGCATTGAAAAGGTCCATATTCTTCTGTCGGATAGCTTGTGGAGTGTCACCATCAAGACGCAGGTAAAGAATGTTTTCACCGAAGAGAAAATCCTGGACTGGAAAGAAAGACAAGGGTCTGTCAGAGATGCAAACGGGAAGATGGAGGACCAGCTCACTTTGATCCAATGCTATCTTGAACTGAGAATACGAGCATGGCATCAGTCCCAGCACATGCGCCTGTCGAGCCATAGAGAACATACCTGCGAAAAAAGCAGTATCCGATGACCTTTCGCCATCAATTTCGGTAAGAGCACCTTTAAGAACTGCAGCTTTCCACTTGAATTCACCAAATTCCTGTGCAATTCTTCTTGGGGCAGGTCGCGCACCTCCAATTCAGGCTCTGCCAGGTATGGATGTTGGCAAACTTTGCGCAACTACGCGCCGAAGAGGGTGGCTTGTCAGGACACTGAATCACGAGAAGAACAGGGAGTGAGACGCACCTCCATCAGGATATTCCTGACATTCTTCCCGCGGGCAACTGCCATCTTGGTCGCTGGGTCCGGGGCGTAAGGAAGATGAGAACTGTTTATGAAGAGATGTGGGATAAGGTGGATGATGAATGGTTGATGGAATTTCAGTTGGGTCTGTCAGTCGCGTCGGGCGCGTCCACCAAGCGAAAGACCTCGAAACCAAACAAGGATGACCGCGTTCAGCGTTGTGGCAGAGATGGCAGTCTAGTTTGAAAACCTGCATATGCCATCTCATGTCCCGACTCGTATCCTCTTTTGAGCTCCAGACATTTGTCGTTAAGAGGTTCACAAAGGAGCACCAGAACATCGATTGCTCGCTTCTCCCCGCTTGATAAGGGCAGGTATGGTATGTACGCATTGTGCGATTCCAACCGTTGCAGAATGTATATAATGCATTCTATAGACCGCCCTCGACCTTGATCTCCAGGTCATCCATCCGTTTTATCAACCTCTTCAGCTCTTCCGACCTCGCAGTCAACGCCGCTTCCATGGGCTTGATCTGTTTCGCCGAATAAGCTGGTCTGCGCTCGATTTCTCGACGTTTGGCTTCATTTATGATTGGCGCCAGTGCAGACAGCTGGTTACGTAGCTGCAATGGGGTGTCAACACACGCTCAACGGAGAGCAAAAAGACTTACCAGCTGTGCTTTCTCGGCCAACACCTCCCCACTCCCAGGCGGTCCTCCATTGACCTTGAAGTCCAGCCTGTCCAGTTCATCAAACCATTTCTTTTCACCTTCTCCCAGTTCCCCGTCCTGCTGCCTCCCAACACTCAGATCACCCAACACCTTCTCCACCCTCTTCTGAATGCTTTCTTGTCGCTGAAGCAGCTTGTTGGCGCGCTCGAGCGTTTCACCGCTGGTCAAAGAAGTGACGTCGGCACGACACTGGGCGATAAGCTTGGCGTGGCGGGCGAGTTCTTGGATTTGAAGGTCGAGACGGTTTTCGACAGTTTGGGATGCTGATCGCACAAGCTGTACGCGAGATTGGATCTGTGAGGAGACAGCGCCGAGAGCGGATAAGTGGTCGCTGGTAAGAGAAGTCAAGGGCTTGGAAGAGTCCGAAAGACGCTCTTTGAGAGTCGCTGTAGGGTTGTAGACAGGAGATTTCTTGTCACCCGGTGAACGGATGGAGGCCACAAGATGCTCAGCATTGAAAGGCTTCTTGAGAAGCGACTGATCTTCGATCATCGCCTTGGGTTCCTTGGCGGCCTTGCTCGATAACAATGCTGAAGAGTCACCAGACCGGATGTCCAGCTCTATGTACGCCACTTGCCCAGTAGAAGCGAGCGCAAGGAGACCATACCCAAGGGTGATGTTACAGAAGCTAACGATACCCGTCACAGGGGTATTGGGAACGCCCGCACTCTCTACCAGCCTCAAGACTTGTGTCGGGGGGAGCTCGCCTTCTCCTTCGTCGTTGTTCAGTTCGTCAACCAGGTACCGGACGCTGATAGCGTCCATGCCAAAGGCGTGAACAAGATACAGGACATCGCTGTATAATGGGTCGCGAGAGAAGGTTGGAGCGTTAGATCCAATAATGAAAGGATCGTTGTTGGGGAAGGGTAGTAGGATGGACTCCACAATGTGCAGAACAGGTTCGGCTGGGGATGCGTCCTGCTAGGCGTCAGCTTTGAAAACAGGATCGATTTTCCCACTCACCCTGGAGCTCATCCATCTGATTTCCGGCATCTCGGTCTCCACACCAATGTCAACCCGGCCACCAGACCAGGCGATCCCGAAAACAACTTCTCTCATCTTCTTTTTCCCTTTCACGTCTCCCGAATCTTCATCCTCCGGCCCAACTTCGACGACTATCAGGTCCGTAGCAGACTGGTCCTCTTCCAGATCACCATCACCGTTCGCAACTTCCTGAGGACCGGGTGAGAAAACGAGGGGACCTTGTCGAAGGAACGGTCGATGGGAGCCTGGAGCGGGGCCACCAGAGACTGTCAGGTGAGGTGGTCGCACGCGGACGCTTCCTTTTCGTACTCTGGTACCTGTCTCCTCAACAGGGTTTGACGGCGTTCCTCTGCGCGTCACAGACTGACCCAAGGCGCTCTTGCCCAAGACCTGCTTTGGCTCGCCATCCTCCTCTCTCCAGGCTTTCGCCTCTTCCTCCTGCCGAACTTGACTGACGAGCGCATTTACCCACTCAGCTTGTTGCGCCATTCTACCGACTCCCGAGTTTCCCGCTCCAAAGACATCTCGAGCCTCACTCTGCGCTCGCGCTAACCTTGTATCGACAAAGGTTTTGAGAGTCTGGAGATAATGAACGGGCATTTCGGTACGGAGCGGGACAACGGGGCCAATGAGATATATATCACCATTGGCGAGAAGGCAATATACGATGAGAGGTGAAAACCCGACAGAGCATGGACCAAAGGCAAATGAGGTAGCGTATCGAGAAAGCGGGTCGATCGCAGTGAACTTTGGTGCGGCACGGCTGCGTTCTGGCAAAAAGTCGAAAGTTTGAATCGAGTCGTGTGGCTGAAGGATGTCATATTCTCTACATACGAGATGAGCTGCCATTACACAAAAGATGCAAGGGACTTACCGAAGCTTTCCGTTGGCACAGAGAACCCAAAGCGAATTCCCACTCTCTCCCCAAGGATGCCATTGCACACTCGTGATTATGTCATTGGACGCTTTGGAGAATTGGAACTCGTCTATTGGTATCGAGCTTCACCTTGTCAGAATATGTACCACAAGGGCTTTACTGTCACTTACTGCACTTCTACAGGTCCTGACCCTGACTTGGATTTCGGCAATACGACGACAACCAATTGGTGGTGTCCAACAACGGCGAGAAGCTTGCCGGTGGTATTCACGATAATATGATGGATAGGAAACGACAAGTGCGGCGATTGAAGAGTCTGCCTTGTCTTCAGTATACATACCATTGTTGAAAATCACTTGAACTCACCTTGTAAGACCCTACAAGACCATCTTCCACTTTCCAACCACCTTCAGTGAGTCCCAATCCCATCATCCTCACTTCCTTCCCGACCGCAACGATCAAATCTTTGTCCCTGATTGCAACCCTGCCATTCTTCTGCCCCAGGGGCTCGTCGTCTGCCGAAGGTCGGTCCAAAAGCTCCCACTCATCGTCGAGGGTGGAAGACGAAGGAGGGGGCACGAATATGGAATGTGAGCTGATAGCGGATAGGGATGCCGGGAGCGTGTACGCCATGGTGAACAGAGCAACTGTATGGTATAAGCAAGGTATAAGGCGTCTCAGCGAAAGTCAAGAGGTCAAGACAGGGTCAAGAGGAGTATCATTTGATCCCGCTATCTTGAGTGGCGATGTCCGCCGGCGCGTCGAGCGCGTTTCGGCTTGCATCCCGCCCGCCGCCGACACAAACAAAAGTCAATCCTCTCTGTCGCCTGTCTTCAGTTTATTCCACTATCTACTCTACCACTAGCCCAAACAAACACAATGGCCTACTCATCTTCCTCTCGGTCACATCTCCCGCGCGAGTCCGTCTATCCCCAACCGCCTTCGTCTGGATACCTGCACGCTCTCGAGGACTGTGTGCAGGCCACAGAAGCGTGCTCAAGGACGCTAGGGATTGCACTGGAAAAGTTTGAACCAGGAGTGAGGGATCTTCCTCGCCTGACAAAGATCTTTCGCCACGAGCATGTGAGTGCTCCCTCTATCAGCTTGCAACGATGCTAATATCTGTGCCGTAGCACTTCCTTGTGCTTCCCGAACCGACTATCACAGCCCACAAAGCCGCTTTATCACACTCGATAGCGCCTCAGATTGATCAGCTGATAGCAAGGGCTGATAGAAGCGTCAAATCAGAGCAGACCAAGATGGCGAACCTCGAGGAGAGAGTAGGTTTAAGCGCGGCCTGTCTGTGAATTTGGGCTTACTCTGTCCCAAGCTGAAGATTCTGGAGTCTGCCCGCCATCGCCCAACATCATCCCTCCCTCCCCTCTCCTCCTCCTTGCAGTCTGCTGCGGCTTCATCGCCGAGTCCATCACAAGAAGACACATCTTGCAAGATCACAGATCTCAACGTGAGAGAGCTGAGCATTTTGCAACGAAAGAAGGCCATGCAGCTCAAAGCGAAGAGAGAGAGGCTTGAGAAGGAGATGGCAAGGCTCGAGGGAAGCGCGTAGACAGCTGGGAATCTATTATATTGTATGTATCCCTATGTAGCATCAATACTGCCAGCTACAGATCCATGGATACAACCGTACATATGCCTATGTGTCACAGATACAACTCTGCCATAGCTCACATATCTCCTAGCCCCCCGGTCCCAATTCCAAAGAAACCCGGATCGGATGCCGCCAACATATCCTCTATATCACTCACTATACTCGTGGGGTTGTATCCCAGATCAAAGAGCATGCTCATCGAATCTTCCCATCCAACACCCCCGTTTTCTGCACCTGTCCCACTGCGGGCAGACCCACCGACATCAAAATCTAACGGCTGATGTGCAGGACCACTAGACATGTCTAGAGCGCCGGACTTAGATCCTTGGCCCTCTAGATGGCTGTTGAATAACAAGCCGACCTCATCTGCCCCCGGATTCAGACGTCCAGGCGCCATCCCGCGTCTAGGAATACTTTCCAATACCTTGCTCAACAGCTTAGCGAGATACGCTGAAATATGATGCTCGTCTGCGCTGGAGGCAGCTAGAGAGTCGATCAAGGTATATTCCAGATCGATGATTTCTGTATCTGGCTGACCGATGGCCCCGAACGAGACGGCCTTCATCAGAAAGACACTCGCAAAAACCTACCCAGGCGTTAGGGTCCCCCTTGCTCTTTGCTCATCCACACACAAACTCACAAGTCTAGCAAACACTCTACAGGGGCAGTATCTCAATACACCCTTCTTCCCCATGACGATCCCGCACCGGACGAGCGACAGTGCCGCATCCACCGCTTCGAGGATGAAGGGACCTTCCACGGCAGTCATGACATTGGTGTGGTAGACAGTGTCGCTTGGATATTGTAGCTTATTGCGGGAGCGAGTTTGTGCAGCGCGCATTGCAATGGCATTGGCGTACAATCTTGTGTGACGTCAGCATGGATGAAACGGAAGAAGGCAAAGGGGAACGCACTTGACATAATCAAACTCCATCCTCCATCTGATCTCTCTCAACTCATCCTCCGTCAATGCCTCGCCTTCTCCTTCCCTGAAGATATCGTAACTCGGTAGGTCCTCCGCTTGTCTCCTCCAAAGCGAATCGAGTTCGGGCTTGAGCCGGTGGAGAGTAATCTCGAACCGGTGTGTTTTGATCAAGTCGGCAGTGACGGAAGGGGTTGTGTATAACAATTCTTGAAGAAACCCTATCAGCTGCAAAACTGTCAGCAATGAAGACTTTCGTCAATCAAACTTACGTGGGTGAGCTCAGCGACACCGAATATCTCGCGCCAGGCGATCTCGGAGCGGGGAAAGGCGGGAACAGGCATGTCGCGAGATTGCACAACGAGACTTTCCCACCAGCATGTTGACATTTCTGACTAGTCAATATATGGCAGATCAGAGAGGATGGCAGTGCTCACTGGCTTGCACAAGAGAAGCTCTCCCAAGTCGGACTGATGCTCTGCTTAGAGTTAGCATCGGCCACCCCCTGGTCGCACTCACTGTCTGTCTGCCGAAAGGCAATCTTGTTGACATCAGCCATCATGCGCATGACTAAAGCCAAAGGGTACGCACGAATCCACGCATTACGTCTCCTATGAGAAGACCAGGGCGGTTCATCATTGCTGGTCATATACGTGTTTTCGTTCTGAAGATTCAGCTCTTGCGCTATCCTTACTGCGAGGCCGATCAGTGTCCAAGAGGCATCATCATATATGGTACATGGATTCGGCGGGCGTCTGGAGGTAAGAGGCGCAGAGGGGGCGATGAGACTCGGGATGGGCGGCCATTCGGAAAGAATCAGGAGGGCTTCGACGGTGCCTATCGTTCTGGCCGTTGTACTATACCTCCTCAGTCTACATCCCAAAAGGCGTGTGATGAACTCACTCTCCCATGGACAAAAGACCGATCTTTGACGATACCCAGTTCATCAACTTTCCTTGAATCACATTCGATCGTTGTGGCTCGTTCTCGTCGAAAGAGTGACCGAGGTCGAGGTACCTGGCTGCTGTACTGACAAGAGCAGCCAGAAGGATGGGCTCGGAAAGGAGGAAGCTAAAGTTTTGGGAAAGAAATAGCTCATTGGGCACCACAGGATGACATGGGTTGAGGTGGTCCTTGTAGCTACGCCCGTCAGCGCATGCCAAGCCTCGAAAATACAACTTGCCAATCGAGTAACAGAGCCGCTTCTTCTGCTGTGAGTAGCCCATCCCTGACTGGTATCCACCTCTCCCAAAGTCCTGTTTGGCTCGGCCCCTCCTCACTGGTAGCACTCTCTGCCCGCTCGTGCGAGGCGTCGTACTCGGCAGCCGCATACAAGATGCGAAGAGCGTCGGCGGGATTCTCCAAAGTCTCGCCGCGGACAAAACGAAAGTCTTGTGACATGCCATGGTCAGAGGCTGGATGTCGAGAGTGGGGAGTGATAGAATGTATCCCGTTCGGTGCGCTGGAACATGACGTGAGCTTGATTGCTTGCCAGCGACACTCGGTACCTACCTCGGCCTTGAAGTCGCTGATGAAGTGGACGCAACTGGGGGCTTGGCCACGCTTTCACTCTCCCTCTTTTTTCTGACCAGTCCTTTGGGTCTGGAATACGGCTTGCCAAAGACACACTGCCTGCCTGACCTGTGACATCGATCGCAAGGGGGGTCGTGGGGGGCATCTGGGTCACCCAGGTTACACTTGAGCTTGGCGATTCGGCATGGCTGGCATGCCTGGTACGCTCTGACGTGCGTCTTGCCGCTGGGGGGTCTTGTTGGCGCTGGGGGCATGAGGGCGGCGGCAATAGAGATAACACGGGGAACAGGTTATGGATATCCGACAATAACCGTATCGCCCATTTCGGGAGTCGCCGCCGTGCCTGGATCAAATACTGTGTAGCCGAAAGGACCCGGTCAATTATGTGTATCGGATCTTGAGATTAGAGGCCGCCTCGTGCCGAACAGGGTATATAAGACCCATCTTATCGCTTTCCATCTCTTTCCATAACTCTCCATCTCTCATCATAATGTCCACCAAGCCAACTGTCCTCATCGTTGGCGCCGGCGAGTTTGGCGCCTCCACCGCTGTCTCTCTTCTCAAGACCGGCAACTACGGCAACGTCACTGTCGTTGACCGAGCCCCCGTCCTCCCTGCGATGGACGCTGCCTCGTGCGACATCAACAAGGTCGTCAGGTTTGACTACTATGATAGAGACTACTGTGATCTCGCCAAGGCTGCTATTGACGAGTGGAACAAGGACGAGTGGAAGGGCATCTACCACCAGTCAGTCGTTTCACTTTCTTCCAGAACCCCGTTGACGAGTCGCAGACCCGGTGTCTGTATCCGATGGAACGACGACGGCAGCTACGATGCCAACTACTCCAAAAAGGTCTACGAAAACGTCAAAGAAAAGATCCCATCTGTCTCTCTTCTCTCTACTCGCGACCAGTTTGTCCCCCACCTCGCCCCCAAGAACGCAGCTATCCCCGTGACTGACCCCGCTCCCAACGCCCTTGGTTACCTCAACCCCTACGGCGGATGGGCGAATGCTGCTGGTGCCGTTGAGAAACTCTACAAGGACCTCTTGGCTCTTGGGGGCACGCTCGAGGCGGGCGTTAACTTTGAAGAGCTTCTTCTCACCGAAGACGGCAAGGACGTCCGAGGTATCCGTACCAAGGCTGGAAGAGAGTACACCGCCGACAAGGTCATTGTCGCCCTCGGATCTTGGACTGCCGCCCACCCCGCTCTCAGTGGTCTCCTCCCCAAGGGACTTTTGACTGCCACAGGCCAGGTTGTCGCTGCAGTCCAGCTTTCACCCGAGGATGCCAAGAGATACGCCGATATTCCTGTCAGTATGCACTATGACGGTTCTGCATTCTACATGTTCCCTGTGAGTACTTGGTAACCTTGTAGATGTATCAGAGCCAACAAAGATATAGCCCAACAAGGATGGTCTCCTGAAATTCGCTTTCCACGCTGCGGGCTTCACCTCTGAATCAGGTGTGCCCCGTACCGCTACCGATCCCGAAGCCGTACAGTGGACAGAAGAGAACAAGAAAGGTAAGTTGGTCCAAAATGACTTCAGAGCGAAGGCTGATCATGCTCGACAGGTTGGATCCCCAAAGCTTCCCTTGCCGGTCTGCGTCATCAGCTCGACATTGTCTACCCCGAGCTCGCCAAAAGTCCGTCCTGTTCCTTTATTGATGAACAACAATGTCTGACATCTGTGCAGTGCCAATTGCTTATAGCCGAATGTGCTGGTACTCTGACGTCGTGGACGGTGATTGGGTCATCGACTACAGCAAACAATACCCTTCCCTCATGTTTGCTACCGGAGGTGCTGGACATGCTTTTAAAGTAAGCCTACATATAGATACTCTTCTATACATCACTGACATGAGGCAGTTCCTTCCTATCATCGGAAACATTATCCGCTCGCGTTTCGAAAACACGCTCGAGCCCCATCTCGTCCAAAAGTGGAGAGCGTCCCGAGAGAGCGCTGCTGAGGACCCTGCGCGGGCTGGTATGCAGAGACAGCCTTTGAATTTGAACGAGTTGGTGGGGGAGGCTGAGCTTGGGGGTGTCACTGTTTGAGGAAGGGCTTATAGCTGAAAGGAATGGGGTCTGAATTTGGCGTTGTATAGACGGTCATACATCAAGTTGTAGATGGGTTTAGGGGTTATGAAATGCATCTTCCTGCTGTCATTATGGCATTGTGGGGCCATAGAGTACAAAAGAGCTGCTCAGGAGCTGCTTACTCTATAGCTGGCTCTGGATCCGGTCAGCGCGCCAGGCAAGCGCGCTAATTTGATTCCGTTCGGCGTGTCACCTTGAGCAGTCCTCCGAGCTTCGTTCGTTGTCTGCGAATTCAACATCCTCATCTCTTTTTCTTATTCTCCCAATCTTCCAGAAACCCCCCGACCTACCGTCATCCACGACTGGGCTACGCCCCGACTACCCTCTGCACATCCACTTCGCCTTTTCGGTTACCCGGCGCTGCGACAACGGGTGTACCTCCCGCCCACTCCTCAAGATGCCATCAGCACCCATAGCAACTCCCCCCGAAGAGGTCATGAACCCCGCCGATGAAGAGTTCTACGCTTCGTACGTCCTTCCCTTCCCCTCGTCACCTTGTGAGTATTGCTGATGTAGAAGGGTAGTTGGGGTCTCTGTATTCTCTGTGTTCTCCTCATCGGCGCTCTCTGCACATCATACTATCTCCAAATCAAAAGGATTAGAGCAGTCCACGAGACTGTAGTGTCGATCTTTGCAGGGATGGTAGTGGGGTTGATCATTCGGCTGAGTCCGGGACACATGATCAGAGAGATGATGAGTTTCAAGCATACATTCTTCTTCAATGTGCTTCTGCCGCCCATTATTCTCAACTCTGGGTACGAGCTCAAGCAGGTGGGTGTAATTCTAGTAGAATCAGGGCTGTGCTGATGGGTGTGATAGGAAAACTTCTTCCGGAACTTTGCGACCATTCTCACTTTCGCCTTCCTCGGCACCTTTATATCCGCCGTCGGCATTGGAGTCCTCGTCTACATCTGGTCGTTCCTCGGGCTGGAGGGTCTCAAGTTCACCCTCCTTGAATGCCTTATCTTTGGCTCGACCTTGTCAGCAACAGACCCTGTGACAATCTTGGCTATATTTAATACGGCCAAGGTAGACCCTAAACTCTACAGTATTATCTTTGGTGAGAGTATCTTGAACGATGCTGTCAGTATCGTCATGTACGAGTAAGCTCTATTCTGCCTCTCTATTTGGGACCAAACTCATACGCATCAAGGACCCTCTCCCAATTCCACGGCGAAGATATCTACATCTCTTCCATATTCCACGGTGTTGGCATCTTCCTCTTCTCCTTCATCACATCGATGGCGCTTGGTGTTGCGTTCGGCCTTGTGTGCTCTTTGGGACTGAAGCATTCGCATCTGGCGACATACCCGCATATTGAGAGTTGCATCGTGACGCTAGTGGCGTATACCAGTTACTTTTTCAGTAACGGTGTTACCATGAGCGGTGAGTTTCTACCTACTGGACACGGGAGAAAATGCTGACAAACCTTAGGAATCGTGTCCCTCTTGTTCTGCGGAATAACGCTCAAACATTATGCGTACCATACCATGTCTCGAAGAACGCAAAAGACGACAAAGTACATGTTTGGTGTTCTTGCGCAGCTGTCTGAGAATTTCATCTTCATCTACCTCGGTCTGAACTTGTTTACCCAAGACGTGCAAGTATTCAAGCCATTGTTCATTCTCGTCTCTGCTGTACGTCCTCCCTAATGTGCATTTGCGAGACATGCTAACAGATTCACAGATCGCTGTGATGGCTTCACGCTACGCCGCAGTCTTCCCTCTCTCGGAACTCATCAACTGGGTCTTCCACACCCGCGGTCAACGTGCCGAAGAGCTTCCCCACTCGTACCAAATGATGCTCTTCTGGGCCGGTCTGCGTGGTGCCGTCGGTGTCGCCCTCGCCGCAGGTATCACTGGCGACAACGCGGACGCCCTCCGTACGACGATCCTGGTGGTTGTCGTGCTGACTGTGATTGTGTTTGGAGGAACGACCTCGAGGATGCTGGAAGTGCTGGGGATCAGAGTAGGGGTGGAAGATGAAGACGCGAGTTCCGATGAGGAGGAAGGATGGAATGCGTACGGCGGGCATGGAGGGTTGGCGTTGCTGAATGGCCCTGGGTCGCGCCAGTATGCTGGTCAGAACGGTCGCGCAGGGTGGGACAACCCGTCAGAGATCGACCTTCACTCTCCCGGCGGTTCGCCTTACTCCCAGTCCCTCAAATTGTCTGGGCAAGGCGCGAGGAGCCGGCAGTCGAGCAGAGGTTATGGCGTCCGCAGCGGTTTCTCCACAAACAGCGAAGAATCTGATGAAGGCGAGGTCCTTCCTGCAGCTGGACCTTCTGGCTATGCTCAAAACGCTTACGACGCCGAAGCCAACACAACCACTTCCGGCGCTCCTGGCGGGCCAGGTATGATTTTCCGCGACGGCCAGTGGTTCACTGCCTTGGATGAACGATACCTCTTACCGCTGTTCTCCAACTCGGTGACGGCGAGGCGGCATCATGCGAAGAAGGCAGTCAAGCGGGGTACGGCAGCGGCGGCGGCTGGCGCTGCTGGGTCGGTTTCTGGTGGAGGGAGCGGGGCTGGGACGCCCAGAGGGGTCAGTTTTGAGATGGCAGATGAGGGTTACGGGGGAGATATGGAGAATGAGATGGGAAAGAACAAGGCATTGCCGAGGACTTTCAGGTGAGCTCCAATCCATTCATGTTGTAGACGTCACTAATGAGGTCATCAGTGGCTCTGTGTCCGATTTTTTCTTCTCGAAACCCGACTCTCCCATTCCTAGTGGAACATCTCCATCGCTACCGCTAGATGAGCGTGATCCGAGAAGGAGTCTCGGAAGAGATCAGAAGAGTGCGGGGGGAGATGGGCGATAGGGCTTGAAGGATGTATATTCTATGGACAGATGTTTTGCATGAACATAGCGTGTGTACAAGTTTAGATTTGCGTGCCGACGGACTGTGCTTTATTGAATTACATGCCGACTCTACGATGAATCGACAATGGGGAGATAATCTGCATCATTCGCACGAAGGACACCTCATGGGAAGTCAAAGCATGGAAGATACGGGCTGCTGCCGCCCCTTCCGTATTCGCAGTAGCTCAGAGGAGAGGTTCTGCAAAGTTGACAATAGCTTGGTATGACGAGATATGAAGCGCGACGCTCGACACTTGGCGATCAGCAACTCGAGTCCGACCAGTCGAGCAGCCACTTCATAGCCTGTCGTCGGTACAGTCTCTATCGCCAACACTCACCACACTGGCTTTATACAATCCACAACTCGTCTTCCCCTGCAACCTGCACAATCACGTCGTCCCCATCCTCAAACCACCACCCGACTTCTTTCAAGTCGCCTCCTGTCGTATGAACTGCCCTTTCCTTCTGACCTCCTTGACCTTGGCGGACTGTCCATACGCGTATACGCGCCTTGGGATCGAGCTGGAAGAGACGAGCTGCTTTGCGCTGCAGGAGGGAAAGAGGAGAGGATGGTAGGAGCGATATAGGAGAAGGGCCACCGGAGAAGTCGGCATTGTATGCTTGTAAAGCTGGAAGAATGAGTCACAGACCAATCGCCTTGATTAGTGGACTCACTGATCATTTTCTTCCTCAATCCATTTCCAGCCTTCTTGGCGCCATCACCATCCTTCTTTTCGACCCTTCCATGCAATCTACCCAACTCGTCCCACCTCCCCCACTTCCCTTCCTCCCCGGGATGTGTTTCCAGATACCTCTCCACGTAGCCCAAATAGAACATCTCTGCATCTCTCCTCTCCCCTTTCGTGATGGGAGTGGAGTTGAAGATGGAAAGCCCGGGGATTTTTGCGATTATTATGGACCTCTGAAGAGATGTTTGATGACTGACGGATAAGGAAGGGGTTTCAGGCGGTGCTGGCGCATCTGACTCATGAGGGGTATCCGGGAGGGAGAAGCGGAATGAGGTTAGGCTAGGAAAGAGGGAGGGAAGAGCGTCGATGGATTCCCAAGAGGTAAGTGACGAGCCTAGAAGGGTAAGACGAGTGATATGTGGGAATCGTGCCGAAGACCGAGGTATGGCAGTGACGGGTATGAACGATAGATCCAGTGACTCCAGACTGGTAAGGTCAGTATACAGCTTGGAGGACATCACAGAGACATACCTGCCGAAATGCGCTATGAAATTCATGATTGTGTCCCAGCTCTCGAGCGGGCATCCACCAAGCTTGATCTCTTTAAACACCTTCCACGCGCTCAGGAGTACCTCTTCTCCCCCATGGCAATCCAAGTTGCGCAAAGTCCTGTTGGCTTCCAAATGAAGCACTTCTAGTGCCGGGAAGAGGCGTGCCAAGCCAGGGATCTCTGTGCAAGGGAGAGAGCAGTCGGAAAGATGGAGTTCTTTGATTCTACTGAAAGCATTTCCATTCGTTGGTCCCGAGTTGGGCAAGGGATCATACCTGGAGTGACTGTGATTCTAATCAGCGAAGTGCCGCTTACACGCACCGACAAAATTCACCTCAGAGTCAGGACTTCCAATCCTTCGAAACAGCTGGCAATATCCGCGACCTCTTCCCAGCTTCCCAGAAGATTTGCTTCCAGTCCCAACCATTTCACGCTCTTCAGCCTCTCCTTCATCTTTGCCTTTACCCCCTCATTCCCTCCTAGTCGACTGATGGACTCCGTACCAAAACCAATATTACGCAGTTTCTCAAAGTTGTTGAGCCTTTGACGCGCCTTGTGGTATTTTGCCTCGACGACGATATTGCCATTCGAGGAGCCTAGTATAATTTCTTCTTTATCCTTGCCCTCACTTTCTTGAGAGTCTGTTTGTGATGCTGGATCGAGGAGTCCGTAACGCTCTTCCAAACTCTCTACGAGGCTCTTGCCTTCCACGAGCTCTTTCCCCGTTTGGTATTTCAAGAAAGCACCGCTTCCTTCCTCTCGCGTGTCGAATAGTTGAATACCTTGGAATGTCCCAGAGTGCTTCCCCAATTTCGGATCGTCGTACTCTATACCAAGCCAAACTTGTTCAGATGTGAACGAAGACGAGGGGTCACTGGAGGGAGGTAGAGGCCCGATGTAGCGAAGGGTGAGAGGACGGCGTGATTTGGTGTGAAGGTAGCGCCTGTGTAGCGTATACGGGGGTGTACTAGAGGGAGGCATGGCGGAGCAACAGAAGGCAGTATCCAGAAAATGACGAACAGTCTGAGAATCAAGAGCTGCGTGCAGCGGTGGCTGCAGTGAGCGACGGATGGCCGATGACGGCGGTCAACTCCGCCAGGTGGGTCCACGGAGCAACTTATGAACTCTCTTGGAACTCTCTCCTGTCTTTTCGCATAATTATCACCCCCACACACATATCAGGAGCTCATCTTCAGGACAGCCAACACTACAGGGCACCGCCGATTCAACGTTGTTCATAGTCCACACCCTTTGTATTCCAGTAAATGGCTATAACAGATACAACCAAGACCAAAAAGATTCCTTGATCCACGCCACAAAGCCGGCAAATACTCTTCCATTTCAAGATACGGTTCCTTACACAAGCCGCCGCCAAAGGCAACATGAACGCTCAGTACCCAGCGTTGAGGTCGGGGGTGTTGACCCAACGAGGGAGCTGGAGAGCTTCGGCCTTGGAGGTAGACTTGGGGTCGTAGTATGGTTTCCTGTATCCCATGTAAGCACACACGTAGTGTCCATATTGGAGGCAGACTTACTCTGCAAGAGAAGAGACTCGAGTGCCGTGGCGTTCACCATCATAGTCATAAGACACCGTATGGATCGTCGCCCTCTATCAACCTCAAGTCAGTCTTGCCCTTCAAGAACAACAGACAGAAAGACGAACGTTGTCCCAGATAGCACTCGTTCCCGGAGTCCAGTGCCACCTGACTTGGATATCGGTCGACCTCTCATACACTCCGTAGAGGTAATCGAGGATGGTGTCAGACTCGGGTTTGTCGAGACCTTCGATACCTGCTGTCATCGCTCGGTTGACTATCGCCCATGTTAGGTGTATGCTCAAGAAGAGAAGATAGAAAGGACGCACCCCAGAGGGCTTTCCATCCGGTGACGGGGTGGGTACGGACGAGAGGGTGGACGCGGGTGACGTATTTGGCGTCGCCCTCGGGGTCGTTGGCGTCCTTATACTTGTGGGCGGAACGATAGACGCCGCTGTGGGAAGTCAGTCAGCTTGTGGTACATGTCGGGCAACATGAAAAAAGAGAGACATACTTGAGACCGTCGATGAGCTTCTTAAAGGTTGGAGAAAGCTTGTCGTAGGCGGCGTAGCCGGACGCCCAGAGGGTGTCACCTCCCTATAGAGATGGTGAGTACTCGAAGTCAAGGAAGGGGACCTACTCACCACTTCGGGCACAGTGTCTTGATGGAGGTGAGTGTATCCAGGAGGGAATGCTATACCACCCGTCAGTCGCCGTGTCGCAAAGACGAGCCACGAGGCTCACGCAGGTGAACGAGATCGGTATGCCACCCGAACTGTCCTCCGCCGTACGGCACACGGTGGCTCCTACCAGCCGCAAAGTTCTTGAAGGCTTTTTCCCAGATAAGAGAGACACCAGAGTCGAGGCCGGGGACTTGGGCGGCTTGGGGGTGGCGCTCAATCTCTCCGTCACCAAGGTATAAACCGAGGGCTGCTTGTTCTTGAGGAGAGATGTCTTGGTCTCGGAAGACTGGAGAGACTTAGCCTTATACTAGATATGGTATTGCAGTACTCACAGACGACTGATCGCTCGGCGACAAGAAGGGCAAGCTCGTCCTTCTGCTTGTCGGTAAGATCCTTCAGCTGAAGTCCAACGATTTCAGTCTAAAGAGTATGGTGATCAGCTCGGCCCTTCACAAGTAAGTTGCCAACTCACTCCGATCCAAGTACCGAGATTCCTGACTTCCTTGGCAGCGCCAAAGAGAGCCTTCTTCTCGGGGTCAGCCCTTGTGCCGGGGTCGACATAATCTCGCAAGCCGTCTTGGATCTGGTGGACATCCTGGACAAACTCGGGCTTGGGAGGGAAGTAAGGGTAGCCGTTAGAGAGGTCGATGCCTGCCTTGAGGTATCGCTTGAGGGCATTGTCTGGGGGAAGGGTAATGTCAGCTTTGGAGGCCTGGAGGCGGGCCTTGAGGGACTGGATGTCCTCCGTGGAAGACTGAGCGGGCGGAGCGTCTACTGCGATGGGGGCCATGGTGCATGAGGGTTCCCTGTGGCCCGAGGTGCAGCTATATAGACGTTGAGGGATACAGCGTTTGTCAGCCTCCACTCATGCCATAGCTCACCATCCTGTGGCTGCACGGAGATGCGCGAGATCCTCAGCAGGTGGACACGGCAGGTGGAGGATGGCGTGAGATGAGGACTATGCCCGCCGGCCAAGAGTGCCAATCAGATACCGTGCATTCGTCTTCCATCTACCCCGTGCACCGACCGAGCATGCAATGCATCCCGGCGGAAGTGGCACATATGCATGACAATATGCATAGTGGAAATGCTTCAACTACGTAGGCGCGCCACACCCGAGAAGTAGGCATGCAAGCCCTCCGCCAATAACTTTGCGCGTTTTGCAGCCAATGTTTGGTCCCATTTTTGCGCATCTCGACCATCTACGCAACGAGTTCAGCCCACGCGGCTACACTGCGCCTAATACCAACCAAGTGATCTGGCCAAAGACACATGTCAGGGGATGAGGGCTACCGAGCTATCTAGGTGCGTGTTTTGAACTCTATCAAAGCCATGCTAACTCTGGGGACTAGGCTTGGAGAGATTCTGTGTCGTACAGCATTCCCAAGAGCTCGCGTTGTCGCCACCGCAAGTGTCGGTCAGACTCGATGTCTGCACAAACGGGTCAAGCCTACCTTCAGACACAGCCCGAAACAGATCAAGCCCCATAGCGGGGATGACCTACCTCCTCTCAAAAATCTACTCCGCTCTATCCGAAAGAAGCAGCCCTCACCCACCAATCACATTATAAGAGCGCTCGAATACCCCATGGACCATGCCGCCCTCATCGAGATATTTCCCAGCATCCTGGCCTCGCTGCAGAATGCCAAATTTCGTAACAATTGGAAACTTATCCGCGCCTTGCTGCCCCATCTGGGCCGCTTGCGAGAGGTCGTGCTGCTCAAGAGAGTACTTGAGATATGGATGGCAAAGGTGGAGCAAAGAGTAGAGCTCGCGAGGGTGGAGGGAGAGACGCTGGAGCCGGAAAAAGTGGAGAAATGGTACCACGAGTTTCTTGCCGAGTCGGCCTGGCATTTCTCCAAGGCCGATAGCTGGGTAGCAGGGCAGAGCGAGCCTCTACAGAACGTCGCTGTCCTCCAGTACCAAAGCACAGTACTAGTCAAGCATCTACTGCAGACTTTGGCTATGCTGCCTTCCTCGTCAACTTGCCGACTACATCTTTCCGCGCCTCTTATCGAACGGCTTCTCGTCAAGCGGCATGTCGACTACGATCTATGCCAGACTCTGCTATCACATGCTCTGCATCACAAGATCCCTCTGAGCACAAGTGTCTACAGTGCCGCTGCCATGGTCGCTCTCAAAGAGGGTCATACCAGCGAAGCAATGGCGCTCATGAAGAAGAGAGAACAAGAAGGCGTGCGCGGATATATTGGGTCTGACGATCCGATCAAAGAAGAGAGAGAAAAGGTGGCATCCGTCATTGCCAGCATGCTCGTCGCCAAAACAAGCAGCTCGCCCGAAACCCTCTTACAAATCCTCGAACCATATCTCTCTTCCGAAACCCAGCCCCTACCCGATGCTTCTGAAGCGAGTAACGACACCGTCCTCTACCGACACGCCTGGTCTATACTCCTCTCGCGCCTCGCCAGAGAAAAGACTGTCACGTCTGAAGCGCTCCTCGAGCTTAGTAAGACAATGCCCGTGAGCTGTACCGTCGGGCATACCATGACCTGCCTCGTGCACGGGCTCATGCTCCGCGGCAAACTAAACAAAGCTTGGCAGATCCTCAGCGCGCTCGCCGAAATGGAGAAAAATGCGACAGACAAGGAGCGGGGAAGATACTTTGACAGAGTGGCCCTTGCTGTTGGGGCGCAAGTCTGCCACGGACTTTATGGGCTCGACGCGGCTATCAATTATGTCGATAGCTTGGCTTTACGTCCATGGCAATCTTTGCCTTCACCGGGCCAGGTCCATAATAGTATCAAGCTTGACCGTGTCTGTCTCGACGTCCTCCTCGGTCTATGTAAAGCCGAAGGCGCCGTCAGCATCGCGTTCAGACTGTGGAAAGCGGCTTTGCCAAGGTGGGGCGTCTATGCAGATGACTCGAGCTTGAAGGTGCTCGTAGACGGAGCAAGGTATGCGAGTCAAAACAAAGAAATGTCTGAAGAAGAAGTGTTCAGGGAGAGATGGCGAGATATGAAAGCCGAATTCTCTTTCAGGCGCAAAGAGGTGGAAGAGGATCAATTCGAGGCGTACGATGCTGCCGGCTTCGCCAAAGGTCCCACGTCTGTCCTCCTTGATCCACCGAACACTACTTGGCATGACGAGCATCGCGAGAAGCCGTGGCAAATGGCGAGGAGTGTGTTCAGGAAGGTGCTTCTGGGTAATTGGCCGGGGCTCAGTGATGTGGTATCCCCTTTGGACGAAGTGGAACAGACCATGATGGACCGCTTCAGCGCGCTCTTTGACGGTGACTCGGGGATAACCCACTCCACTCCTCGTCCTTCTTCATCCACTTCCCCCGACACACCCCTCCCCGCCCCGCACGCACCATACACCCACATCTGTCCTTCCGCATCAACCTTCCACTCTTACATCGCCCTCCTGGGGTACTACAGCCTTCCCCAAGAGATCCCGCTCAGTTTTGCGTGGATGCGCTCTTTGGGAGTGAAGCCAAAATGGAAGACATTGCGCTTGGGGTTGATGTATGTGGGCGAGGCGGAGGGGCCGAGAAGGTGGGTCAAGGGGCCTGGAGGAGAGAGGAGATTGGTGAGGGATGAGGAGGTCTTGAGAGAATGGTTGCAGGGTTGGTTAGAGGATGATTCGCGGAGTCTGAAAGGTAGTGGTGAGATGAGCGTGCCGAGTGAAGGCGATGTGGCGGAGTTTAGGAGGATGTTTTCTAAGAGAAACCAGAGGATCACTGCCGAGTAGGCCCAATGCAGCACTATCAACAGCTAAAGACGTCGTATCGCCTTCAGGGGTACAGCATCAAGTCATAAGCATTCATTTCGCGTCACAATGGCAGCGTATAGTACAAGGTCGTTAAATTCCGTCTGGGGCATTCGTAGGTCTCGTAGTGGTCATCAATTCACAGTCTTGCAACAGCCTTACTCGTCTCCCCCGTCGTCGGCACCATAATCAGCAGCCGCTTGCTCGAGAATGGAGCGCTCGTAGATGGGTACATCATCATCATCGCCTTCTGGAAGTCGCTCCAGTATAGCTCTGTAAACGTGATCAGCGAGGATTAAAGGCACGTTGGGATTACTCACTCGCATTCACAAAGAAGCTCTGTGCAGTACAGATCGAGGTTCAAATCACAAGGATCCCTGATATGAGCATCAGTATCCAAACCGAGTAACCCCTGGGAGCGACTCACGTTCCGAAAGGCTGCTCAATCATCGCCGCAATCCCTTCCACTCCCATGAATGTCATTGATATACAAAACATGATGAACACCATCTTCCAGCCGGTAGCGTCGACAAGAGTGAAGGGAAGGATAAACAAGTACAAAGAGACGACCTGCTTGAGGTGGACGCAGAAGATGTAGGGGAGAGGGGTTTGGACACTGCGACATTGTCAGAAGGGAAAAGGGTGGGAATCATAGACTTGCATTCGTTCCATGGAACCTAGCTGATCGGTCATGTTGGAGACGGCAGCTTGTAACGCGTTCATACCCTTTTTCACGGTCAGCTTGATGCTCTGTTACTCGGTTGCCACGTACAGCAGGCCCAACCGCTTCCAGGCAACCCATCCTCCGGAACTTGAAGATTGACCTCGAGATATCATGGGCTCTACCACATCAATCAGCAAGTCATTCTAGATCCTAGCGAAGACGTACATGATCAGAGGGAGACCCAGCTCCACCATCCGTCCAAGCCCGGTCTCGGCCTTCTTCTGCAAACCCAGCGTCGTCATTGGATCCGGCTTCACTCCTGGTTTGATAAGGGGGGTCCTCTCATCAGTCCTGCCTTGCCTCGTACGACTGTGCGAGCGGGAATGCATTTGCGAAGAGGAGTGGTTCTCTGCGATATCCTCTGGAACGACCACGCGTACTGCAGTGGGTCGGCGCTTCATGAGCGTCCGGGGTCGAGATCCGGCTAGTGACTTGAGAGAAGAAGCCCTTGGTACGATCCCTTTCAAAGAAGGGCTCGGAGAGACAGGCGCGGTTGGAGAGAAGGATGATCGACTTAAGCCAACGGAGGACTCTTCGTCTTCTTTTTTGTCGCTCAGCTCAGAGGCAATAGACTTGGGAGAGCCTGTAACCGCGGCTGCGTATGAAGGAGATTGTACGTTTTCAATGTTTTCTTCGGGAAGCGGCTGGAGAAGAGGCATGGAGGACTTGAGATCGGAAAGGTGAGAATTGGCAAGTCTCGGGGGTAGTAGACCTGGTCTTGTCAGTCAAAAGCACAGCTTGATCGGATACAAAGGCTCACCCTTGAGGTCGTCATGATGCACTCCGCCTTCTGCTCTCAGGTGATGCTTTGTCGCCACCACAAAAGCCACGACCAGCCTGATCACCTTCATTTTCTCCAGCGTCAACTGTTCACGTGTCATAAGGGGCTCAGAGCCGTCCGTGGGTGTCGGGGGTAGCGTCACAGAAACCCATATGTTTCGGGAAAGGTTCCGAGCAACGGAGATGAGGGCTGTAAAGTCTTTGCGGCCTTCGGCGTAGCGTTCATACGCAGATGAGTTTCTGCGCCAAAATTAGCGCAGTCCACGCCACTCCTCCGTGACCTTAGACTCACCTGAACACCAGGAGCAGACCAACAACGACACTGAGAAGTGGGACCACATTGTTGGTAAGCCCCACCTCCTTTCCCCACCAGATGCTCGCAGCCGCTACGCCGGCAGAGAACAGGGTGACCCAGAGCACCGGTCCAATGATGGTGGGTAGTATAGAACCTCGAAAGACGAGGAGATCGGGAAGCCATGAGATCTTGGATAGCTGAGGTCACTATTAGCTAGCTGGGTCTGAAAACGCTCTGGACCGACATACCCGTGGTTTGTGGTCCTCTACGTCTTGCATGGCGAGCAAAGATGACAAGGTCGTGATAGGGAGTGCCATTGTAGTGCCCTGAGTGAAAGTAAGCATGCGCCTCTTCCATATATACATCGTCTCGAATCCGCGTTACTTGAAGTACAAGGAAGCAGAGGCATATGCGACCTGGCAGCCTTGCGCAGAGACCTCTGGACTTACCAGTGTGGATATGCCGCTCGGCTCCTTGTTCTTGCCCTTGCTGCTGTCCCGTCCGGCGGGAGATGTGCTTGCCATGGTCGCCGAAGTGGGAAAGAGAGGACGCCTCCCGGTGCAAAGACGAGAGAAACGACAAGACAATGGATGGATCGCGTCGATCGCGTCGTGAAGGACAACAGCTTCGGCGGCCGGTATCCCTGGAATGTTGAGTTATGTACCGTGGCGAAGGATGAAATAACGATAGAGAGAGCAAGAGGGCAAGAGAGCAAATACCCATACATAGAATGATGTCGCAAACGCAAATCTCCGTTCAATTTCACAACAAACGACCATATAAATCAACATAACAGAAAGGCCACGATCAAAGGCTGGGGATTGTGTTTATCGGTAAGGCCCTGGGATTCGCTGTCAGTCACGGAGCTTCAACGGATGGTTGACACCTACCTCAAAGGCTCGCGCAATCTCCAGGTGATACTCTCCCTCTGCGGCCCTGCGAGATTCGATACCCTGACGTTTCTTCTTGTTTCGGCGAGCGAGGATCGTGAGGGTGGCTAAGGTAGTGAGGATGTCACATCCGTCTACACCCGCCGGCCGGAAACGTTAGTAGTCGAATTCGCAAAAAGAAGTGATCAAAGAAGTCACAAAGCGCTAGATGGATATATAGCGCGAGTTGAAGTAGCGAAGAGCCCATCCCGACTGAAAGATCTGATCTGCAGTGGGCTTGGCAGTGGGTCACACTGCAGTCGCGCCAGTCGTCGTCCGGCGGCCGCGGACTTCGGTTCGTTTGGTCTATGACCTCATATACACTTCAATCGGCTATATATCCTTTCACGACATAGCTATGCATGCACTTTCTTTTACCAGTTGACTCTACTGCTATGACGGTACATGCTTCACCATCTAAACGACGCCAATATGCTGCGGATGGCGACAGATATGGCAATACACAAGCCGGTCGCATCCACGGAGTTGCTGAGAGCACCATACGCAACGCCCGCAAAGATATGAAGGAGCGGGGCACTACAAGGGCCCGCAAGCACACCGGTCGGAAGAAGAGCATCGACCCTCGTACTTCCCACCGACTCAACCGCCTGATTCGCCTGCACAGGTGGACTCCGGTCACAAAACTTCCCACCCTTGCGGCTGCCAGTGGAATCAGAATCTCCCTGACTACCTTGAAAGAGTTTATGGCCGCCAATGGGTTAGCTCGAAGGAAAGCGGTGTACAAACCTATCCTAAAGAAGCAGCACAGGCGTGCCCGCTACTTGTACGCTCTGGCCCACCAGAACATCGACTTTCAAAAGGGAATCTATGTCGACGAGGCAATTGTCAGAGCCGATGGGAACCATGTGACTTGGGTCACAAGGAAAGAGGGAGAGGCATTGTGGCTGGAGAATCTGAGGCCTGCTTTTGGGCAGTCTGTGGTCCCCATTATGGTTTGGGGAGCCATCTACCACGGCGGGAGGTCAGAGCTGGTCGTTTTCGACACCAGTAAAAGCATGGGCAAGCGGGGTGGTGTCACTGCTCAATTCCACCAAGAGCAGATTGTGGATTTACACCTCCAAAACCTCTGGAACTCTGCAATCTCGCGTGTGGATGGTGAGCAGGGCCCCTTCATACTAGAGGATAGTGCTCGGGTCCATACGGCCAAGGTGGCGCGAGGGGCAGGCCATGCAAACGGCTTCTCCTATATTCCTCACCCTGCTTGCTCTCCCGATCTCAATCCAATCGAGGATTGCTGGAGGCTCCTTGAAGAGAGAATCAGGGATCGTGGGAGAAGGGCGACTACCCCCGAAGAACTTACCCGGGTGGCCAAGGAAGCCTGGCAGGAGATATCGCAGGAGAGCATCGAGGCATGCATCGAGAGCATGCCGACCAGAATGAAGGAGGTGATAAAGAGGCGAGGCAAGCATACCAAGTATTGATTAAACAGCTTCTAGCTATGTATCTTCAATGCAGGAGATGCTCATTGTTGTCCTCATCAAATCTGATATGCATAGGTGTGATACAGTGTTATATGTGTTAGTTCGAAATATATACCCCCTGAGCTGCATCAATGCGGCAAAGACCGAAATCCGCAGAAATTTCGCGACCATCACCCGTACGTGCCGCTCTGAATGATAAGCAAGTTTGCCGCGCACCTGTACTCTACGAGTACGAGTTCTGTGCATTCCCGCTGCATCTACTCTGTGGATTTCATCGCCTGATTCTCTACTGCTGCTGTGGACAAATTCATCTCTACACATAACCTACGGGATTACGACCCGTCATTCAACTTTACTCTTTGACCGATGTCCTGATACCACTTTCTTCCTAGCTAGCCTAGATGTAAGTATCCTCGGGCAACCTCAATCCATCGTGGATTCCAGCACTCATTAACCTCCCTCCGTCTACCGTCAACAATGCCCCGTCAAAGTAGCCACCCGCCGCAGATGAGAGAAGGAGCACAGGACCGACAATCTCTTCGGGCCTGCCCGCTCGACCTGTATGCCATTGTCAGTTCTCCTACATCTGACTGAGGATTGGGTATGAGGCATACCGACGGTGCTCCTCTTGGCAGCCTTTCCAGCACCATCTGCCAGATCATATTCGTGCCCCTCACCAGAGTCATTCTTGCCAGTCATCTCCGAAGGGAAGATGCCGGGGCAGATGGTGTTGACTCGAATCTTCATAGGGTGAAGACGCCCTGCAAGGAGCTTACCGAGGTGGATCGCTAGGTAGAGTGACGTTAGCTGAGGGTGGCGATGGCTTGATGTAAACGACGCACCACCCGCTTTGGAGACGCCGTAAGAGACTGTTCCCATAGCTCTATAGGGATGGTAAGGGTCAGTACCATGGTTGTCAGGAGGAAAGGGGCGCACCTCTGGTTGGCGAGACCGGCGATAGAAGCAATCACAACGACGCTGGGGTCGTCATTTGACTTGCGAAGGTACGGGACAAGCGCAGCAGTGATAAAGTATACACCTGGGAGCAGCGGTCAGTGAGAGGCAGGACATTCATATAGAGGACGAAGCTCACCGTTGATGTTGACTGTGACATTTTTGGATTAGTGACGCACAGCGAGGCCACAAGGTACGTACTGGAGTTTGAGTAGTTGAAGTCGTCGCTGCCGAGTATGAGCCAAAGATGATTCATCTGCATAGAGTTTGAACTTACTCGTCATGCCCCTCCCACAGCAAGTTCTCAACCTCATCGGCTATCCGCTATTAGATGCTGTACGATCAATCGAGAGCCGAACATACCATTGTCATGGCTTTTTACTTGAGTCTTCCATCCTCGCATGACTCCAGCGCAGTTGATCAGTACATCGAGCTTGAGGCAGGTCGTCAGCTACAGTCTTTGTTGAGAAGAATACACACCATACCTTGGACTCCTTCGCTCCGAATGCATCTGCAATGGCCTTGCACCCTTCCTTGGTAGACACATCGCCTTTGATACTAGTCGCCGCGTCAGCTTGCGTTACATCCATGTCATTTATTGACCACATACGCGACAATAGGTCCGCCAATCTCCTGGGCCGCGGCCTCAAGCACCTCCTGGCGACGACCGGTGATGTAGACTTTAGCGCCGTTCTGAATGAAGCCCGCTGTGATGGCTGCCACCTCACTATCAGCATGCAGCTACCATATACTGCAGCTGAGGATGCACCTACCCTTTCCGAGGCCAGTACCGCCCCCAGTGACAAGAACGATCTGAGGACAACAGTCAGTAGATCCACCACGACGTCATAGCGAGGCAAACTGACCTTGTCCTTGACGTTGAAGATGTTGTCGATCTTGAAAGACATGGCTGAATGTCTGTAAATGTTCCTGTCGCTCCTGGGAGAGAGATGGCGACTTGACTACCTCGAAAGTATAAATGATGGAACCCCTACAGGCGTGCTCATAGTAAGCGGGCCGATGACCCGAGTCTCTTCGGACTTCGCCGACAGCCTTCGGGTGGCCGCTCGGCCCCGGCCTGAGCGATTTAATAATGATGTCTCTCTGTTCAAAAAGCCTCAGAGATGGATTGTACTGTACGAGGGCTGTAGACGATCAGCCGAGCCTCGGGGTATGCAGCTTGAGGCCTTATACATCACCGGCCAACAGCTTCAAGAACTCACGCCGACCTTGGATGTCTACTCTTACTTTGGCGCGTTGCGTTGTTTCTGGACGGAGCCCGTGGCAGCCATATGTATTGGTCCTGTGATCGCTGAGATGGCCTTTGATATCTTTATCATCAATACCTCACAGCCTCTCGTGACCATGAGGGGGTATAAACGGCCTTTCAGCCATCGACCGTCAGACTCGCGGCGACTGACGGGTAACGAGCTGCTGTGCCGATGACCTTGGCTCAAAAGTGCTACGAGCAGTCAGCTACGATTAACTTTTGACGACGGTATCTATATACGCATGTCGCAGTGACAGTGGATTGGCATATATACATATGTATAGCCAAAGCCGACCATTTTGTCAATACCAGTGGCTGGTTGGCTGAGCTGGCTGAGCCGAGGGTTTGCGTTGCGGTAGTCGCCGAACTGTCCTCCACCAAGACGGCCTCCACATACAGCGGTCTCTCGACGTGACTTTCCTTCTGCCTCGTTCTTTCTGCTTCTTCAACTCATCTTCAGCGACCGGCATTGGACACCCTCGCCATGTCCAAAGTACCGCCGCCCCCAGACTCCAACGGGAATCCCCTCATCGCCCTTGCCGTCGCCGTCATCTACGCCATCCTCTATGTCCTCCAGGGTATACGCTATGCGGTTGGGCTGGTTACGATACGTGTGCCAAGGTAAGTCACAAGATACAGTCATAGGAATGCTCATGTCCCGTAGCTTGATTGTCCGCATGCTTCAATACAGCTTGACGATATCTCTCGGGTTTCCACACTTCCTGGGCCTGTTTGGTGTCGTCATGCTTGTACTCTTCTTCTTGATCAGATATCGCTACCTCACGCGGTATACCCAGCTGAAAGAGCCGGCTCTACCCCCGCCATCGCCCACACTCGCAGACAGGCTACTCCCCATGGACGCCGCTGCTCTAGGCCTCACAGACTCTCGAGCATCAGCAAGCTCCTTTCACAACTATCTTGACGACTTTCTATCGGCGATTCGGATATTTGGATATCTAGAGAAGCCCGTATTCCATGAGCTCAGTAGGCACCTGCAAACCAGGAGACTAGCTGCTGGTGATACCATGGAAATCGGCGGTGGAGAGTTCTGGTGTGTCGTGGAAGGCAAAGTCCAAGTTGTACGTAGGGTCTTGTAGCAATGATCTCGTCTGACGCTTCTACCAGTTTGCCCCCGACGCTTCTCACCAAGCGTCTCGTGCTTCCTCGCCAGGGCCGTCCGGGAAACCTTACAACGGCTATCACTTGCTAAATGAAGTATCGACTGGCGGTACACTCTCCTCCCTGTTTTCCATTCTTCATCTGTTCACGGAAGACGTCAAGCTCTCGTGGAACTCTACTCCTGCGGACCAACAACAATCTCCACAAGACTCTGAGAACCTGGTTCCTTCCGTACCCATGCAAAGACAAAACTCGGATGTCAGCCAGTTTGACATGTCTGCCACGACTCCTCCCACTGAAGTCCCGTCAGAGCTGCAACCGAACAAACCTTCGAGGGGGAGATCATCGTCTATGGGTACGGCTAGCGATACTGTTCGTGAGTCGGAGGATGGCGAATCTGACTCGTTCACCACCCCTTCCTCGCCTCAAAGAGCCCGATCTCAATCCGAATCTATTCATTCGTCTCCCGCTCATCAGCCCTCGACGACCCCTGTGTTCAAGACCGACTTCATCAAAAACGAAACACCCGAGAGAAAGAGGTCGGCAAACGTAGAATTTGGCGGTGATGCTTTAGCGGGAACCATTGCTAGGGCTACAGAGGACACGACGTTGGCAGTCATCCCCGCTGCAGCGTTTAGAAAGCTTACTACCAAGTTCCCCAAGGCAAGCGGGACGGTAGTGCAAGTGGTGCTCGAGCGATTCAGTAGAGTCACGTTCATGACCGGTGAGTTTTCTTTAATGGACGCACGAGACATGCTAACATGAGGAAGCCCACAAATACCTCGGCTTGACAAAAGAGATTCTGCGCTCAGAATCATCTCTGAATGCTCTCGTCTCTCACCCCCTCCCCCGCTCGTTCTACACTGGGGGCGGCATGCAAGCCCTCCGAGACCGATTCCAACCCGAAGCCCACGCGCACAAATCATTCAACTCTGCCGGTTCTTCTCCCGACCCGCGTGCCGGGAAAGACTACTTCAATTACGTACCTGTCAGTCCGACTGTCAAAGCCCCCAGCTTGTTTAATGGGACCCCAAAAGCAACTAGTCCCGCCCACAGGAAATCGTCTTTGGGCAAGGACGCCGTGAAGGGCTTGACTAAGGTGAACGAGAAAGAAGGTGAAGCGTCGCCCATCACAGAGAAGAGTAAAGACAGGAGCATTCCTGGCGGACAGTCTACCAACCTTGCTTTCAGTCCAAGCACCCGGCACCCCAGCCCGTTCGTGCGAAGGACGTCGGCAATGCGTAAGCAAGTAGGTGCTGGGGACCTCGCCTTGTCATCTTTGGCGGATGAGAACCAAGCGTACTACCGGCCTTCGGCTCAAACTCCAGGGTTTGCCAGGATGGATACATTCAGGGGAAGGAACAGCACTCAGTCATCGTATGACCGCCCTCGAGGCGCGCAGTCCGTTGAGACTCCGACGCCCTCGGAAGAAGAGCAGTGTGTCGAAGGAGAGATATTCAATTTGAAGGAAGCGGTACTGGAAAGTATCGTCAGGTCGATTGGCCTCACTCAACCGAGTGAAAGACGACCTGAAGGCACATATACTCCATTCGGGGGCAAGAGCTCTCTAGCCCCGTCCGTCAGTGCCCTGTCTACTCCCAATTCTCCCCTGTTTCCTCCAAACTCCAATTTCTCCACTCTCTCCAGCCGTCACCGCCCCGCTGCACCAGCTCCACCCTTCGGCAATGTTCTTGACCTGATCAATGCGTCAAAAGAGAATGACGGAGTGATAGGCGGGATGTTGAGGGAAGCTGCGATGCATACGAGAGGAGTCGGGGATGATGAAGCGTCGAGTATATCTGCTTCCATACACGACTCTCAGTTTGGATCCATGGGTGGCTTGGGGGCCCTTGGTGGTCTTGGCGACAAGAAGGTGTTGAAGGAGCTGGAGAACCATGTGGAAATCTTGTTTTTCAAGAAGGGCAGTGTGCTGGTGAAGGAAGGTGAGAGGTCGCCGGGGATGTACTACGTGATCGACGGATTCTTAGAAGTGAGTCTCTTGCCTATGGGTTGACATATGCTGACAATTGATAGACTTCTATACCATCCCATCAATCCACCACATCTATACCCAAGTCTGGTAACCTCAGCGAACGACCATTCGGTGCGGCGTTGGGTTTGGAATCGAAGGACGACGGATTGTCTGAGGGAAAGGAAGACGAAGCTCTGTTCACTGTGAAGCCTGGAGGCATTGCCGGTTACTTGAGCTCACTTTGCTGCACCGACAGTTACGTTAACATTGCGTAAGTGCACTATGCTACCGTACCGGACAATATCAGAGCTGACCTTGTCATAGAGCCAAGACGGACTGCTTTGTTGGATTCCTGCCTCATCATACCCTTCAACGTATCATGGAACGTCGCCCTATTGTTCTTCTCACACTCGCCAAGCGCCTGCTGTCCTTGTTGTCGCCGTTGGTGCTGCATATCGATGCTGCGCTGGACTGGCAGCAATTGAATGCCGGGCAGGTCCTTTATGAGAAGGGCGACAAAGCTGCCGATTTCTATATTGTCATCAGTGAGTTGTCGTCGTCTATGACAGTGAGAGTATGACTCACCATCTGTCAGACGGCCGTCTTCGAGCATACACCGAAAAGGACTCCCACATCAACATACTCCGCGAATATGGTCAAAATGACTCTATCGGAGAACTTGACGTTATTACCGCCTCTCCTCGAACTGAGACAATTCATGCTATCCGTGATTCTGAACTCGTTCGTATCCCGGCAGCACTCTTCGACGCAATCAGCGTCAAGCACCCAGAGACGACGATACAGTTCATGAAGCTCATCGCTGGAAGAGTGAGGCGAGCTGTTGGGGAAGAAGCAAGGACTGGCATTGCTGGCGGGAAAAGTCCAGCGCAAGGAGGTCTGGCGGGAAGTGTCGCTGGTGATGTCAGTTTGAGTACGTCGTATCAAATCATCTTGCGAGGGCATCTTTTTGACTGGCATTGTAGAAACGGTCTGTGTCATAGGGTCTACGAGGAACGTCCCCGTCGCGCAATTTGCAAGCAAACTCAAAAACGCGTTGGAAGAAGTGGGTGCTTCAACATCCTACCTTGACCAAGCGACTGTAATGCGGCATCTCGGGAGACATGCTTTCGCTCGTATCGGGTGAGTAGTCCTTACTGTCATTCATATATATTCTGACCTTGCGCGCAGTAAATTGAAGGTAGCCGGGTGGCTGGCTGATCAAGAGCAACATTACCGTACTGTGCTCTATGTGGCGGACTCACCTCCTACTAGTCAATGGACTCTTACGTGCATTCGCCAAGCCGATCTAGTACTGGTGGTGTCTATGGGAGATGATCCCTCCCTTGGCGAGTACGAGAAGCTATTGTTGGCGACGAAGACCACTGCGAGGAAGGAGTTGATCATGTTGCATGACGAGAGAACTGTGGCTCCTGGGTCGACGAGGAGGTGGTTGAGCGTGCGTCCTTCTTGAATCTAGTACGCGCTTCAAAGCTAACGAAGACGCAGAACCGCCCATGGATTCAAAGGCACTATCACGTCGAGCTTCCCGGGGTCGTCACTCCTGTCCGCCCAGCACCTCCGGTCCACGATCCTGCTGCGATTGCAGCCTTCAAGCATCTTCGAGAGCGAGTGGAGACGCGTATCAGGAAATATCGCGGTCTGCGTCCCTTTGCCCGCCCTCGCCGACCACCGCACATGAACGATTTTGCGAGGATTGCTCGGCGTCTATGTGGGCAACAGATTGGTATCGTACTAGGTGGTGGTGGTGCCAGAGGTATCTCTCACATAGGCATGCTCCAGGCGCTCGAAGAATACGGGATCCCCATTGACGCCATTGGGGGCTGCTCCATCGGCAGTTTTGTCGGTGGGCTCTATGCAAGGGAGACGGACCTTTTGGAGACTGCTGGGAGAACAAAGCAGTTTTCGGGGAGAATGGGGTCAATGTGGAGAATCCTGAGTGACGTGACGTACCCTTTCGTGGCTTATACGACCGGGCACGAGTTTAACCGCGGAATTTGTGAGTCTACTATCGTCTACTGCCAACTCAGTATCTGATATCATCTGGTAGACAAGGCTTTCTATAATACACACATCGAAGACTTTTGGATCCCCTTCTTTGCCAATTCAACCAACATCACTCACTCAAGGATGGAGGTCCACCGTACAGGTTATGCTTGGCGCTACGTTCGAGCATCCATGACCCTTGCGGGTCTTCTCCCTCCACTGTCTGATAACGGCAACTGTGAGTCGCTGGCGCTTGTTCATCCAAACTTGAGATGACCCATCACAGTACTTGTGGATGGTGGTTACATGGACAATACGCCTATCCAACCTCTGCGTGACCAGGGTATCCACCATGTCATCGTTGTGGACGTCGGATCAGTGGATGACACTTCTCCGAGGAACTATGGAGACTCTGTGTCTGGATGGTGGATCTTCCTCAACAGGTGAGCTCCTCAGATGGACAATCAGGCCCTTCGAAACTGACATGTATTCCAGGTTCAACCCCTTCTACGAGAGGAGGGTGCTATCAATGACGGAAGTATCGGCTCGACTTACATAGTGAGTTCTTGATCATAAACTAGCTGCCAGCTAACCATCTTGAACAGTGTGACGTCCGTCAAGACCCTTGAAGAGGTCAAGGTCGACCCCACTTGCCTTTACCTTCCTATGCCCTGCCAGCAATTCGATACGCTTGGTGGCTTCAAGCAATTCTCCGAAATCCTTGCTATCGGACTCAAAGCGGGCAGAGAGGGACTGAAAAAGTGGAAAGAAGAAGGGAGGTTGCCCACCGGCTTTGTTGATGAAAACAAGGCAAAGGGCAGGGGAGGAAAGGTGGATAAGGGAAACAGGGTGCGGCGCATGTCCATTTAGACAATCATAGTTGCGCATTTGGACTGTACGAGTAGTACTCGTATCTATTTAGGCATCATATCATTCATCATGTACAACATTGAAAGCACTATTACACAAATTCGTACTTGTCACAACTTCGCTGTCACCTCTAGACAAGTCTAGCCCCTCGCATCGACTCCAAGCCGACCAGGGGAGATGCTCATTCCCTCCAGACTCGTGCTCAGACCGCTATCCCTGCTCTTCTCGCCCCATGCCCTTTTTCTGTGATCTCCATACGACCCAATTTTGAGTGGGAGGGGTAATCCGCGGTGAGGAAGGTGATCCTCTAGCTCAGAATCTCCATTCATCTCCTCTTCATCTTCATCTTCTTCTTCCTCCTCATCGTCCGACTCATCCTCGGAATCAGAGTCAAGATCCTCGGCGACTTCCCCCCATGTCCTATACAACCCTTCCACAAACTTTTTCGATTTGGGAAGATCGTAAGGGTCAAAGGGGAAATACGAGTCCAGCCCAGCCTCCACGTTGACCTGCCTTGCCTGCCTCGGCAACGTTTGTGCCGCATGTCCCGCGACGCTCGCGGCGGAATTGCGTGCCATCCCAGATCCCGAATTAGTTCTGCCATTGGGAGGCAAACTCGACTTGGCAGTGGTAGAGATTGAGTGGGATGAGTTGGAGCGAGAGTGGGAGGATTGAGAGTTGGCTCCTAGGATGGAGAAGCAGTAGGCGAACTGGGCTTTTTGAGCGACCTTGGCGAAAGTCTGGACGATTGTGGGGTTACATCCCTGCGGTAATAATGTCAGCGTCGATACTGGTTAAGCGAAGTGAGACGTACGAGAAGAGGATTCAGATCGCTGAAGATGGCTCTCTGCAGAATATCCAAGTCTGCCATCCACTTGCCCTCTTCCCCACTGCCAGGCTGCAAGCCTTCCTCGCCATCCATATCCATGTCCCCCACGATCCCATCGCCCTCACCATCCCCAGCAGCAGCTGTAGCCGTGAACGCTTTCCACCGGAAGCAGAAAATCAACATCACCGCCTGACACACGGCATAGAACAGCGGCAGCTCATCAACACCTTTCCCAGCAAGCACCCGCGATTGGTGGAGTTTACCGTCAATGTAGGCGAGCAGGTAGGTGATGACTGTGCGCGCTTGGGAGTCGGAGACGAAACGCGCACGACAGACGATGGAGCCGATGTATACTGTCGCGGCGGTACGCTGGTTCATACTCACATTGCCCAGACCTGGGATCGCAGGCGAGGGCTGAGAGTTGGTGGCGTAGAGCGCTTGACTGACTAGGAGACCGAGGAAAAGGTCGGTGTGCGCGGGGGAGAAAGATGATGTAAAGAAGAGAAGGAAGGGGATATGTTGGGTGGCAGATGTGGGGAGGATTTGGCGAGAAAAAAGGTTGAGCAGGGTTTGGAAATGGGCCAAGCTCTGGGCCTCGCTGACAGGTCGGCGAGGAGCGAACGGCGATGCCGGGACCTCAAAAGTGGGTGTAGACCTGCCTGATGGAGTAGAAGAAGCCAGCCCTTGAGCAGCGAGGTCAACAGCTGAAAAGTGCGGATAGCTGTTGCCCATGTATTCCGAAATGTGCTGGAAAAAGTGCACGAGCATGCCGTCCAGCTTTTCTCGCATTGATTTGACGTTGGCAATCTTCTTTTGCCTCTCTGCCTCGGCCTTTCTGTCATCCACGCCCTCGTCATCAGAATCTCCGCTTTCAGCACCGTCCGCAGAGGACAAATCGTCGGGATCGGGGTCGCCCTCCGAGTCCTCATCGTCGACGCCTAGGGAACCAGGGAGATCGGGGGATAGAGAGCGTGGACGAGGGAGGTCCTGGGATATGGGTAGGTCGAGAGGGTCGAGGGATGCTATCGGGAATTGTGGCATGTCTTCGGAGTCGCTCTCATCGTCAGAGTCGTCCTCGTCATCCTCTGTTGAATTTGTGATTTCCACCTATTTTGGTGTAAGTCAAAATCCCGAGAGAGAATGTATCACTCACGTCTATTCTCAACATCCGTCCTACAATCTCGCCCCAGACTCTCCCACCGAGCTCGGGACAATACCCAATCAACTCGCAGCAGTTCCTCACCCATGTCGTTTGCGCCACTTCCGGTTCGCGCTTGTTTGGGAAATTTTTGATGAGAAGTGGTTGAATGACGTTCGGGAGCGTAGGAATCAGAGATATCAGGTGAGACAGGAGGAGGTGATGCCGGGCGTGGAATGTTCTGCGTGGCAGAGACGTCGCAGTAGGATGGGTCGGTTCTGGGAGACCGTCAGTGGGGCGTCACACGACCCGAAGCGGTTACTCACGCCAGGTCAACCCCTTCACTGCCATACCCACAACCTCCTTCGCCCACCCGGGCTGAGCACTGACAAGCACTGCGGCAAATCCAATGAATGTCTTTACAAACTTTTCATCGCCGGTGGCCCATGGGAGGCTGATGATTGCACTGACCAGCCCGCTGTGGACGTCTGGGGCCAAAAGGGAGACATGCGCAGATACAGCTCGCAGAAGCGGGAGCAGCGGTGGTAGCAGAGGGATAGGCTGGGTAGGCGTGGGCAAGAAGTGAGCGAGGAGGTCGTTGTAGTGCGATAGATTGCCCTGCTTGGACTCCTGGAGCGCTTTCGGGACAAAGACAGCGATGAGCCCCTTCTGGAAGGCCTCCCGATCCTTTGCTCCAGAACTGGTTGCCCGTCCGTCTTTGCTATCCCCTGTGCTCTTTGTCCGCCGAGGTCGAGTTTTGGAGTCGCCGTCTGACTCTCTGGGGCGCTTGCGACCAGCGAGGGACGATGCGCGGGAGGAGGATGCGGTGGGAGAATCGGTGGTGAAGGGGGCGGTGGGAGGGGGCATGGGGGGCTTTGCCTTTGCGTGTTTGTGGAGGGGAGTGAATGCGAGGGCGGACGAGGGCATCCCGCTGGTACATACTGAACAGAAATTTTGGACATTCGTCAAGAGGACATGGGCGCTGATTATGTAACAGACATCCCACCGCGAATGGTAAACCGTCCGTATGAGAAGAATCTTGATCTATTCATCTCTTCATTCTCTAAAGGGCCATTTCCTGGGGACAGCAAGCAGCAATGGAGGTCTTCAAGCCCTCCCTCTTGACCAGCAAAAAGACCTCTCCTCTTCTTATAACCTCGGCAACCCGGCCGTGTCTCTCTGATCCACCTTCTTCTCGTGACAACGGCAAGCTCTCGCGATGGGATCGAACTTCCTGCCACCTTATAAGTACAGTCACCACCATGGAGAATTCAATAACCAGCTTCAAAAACTCGATCAAGGAGCTCCTCGCAGCATGGCTGGGGCTGCTAAATGTCCGCGATATGCTTATGAAAGCTGTAGGACGAACCATTCGACGTGGACGTAATGGTGTCCGTCGCTCTTGCAGTGTATCAACAGGCTGCATGAAGCAAAGAAACGGGTAGGGTGCAAGCTTTGGTCCAGAAATACTGGTAGATGGAGATTGATGCGAGATGTTGACTGACCGCCGCTCGTTGCATGAGACAGGTCGGGTGTGACTTTGCTTTTATATAAGTAAGCGCAATTCTCTTTTGCACCTCTATCTTCTCCCCGTTTCCTCTTCTTCTTGTGGCCCTCCCTCCTTCACCTCCCTTCTCTCTCCTCTTCCTCCGCCATGTCGCAACCAAGCGAACCTCCCTCGACCTCGCCGAGCATTCCTCACCAAGAACAGGAGCCAGCGTCCACCGACAAAGTCGAACCAAATCCCAGTACCCCTCCGAAGACACCCACTCGCCAACATGCATTCCAGCCAAACACCCCTCGCCCTCCCCGCACCCCCTATCGTCCACGCTTCACCCTTGTGGACCGTTCCCCCAACGGACGCTATGTCGCTCGTTCTCCACCCTCCGAGGATGACCCATCCACCGTTTGGGGTGTCGTCATCACCATCTTGTCTTTCAAAGAACAGTTCGCACTATGGGATGAGATCAAGCTTGACAACCGCCTTCTGCAAGCCGATGACGTCCAAGCCGGGCTTTACACTTGGAGGATGGACAAGAAAGAGGAGGATTTGGAGATGAAGCTGGGCGACTGGCTATGCGAGCTTCTCCAAGAACTATCACGCTGGCTGGAAGGAGAGGGGCATGGGAGGTTCAGGAATATCATGTCGCAGTTCTGGATGTGTGTTGAAGATGATGTGACTGGCGAGATTGTCCGAGAGGTGAGCCCGAATACCTCACTATCGCCTCGTTGCTGACATATCACCACAGGGCTCTCCCGACCCTCAGCTTTACAGACCCCTTCGAGGATGGTTCACCAACCTCAGCAACCAACACTACCCCGCCGGCCAGTCTCCTAATCCTGTCCCTCTCCATCTCAAAATCACCTGGGTCACACCGGCGCCTTTCTGCCTGGTCGGCCTCAAAGACCACACCAGCGATGTCGCAAGGAGCCTCGATGTCTCCCAGAAGGGAAAGATCACGCAGGCCGAGGCGAACCGCTGTAGTCTGGCAGGGGTCCTGCTTCCGGACGATCGGATAATCCTTCTGGTCGACTTGGGTCTCAGAAGCAAAGTTACTCGCAAATCCTGGGATGCGACCTCTCGCCTCACAGACTACAAGTGGGACTTGCGTTCAGTCTCTTCACCAGTCCCGACCTCTGCGGACGAAGATGTGATTCGGGCTTTCATTCCCGAGCCCGTCCCTTACTCATTTGACCGCGTACATGGCGATGCCAGCGGTGGAGCTCCGCCCTATATGTTTACACGCCCCTACGCAGAGTCCTACAAACTTGGCGATGAGGACCATTATCACGAACAAAAACCAGACAAGCAGAAGGACCTATGCATTCTCGAGCGCCTGACCAGGCAACTCCTCGCAGAACCGCCAAAAGAGAGAATCGAAATGCGCTACGTCTCTCCCTCTCGCGACCCAGAGTATTTCGTGGACGAGGCAGACCCTGTCTCGCCCTCTCCCAACCCTGAAGCACCAGACTCGGAGAAGCCTGAAGAATCCGGGACGGATCATGTGTATCTCGAGAACGCGCCCCCCTCGGCGTCCATCAGCCAGACCCATGGTCGCTTGCCTCTCAATCCCGACCCACTCGCTGCTCGCTCCCCATCAACGCCTTGCAAGGCTGACAGCTTTTCTCCTCCTGCGTCGCCCACGACCCCTACTCGGAGACGCTTCTTCCATCGCAAAGCGTCGGGGGCTGGGATTGGCGACAGTCCGTCCAGCCCTCATGGGCCGTCGCCCTTGTCTGATCCGCACTTGAAGAGTCAAAAGGGTGGGATGCAGATCACAAAGCGCATGCCTCCACCTCCCCCGCCCACCTTCTCGCCTCCTCAAAGCTTGTTGGAGCCTTCCGGTGACACTCTCCTATCCGGTGGTAGCGCGCCTGAATCACCAAGTTCACGAGACATCACGTTGGACCCTACAACGTCACCTGTTTCCAGCGCTTCTTCGTGCACCACCATCGATGATCCTTTCGCCCTCCCCTCTTCCGAAGCTGGCTATGGATGGTACTCGTCAGGCGACCCCCTCCAAGGCTTTGCCGAAAACTCCTTCAAAGATCACCGCCGGCGATTCTTTCGGTCTTCCACCCTACGCGTACAATGTGGTTATTAAGCCCGTCATCAAGTCCGTCGAGCTTGCCAAAAACAGCAAATCCACCAAAAACACCAACCAGTCTGCCGAAGGCACCAGCAAGTCTGCCGAAGACATCATCAAGTCTGCCGAAGACACCATCGAGTCTACCAAAGACACCACACTCCAGGCCCCCGGTAAAAAGACTAGCAGGCTTCTACACAAGGTCTCTTCCTACTTGTTCCCTAAAAAGAACTGGTATGGAGGGCATAAGGAGAAAAAGCCTCAAGAGAAGACTGGAGAGGAGATGGAGCGTCAGAAGAAGATTGGGGACAAGACGGGAGCGGAGACTTTGCAGGTCCAGCACGAGGCTCAGGTCGAGTATGATGCCACAACCTGCGAGCCCCAGGGCCAAGTCGAAATCGACCGCGTCGTTGCGCCCGAGGGCAATGGCCAAGGACGTGAAGCACCTCGAATTTACGTCAGAGACGATGGCCGAACAGAGACGAGTTCACAGTCTGAAGGGAATGGAGTCGATGGTGGGGCAGTCGAGAAGAATAGTTGGAGGCTTGAAACTACAGGCTGAAGAACGGAGAGAGAGACACTCTGAGGAGGCTGTATCGGACTATCGCTTTGTAGCGCTATGATTAACACTAACATTATTGCACTCGTTGACCTCACTGTCATGAATTTCGTGATTTGCGAAGCATGATAGCGTGCCATGACGAAATTCATGCGAGCCTTGACAGGTGAATGTAAACATCACAGCACGAGATTCCGTATGATGGTGTCTACTCCTCGCCGTCTGGGTCACTCTCGTAGATCTCGTCTGCAACTTCGTCCCCCATAGGCGGCACGACACTCTCCTTCAATCCACTCGCGATAGCAACTCGGCGGAAGAGACGTTCGTGGGCGTATTGCGCAGGGTGTATTTCGTGATGATACCAACTATCACCAAGATATCATTAGCTGGGGTCTGGCGTGCGCATGGGTCTGACGTACTAGTTTACTGCCACTACCAGCCCTTCGTCGCCCTCCTCCTGTTCTACACGATGCCACCAACCAGCCGGCAGGTAGAGCGTCTCTCCCTCTTTCAATGTTACTCTGATCTTTCGAGATGATTTGGGTGTCTGTTTGGAAGCCACCCAAGGGATCTTTGGAGGTCCGTCTCTGCTGGAAGAAAAGCTCGATGAGGAGGACGAGGAAGGTCGAGCCAGGGCGGGGTCGAGGACGGGCACAAGGTCATTGTTCTCGTCGCGTTGAAGAGTTGAAGGGGCATAAAATCGTTCTTTCGTCAAGCATCAGCTCAGATTCCTCTCTCTCAAAGCGAAGACATGCACTCACGTTTCAGGTGGGCGGTCTCGATCGGAGGCAAGAGTGTGAATATCTTGGATCCAGCAAGGACATGATATATGTTCTCGAAACTACACGATCCAACGTCAGCCTCTTTGCAGTATACAACAAAGCGCACGTACGGATCATGATGCAGGGACGTAGTGCTCCGACTATCGCCAATCCAGAGATTCACAGCCTCCGACTCTCTGCCTGCAATGTCGTCAGGTAAATTTAGGCATATTTATGCAATCCAGCGCACCGACAGCTCCTTTCATCCATTCCACGTCCCTCTTGATATACTCTTGGAACATGTTTAGATCTTCAGGATCGCCGGAATAGTGAGGCGTGTCTCGGTAGATGTTGCCGTCCTGGGATTGGAGGTAGTATGCTTCTCGGTCTTCTTTAGGTTTCCTGTTCCCTATGAAAGTATTAACGGGGGACGAAATCACATATCGGAGACTTGCCTAGACGAGACACCAGGTCTTTGATGGTCATTTTCGCATCGAGAGCTTTGACAAACGTCTTGCGTCCATTGGGCAACGTCCTTACTGAATCTGCCCATCTACAAGATCCTTCCTCCAGTCAGTTTCTTTCTTGCACTCTAGCCTGAAATCAAGAGCATACCCATCGTCTGTGACAGCAACAGTGACCTTTTTATCACCCGCTACATCCTCATAAACCTTCGACTTGCTCCAGTCATGCCCTTCAGCGGATTCTGAAAGAGGTGAGAACCCTAGTGCTCTGCGTCAGCACTATCTCTGAGACCCAGGTATGTACAGCTCACCTTTGATGACACAAGGATGACCATTGTGTATCATCCTCAGAGCTTCCAAATCTGACGGTAGCGTCTTCATGATCGTTGCTTCTCTCGGGGCCATATCTAGAGAACAGTCAATTTCGATTTTGACTTCTCTCGCCGAATGGTTTACCATAGTAGTCCTCTACACTCTCCTCTATTGACCTCCTCAAGTCTCTAGAAGGGACATCGCCGTTTACCGTCTTCTCAAAATGGTCGAGATGGTCGAGATCATAGGGGTCGTATGTGGAAGAGGCGAGGCTTTTTTCAGAGTTGGATCGACGCATACTTGGCGGGAAAAGACTTTGAGATTGTAGAAACGCCTTCTTCAGCTGCGGGCTGGGGTATGATAGTGGACAGGCTGAGAAAAGGCTACAGAGAGCAAAGAATAGGGCAAGTCTCAACTTTTACGCATAATGTAATTTATGTTTTTAACCAGGTTTGTACGCAGTTGGACTTATGTTTTTAACCAGGTTTGTACGCAGTTGGACTTAAATTACTAATCTGTTTGTTTGGTTCAGCTGAAGTGCCCGAGTTGGGAACAAGCTTCAGTCCCATGACGAAGATTTTCCTCCCGGCAGTTCCTATCTCGTCTTCCATAGCATTCTCAATCATTACGCAGAGGTCAGCACAATCAGTCAAAGTGGCCGCGCAGGTTGAATCGAGATACTCAAAAGTACCAAAAAAGCCATAAAGTATGGTTCACTCGAATGAGATGCTCGGGATCACATATAATATATACATAAACTCGACGAGCTTATAAGGTCAACAGCTACGATGCCGGTCGCTAATTACTGTCTTCTACGGGGGAACTATGAGGAATGAAACGTTATTATAGAATGTGGTAAAAAGTGGTAAAAGTCTATGTAATCTTCTCTTGACTAAAAGTCCATGTATCCTTCTCTTTACTCAAAAGTCCATGGATCTTTCTCCCTCTACCTGACGGCCGCCCTGCCTTCCTTCCCGCTTCTACGCCATCGCCTCCACCTCATCCCAGTAGAACGGCTGGCCCCCAGCCTCACAGGAGCTCCCCACATCCATCATTCCCTCCAGGCCCAGAAAGTTGTTGGTCATAGCCGGGCCAGTGAAGAGGGCCACGGCAGGAAAGTCGACAAGGAAGTCCCAATGACCTTTCTCGGCAACATCCATCTCAAGACCGAGAGTTGGGCCAAAAGTGGCGGGGGGCGGGCTGGGAGTGGTAGGGGCTGGCAGGGAGACGTGGACATTGCTCGCCGTGGCGGGGTCGGAGGCCACGTAGGAGACAAAGGACCAATCGATCTCGGCTTCATCAGGCTGAGCTTGGAACTCTGGCATGCCGGCAAGGCCGTTGGAGCCATAGTTGAAAGAAGGAGCGGCAGCAGGCTGAGACTCGAAACGGGGAGCAGGACCAGTAATGTTGTTCATGGGTGGCGCAATGACCATCTCTTTACCATCCTCCAAGAAGATCTCCAGACCGAGCTCGATAGCCCTGGGTCTCATTTTCCCTTCGCCTCTACCCTCTAGCCAGAAACAGCACTTGAGGCCTCGGCTAGCGCACCTTCCGCAGCGGTAGATGTCGTCCACATTGCACTAATGCTTATGTCAGCCTCTTTGGTCGATTCATGGATGGGATGGGGTGTACTCACACTTCTCCGGGCAATTCGACAGCACTCGCAGGCCATACTGGAGCGGGTGTGCTTCTTGGTGCGCTTGATGCCGGCCCGCTTCAGGTGGGCAGGGGTCGGCGCCTTGGCAGGGCTCTTGTTGGAGCGGTTGGGAGAGCGCTTTTTGCCAGCAGACTTTTGAGTGGGAGTGATGGGGGTCTTGGAGATGACAGTAGAAGCAAATTTAGGTGTGGTAGGAGGAGAGATTGGGACGATAGAGGGCTCGCGAGTGAGAGATCCCGCAGTATCGTCGATGGTGCCGGCCTTCTGTATCTATGTCAGCGCCTTGCCAGAGCTTGTTCGTGTAGAGCATGCTTACCTCGGGAGCGGGCTGGATACCAAACTGGTAGTTGAAGAACGCCTCCCGGCTCACTTTCACACCATTGTTGAAAAGCTCCGCGTCCTGGCTCACTTTCACACCATTGATGAAAAGCTCCGCGTCGGCTTCCTCCTCGTGAGAGGGAGTGACAACGGTCTGGGCAGAGAGCTCATTTGTGCTAGGAGCAGAACTGGTGGAAAAGTTTTTGGTTGGGGTCTGGAAGGTGGTGGTAGAAGTAATTCGAGAGGTGGCGGGAGCAGAGACGGTGGCGATTGAAGGATCGCAAGTGGGGGATCCCGCAGTCTCGACAGTGGCACCGGCCTTTCGTGCCCATGTCAGCGTCTTACCAGAGTCCGTTCGCAAAGAAAATGCTTACCTCGGGAGCGGGCTGGATGCCAAAGTGGTAGTCGAAGAACGCGTCCTGGCTCACTTCCACACCATCGATGAAAAGTCCGTCCTCGGCTTCCTCCTCGTAAGAGGGTGTAGCAACAGCCCCGGCGACAAGATCCTCTGTGCTGGTGTCGCGATAGGTAGGGAGAGAGAAAGGGAAGGGATAGGGTACTATGGGGGAGATACCAGAGAAGCACAGGCTGTCAGAAGACATGGTGCTTATTGGGTGATGGGTTTGGGTTTGGGTGTGTGTTGGTTTGGGTGTGAGAGTTGAAACGAGCGTGAAAGCGGGATTCGATAAGCAAAGCTTGTGTAAAGGAAAAAAGAACAATTCTGAACGTCGAGGGGGGCATTATATCTGCTCCATGGGAAACGGCGTTGCCCAATTGGGACGAACGGAGGGCGGTGCATGGGTACAGGGAGTTGCGGGATCTTGGTCCGACCTTTGTAAAACCGCTCCTTGTCAACCACGCATCCGATTTTCTTCATTCCTGCACTGAAAGATGCGCCTCGACCGTGGCCATACACCAGTGCCCTAGTCGTTTCGTAATACAGCCTGTGAACCGAGATACACGCGTTTGAGGGATAAAGAACTGAATTTTCGAACGCGTTCAGTGACGACTCTTTTTCAGGTACCATCAAAATACTCGAATTTTCCCACGCAATCTGGCTTGCGACGCTCGTAGGTGCACAGCGGAGCGCACCGCCCGGTCTAGCGTAGACGGAATTACAAGCAGGGGGGTCGAGCAATGACGGAAGACTGGGAGGGTTGAGTGACGGGTCGTAACGGGACGCGCCGAGAATACCTGTCGAGTAGAACTCGCACGACCTTGCCGGGGGCAGCATCAGCCCCGCTAGCTCACCTTGACTACCAGTGACCCCAGGACAAGCGCCAGGGCGAACTGGGTCGAATGGAACCAAATATTGCGGAAGAGCGGGCATCAGGGTAAACTGTCTCTGACGCGCTTCGGTTTAGCCTGATCTCGCGAAACGCGGAAATTTCCTGATCGGGCAATAGGTGGACGATGGATACGAATGTTGAGCGATGGATGCATGGGATGATGAGAGAGGGGGAGGGGGAGGGTGGCAGTAGTCTTTGGAGTGTGCATGTCAGCCTGTCACAGGTCGGATAGAGATGTCAGCCTTGCCTACCACTCAAAAGGCGACATTACGCCCCGCTCAACGGGAAGCCGCAACTGTATCTCATGGCTCCATGTACCGCCCTTGGTTGTTGAGCGTCTTATCGATGAAGTACTTGCTACCAAGAGCATGTAGAGCCGTCTGGTTCCACTTTCCTAGAGTGCCAGGGGCGAGGACCGAGCGAAGTGACCAGAGTGCATTGGCGTGCTCCATGTTTTCTCTTGTCTAACGACATTGATCAGCTTGGATCTTTGAGCTCTATGGATCAACTCTCACCAGAGCATTTGGGTCACTCTCTTTCCCTGAAAGTTCTGCTTTGAGTTCCCACAGGTCTTAAGTGATCTGTTCTCTGCTGTTCAGAGCACAATGCGTCGTCAGGGAGCACATCATGAGAATGCGGAATGTCCTAAAGTCTGCATTGATACCTGTGGCTACTCCAAGTCAGTATACAGACCAAGTATCACCCAGACACTCCTCTGACTTACTTGGGAAAGTACGGCAGTCATCTGCGCGTGTTGTCAGAAGAAAAGTTGGAAGAAAAGACGAACATGACAACCATCGAACACACACTGCAAGAGGAAAGAGCCGACCACGTGACTGCGGCTATGACCTCTTGCAATTTAGAAGTTGAACAGAGTCACAAGATTTGGAGACGTAAGGCGAGCAGTATCGAGTGTAATGCTGTATTGAGCAGTGGACGACTGCTGACAAGAGGTGCGACTTGGTTATGCGGGCATACATCATATCTATAAAAGTACACCGGTACATACATCCAATTCCAAGTTAACATATAGACAAGATGCTAAGCAAAATCAAAGTGGTGAATTGAGAATGATTGACTTTTGGAGCGGTGGATTAATGTCTAAATGCTCTATGATGCTCTACTCTCCCTGTCTCTCCCTCTCCTGCTATCTCTCTCCTTTGCCTCTCCCTTGAGTCACTCTACGCCCCCAGCTTGGCAGCCACCAGCTCGTAAATCAAGAACATGCACGCCGCATTCGGCACAACCCTAAACATGTGCGCCGTCAACCCGCCATACAAGCTCCTCACCCCCTCCTCCCTCATGACCACCTTCAGCGTCTGGAGCAGACCAGTGTACTTGGGCGCGGTGCCAGCGGGAATGGGTTGACGAAGTCGGGTACGGATAACCTCGTGCGGATAGGTGATGAGAGAAGCGACGGCCTTGGCGCCACCGGAGGCACCAACGATGTGAGGAATGTAGGAGAGAAGGGGTTGAGATTCGAGAGGGGAGGTGTTGTTGAGGCGTTTGAAGCGCTACCAGATCTTGTCAGTTTGAACCTCATGACTGAAATAAGTACGCACTTCGTAAAGAACCCATTGAATCACACCCTCAGACACACCGAGGTAACTCGCCGACAGACCCTTGTAAAGTCCGCGGAAGCCCTCTTTCCGGATAATGTCCATGGTCATCTCGATCGCCGGTGTCAATGATGACTTGGCAGCGATAGCTGCTGGCGCAGCGGCAGTGACAGAGCCTGTAGCAAGAGCAGCAGCGCTCTTTGCGATGGGTTTTGGCAGGACCCCACTGCTCCCAATGCCCGCTCCCTTTCCAGCTCCAACCGCCGACGCCACAGGTGCAACCTCCCTCCTCTTTGCCGACAATTGCAGCCTCGTTTTCACCACCCAGATCGGGTTCGTCCCCGTGCTCGTCATGATACCCGCCACCACCGCCGCTCCCAGGTGCACCAGCGGCGAGTCTTCTGCGCGGCCTCGCGATCCGTCATGCCGTGTTTCGGCGGGAGCGTTGGGAAAGGCAGAAGCAAGGTAGGCTTTGGAGGTTGGGTAGAAGTAAAAATTGATAGCTCGTGCTGGGATGATACCGGCAAGGGAAGGACCAAGACCCTTGTAGAGGGCCCGCCAGCCCTCCTCGACGCCTATCCGCTTGATCAGGTAGACAGTGTCGACAAATTGATATAGCGCGCCTCCAATTGCGCCGAGACCCTTGCCAGCTTGGCCCTTGGCCACACCTTCGGCAGCTTTGCGCACGCTTTCCTCAGACGAATGCCGAAACATGTCGGATTGGAGCCGGGTCTTGACGACATCGAAGGGAGATGTGACGATGGCACCAGTCATTCCGCCGAGACTGAGCAAGTCGGGTCAGCACCTTTCGAGCAGGGCAGTAATGATGTGACTTACCTTCCCGCTACAGAATGCTGCCATCCTTGCAATTTCTTCTGACCGCCCGATGACGGCCCAGCGGCCGGCGATGGAGTGTCTGGTGGGGGGGCGATGGCGGTAGGGGAGGGTTCTGTCGATGTGGGGAGGTAGGTGGCTGAGAACGACTTGGACATTGCCAGGGATGGGGAGAGATGTAAAAGAGCTGTGAATGGTTGTGAATTGACGAGACGGTGACTGGAGATCCAACTTTTCCTAGCTTCACAGTGGAGGTTACGTAAGCTTACCAACGTTGAACAATGACAAGATTACCATAGGAGGGATTTGCATGCAGTCAAGTACAGGGATGCATGGGCAGGGAACTGCCGGGACAGGCATAGACTACGGTACGTCTGAGATGCATAGCAATGCGCTCGACGACGCGAACATCTGCAATTTGCCCGCAGAACGTCATACCTCCTGTAATGCTATGGGATGCTGACTAGGCCAAGTTGCCATGGTCTCGCATCTGAGGTAGTTAGATTTCAGCCTTGTCGATGTATACACAGGCCTTGGGCTGAGTAGCCCAGCGCGATGGCAAGTCTGGCTGGCGGAAGGCGTTTTTAACCCTCACCGTCCAACCAGACTGTCGCTGCCAGACCTGGACTTGGCCAAAGACAGCCAGCGCCCATCCATATCGTCTCTCTGCCATGTCTATCGTTCGTTCTCATACGTTCAAGTCGCCCCAGCTCTTGGCCTGCGGCGGATTTTTCCTACATCCCGTCCACCCAATCAACGCCTTGCCTTTGCACGTCAATAGCAAGACCACTTACAAGAAGACTGGGTCTACTACGACCTTCTCTGAGTCCGATTTCGAGGAGGGGAAAGGCTTGACAAGTCGGTTGGTCACCTCGATGACTGGTTTGTTCTCGCCGCATCTGTGGATTGGTGTCAGTTGTCGTCTCTACTGCCTGGCGGCTAATCGCCCGTAGTATGTAGCACGATTCTGGCATGGACCTTGTATAGCCTCAAGACAGTTGCAAGCTTACTGATCAGTCAAGAGAACGAGATGCTTACTTACTGACGAAAGATCCGCTCGAGGGGCCAGCAAGTGACGTGCCCGCGCCTCTGTTCCGGGGAGCATTGATATTGGGTGATGGCCGTGAGGACGCAGGGTGGGTCGACATATTGTTGGGCTCTGGGTGTCTTCGCGTGAGGGGCGGCGGACATGATGGGCGGCTGGGAATTATGTATAGATTGTGATGAAGAAGGGACGAATGAAAGAGATGATACAAAATCACCGGCGGGCAGTGGGCACTGCACTCGTCTTTGGCGCTTCCATCCGCCGTCCTCTTTCACCCAGAATCGTCTTGTCACTTCCAGCATATCCTGAAACATGTCTCCCTCGCCGCCGCCCACCAACGTCCTCCTCAACCCTCTCCCCGAGCTCATATCCGCTCTCGCCTCGAACGCCTTTGGTATACGACCCGGGCCAGACTCGGGCGTGGTGGAGGAAGCCACATGGCCGCGGACGGAAGAGGATGTGAAGCTAATCAGGGCGCGACTGGGGCGAAACGGACTACTCGAGGAGAAGGATGGCGAGGAGAAGGTTAGGGGGAAAGTGAAGGTGGGGTTAATCGGGGGTGAAGGAGATTTGGTGGTCGTGCTTGACCAGCGGGGATGGACCGTAAGTGGCTGCTTCTACGCCATAGTCCTCTTTCTTCCACTGACCTACCTGTCTGAGACATAGATCGAGTCTGCACAAGGCCCAGCATCGACAACGTCCAAAATTGGAACCACATACGAATCGCTAGAGACGTTGCTGATAGCAACGAGTAAGAGCTACGCGGAGGCTATGAATCAGGAGATTTGGAAACGGTTCGAAGGTTTCACGGGAAGGGAAGATCATGAAGAGCATGCAGAGTGATGAATGATGACCGAGCCTTCGGAATGGCGAATTGTACAAAAGGACTTGTATTTGAGAGGTGATTCATTCAGTGCCGGACTGTCCGTGCTTCTTCTCTACCGACTACCAATCCATACAACACTCTCCTCGTATTCCACAGGACCTATCCACACCCGAGACAGATGGATATCCCCTGAGAAAGACCCCAAGATTACTCGCTTCGGGGCTTGGAGAGGACTCGGTGGGAAGTCTCCCTGAAGAGGTACTGCTTGTTGGGGGTACCGTCGGCGTTGGTGCCGCTGACAGTGTCGATGTTGGCTGTGTGTTTGTCAGTACTGCTTGATGAGAGTCGTGAGAACAGAAAGGGACGCACCCTCGACGTAGAGCAAAGAGCCAGCGGCCAAGTTCTCAAGACTTCCGGCGGCGTTGCCCTGTCGGAAGCTGAAGAGAGTGAACCAAGAAGATTCACGGGCGGGGTCTGCAAATTTGGCATTAGTACCTGGGAAAAGTCTGGAAGGTGAATGCTTGGTAGCCGGGCACTCACAGCCAGCCTCGTCAAGGATGACCTCTACGCATAGATGAGTCAGCAAGATGGCCATTGATATATTACCAACGGGGACTCACTGCCTTCAGCATCACGCTTGGGGGGCTTGCTCACAGCGAGAGCATACCTGCGCTCCCTATCAGCTGCCAATCATTTGCAAGACACACCATCACGCGACGCGACGCGTCAAGACATTACATCCTCCCCTTTCCCGTCGTATTGAAATTCGCACCACTCACCGCAAGTATTCCCTGCCAGCAGCAGTGGTGCCCTTCTCGGGAGTGGCACCAAGGCGGCCAATGAACTGGGCCTTGGAGACGAAAGAGCGGGCCTGCTGCTTGGAGGCGGAAGCGGTGGCCTGCGCTCAAAGTCAGCTCCACATCCCCCGACTCGTTCTCTGGGTTCGGCTCACGCGGAGGGCGGGGGTGGTGGCCTGGCGGAACATTGTATGTGGATTGTTGATATGTGGAAGCAAGATGAGATGTGAATTGAGCCCTTATTGTTCACGACGCGAACTTGCCGGATCGGGTGTTGAGGTGTAATTACGTAACTACTAACGAGCTTGTGCCGTGTACATAACGTAATTGGGCCGGTCACTCAACTTGCTTAAAATCGCACTCGGCCTGGTGGTATGGCTCACGTATAGCCAGTGTGGAATGCAAATGGATCTGTTTGCACAAGCTGACTGGCCATGAAGAGGAATGCATAGTCTGTTCATCGAAAAATCATGGAAAAGGTGGGCGGGTGATTCGGGACCAAACATCAGAGCCTGACGGATGTCGCCGCCGGTATCGTGGGAAGGCCATGATGAGTGATGGTGAGACTTTGCTCTTCCTACTCGGTCAATATACAGCGTACAGCTCTAGATGCTTGAGGGGACAGATACCTTGGCCCCGCTCCCTCCTCCTTCGACCACCGCCCCCTCCCCGCTTCAATCGCTACTCGCTGCTCAGACGGCGACCGTCTCCCATCAAATTGGCTCAGTCGCACCGAGACAACATGGCTCCAAGACTTTGTCACTTTCTCAGAAGCAGATGACTTCGAGCTGCGTCCTCAGTGATGAATCCTGGTATGCCCGAGGTACGCATTTGGCTGGAAGACGCTCTCGCATCTGAGCTGTATGCTGATGATCATTACGCGTCAGGTTTGATCAATGTCAGCAGCGACCATGTCTTCTCGTTTAAATGCGCTCCCTGCTCCCTAGCACAGAAGTCGGATGTCATGATCCATTGCAAGAACGCCTCAAGACACACAAAGGACCCGGGTCATGTTCAAGGGTTGTTTTCTTTCTTTCTCAAACAGGAGGGCAAGAAAGTAGAGAATGACATCGAGATTGTGAGGAGCAAGCTTGCTGAGTGTATGGAGGGCGACGTGAAAGATATAGATTGGATGAAAGGATTCGCAGACAGGATTCAGGAAGTGTTGAAGAACAAACCAGCTTGGCAGTGTGAGTCTGACTCTATTCGTACCTGCAGTAACTCATGGCAGGTGTCTAGCTATGATTCAGCAGCATATCGACCATTCATCCTCGATCTACTACCACTGCTCCGCCTGCTCCATGAACACTGGATCCAGCCCACATCTGGAAATATCAGTCGGTTTGCTCATCCGGCATCTCCGGGATGCAGACCATATTCAACGAGTGCCCCACAAAGACGCACACGACGTATGCGAGTCGAATGCCTCGGTCCCCTATAAACCCGAGTGTGGGCTATCTCCTCCCACCTCGATCCCCGCTGCTCTCCCACAGAGTGCATCTGCCAGCGTCCCATCCTCTCCCCATGCGGACTTGCCCGTACCAGGTACCAGCTCGTTGGACCTCGACGACGACGCTCCTATCAATATTGGAGAATCCACAAGCTATGAACCTTCTGATCCCAACAATAAGGGCACGCTCGAGGCCTTTACAAGCTCTCTGCTTCCACGATCATCCTCCGCAACATCTTTCTCCACGCCATCGTCCTCCATACTCATCACGCCCAAGGCCTCCATCTCAGTTCTGCCACTTCTTCCACTTTTGCCCCCGAAATCTCTCACTCACTACTTGAATCAGCACCTCAAACGACCTTCTTCCGCGTTATCCGATCGAGAGGCTAGCTGCCAACAACGCCCAAGATTGGTCGCACACCCGTCTTCTGGTGGGAGCGAAGGCGGTGCTTCGCGGCCGGCGCTTTCGAGAAAGGGTCGTGCTGAAGAGGAAGCGACCGCCAACAAAGATCTGATGAACGAAGAAGTGTGCAGTGGCAGTGGGACGCTGTATCAGCAGGCGCTCAAGTCCGGTGATCTTCATATCAAAGAGATAGAGAGACGTGGCGAGAAGCTAATGGCAGCCTTCAAAGGTCTTTTCGAAAGTGGTCTATAACCTCGCGTTGAGTCTCGCCGCATTCTGTATATGACTCGTACGATTACTTCATCCACCATGCGTTGATATATCTCTCCGGTAGGCACAGTTTCCAAGCAGGCCCAAGACATAGTGGTGTGGTACTTTGGTAAACCAACTTCTGATGCATCATACTCATGTTTATGAACAACCGGATCAACTTGTCTCCTAATGACGCACAGTAGCGTACAGATTAGTCGTGTTCAGGCGGGAAGAGGAAGAAGGGTCAAAGAAGACAAACAATAATGAGGGGCTCTTCCTTCTACTACAACAACAATAACGATAAGACAAACAAGAAACATGAAAGCAACACCCCTATAGATACCGCCTACCCTCATACCTAGTCCGTTATTGCCACTACCAACCTGACAGCATGAAGAGCGATCATTTCAACGACGCTATCTCAGCCAGGTTTCCAGAGAAGCGTGAGGATGATCATCTGAAACGAACCCTTCCTTGTGGCGCCTTGCGTTGGCTGAGGACGATACCTTCAAGCTCTTGCTGACTCGGTCGGGCGAGTTCGTCTGGTCTTCCGAAAGTTGCCGCTTCAGCAGGAGAGGGCTCCGAGCACCACTAAAGGGGCGCAGTGGGATAGGTGCTATAATGGAAGGACAAGGGGTACTTCTCGTTTCCCCTTGTCGATGACTCCTGCTACGCATGTAGTAGGAGACGGATTGATTGTGTCCGTCGCTGGAGAGGTGAAAATTGAGAGCGGTAGGGTCGTCGGCGAGTTTTCCGCGGTAACAGCCTGTGAGAGAGCAAGCGCTACAGCGGTAATATGTGTGGTAATCGTGCACGTCTTGGAAGCGGATGATGCCTAAGAGAATTGAGTACAAAATTGCCTGGGCACATTATCATGAGTTCTCACCTATGGGAGCCAATGTGTCCTCAATGATGAGATCAGGAGGAACAGCAAGGTTCAAATCTCCACCGGAAGGCCGAGACGATACAGGAGTGTGTTCCACTTTGTCTTTGACAACGGGAAGGCTGAGCGACTGATCACATGGCAAAGGCAGTACCAAGAGAGGATTCCTGGCTCTGGCAGGCGCCGCCATCCTACTGGGCATTCTGACATTCCTTCTTCGACTGGGTGGCCAATCAAGATGTCTCGGCCACGGATGGGACGCGGAGAGCTCAGGCGGCACCATGAGACGATTGGGGGACCTCTGGCTAGGTACAGAATCTTGCGGGGCCGATACCATATTAGGAGAGGATGGAATATAGGGAGTGGGAGGGAAAAGGGTCATAGGCACAGACGAAGGGGTAGACGCTCTCTCCCCAGGTTTGACGGTTGGCCTCGAGGCGTTGTGTGTGCGCCAAGAATGAGGCCTACCAGTAAGCGAGCTGTGTTGAGACGAGATGGGAGGTGTCTTGGTTGCTGGAGAAGTAGTCCATTGGTGCTGGCGTGGAGAGACGACAGTCGGGGGCAACTCGGTGCAAGAGGAGAGCAGCCCTGGGGAAGACATCACAGATTGGTGGGTCTCCTCTAGGGTGGCATGAATGGAAGCCGGTGAAAGAAGAGGTTTGAGATGTCGACAAGATTGCCTCGAACAACAGGCATGGTGATTCATGGAGGAAGAAGGCAATGATGGACTCGAGGAGGGTGATCGTGAGGCAGGAGGGGTACGGCGCACCTTGGCTCCTGGAGCCTTGCGCGGCACGTATTCTGCCCCGTCGTTCTTGTGTGTCGATTCGTCGAGATATGGGTCGCGGCGCGCCTTATGCTCATCTGAAAAGGTGTGCTGGCGAAAGCACTCGGTACCGTCAGGCATCGTACTAGGGCGTTCAGTGGCTTCTGAACACGCGGTACAGCCATGGCAGAGGGTAAAATCATCGTCGTCCTGTAACTTTGTGATGCCTGTTATTTGCGATTAGCTTGATTCAGACCTCCTATCATTCGTCAGAGTACTGCCATAGAAAGGCTCACCTTGCGCGCCGCACCTTGAACGAGTCTCGCGCCTGGACAACTGCCCGGCTTCCCGATAAGTCTTAACCCTCCTATTTTGGTGAAAGACATCTCGAACAGTCACCTGGGCTGCCTCGGACGATTGCGAGACCTGATCAGAGCTATCAGAGTCCGAATGAAGATCGCCCTGCATTTCTGATACCGTCCCAGACTGCGGTCGATCGAGCCTTCTTGATTCCCCATCCAAGCTGCTGGTATCCTCCAATTAAGAAGGTTGTCATGTGGCGATGTGGGCAAAGAATTTGTCTGCTCTGGAGTTCGATCTGAAATATTGATGACGTATGAGCCTTCGAAACTACAGTATACTGAGGTGTATGAGCACGCGTACGGGGCACGTCAAGCGATGACGGCCGGGAAACTTACTCGTCCGAGGGAGCTGCTCCCTGTCGTACTCGCGGCCGTTTGTGTGTAGCCAGAGTGGACTGAGATTCAAAGTAATGAGATGATGTTGGTGGCGATCAGAGTCTATTACACCTGGGGAGGGAAATCTGAGACTGCAGGGGGTGAAACGTAGAAGCAAGAGAGTGATCTGAGGGGATATATAGCTGAAGGGGTTATGTATATAAAGCGGTAGCCATCGATAACGTACATGGTATGGATCTGGTAGGGAAATCTGGGAGCACAGAGATTGATTGAAGGGGCACATCCCTCTACCTCTTTTTGCCGCAAGGAAAGAAGAGGCAATACATAACGAATGATTCGGTCGGAGAAAAGAATGATCGAGAGCGACTTGCGACGCCCGCTTGGTCCGATCCGAACATTAGCGTTTGCGTCGGGCTCAGTGTGCTCGGTGTTCCGATGACGGGAGATGATCTGCGAATCTCTTCATCTCGCATCTCGCGGGAGTTATCTCCAGATCCAGCAGATTCTTCTCCCGTGTGACCCCAGTGATCCACCGAGAAGAAGCCTCGAGGGGGAACCATGGCGATGCCGGCGGCTTGGCCTATATATGTCGCGTGTAGCCGGCACGTTCGCATGAGACTCCGGGGCTTGCTGCTGGCAATATCTCTGTATGTATAAGCTGACACGGGGTTCGAGTGGGGTTCGAGTTTGAGTCGGAACCATCCGAGAGAGCGGCATCTAAGTGACTGTAAGCTTGGCAATCCGTACGCATGGCAGTTTGTCACTATACAAAGGGTGATGACTCAACAAATCTGATAGCATGCCGTGATATATCTTGCTGAAGTTATAATAGTACTATACAAGGACCGTATCAGTACTTGCCCTCGTATCACGAGAGTCGGCTGCATCGCTGAGCTGTCAGACCTCGCCTACTCAGGAGCGAGCTTCTGGCGACGACTGCACGACTATGTGGAGCAGTAGAAAACTGCATCATACCATGCGGCGGCGACCCATGCCGTAGTATGCGTAGAGTGTTTGGTTGTGCCGCTGGATGGGACGAGATGTTCCATTTCTGGGATCTTTGGGGGTCTTCTGGCTACTTTGGGAATGAGGTCTGGCGCGGATAGACGGCTTACGTGAATAGTGCATACGAAGGGATGATTCGACTGGGCACTGCAGTCTTGGTACCTAGACGCCGAAACACCCTCTCACTACTCCGCCCGCATATAGCCCTGTCACTCACTCAAGACACATGCGTGCGATGAGACTATTCCATAAGTAGAGATGATTATAATGGTATGTGGTCGTGTACTCATTATACACAGAGCGGATCAGCCGCGCTCATCAGGCTTGAGAACTGAACTCCACCGTTAGATTTCAGCAGCCGCACCCCTTCCAAATCCTTCCCCGGTCAGACATTGTTTTTCCCTAGTAGCCTACCTCTCTCGTACGAGCTCGCCCTTCGGGTCACGAAGGCGGCGCCGCACATAATGAGAAGTGTGTGGGCGCGCGTCTGCCGTTTCAGAGTCGATGAGGAAGCCAGACGTCTCTGTAGCCCTAGAATGCGCATCAGTCAACATCACAAAAAGCAGAATCGTGTGACTGACTGACTGCAGGTGATTCCCAAAGAACCTCCTATCATTTGCCCTTCATCATGCGCTCGTATACCTGCATCAACTCATCTCCCAATCTGTTGATCTCCTTTACGCGGGCGGCCATTGGCATGCTGGGCGCCTTGTTGGCTGTTGCCGTTCTCGTGGACGCAGAGGATGTTGATGGAGGAGCGGCGTGCTTTGCAGGGACGGGATTGGAAGGGGAATACGCTCGTGTGGAGCGCTGTACGACCGGAGATTGTCCCCGCGCAGGCGAGAGGACTCCACTGGCGCCACTGGTGGAAGATACCCCCTGTCCGTCTTGTGATGCCACAGAGGAGCTAGCGGTGCGCGAAAGAGAGACTGACCGATCTTGAATTGTCGTCCGTTCTGGCGTTTTCGATGGCGTCTGAGGCTCGGAGATGGCCGAGATATCGACAGCCATTTGCTGCGTAGGTACGCCCTTCGTCTTTCTCGTGCAGGCCATCCGCTTGCGCGTGGCCTCTATTGATTGATTTTGGGCTGATCGGTGGGCACTCGTAGACAGTGTATGGGCTTCCGTTACCATATGGTTGACAAGGGAAGGCAGGAGGCCCAGGAGGTTGCCCTCACGCACAGCAAAGGCTGAACGGGGCCAGCACCGACAAGACGCGCAATAGTATTGATAGAAACCCAGCTCATGGCGGTGTATGATCCCTGTACCATTGTCAGTTGGTGAAACGATATACGAAAACGAGCTTGCCTGCAAATTGACTCAGTGCATCGCCGCCGTACAAGAGAAACCTGAGATGGGACCTGGCGGTGTCATCCCATTCGCCATATCCTCGTACAAAAGCATCCGAGCATTCAGCAGCTTTCAAGTCAGCCAAGACTTTATACCCCTCAGCTCTATGCCAATACCACAGTGCAGTTTGGTGGTGGGCAGAGCGCTCATGTGGATCTGCTGGACCTGGAATTTCGACAGTCATACCGTTGCTGGCAAAGGAGCACGCATAGCATCTGAAACGAGACTGTCTGGCTTCTGGTGTTGTCAGACTCAAAAGGCCTATGAATGTCCGTCAGAATTGCAGGAATTAGACTCGGTACACGGTACGTACCCCGGGCAAAGTACTCTTCAACCGTGAGTGGACGGTTCACTTTGATCGCTTTTGAGCTCTCTGAGCTGTAATTGCCGGATGCCAGAGCATCGCCTTTTCGCTTGTTGTGGAGAGGTTGGGACTCGGGCTTGGAGCTGGCAGAGACTTGCTGCTGATGGTATTGAGGGGATCGAGGAGCGCTTGATGGGGCGGCGTTTATCGGAACTGGGGCAGCGAGGGGAGGAGGGTCTTCGGGGCGGTGAAGCTCCATGTACTCCATCTTCCAGACAAGGCGCTGGCAGTTTATATGATATGCAGCGATACAAGCGTGGGATGAGCAGAAAAATGCGAACAATGAGAATATGACTGAAAACAAAGCCGGGGGGTGGCCCTGGCGTCAGGGTCGTCGGCGGCCGGAAAAACAATCGCATTTCTTGTTTGTGCGATTGGTGACAGTATCTGAACAGTGTGAGTACCAGTAAGTCTGTCGAGGGCATGGGGGCATCTTGGAGCCGTATCTACTGCCAGGAGGTACTCCCCCCTACTCACCTGCCCTCGCAGCTACGCCCTTCGATACTCCAGATCCCATCAGGCAACCGGGGAGATCGGGGTCGGAGGACAACACCGTCGGCCTGCCTGGGAAAGGTATGGCGGATAGTCTGCTCGAGTCAAGTGCAGACCAAGACGGGGTCCAGCAGCGTCTATATGGCTTTGTACCCCGCTCGACCCGACCGCGACGCGCATGGGACCCATCCTCACCCCTCGTTCAAACATGTTGTGGACGATTATATATATCAACTTTGCCCGGCAGGCTTGACTCCGTGCTGATCTGTGTGTGTGATGAAGAATTTCGAGTAGCATCAAGAAGCTGCCCAGGATCGAACATGGTATTATCATCATTTCTCTTCTACCCATCAACCTGCACAATGGCCTCTGCTGGCAACCATACAGCCCACGCTCACAGGCCCGCCCCCTACGCCAGACCACCACCGCCTTACTACCCCACGCCTCTGGTGTCTATCACAGAGCTACGACAGTCTGTCTGCTTTCACTGCACCCAGTTCTACCAACTCAAGGTCCCCAAGCAGACGGGTGATGGGCATGACGAGACGCCTCACCACCGCCAGGCGTTACAGATGCTGAACGGGGCACACAACATATCCTTGGGAGAAAATCAGCAGAGCATGGGCATGGGAGGCGAGAAGCCCGGAGGTGCAAGAATGGGTGACGAGAGACCCCAAGGCTGTGAGTGAAGAACGGTCATAATGAAGACACAACTGACATATATTCCAGGGATCATGCCTGCTCCCGGTTACAATGCTCAGGTTCAGCAGCCTGTCCCCTCGTCGGTCAACCATTCTCGGCCTTCCCATCAACATCCGCCGTATCACTTGATCCCTTCCCAAAGTCTCGTTTGCCACCCTTGCACAGCAGCTATTGGTGAAACCATGGTTGTCCAGAACGATCCCAATTCTGTCTGGCGGCATCAACAGTGGCCCTTGCATGTCGAGCGGGAGAGGGTCTTTATGGAGAGGTACGGCACTCGGAAGAGGCAGCATCAAGTGTCGGGCACTATGGCGCAGTGGGGATCGGGTGAGATCAGACTCTCACGAGCGGCAGCAGGGTATGGAGGAGATCGACGAGGAAGCGCTCCTGCCACTGCTCCCTTATACCCCCACTCCACTACGCCCAACCTTGCTCGGCGTTTGTCTTTGCCTGTGATTCCCTTGCCATCTCGCGCCAGACATCTCACCGTCCCGCTTGCAAACACTGCCGTCAAATCGTCACCCATTCCCCGGGATACTCTCGAAGCGCCTTCAGACGTCCGCCGCATGGATACTCTTCCTCGCGGCGCCTCATCTCAAAATCGACCTCTTGACCAAGATGCGAAAAGATCAAGCTCGTCACCGTCCACCAAAAGGCTAAGGATGGTCTCAGACACCCCCACCATTGCTGAAGAGGATGCACCTGGGAGTGCCGAGGCTGAGAGGGAGGACGCAGCTTCTGCTAGCCAGATACTGAAGAAGCCCGAGGCACTGCAGGAGAAGGCAGAGGTCGGCGCGACCGGGTGTGACCCACTCGATAACGAGAGCTGCCATCTGTCGAGTGATTCGAGTGACGGTGGAGATGAAAAAGACCGGGCCTTTGGGGAGAAAGAGGACGAAAAGAGCAACGATGAGACGGTATCCATCAAGAGGGATAAGGAAGTCAAAGGCGTGCTGAACGATGAACTCGGTAAGCACTTGATTCGTCCATATTGGCAGCCTCCTTACACTTGTTATCTGTCCAGATCTTCGGCAAGACAATGACGACAAACGTGACCGACTCCACCCAATCGTACTCGCCTTGCAACAGGTAGTATCAATGAAAGATGTGTTCAAGGAGATGGATGATGGGAAGCGGGCAGAGGTGAGATTGCTTTTGAAGGAGATTGATGATGGCTTGAGAGATATCACGGAAGTAAGGTGATGGATGAATGGAGATTGTGATATAATGATACGTCATCATGCATCGCCGAGCGATCTATATGCTATCCGTCTCGACGAAAAATTGATATCAAAGTCCACTATGATGAAATATAAACCGATATCATATTATAAGGAGCTGTAGATTTCAAACGAATGAATTATTGGGTTGGCGCCTGCCACCTGAACCTTCCTCAAGAGCTCTGAGAAACCGAGTTGACCTGGAACCGGTCATCTTCCTCCAAGCATCTCACCTGGGGGCCGTCATCCCAGAGGATCTTGGTGTATTTCTCTTCCTATACCACATGTTAGCGGTTGACAAGACAAAGGACGAAACAGCGTACGAGGCTCAAGGTCAACCTGTTCCAAATTCCAGCTGCTACTCGGCGGTGCAACGCCTCGGATGGATGGAAGCAGTCGACCGGAGAGAGTGCTTCAATAGGATAGTTTTCAAGATCGATGAGCGACCCGGGTTGCCTAGTTCCAAGCGTCAGCGACGAATCTAAATTGCAAACTATAGTATGCGCACCACATGACACCAAAGCCATCGTCGTCTTCGGCTTCCCATGCTTTGACAATCTCCAGAACGGCATTGTCATACGCCTCGCCTGTCGAGTCCATCCTCTGCCTAGTCACATCTCCTATTGGTCCTGGTGTCAATGCGCACGCACACTCAAGAGGTAGGTGAGGCACATCGCTCAAAATGGCAGGTTGGCAGTAAGAGTTGGTGAGGGTCAGGTTGTAGACGGCAGAGACGGGGAGGATACCGATGATGTTGACGATGAGTTTTGGGGTGTGTTTTCGCAAAAGGTTGACGGCAGTACGGATGTCGTTTGCGAAGGCTGTAGAGGAACCAAGGGTGCCGACGCCCGCGATGCTGACATTGGGAGCAACACAGAAATCGCAAATGTCGTTGGCGCCGATAGCTACATTGGCGTACACCCAGTCGTCATCGCCCGGGAGGCCGAGGGCAGCGAGCTTTGGCACGATGTAGGTGGTCACCTGGGATGTGAGCAAGGAAGAGGTAGCCCCCAGACACGGCAGCGTTCAGACCATCTTGGGCGATGAGCGCGGAGGTAGCAGGAGCGTGGTGGCCTTTTGCACCGCCCTGAACGGTAGCATTGTCGGTGACAAAGTGAGAAAGGATATTGGGGATAGTGATGGCCCCCTCGTCGGTGCCCATTGGGTACGATATCCCTCTGTACTCTTCGACATCGACGGTCTGGAAGAAGGTGGTGTTTGTGGGGAACAATGGGGACGAGGCCGGACGAGCGAGAAGACCAGCAGTAATGCTGTCGCCAAGGGCCATGACGACTCTGATATCATCCGGGCGGCTACTTGAGTGTCAGTGTTTGCGCTCTTCTCAGGGTCAATGGATACGCACACATCCTTGGCAGAGGTAGGGGTGTCTCTCTTGGATAGAACAGGGCACTGGGCAAGCTCTTCAAACTCGACGAAAGTGCCGGGCAGGTCGGCGTTGGCACGGGGCCCAAAAGAGTGGGTGGGGAGCGAAGAGACGGCGAGGGGAAGGAGGATGCTGGAGAGCAGCAGGGAGGAGCAGGTCCCTCGCATGGTGGTCCGAGATGGCGGGCAAACAAACAAAAGCAGCCCCATGATCAAGATATTTTGACCTTTTTGAGTGGTCGGATGGCCGCCCGGACCTGATCAGACCCGAAGAACCAAATGAGGGCAGTGGCGTACAGTTAGTGCCATCCCCTGAGCTATCACACAAAATCTCCTTGGAATCTCCTCCGGGTTCTTCGCAAAGCTGCCGCCATCGATCGTTACTAGATTATGCATGGGCTTCTTCTCAACAACGGGTATGTATCACCCCTCTAATCTACAAGTCGGTATATCACAAACAACGGCCTCGTATTCTCATAATTACTCATGGCTACCATTACACTGTCATTCAACGTTCAACGCCCCCTCCTGATCTCGTCGACCTTAGCCAAGATTCTCCTCTCTGCCAGCTCTCTCATCTCGTTCAGGTTCTTCAGCAGCGCCTTTGTCCCCTCAAAGTCCAATTCCTCAATAGCATCTTTCGCCTTCATCGCGTCTTCGATGGTGGATAGCAGCTGCTTTTGCTCGGTTGTTCGACGTTCGGGAGAAGGGCCCAAAGGTGCTTCCTTGGGGACAGCAAGGCGAGGGGCAGTCGGTGTTCGCTGAACGGGAGTTGGGTCGCCGGGTGCGTCTGCGAGACAAGTCAGTATAACGTCAGATACATCGGAGAGCATCGACTCACCCGCAAATCTCCCACTGACACTCTCATCCCATTGTTGACTGGTTGACATACCAGCAGCTGTCAAAGCTATCTCTTCTTCTTCTCTTTGCTGTCTCGCACTTGCGGGAGTCAACAACAAATCATCGTCTTCGTCATCATCTGCTTCCCACCGTCCTACATTCCGAGCCTCCTGGGCCTTGCCCTTGCCCTTCGCTTTCGTGAAACTCTTGGGGGTAGACAAGAGCCTAGCTCGAGATGGGACTTCTACAACAGGCACCAGCTTCTGCCTGCTTTCCGAACCGGATGAGGCCGTGGAAGCAGTAGACTTTGCTCGCTTGAACCCTTCTTTCTGCTCCAGCTGAGCAGCAGCAGCCTTTCTCTTTCTTGGCTTACGCGGCTTCTCGGTGACGAAACCAGCCTCAGACTGAGAAGACTCGGGGAAGCTGGAAGGTACGGAGACGGGCGCGGCGCTCTTTGGGGGCGTGGCGTTCTGGGAGAAAAGAGAAGGGACGCGAGATAACCAGCGACTGGCAGAGGACAAGAGCGATCCACGTTGCTTGGCAGAGTCTGGTGGCAGCCCAGAAGCTGATCGAGGAGAAGGGGTGGGACCAACTTCGAATCCTTGATCATCGCTCGGTTCAGGCTCCTGCTCGACGTCCGTGTCTTCAAGTTCAATATCCACAGACTTCGTGTGATCCTGCACCAGGCGCTCCGCGGGGGGCTTGAGACCCTTGCGAACATAGTACGAACGTTCAGGTTGAACAACGATACACTCGTCCGCCGAGGAATCGTCGAGATCGGGGAAGAGGGTGTCGAGCGAAGGTTTGAAAACTGGTGCAGGAGATGATCGACATCGGTTCTCGCTCTCCCTTGCTTCGACCTTGGCTCTCCTTCTTTTGGCCTTCTCCTCCCTTGCAGTCTGCACTTTCTGCGCCTGCTTCTCCTTGGAGGCCCTCTTGGCCCTCTTGCGACCCTTTGGCTTTGCAAGAGCAGCGGGCCCGAAGACATCCTCATCCGCTTCGTATTCGAGACTGCTGGACTCTGTCGCAGGGGCAGCAGCAGTCTGCGAGCCGTAAAAGTTGGCGGCGCGTACTAACACTGTGGGCTCGGCGCTTTGATTGAGGGATTGAATTTGGGACTCGAATTGAGATTCGTCGGCATCGTAGGACTGCGCCTGAGTAGGTTCAGATACAGATCCTTGAGTCTCTGGAACAAATTCTTCTTCGACAGGGTTCTCATTTGGACCATGAGGTTCAGAGACCGGGACAAACTCCTCAAAGCTTTCTTCTTGGTCATGCTGCTGGGGGCTTGCAATCTCGGGCTGAGACCGGTCGTCCTGAGTTTGAGTATCTTGGGTTGCAAGTCCAGTGACTGGCAGTTCCAGATCTCCCAAACTCAAGATTTCCTTCATCTCTCGCAAGAAATCTTTGGTTTCATACTCATACTCCAAACCTTGCACGTCTGCAAAAGTAGCCTTCCAGAAGGCCACGAATGCAGTGATCATTTCGGTTGCACGGGATTTGTAGAGAGGCAAGAGTCTGTTGAGAGTTGCAGAATTGGCGGGCATGTTTGTAGGAATGATTTCGGTAAGAACTGTGAGGGTGAATCGGTAGAGTTCATTGATCTGAGCAGATTGTCAGGTATGTTCAAGACTTGTTTATGGGCTTCTCACCTCATCCTTGATGTCTCCAGCAATGTTAATCTCGTCTTCGCACCAAAGCAGCAATCCAGCGGGGATTTGAGCGAAGAGCTCGGCACACTCTCCAACAGGCAATTCGCCCATCAGGGTGGTCATCATGCGGATGACATGAGCCATGATGGGAAGGGTCTCCACCGGTGATTGAGCGTAGCCAAGCTGCAAGACATTGTCGAACACGTAAAAGAATTCTTGGCCAGCTGGTTGAGGTCGAAGAGCCAGGCCAGAGAATGAGTTGACGAATAGCCGCAAGGTTTCGATATCAACCTTTTCAGCCGTCGCTCTGGCGTAAGCGCCAAGAAGAGCCTTGTTGAGACCATCAAGCTGTGCAGATTGGATCAGCCTCAAGTGTTCGTTCGTACCTCTTGTACTTACAGTCGCACGCAGACCCTCTCCCAAGTCCTTATCTTCCATCCAGGACCGCAGGGCACTGTTTAGAGGTCCGACGACAGCCGCAGTGAATGTTCCGGGCAATCGTTCGACCATAGACTTGATGCTTGCAAAGAGAGATGCCAATGCCTCTGATGATACTTCGGTACGCTGATCATGGGCCAATTGAAGAGACTTGGCGACAAGAGCAAGGAAATCTTCTGGGACGTAATTGTCGCCCGCGTGCCAAGGCGAGGACTGACTGTTGCTGACCTGTGAGCGGAAAGAAATGTTGGAAATTGCCAAAGCAAGGCATTTGAGGGTCATGGGAGAGACGCTGCGGGCATGCAGTGAGTATTAGGCTGACAGAAGAGCTTCAGATGGCACTTACAAGCAAGCAGGAGCTTCGATATAGTCGTGCATATGCGCGGCTAGAGTCTCCAAGATCCCAGAATGCACAACAGCTTTTTTCGCCTTGAACCTTTGGATGGTACTACTCAATAGTGTCTGCCAGCTATTGAGATCGGCTTCCGTGGCACGAGCGTGCCAATAGGAGTCAACTGTGGAGTTGCACCAAGGGTCCGTAAGGAGCGAAACGAGAAGATTGCCGGTGTGATTGGTCGGCATTCTGTCATACTGGCCCGCCTGAGACTGATGGATGTCCTCTTCGGTACATCTGTTCCATTCATCGGCTGCTCGCAATTTTAGCTGAAGCACAAGATCATTGAGCGCTCACTCACCAGTCATTCTCCAGATATCCATATGCAGCGCCTCGTACTTTTCCAACAAGAAGGGCTCCGCGAGCGTCAGGCCCCCCAAGATCTTCTTCCGCTCACCCTTCAGACCTACACACAACACCTTTTTGACCAGCTGCATGAAAGGCACCCTTAAAGTTCCAATCTCATCGGGCGTAATGAGAAACTCGGCTCGAAGGATCTGGCCAAGAAGATAGCCTGCGCAAGTAGTCGTTTTCATGCTCGGCTCGGTCTCGTCGGCGCCCAGGGCTGTGTGGGCGTACGGTAAGAGTCCCAGAGGTGAATCTTGCCCTGGCGCGAGTTTGACTGTCATGTTGCTGCCGAGGACCCTGGAGCAAGCCTCGAAAAGGTGTGCAGTGATACCAATCCTCAGAAGGTCTTCATTGACGTTAAGCTTTCCAGCTTCGTTCATGAGGGATATCGGAGTGATGTGGCCCGGAGGAGTCTGCCAGACTTCAATCAATACAGCAGTGATCACTCGCATGCCGCTGACGATTACCGGTTTGTTGTCATCCGTAGGGTTATCCATCAATTGCCGGAGAGCAGTGAGGAGGTTTGTCCAAACGTCGGATAGAGGAACGGGAATCAGAGGGACACCAGCATCATCTTTGACCCAATTCGTACTGGCAGGCAAGTTGATGCAGTGGATGCTGGCAAGAGCGTCTTTGAACAGCGTGCACCACTTCCCAAGACGAGCTGCAATCCATGATTGGCCATATGAAGGGACATCGGACGCTTTGAGCCCGATCCTTTCGAGGTGTTGGGACAATTCTTTCAGATGCTCGTCCTTGTCCTTCTCAACATCGAGCGCCTCAGAACCTCTGTAAGCTGTGTTGACGAGGGCATCGAGGCTCCAAGGGACTTCTCGGTCTGTTTTGGGCGATGTCAAAGCCTCGAGGAGATCCCAGCCATACGTGGTAAGGTCGTCGATGCCGCAGACACGGAAGATTTTGTAGAGTAGGGGGTAGACGACTTTTTCCCACGTTTGGTCTAGAAGAGGGCGGCGTTTCTGGTCGAGAGTCAAAGACATTGAAGCATCGTCTTCAGCGTCAGACGAAGGCAAGCCGTTGATGACGGACATGTCCTTCGCAGGTATCTGCTCGCTATGAAGCGCCATGCCAACATAGGCGAAGAACAGCGCCGTCGCCGACTTGGTGACGGTCTTACTCCACGCAAGCCGTTTGAGCTTTTCCGACCTTTTCCACAGCAGATGGTCCTCGGCATCCACCTTGCAGATGGTATAGTTGCCACTGTTGAGGACATCATCCAAAGCGTGGTTGATAGGCATCTGCAACTGCTCCACCAGCCGGTCCACCGACATATCTCTGGTGGCGAAGAAGACATTGAAAGATCGGACGACTTTGCCATTGGGAAGGATGGTAGTGGTGGCTCCGTGGGAAAAGTAAGCATGGATGGCGTGGTTCCAAGCCACCCGAGCAAGGAGAGGTCGGTTCGTGTTGGTAGTACGTCGCACAGAGTGCTATCTTCGTATCAGTAGAGTTCGCCATATCCAATTGAAGCACTTACGTCGATGATGTTGTCGTACTGATCCCTCAGCGATCCCGAATTTGCATACGCCGACCCCATAAGAGTCACTAGAGAAGCCCATGTGATACACGCCCAATGCACGTCATTGTTCGACCCGACAGTCATCTTGAACTTGTCTTCCAATAGACTCCACTCCGTCCTCCTTACCCCATCCTTCCGAGCCATCGGCGCGGATGAGTTGGCAGGCTTGTAGAGGCCAGTCAGATGAGAAATGACAAAGAACTCGGCTTTTCTGGCCACAGTGTTCGCCGCATCCCAGGTGGATTTGTCGCCGCTTTCCAAAGCGTGCTCAAGAAAAGCCAGCTTGGCACGAGCAAAGGCATTTACTGCCATAGCAGCGCGGTAGCGAGTGGGGTTATTTGGGCTATAGAGGGCACGGAGGCAGTTGGGCAAAAGCTCGGCATAAGAAGGGAAGAATATGAGAGGGTAGGTGGAGAGAAGATTGGCGATAGCGAGCAAGCCTTCCTTTTTTGTGCCCCCAGGTCCAGCCTTGTCTGGCTGTACGCCGCTTATCTTGAGTCGAAATTCATCCTGGACAGCTTTAAGCACAGCGCTCACGAGCTTGCCCTTGACAGCATTGACGGCAGCAGCTGGCAGGCGGATTTGAGTGAGAAAGGTGATGCAGAGAATGTACGTCCGCTTGGGGTTTGGTGTGGGAAGGCGGGGAGTGCGGGTAATAGTGAGAACTTGCTCGAGGATCGCTTGGAGATCGACATCCGAGAAGCAAGAGCTCATACAGGGGTTGTAGACGACAAGTGCCAGAAATCGGATGACGGCAGCACCCACGCCGGATGCCTCTCTACGATACCGAATTTCGGGCCCGTTGTAGCCTTGACGCGAAGGCCTGCAGTTGTCCTCGTCAGGGGATGGCGAAGGTGTGAACCGACTTCTCGGAGGAGCCTCTATCGGCTCAAGTTCCCGGAAAGGCGACGACTCGAGATTGTTCATTGCTGGTTCCGAGCTAGGAGGTTTGCCGAGCAACCGCAGGACGTCTCTTTGAAAGGCACGTACCAATGCGGGGGCTTCGTCGCGGATAGGCTGGGTAGCGTCGCGTAATGAGACTTCTTGTTCGGGCGTAAGAAGCAAGCTGTCATCGGAGGGGACATGATGTCGCAGACGGATTAAAAGCATGTTGTATGCTTCCTCCAACGTTAGGAGGTTCTCGGCGCCATTCAAAACGATGTCAACAAGGGAGCTGATCGACAAGCCACCTTCTTCCTCCACCTCTTCCTCTTCCGAGATTGCTCCGTCTCCGTCACCAGATCCAGCTGGATTCACGTCGTCAGAGTGCTTCGGGTCGTCGTCCGATGAGCTGGCCCCATCACTAGACATTCGCCCCTTGCCCTTGCCCTTGACAGCGCCGCCAATCGCCAGCTCAAATGAATCGCGGGCCATCAGAGATGGCCGCTTACCGCTGATCAATAGGCGAGCCGGCTCTCGATTGTTCAACGTCCCTTCTTCGACGTTGGCGGCTATGCGTATCTGGTCGGCGCGTGACTTAAGAATACTTTGCCGCAGCGAAGTCTCCTGCGCCTGAAGATGACTGTGTGAGGTGGGGGTGACGGGGTCGGATGCTGGAAGCTTTTTGAGAGCGGGAACCTGGGTGGAGGAGGATCCAACGATGGAATCGTCGGAGTGGAAGTATTTGGTGTGGTTTCGCGGGGAGAAGATGACGCCGCGACGACTAGCAGCTGAAGGGGGTCAGCGCGCGTCCACAGTCGTTGCAATCGCATCAGAGAGCAGGGCAGTGGATCATTTCTGTTCTATACTGCCGCCTTCCTCAACCCAAAAGATTCAGAGTACTCACATAAGGTGCGGGCGACACCGAGCGGGGCGGGTTTGCTGGGGCTCGAGCTGGACGGGACTAGGGGAGATGAGGGAGCGGGTGTATCTCTGGGCGGGGCATTTGAGAAGGAGACACGGATGGGAGTGGCCATTGAGGGGATGGGGGAGAGGGGGGGAGGAGGAAGATGGAGAGGAAGAGAAAGAGATGAAAACTGGATGGACGCGTTCAGGGGGCTAGGGACATCACCTATTCAGGGAAAAGGTACACGAAATCCAACATTAGAAAACGCGTAACTTCAGCGTACTCAAACTTAGTTTCAAATTACACCTGTACTCTTACAACACGAACCGTTCGTAGCTGATAGTGTGCTCTGCGATGGATCTAGTCTAGTAGAACTTGGTATCAAACCTCTCATGCAGCAAATGCACACAAGTCGCAGAGATAGTACAGGTGCATATATCAGATACAATGTACAAACAATATGACATGAACCCGCTCCCATCGTGCAATAGTCTCGCGGCTTCCACTTATTCATGCACCGCTCGGCCCAGCCGCCCCTGTCGACACACTCGGCAGCGCTGCATCCTCACTTGTCGGCCCCGTAATGCGTGCGGCCTTCTTCGCCTTGCTTCGTTTCTGTCTGACCCTGAGGATCTCTTGTATGACTTCGGCGTTGCGCTCAAATATGCCCTTGTAGACCTGTTTCTGCATCGGGGAAAGGGTGATGGGAACAATAATCTCCACCTTAAAGAGCATGAGCCAAGATGCCCCATCCACATGTAAGAGTCGATGCGCACCTTGGGCGGGAGTCTGAGAACATCTGCTTTAATTCGTCTCAAGATGTAGGGTTTGATCATCTCGTGCAGCTTTTGCACCTTCGCCTCATCCAGATTTTCGTACTGGGCCTCCATTGCTTCCAGATTCCTGTGGGTCCAAAATCAGCTTTGTATGTGAACCACAGAGTGACAGTGACGTACGAAAAGGTATCTCGGTCCAAAAAGTTCAGCAAGTTGAACAATTCTCGGATGTTGTTGTTGAGGGGAGTGCCAGTGAGGAGTATGCGGTGGACAGATTTGAGGGTTTTCAAGTTGTTGAATATCTTACTTTCGTCGGATTTGACTATCTTTGTGTGAGCTACAAAGATTGTCTGCTGATAGATCACTCACGTCTTTGACCCTCATCCACGCAAAGCACCTCCCACCTGGGCACTGTCGAGAAGACCTTAAATTCGCTTCCGGTGACCATGTCGTAAGTTGTCAAGACAATATGACTACAGATACGAACGTCAGTACCAGCCCTTTGAATGTGGATCTCTCACAACGCAACGCACGCTTTCAATCCTGCAACCTTGCCTTGCTGTCCCTTGTGGAAAAGTTCGTATTTCATGATGATTTGCCGAGCTGTTCCAATGTTGCATCAGCGTGGTAGCAATGTTTCCCGGCGAACGTACCAATCTTTTCACCGTAGAACGGCGCAACTCGCAAGTGTGGACTCCATTTCTCAAATTCTCGTACCCAATTAGTGATGGTCCTATCGAGGTCATGGGTCAGTAACCTGGGATACGCGTATGACAAAAGCAAACTTACGAGTTTGGCACAACGACTAGGCAAGGATATATCTGATGCTCTGCAGACCCTAAATAACCAAGGACGGACGCGATTTGCACTCTAGGTTTGACCGCATAAGCCTCTGCACATGACATTTAAACCGCTTGACTCACGTCTTTCCTAGCCCCATATCATCCGCTAGAATACAGCTCTCTCGTTTGAAGTGTTTATACAGTAGCCATTGCAGCCCTTCCATTTGGAACGGCATCAATTTCTACGCACATAGCCATCAGCATCTGCACCTGACTAAATACGATGGCTTCGACGTACACCACCTGCAACACAAGCAGGCTGGTCTTGCGGTGGAACGAAACCCTTTGCAGCCTTTGCGTCACGAACCCGCGCTTGGGCGGGGGTAAGCACCGGGATAGTGATATGTCGGGCACGCAGAAATCGGCCAAGGGCGGCCTTGAAGGCTGGGTAGAAGGGTGACGACAAAGGGGGTGGCGTATCCCAACATGCTGGCCTGCGTCAGCAAATACCTCAACAAGACATAGAATAGACATACCCTGATCGTATTGCAGATCTTCCCATTTGATAAAGATCCATGCAACGTGGCCCACGATCTCGTCTACGTCGTCCTCCCCGATGCCTCGTCCCATCAGCGCTTCCCACTCTTCGATCTCCACCATTTCTTCATTTGGAGGCGGCATACCGTCAGGCAAATCGAACTTCTCTTGAGCGAGCTCGAACAATGATTTCTCTACCAGATGAGCAGTGGGTTTGGAAGCGGTATCGTCTGATTCGGGAGAGATAGAGAGGATTCGTTGGCGTTTACGCTGCTGTTTGTTGTTGATCTCTCGGGCCCTAGACTTTGGGTTGATCTGTTCCTTGGTGGGTCGAAGGAGTTTGATATCGAGAACTCGGTCAATGGTCTGTTATCAATCATTAATCGCACAGTCACATGACCCACCCGGGTTACTTACGCTCCATAACTCGGGGAGATTACTTTCGGCATCCTCTTCCGGTCCCACAATCCCCTGTTCATTCTTCCCTTCCATCTCCAAGACCTTTGCGATACTCGCCCCTCCAGGTCCTACACCTAGCTCATCCCCTCTGGCAGCCATCGTTGCGTTTGTCACAATTTCCAATAGCGGTCCCTTCTCCAGAAACCTACGCAGTTTTTGCGGGGCGATCGAAGACAGCCAAGCGTGCGGGACCCATGTGACATGACGAAACGGGCGACTTTGAAACTTGATGAGGTATTCTCTAGGAAGGTTTGCCTTGAAAAGAGGTTGGTTCAGTGTGGGATTCGCAGGAAGCGGAGACGAGGAGTCAGGTCGCCAAGCGATGATCTTCTGAGTGTCAGCGACGAGTCCATGTACCATTGACGCATCCACGTACAATGTCGACGTTCCATACAAAGTCACGGCAGAGATGGCACGTCCAAGAATCACCACCAGACGTCTGTGTCTGGTAATGCATTGCTACATCCGGCAGGCTTGGATTTTCACCCAACGATTTTGACGGGCGCACTGACACAGGAAAAGTCAGTTTTGCAACCACTGTAGTCTCACTACGCACAATGTTCGTAGTGGGCGCCCAATTTGCACCTGCGGCATCGGAACAACACCCTTTTGATCTGCTCCTCTCTTTCCTGCCCAAGTCCAGTCGCCTGTGAGGCGTTTGGTAACTCCTCGGACGCCTTTGGCAACTCCTCAGGCGCCTTTGGTAACTCCTCGGACAATCCAACGGCACACTGCGTGTCAACTTCTATCTTGCCCTTTGGTGCCGTATGCACTTCGGCTCCAGTCTCCCAACAGACAAAGCACCTTCCAGACTCGTTACACCTTGCACAGGTGAACTCCACCTCCTCCTCTATTCTCACCTCCTTTCTCTTCAGGACTTGGCTTTCCGCAGTCTTCCTCATTGCCTCCATTGTTTCAAGGTCTTGAGAGGAGTCCTGTACGAGAGAGACTGCCGCGGCAACGTCAGAAGTGTGTAATTCCTGTAGGAGGGTCTTCTTTTGTGCACCACCCAGACAGTCGTAATGAGTCGCGATGCAACAAGATTTACACTAATCGGCATCAGCGTGACCAGGATCGCGAGCACGAGAAGCAGCAACCTACAGTGACCCATCCACCCAAAGTTTGCACCAACTCTCCATCACTGACAATGTCGTCGTCTTCATCCACCTTCTTTCTTTTCGGGCCAGATTTCTTCTTCCTGGTCTTGAGTTGTTCAGCAATGACAGCCGTCGGTGGGCGAGAGCATCGTTCACAGTAGTCACGGTGCGCTGCAAGGGTCGATTCAGGAGCGTGTTTTGGAGTCGATGACGGAGAAGAGGGGGGCATGGGAGCCGAGTCCTTGTTCCTGCCTCTTCGTCTAGGTTCGGTACGAGGGCTCTCCGAATCATTGTCCCAGTCCATCTGAAGCTCGTCCACTTCATCCTCGCCCTCCTCCTCCATCTGCATTTCTCCTGCATATCGTTTCAAGCGGATTCGAGGAAGTTTGGGCAGAGGATCCTCAACAGAAGATTGGTCTCTCTCTGAAGTCTCAGAGTCTATATCAATGTTCTTCCTGGTGCGTCCTAAGCGCCTGGCGGCAGACTTTTCTCCTCTCGTTCCTGCGCGATCACGTTTGTTGCTGGCCAGAGGGGCAGTTCCAGATGACTCGGATGTCTATGTATTCGAATCAGCAAGAGTCAATCTCCGCGAGAACCCTAGGCGAGTCTCCTTTAATGTCACAAAGGAGTAGATCTCTATCAACTCACCCAATGATCAATGTCGCTCTCCGAGACCACACCATGTCTCTTCATTCCGATTTGTTTCTCTATCACCTTTCCCTGCCCAACTCTTATCTTTAGAGTCATGGACCCTCGAATATCAGATCCCGACTCTTGGTACAGGCTCCTGTCTCCGTCTTCTTCTTCTTCTTCTTCTTCTTCTTGATCTGTCAATTCTGATGAGAGGTCGAGTTCATCGTTATCGCTGTCGTCAATCATGGACGGGTCGTACTGTTGGGAGTCTCTGGCGTAAGAAGGCTGCTCGGAATGCTTGACGGATGTTTGCGTCACGTCATTTGGCATAGACTCCTGTGTAGATGGACCCCATGCGACATATAGCTCTCTCTCGGAGGGGGAGAGTCTAGGGATATCAACAACAGGAGTCCGATCTGATCTCACAGGTCGGGTTTTCCGGGGTTTCACGTCGGTCTGGATAGCCAGGCGATTTGATATCCGTCTCCCACTCTGAAGAGATAACCTCTGCTGTCGTGCTTTGCCTTGATTTCCTTTTCCTTCCAGTCTGGGATTGGCCATACCAGCAAGAGGCGAGGAGATGGGTGCGATAGCGCGCCTAGAGGACCGTCGCGAGGTCAAGGGCTCAGAAGCGCCGTCTTCGGAGGTCGGATTGACTGGAGGCGACATGGCGGCAGTTGCAGTTGTCGCCTTGGCCCAGGGGACGAAGATAGTATGAGAGGAAAAAACACAAAGAGACGACCAATGTCGCGTCGCGTGCCGTGTGATGAATCCTGCGCGTCGGCGGAACCAAATCAGCCACAGAGCGCTCATGTGTCGTTGATTGACTTTAATGTAACAATTTCTTGGATAATTCAGGTCCCTCACGACTACAGAGTTAAGCCAAATGGTGAATCTATCCTTTTCTGGAAGAGGGATCGGTTGAATGCGAACTATCAATATGTTTTGCTGCTCAAAATGCCGCCGCGGCCAAAACATATCCATTCCACAAGTATATGTACACCTTGGCCTGGCTTACATGCTCTTTTCCGTTGTTGCTGCATTGTTAGACATGACGGTATCTCACGATCTGAAGAATTGATGGATACCAGCAGAATATTGGGCTCATGAAATGTTGCTTGTATCAATGCTCGTAGCCACGGCAGCGGCATCATCTGTCAACCAGCAGATATCCATGAACATCGGTAGCGTATCAACAAGAACTCGCAAGCATACATGTGAGCCACCAATGTCGCTCTTCCTAAGCACACTTATGCTGACAGAGAGATCAAAAGTACCGCCATTGGCGTTTATCGTGGTGAATCACCCAGCTATGAGGGTCAAGTCGTATGCGCTTGAGAGTGCTGACTCTGACCAAACATTAACCCCTATAGCTCCTCAGATCCGGCGCCCTTCCACCAGCTGCGTATTGACATTTGTCGCACACAATTCCCTCAAAGTAATTCATTAACCATCGACTCATCTTGCTCTGAATGAAGCGAGACCGAACGTCTTCGCACTTTCTTCTTTCTTGGGTACTTTTCGTATCGCACATCCAGCTCCAACTCCCCGAGATCTCTCTTGACCGTAGCCCTCGCTATAATGACGGGGGGCGGGCTCTCGCGCTCGAGCTTCACTTGAACTTCGCTCTTCTGAGACGTAGCGCCAGCCGGATCTCTGACGGGTGATGGGGAGCGCTCTTTTGGAGGCACGAGAGGGAGCTCCTGGCCCTGCGGGGGAGATGGGGCAGGCAATGAAGGCTCAGCGGGCGGCACAGGCTGTGGTGACTGGGAGGGGCATTTCTCTGGCCGGGGCGGAAAGGCTTTCACTCGCGAACGGCGGCCCGACGGGTGGGAGGGTGTCGATGGAGGCGACTCTCCAGCAGGCGCCTTCCCTCGCCGCGAAGCTCGTGAGCCTCGAGCACTAGTCGCATCACTCGGTTTACCTTGAGGTTCTGAGACGCGAGGCGTCCTTTTCACAGTGGTCGCTCTCGCTCTCGAAGGCTTGGCAGTGGGTCTATAGCCGTTCAAGGCTGGAGACGAGGCAGAAACAGCAGCCGAGGAGGAAGGCGCCGGGGTGAGAGACGAGGCGGGATGGGTATTGCTGGCGAGATAATCTGGCGATTGGACAAGGTTCGAGAGGTAAGGGAGCAGGCGATCTCGATGCCGCTTTGTGAGGATGTGTCTACAGAGCGAATGCCGATCGTCGGGGATCTCGAAAGACTCTTCGGGCGTCGAGCATGCCGCGCATACAAATTGCCGTCCATCGTTTTGGCCTTCAGACAAAGACACGCCTAACGCACGTGAGACTGTGAACATTCATGTGAATGCTTGAACTCACCTTCAGCAAGCCAGAGAGAAAGCGGGTTCCATTTCTGGTAGCCCTTCACTGGCGTCTGCGTGCGCGTGGGAGTCTTCCGAGCCTTTGACCTGGACGGCGTTGCCCTTTTCACCTCAGCCTTCAACAGCTCTCCTATCTCATCCGCCTCATCATCCAAAACATTTCGTGGCATCCCCTTTTCCTGTAGCTCCGATAAGAACTCGGGCAACGTCTCCTTGTGGTTGGCGGTTCGCGTGTGACGAAGGACATGTTTATCGGTGACCGTCAGCTCGCAGGGGATACATTGGAGGATGGGTACTTTGACGTCGTCGCTGGTGCAGACTTTTCGCAATCCTGAGTAGAGAAGAGTATTAGCGATAGCGAAAAGGCGAGAAGGCGAGGTCGACAATAGTTGAAGGCATAGTTACCTCTTCTGAGCCAGCCCTGCTTGTGTAGTCTCGGCCGGGCCGTGGGGGTGGAGGGGGTCCCCGGCATGGTGAGGGGCGGGGGCGAGGGGATACAAGATGATGACGAGAACAAGATGGATAGGGTGGATTGTGCAATGCACGCAACACACAAGTAGTGTCTGGTGAGAACGCGTCTAGAGAACTTCGGCCAACGCCGCACGCGCCTTGTGTGATGACTGGACTGTCTGGACGTGACGTGTTGAACATCACTGCCACATACGTATGGAGAGACCAGCAAGCATCCCATCAAGTTCCCCCATGCTCCTGATCTGCATCGCCTTATGCCGACGCTGCATGGCCCAACAAGGAATGAAACAGTCGACAGTCGCATCCATGCCGCGCGACCATCTAATATGGCCCGAATTCACCGACAAGCTAGCTACATGTTGATCGGGGTGATTTTATGATACATGCTACTAGATATCTCTACTATGTTGCGCTAAAGCTACTTGATATACTTACACATACAGGCTCATTCCTCGCACCCTTGGTAGACATCCAGTACTTCCAAATCTTCTCATCCGTCTCCGCCCAACGCTTCATATTCTTGATCGGTTTCACATCCAGATCAATGATCTTGACCGAGCTTCTCCCCTGCACTAACTCCCAAGTTTCCTCAGGGGTCTTGTGCAAGACAGCTTTGACAAAGATTGAGCAGTCTTTGAATATGGCTGAAAGGGTGTAGGCGACCATCCTCTGCCTGAGATCCCACTTCTCAACATCCTTGCCCGCTGCTGGGTCCGAGAGATAGAGCTGTAAGAACTGTTCGAGCTCGGCAAGGGTGATGTCGGTGATAATCTCGGGATCGAAGAGGGGAGCATTGGGATATGCAGCGTGGAAAAGGGTGGCGATGTGAGATATGTCTGTGGGGTCGAGTGTGGATTGTAAAGACTTGAGCTGTTGTAGAGCTGGGGAGGACAGAAGTACGGGGATGAAGAAAGAAGATGTTTGTGCCGACAGTGTGCCCTCTGCTGAGGTTCTGGGGATCCGGAAACTCTAGTGCTCAACATGAGCATCATACTGGGAGAGAACAAGTCACTTGCCTGATCGGGATGGGTCTCATTACCACTCACAAATACTCTCCAATTGTTTCCCCTTCCATGGGAGGTTTCCCAGGTCGTCCATAGCGCGTCCAGAGCTCTTTCTATCCTCTGTTCCTGTCCAGAAAACAGATCTAAAGGGTCATAATCCTTTTCATCGTCGTGGCCTTTGAGATGGCGATGGAGGGTGAATCGAGATATGCGGGACTTGATTGGCACAGATTCGGGTGGGCACATGTGAGTCGGACTAGGTAGAAATCCCCATTTCGGCTGCAGGTACCGTCAGAGTGGGCATACAGTAGATCGTGCGACTGACCTTGATTTCGACTGCCAAGCTCTCAAGGCCTTCCTTCACCACCGCGGTGGCATCATCCATGAGAAGACCATTCCCAGAAGTCTCCACCATATCGGCCAGTACCACGCCCTGCTTTCTCGAGTCCGGCCTCACTTTGTCTGCCAGGATCAACAACTCTCTGAACCAACCAGCCTCCACAATAACCTCCCTGGACTCGGCCAAAAGTTCTCGCGGAAGAAGCCTGGGAAGAAGCTCATACCTCCACTTGTTTTGGAGCGTCTGGTGATCTGAAGACGGCGGCGGGCAATCTGGCTTGCGCAACCGGAGAACCTTCCCGTCGTACGCTGGTGAAGATGGTCCGCCGTACGAGAAGACGATGTGGGCGCCACCTTCTGCAGTGTAGGGCCAGTCCTCAGGAGCAGTGTCCAGCGACGGACTGGGCTCTGCTGCAGACATCCTGGTGACCTTGTGGGCCTGTGCAGCCTGTGCAGAGGGAATAGAGAAATGATCGAAGACGAAGGCCGGTGAACCGAGCAGAACGGAACCAAATACTGTGGATCTATTAATTGCCCCTGAAAATACCCCTGGAAGGCAGTCATACAGGAACTGCGCCGACAAACATATTCGGTTGCCGGACCTGAAGATATTATTGCTCGGTCCTTTTGTTTGTCCCATCTCTCCGACTGTCGACTCCTCCCCGTAAGAGGGTCTAGCTCTACCACCACATGGAGACTCCGAGCGCCTCTCCTCGAGTCCCCTACCGGGCGGCCTCCACACCACCTCCAAACCACCGCGGGCTCCACAGCCACTCTCCTGCTCGCCATCATCGCTCTTCCCGTCCTGGGACAGCCGGTAGCGAATATATAGAGCAGCCGACAGCATACAGACCTCTTCAGGAGGAAGGCCATGCCAAGCCTTCGCCCTTCGCTTTTGGCCAAGCACCTCCTGCAAAATGGAGGCTGCCAAAGGCTGTAAGGTCGCCTAAAAGGCTGCTGTCGACGTTGGTCGCCCTTGCCATTCTAGGTCTCCTGATCAAATATGTAGGGATGCGAAAGGACAGATTGTTGAGATCAAAGTGGGGCTGGAGACCAAGAGGGGGACGGAGAATAGATGACGGTCTTTGCCGATTCGTGTCACCGGTAGACGCCTACCACAGAGATCTACAGCGCCTGAGAGAACTTGCGTACCCTGGCGCCAACTTTACAGCTCTCTACCCTTCCCTTCACTCCTATGTACACCACCACACATATTCTCCCACCGGTCATCTCCTTGTTTCCGACCACCCCGAAGCCCCGCATCCAATACCTCTTTTGCTCGACCTCGGCGAGAAGCGATGGGAAGAATTACTCTCCCGACAGTCTCGTACGCTCGAAGAAGCCGTGAGGGAGTACATGCGACGCTATGGTAGACGGCCTCCAAGGGGCTTTGACAAGTGGTGGGATTTCGCTATGCGTCACAACTTGGTACTCCCGGATGAGTATGACAGGATCAATCTCGACTTGGCGCCATTCTTGGCTCTGCCTAAAGAGGAAATGAAGCGACGAAGGGAAATGGTAGACAACATGTCCGAGACGTTCACTCTGGTGATTAAAAATGGCTCGGTAGATATCGAGGTGTGTCCTTTTTCCTTGTGTTGATGATTGCTGATGCATTCCCCATAGATCAAAGACGAGGGCGGTCTCGACTGGGGAGGTACTCTTCCACGTGCTTCAGACACGGCTGCACTTCTTCGGGCATTCTCGGAACACCTGCCAGATATGCGCGCTACCTTTTCCATCTTTGACCAACCCCAGATCTATCTGTCTTGGGCTCGCCGAGGTTCTTTGGTCAATCTGGGTTTGAGGGGAGAGCATACCTCACATCTGGAAGAAACAGATAGCGCCCTCGTCAAGCTGTCCAGGAGTTGTGCGCCAGACTCCAATTACAGGAAGAATGAGAGCTATTCGGAGGGCAGATCATTTATCTACGACAGCTTAGAAGCTGGTGATCTATGCCAAAGTGAGTTCAGACCTCACCTTGTACTCACAGCTGACAGCTTTCTCAAAGACCCATATGTGATTCCTATTCATGGTTTGACTATTGAGCCACACGAGCCGTACTCCCATCCTCGACCTCACACTCAGCTTTTGCCTCTGTTCAGTCTTGCCAAGACCTCCATCAAGTGCGTAACTACACATTCAATTGGCATAGCCCTGACTCTGTATCAGCTCTGATATCTTGATAACGCCCCTCGATCAGTTCAACCATGAGACAGGAAAAGATCTCGAGTTTAGAGATAAACCGAGCTCTAAATTGGCCTGGGTCCGTTTCGCTTTCTCTCCCCAGGCGTTTACTGACCATATCGTAGCGTGGAAGCCCTACTGGTATCTCATGGATGAACGCTCAAGTTGACTGGCGCAACGCGCATCGTATCCGCCTTCACCAATACGCCAACAACCGCTCTACAGAGCACATGACTTTCCTTGTCCCTGACTTTGGCCAAGATGAAGACTACTACCCTGACGAATTTGACGTTGACGGGGGTATCGCTGAGATGGAGAATGGTCAGGAGGAATGGCACGAGAGAAACAGGGAGGTGCAAGAACAGCATTTGGAGGAACAGATCGACGAGGGACCTCTGCACTTTATCGAAGAAGAGATCCCAACGGACGAGGCGATGGAGTTCTTCTATGACATCAAATTGGCGGGGGATCCTATCCAGTGCGATTCAGATGATGGAACGTGCCATGATCTGAGGTGAGCTGCGTTTCTTGTTTCGACGAGTACGAGTGTAGACTGACTGTGACGCTAGACGAGAGATTGAGTGGGCTCCCAGGCAGAGCGGGGAGGACTTGAACCAGAACAAGTTCTTACTCGACATTGACGGTAACGGCTGGAGGTAGGTTTTGGCGATCGCGCAGGCGTATGGTCGCTGACCTCTTTGTTAGCGGCCGATTCAGGAAATTAATGAGCACCAACTCCGCCGTCATCAAGATGACGATGTTTACCGAATGGTTCCAGCCCCATCTCATCCCTTGGTTCATGTACATCCCAGCCAAGCTCGACTTTTCGGACCTTCCGGATATCATGGCTTTGTGAGCATATTCTCGAGGCTCGCAGGGAACGCAAGCTGACGAGATGCAAGCTTCCGGGGCAGTCCCACGTATCCGGAATTCGCGTTTGATGAAACTGCAGAGGCTTTGGCTATCAACGGAGTCAGTTTCACTTCAAGTAGTTGTTATGTTTCTTGCTGATCGATGTCCCAGAAATGCTTTGTGCAAAGAATGTTCCGTCTCGAAGATATGCAGGCGTATATGATGCGCCTCTTCTTGGAGTATGCTGTGAGTCGTCTTTTGCTGCTGATCATTGTCTGTCAGCTGACGAACGTGTTTAGCGGATCGCCGCCGACGAAGGAGATGATATGGACTTTTACCTTGATGACTATTGGTCCGACATCGACACCTCAGACTGGTTCGATGAAGAAGCCATCAAGAATAGGAAGCCTGTGGCGGATCTACCAGATGTCATGGAGGGGGACGGTGGGTCGCGAGCCGCCGGGACTGTGTTGGAAGAAGAGCTTGTGGGAGAGGAGCTTGTGGAAGGCACAAAGCAGGACGATGGCGGGGATGTCAGTTGGGAAGAGCGTGATGGGCCGAGTGAGGAAGCGCTGTTGAGGGAGGTCGTGTAATCTTTCGCGATCCATCTTGTGTGCTGACCCATAGAGCATGTACAATGCTGTCTTCCCCAGGCTCATTGTGAGCAGACTACGTCTTTCAGCTCTGAATGTGAAGGTGCCATTTGCAGAGTCGTTGACACGATACCTAATGAGGATGACATCTCCAACAAAGCACTAATATGGGACTACCATCGTTCTCTCTCCCGGGCCAGGGTTCTCATGCGTTTTGCTGGTATACTCGACAGATGGTCGATGTTGTGTGTAATGCGTGATGGGGAATTCCGTTTCTTGTTATTGTATCGAGAGCGCCGGGTATATTGAGCTCACTGCAAGTAGTATCAGGGCATGTCTCCTTGTTCCGATCGATGACGGCACACTTACCGCCTCTTCATCATCGCCATTGACCCCATGCTTGCTCGCCTTCTCCACCCGCTCCTTCTCCCTCTCCTCCTCTTCCACACTCTCCCTCGCCCTCCTCACCGCATCCATATCGAGTTCGTTTCCCAACCTTCCCTCCGGCAACCCCAGTCTCGCCTGTCGTTCCTTCTCCCTCGCTTCCGTGGCTGCGAATCCCTCGACGGTTTGCGTCTTGTCCCATCCTACATGGAGAGATATCCTCATGGGGTTGAGCGACTCGCCGGGTGCTGCTTGCTGTCTCGCTTTATTGTAAAGTGGGTTGAACCATTGGTAGAGCTTGATGTTTTCGCACACGATGGAAAAGTCGTCGGTTGTCTATCATCAAGAGTCAGCTGGATGCCGAGAGACGCAAATCAAAGACTCACCTCAGTCACGTTGGCGTCCAAGCTCTTCTCGGTGAGGATCAGAGGGTTCCCGTGGTAAAGTCAGTCAGACACTTCACTGTCATCGTCGTTTTTGTTCCCAGCAATGGCCGACACCATGGTTCTGATCTCAGACATGAACAGATCCAAGGAGCCACCGAGGTGCGAAGCCTTCTCCTGCTTATTGTAGATGACTCGCAGCCTCGCAAACCCATCGTCCACCTCTTGCCCGTCCTCGTTGAGCTTGCTTTTGGGAAAGGCGAGATCGTCCCAAAGCGCATAGACCTCGTGCCACTCGTCGATGCTGAGGATCACCTGGTAGTCGATAGGGTCGTCATCGGAAGGCGGGGGTCGAGGGACAACAAAGCCTCTGTCCTTGGAGGGGTCGAACATAGTGAGCTGGCGGGGAGTATTTCCATCCGGAAACTTGACTTGGAAGGACGGCAAGGCGAGGGTACCGGGGAGCTGAGAGTAGGTGGAATTGATGCTCTCGACATCCCCATCATTCTCAGAGTCTTCTGCAGTCCAGGTGGGGTCGTCCTTGAGAAACCTGCGATGGTCGAGAGCACGGAGGTTGGGAGAGCGAAGGGAGGAGGGAGTACCGACGCCGGACATGGTCTGACCAGAGGGGGCGGTCAGGAGCTGCAGGGAGTTGGTGAGGCTGTCTGGGCCACTTTCGCCGCTGTCGGTGACGCTGCGGACGCTGCGAGCGTCCTCGATGGGGTGGTACGTGAGCTCTTCGCCCGTATAGGAGTCGCTCATAGTTGATGCTGTTGGGTGTTGAGTGACGAAAGAGATGCAAAAGCAAGACGAGAATGTGAAAGGGTTGGCTTCGGGCGGCACCCTCCGTGTGTGGAAGGACGGTCCATACGCTGATCAGTCAACAGTTGAGTGGCTTGCAGAGGCTGTGAGCTGGACGATATCGCACAGAAAGTGCATGGCTACATGAACAAGTCCGTGACTGCATGCCAAACTAGTACCCCTCCTCACTTCTTCTTCTCAATGACAGTCTTCTTGCTCAACTTTCTGACTACCGCCTTCTTGACATTTGTCATCACCCAACTAGCCTATAGAATATGCCAGGTCAGTCGTGGCCCATAGAAGCATGTCCAATCGACTGGAATGAAAGTGTGCACACCTTGGACATCACACTCGGTCCCTTGGCCAGCTTTTCATCCTTTTCGCGATTCTTCGACTTGTGTCCCTGTCCCATCAAGCTGAACCCGTCCGGGCTCACTGAGCGAAGCCCTGCCTAGGGCATTGTAAGGAGGATTTAGTGATACTTGATCGTGCAGAGGCTGATCCGGGCGGGGTGTGAGAAGCCGTAGCGGTGAGGGAAACTGAGGTGGCAGTGTGCAGCGACGCAAGGAGAGGCCGAGTGTCAAGGTTGAGGATGGGTAGGATTGAATGGTCTCGAGACAGTTGCAGATAAGACGGAATATGTCAATAAGAAGGCGAGTTGCCGGGTTCTCTTTGGCAGCCATATTGCGCGTGAATGTCTGACCGTCAATCCACAGTCAAAGGAAGGTAAGCTGCACACCGCACACCTCGTTACTGGAAAGTCAGGCGCGCTGCGTTGCTTACATAATCGTATGCGCCACAGAGGCAAGCAGCAGTAAACTCCGCCAATGAGAGAACGGTGATTGGAGGCGGCGCCCCCCGCCCGCGCGAGCCAACCAGCCGCCGTCGATTATTCGCATGCTCAGTATGTCTTCTCTGTCTTCACGCCTCACCATGCTCAAGTCAAGAACACAACTCCTCCGCTCCCTCAAACCCGCCGCATCTCTCAACCCTGCAGCCCGCAGGTCACTAGCCACCGTCTCAGATCCCCCAGTCAGGCGCTACGGCGGCCTCAGAGACCAAGATCGTATCTTTACAAACCTCTTCTGCAAGCACGACCATGGCATCAAGGGCGCCCTCTCCAGGGGTGACTGGCACAGGACAAAGGACATCATCCTCAAGGGCGACTCGTGGTTGATCCAAACGATCAAGGACTCGGGATTGAGAGGTCGAGGTGGTGCTGGTTTCCCTAGTGGTCTCAAATGGAGTTTCAGTGAGTGTCGCATGCTTGAGCGAGATGGCCGTGCTGATAGTCTGCATAGTGAACAAGCCGGGATGGGAGAAGGACCCCAGGTGAATATCTGCGCATCGTTGAACTGGACCTGGCGCGCAACTAACCACACTTCCGCAGACCACGATACCTTGTCGTCAATGCCGATGAGGGTGAACCCGGAACATGTAAAGACCGAGAGATCATGCGAGGTGACCCCCACAAGCTTGTGGAAGGCTGTTTGGTTGCTGGTCGGGCTATGAATGCCAATGCTGGTAAGTGGCAAGTCTTGACGTACAGATCGCATATCATTGGCTCTTGCGTTCTCCTCGCCATGGCCCCGCGGGGCGAGCGCAAGCCCCGCTCATACGCGATCTAAGAGCCACCAAGATTTGTGCTTTTACTGATTCGCTGCCCAGCCTACATTTATATCCGAGGAGAATTCTACCAAGAGGCATCCCACGTCCAACAAGCCATCGACGAGGCTTACAAGGCCGGTCTCATCGGCAAGAACGCCTGTGGCTCTGGCTACGACTTTGACGTCTACGTTCACCGAGGCGCTGGTGCTTATATCTGTGGTGAAGAAACCGCTTTGATCGAGTCCATCGAGGGCAAGCAGGGCAAGCCTAGACTCAAGCCTCCTTTCCCTGCCGATGTCGGTGTTTTCGGATGCCCCACCACCGTCGCCAACGTCGAGACTGTCGCCGTCGCCCCCACCATCGCTCGACGAGGCGGTGCTTGGTTCAACAGCTTTGGACGAGACAGGAACTCTGGTACCAAAGTGTTTTGTGTCTCTGGACACGTCAACAACCCTTGTGTCGTTGAGGAGGAGATGTCCATTCCTTTGCAGGAACTTTTGGAGAAGCACTGTGGTGGTGTGAGAGGTGGATGGGAGAACTTGAAGGGTATCATCCCTGGTGGTTGTTCCGTGCCCGTCGTTACCCGAGAGACTTCTGAAAAGTGTTTGTGAGTATTTTTCTTGCTCTGATCGAGCCACGCTGACGCTACACAGGATGGACTATGACTCTCTCAAAGACAACGGCACTTCCCTCGGTACCGGAGCCGTCATTGTCATGGACCAGTCCACCGACATGATTGCCGCCATCGCCCGATTCGCCAAATTCTACAAGCACGAGTCTTGTGGACAATGTACACCTTGCCGAGAGGGTACCACTTGGATGATGAACATGATGGACAGGATGGTCACCGGACGAGCGCAGGAGAGGGAGATTGATATGCTTTTGGAGTTGACAAAGCAGGTCGAGGGCCACACCATCTGTGCTTTGGGTGACGCTGCTGCTTGGCCCATCCAGGGTCTGATGAAGAACTTTAGTGAGTTTTATGCCCAGCGCAATCGGATAGGACTGACAAGGTGTGCAGGGCCCGAGGTTGAACAACGGCTTGCCCAATTCCATGCTCAAAACGGCCATGTCCTCTACGGTGGCAAGCTCGCTTCAGAAACCGACGGACGTTTCGCTATTCCTGACAACCTTGGTGGTTACACCACCAGGAACATTGCGGCGCCTTAGGATGGGGGAGAGTTTTTGTAGTCGGGGCGATGTAGTCTATCATGATCAGGGTTGTTTCCTTTACTTCTTCGTTTTCCCCATGCATGTTTGATATCACATTCATTGGCCATTGCGCATGCCTCTCTTATCTATCTTGCGATACAAGTCCAGCGGTGTTTCTCTCTACGAGTGCAGCGGTGGCTCTTCTGTGTATGGGCGAACAGAAAGATGTCATTGCAAGGTCATAATATGCTGATAGTTGAAAATATAGATGTCTATGATACAGGGAGAAGACTAATGGATGGCGGGGTGGATTGCGTGCAGGGTATATGTACAAAATCAAGCTCTCGTTTTCCTCATCGATACACCTTCTTCCGCCAGTTGATTTGCAAGTCTATCAGAGCTCCTGGGAGTCTTGAGACGGATGCAGCTTTGGGGCTACGGCGACTTCTTCCGCGTCTCGAGGTACTTTTGCGTCATCGGTGGCAAGAGTGTCCCCCTGACCATAGACCGTAGGATCAACAGAGGGCGTCTCTCTCTCTTTGCTCTCCTCCTGCACCTCCTCCTTCTTCTCCAGATCATGGTTCCAAGCCCCGGGATCCGAGAGTTCCGACACTGCATGCGCCTCTTTAGATGAGTGCTTGCTGACCTCGGCACGCTCTTCCTCGACCTCGGCCTCCTCATCCACAGTCTCTGGCACTGAGAAGGATACCACATTTTCTTCCTCGGGCTCTTCTACAGGAGACGCGTCCTCGATAGGAATCAACACAGCTGGTTGATCGTCATCTGGGCCTGCTTCAAGAGGCTGAGGGATGATGGACTCGGGCGCTTGGCCATCCACGGGCGGAGGAGAGGTAGGTGGAGTACCGTGAATGATTACAGGCGGTTCGGTGACGCGAATGAGAGCAGGAGTGGAGGCTACAGTGTCGCTTTCTTCAAGACCCCGAACGACATTCTCTAGATGACTTGCGATTGGCACCGGGGTAGCATTGATCGCGTCGCCGTCCTCGGGCGTCTCGAACGGTCCGTTCTCCATAGACTCCCAAGTCCTTTCTGGGTGACTTGGGACATCACCAGAGCTCGCAATGGGAGCATCGACTGGGAGATCATGCTGGGCAGTATCAATGGCAATGGCACTAAGATGAAAGATAAGAACATGTATTGGAGATGGTTTGGACCACCGACTCACTGGTCACTGGGCGTCGGGAAAGTTGGAGCGAGTGGTATGTGGTTGTAGGGTCCAGAATCAGGACCTTTTTCTTGTTCGGGTCCGTCAGTTGATTCACCTGTACTATAACATGATGTCAATCACTTTTTCGTGGCGACATGAGCAAGACACTCACCCTGCCTCTTCTCGAGGTAACGTAACGGCGCCCGCGAGGAATTGCGTAGCATCGAGCGTGTCCTGTCTGTCCTCCACTGGGAAGTCTTCGACTTCTGCTGACCGACCCATATCAGGCGCAATGGAGCTGCTTTCGACAGCCACCGGGGCCTCTGAAGCAGGTACAGAGGGTTCGCTAATAGTATGTCAGTCATTGAAAGATCAAGTATCGTAAGATGAACTCACGGAGCCACGCCGGTTTCCACAACGGGTTCAGATACGTCGAGGGCATCCTCGTGTTGACTCTCGACAGGAAGAGAGTCCAAGGAGCCAGTAGTCGCTGGCAGCTGCTCCGATGGTTGAGGTACATCCTCTGCAGCTTGAGCCAGTGGTGGGTCCTGTCGAGCGACATCAATCTGCTGTTCACCTGATACCGGCTCATCAGACGCCAGACCTGATTCTGGACTGATGACTGGTTCCTGAGCCTCAGCGACATCCGTTTCAGCTTGCTGTGTAGCTGGGGAGAGTTCAGGGTCACCCGAGTGGTCATACGCATCCTGTTGCTGGTGTAAAGAAGGCGCCTCTTCTGAGACGGCCTTCGTCTCGACAGAAGTCTCTCCATTTTCGTCTTTGGTCCCTTGCGCTTCCTCTACGTTTGGCGTCGTCTCCTCGGCACTGATTTCTTCTAAGGCTGCCGGGAGCCCAGCGCTGGGGGTAATCACTGGTCCCAGAGAAAAGGATGGGGATTCGCGAGCGGTCGCCCTGGGTGAAGAGTTGTCTTCTGCGATCGACATTGAGGGATGACCCGGGGAGGAGGGTGTAAATTCGGATCCATGTAGGTTGGGAGTTTGTGGCGCGGAGATCGCAGAAGCTTCGTGGAAGCTTCGACTGCGAACCAAGCGATTAGCAGAAAGGTCCATTGAGCGTGACCACAAAACTCACACATCATCAGTCACGCCTCGAGGTTCTTCGTCGTCTTCGTTTGGAACGGCTCCATCACTTTCAGCAGGAATTGCCTCGGCAGCGGAAGAGGGCCCCGTTTCATCCTCTTGAAGGACGGGGGCCACGGAGGATTGCTCATCTTCAACCGTTTCTTGAACATCGTCCTGGGTATCGTCACTGACAAATGAAGGTCAATGTCATTCAAGACTTTATGCTGCTGACTCACGACCTAGGCATTATATGGGACGTCTGCACAAGTTCAATGTCCCCTTGATCACTGACTCTTGAATTTGCAAAGACTTTGGTGACTTCTGGAAGCGCGGATCCAGTAGCACCGGCAGCCAAGACCGACCCAAACTTATCAATTGTCGTCTCGATACCCATGGGTTCTGCAAGAACTACCTCGCTGGCAGCCAGTTGGGCAGTCATCGGCTCCTGCACGATGGGTCGATCGTCGACCCCCGTCGGTGGCAGATCGTCTTTTTCGGTCGCCTTGGAGACATCATTTACGATGACGATCTGAGCTGCTGGCTCGAAAGCGGTGACTTGTTCTCGGTCGATAGAATCGGTTGAATGAACTGTAGGTTCATCCCTGCCAGCTGTGGCATCCTCGCTGTCGCGCAGCGCCGGCGTCTGTGCAGGAGTCTCTACGGGTTGGAAATGAAAGTTGTTCTCCGTTGCCGGAGTGACCGTAGCAACCGTCTCCACTGTAACTTCAATGGGATGGCGCTCTTCGGAAGATTCCTGGATATGCTGGATATGAGGAGTCTCTGTGTCACGCTCCTCGATGGTAGACGCGGAGGCAGAGGTTGACGCTGCTGTGAGAGGCGATTCCTCAGAGTCCAGCTTGTCCTCATGAGGTGGAGATTGGTCGTCGGTGCTGTGAAGATCCTGATCCTCTGACTGGAAGTCCAGAGCAATTCCAGCAGCAGTTGCCCCTTCGATACCCCCCAAACTCATCCCCCGACGCTCAGCTTGTCTTTCTTCCTTCAGCTGGCCATCTGACTTTGGCAAAGGGGCCTCCTCATTGGCGACCATAATCTGCTGCGGAGGAACGGGGTGGTCTTCAGCATCAACGCCCTCGAGATGCGTGTGAGGTTGAGCCTCGGTAGCCTGCTCTTTGTCTTCGCTAGTCCGAGAAAGTGCAACGGGAGCTGGGTAGTCTTCGCTCTGATGAGGTTGGATGTCCAAAGCAATTCCTGCGGCCTTGGCACCTTCCAGGCTGCCAACACCAGCACCCCTCTCTTCCTTCTGACGCTCTTCTTCAAGCTGCAAGTCAGTCTTGGGAAGGGGGGTCTCCTCATCGGCGACCATCACCTGCTGAGGGGGCTCACGCTGACGGTCGACATCAAAAGTCCCTGATTGGGAGCTGGCGTCTTGACTCCTGATCTCTGTTACCGGGTCTTCTTGGGGCTGATCAGGGGTAGAAGATGCAGGATGCTCTGGGTCGCTGAGAACAAGGTCAGCAGCGGCAGCTACCGCCGCAATGGCTGCAGCACCTCCAGCAGCAATGGCAGAAGTGCCAGAGGCCAATAGTCCAGTGATCCCCTCTCCCTTTTCTTGGTCGACAGGTTCGTCTTTGACAGTCTGCGTCTCAGGGGTGACAGAGCTCTGGTCGGCTCCCTTCTCGGCAGGAAGCTCTTCCTCAATCTCGTGCTCGCGAACAGAGGGAGGAAGAGAAGGAGAAGGGGCGAGGGATCGCTCACCTCTGCGCGGGGCGGGGAGCTCCTCATCATCAGAACTCTCAGCCTCAGCCAGGTTCTCAGTAGGTTGAGTGGACGAGGGGAGTACTTCCTTGACCGCAAGGGGCGCAGCAGTCGCTGCCGGGGTGTGGACCTCAAGAGCTTTATCGTCCGCCCCCTTGTCGCCGCCATCATGGGAAATGGCACCAAGAAGTGAGGTTCCTTCCTCGAATCCGGAAGCAGTAGGCATAGGTGAGGGCAAAGGCGTGTTCTGGACGGTCCCAGCGGGAGTGGGAACGAACAAGGCGCGAGTAGATGCATTGTCTACTTCCTTGTCGGCGATTGGGATCCTACTCGCGGTCAAAGGCGAGGCAAGGTTCTGAGATCGGCTAGGAGAGACAATTTCACCCATTTCCCCAATCGATACCGGTTCGGACTTCTTTTTGCCCAACTCCTCCAAGGTAGGCAGATCACCTTCCTTCAGTCCTGATCCACTTCTCGAGATACCAAAGAAGCTTCTCCTCGAACTGTTCCCATTGCCACCGCCAGCTGAAGACGTTCTTCTCGAGAGGGACGTGGCAAAGTCGCGCAGACCCTTAGAGTTGCTACCCCTCCCGGACGTTGTCGATCTCGCGCTTGGTGAGGTGGGCCGCTCGATGGTCTCGTGCTCAAATGGCTCCGAAGGTGGATAGGGAATGTGCTCAATCGACACAAGCAGCCATTCAATAGGCTTTGGCTGGGCGATTGGAGACGCGAGGCGCACGAGGGAGAAAGGCGGCCAAGACGCAGTCACATCGTCGAGTTTGGCATCCTCAAAGAACGACATGAAGATGTCGTCAATTTTGATGACAGCCTCGCTCATGACTGTGAACGTGGGCACCAGCTCAGCAGAGTCCCGGAAGGTTCTCTTTCGTGATTTGTTGAGAGGCTTTTCAGCTGACTTTCTCTTTTGAGTTAGGGAAGTGACAGACTTTCCGCTAGGGACAACAGAGGCAGTGGCAGAGAAGTCAAGTTTCAGGTCTCCAGTGCCCTCGCCAGTCTCGCTAAAGCCAATCTTTTCGAAATCATCCCACGCGCCAGGGTCCGGACTCCCCTCCCCCTCCACCCGGGTTTTACTGAATGTGGAGTGGTCCGAGAGGACAGAGTGGCCTCGGGAGTGGGTCTGGAATGGGCGGTAGATGGGAGGCTCTTGGGTGGAAGGTAGATCAAGGACGGAAGCAGGCGAAAGAGGTTCCTCGGATGGTGCCAAGGTCTTGAACAGGCTCAAAGAGTCTTCAGAAACGATGTCGGCAAGGTTGACCTTGTCCTTGATTAAAGCGGACCACTGAGGTACAGACGCTTCGCTGTGGATGGTAGCCCGTAAAGCGGCGTGAAAGATCTCTTCGGGCCCGGAACCGGCCTTGTTTACGGGGAGGCTGCTTTTGAGGACCACATGCAGAGTCTTGCGGCTGGAAGACGAGGGCGGGGGAAGGGGTAAGTGCTCGGATGAAGCAGAGGCCTCCCCAAAAGGATAGTCGTTGACTAGCTGGAGCATGCGCGTGGGCAGTCTTTGTTTCGTAGATTGAAACCTGAAGAGACATCAGTATGGGCGTCAAAGTAAGTCGCATTGTCATACCTGATCCAAGCGTAAAGCAAGTGCTCCAGTCTCTTTCCGGCCTCTTTCCAGGTCTTGTAGAAGTGGTCGAAACTGGCCACCTTGCCAGCGTTCATACCGTATGCCCACCAACCGAGAAGGTAGGCTAGCCTGCCACCAGTCAGGGTGTTTTGGTCGGCATGCGTAGCTATAGCCGCCCACGTCTCAAACATTTCATGCAGATAGTTTGCAACCTCCGCAGGGACGTTGTGTCCGAGTAACTCTCCAAAGGCCGACAAAGGATAAGACGAGGCATGCTCGGCTTGAACAAACGTTGTGTAGACCTGACGACTGATGAGAGGATTCTCGCCTGTTGCACTGGGTAGCAAGCGTCGGAGTATGAATTTGAGGCCTTCCGAGATGTCAAGAGGCTTGTCGGTATCTCTGAGGGACGTGACCAGCCTCTCATGCCAAATCTCGGAAGGCCGCTCGGACGTCGGTTTTGCCAGGTGAGAGGCCACTGATGGAAGAGAATCGATAAGATGTGGTTTGGTGTAGAGCGCAAAGAGAGCGAAAAGATAGAAGTGCGTGGTAGGATCTGCGTCGATTCCTCGTGGCAGCAGAATGCCTCTTGTGTCCAGTCCTGTGTATCGTTAGGCGTGACACGGCGGGGTTGGTCAAAGCTTACCAGTTGCCTTCAGTGCGCTACCAAACCATTCCCAAGCCAGCTTTACTTCCCCCACGTCCCATCGCAGCTCTCGCAGCAGATCCCTCTCTTCCTGCTTGAGGTTGGGAGGCCTTCCCAGGGACCCTATGTCGAGCGCCGTGTCCCCTGGGCTGCCGAGCGCACTGACCTCGAGACCCAGGTCGAGCTTTGGCAGCTGTATGGGCGGGCTGGAGCGCCCTGACTGCCGCCGACTCCTCTTTCTCGAGAGCTCTGAGCTGGCGCGTGGAGAGGAGGTGCCGTGGGGGTTGGCGGTGGCCTTTTGTCGGAGGGACAGGAAGCGGGCGGCGGGACGCTCTGGAGTGTCGCGGGCGGGGGATGTGGGGGACGGGGGGCGGGCGGTGTTCCCCTTGGGTTTCTTCTTGCCGGAGAAGAAGGAGAAAATGGATACCATCTTCCGCTGGCGATAAAAGAGCTGCAAGATGAACAGATGATAAGGTTCGAGCGTCAAAATCAAGACACGGCGCGAGTGCCCGGGACCAATTCAGGTGCAAGGCATCCCCGGCCGCCGGCAATCCACCTACTATGCTCTATGCTCATGGGTCGCAATGCACAGCAGTGTCAATCTACTTGTCCTCCAACCTGCTTTCTGAACAGTTTCTTGCAGCCTATACATCATGGCTACGCTGATGCTGTATCTCATTTGACATTTATACTACGATCCCCTAAGATACCCCGGTACTTTAAGATACGATACAACAGCCTGGACACTCAGAATCTACACCTTTCCATTTACATTGGCAACGCCATATGATAGTGCTTATAACCCTTTGCTAGAATCGACTCTAGTATCGCCGCACGCCCACTTCTCCAAACCGCACTGTCTTTCTACCGTTCCCATAGTTCGGTGGCGGTGGAGAATAACGACCACTGCTCCTGGGCGCATAGTAACCTGAACCTGCCTCCGCTACTGGTAGATACACCGCGGGCGGTAGAGCCACTGTAGGAGGCAGGGAGCTGTAGTTATACTGAGGTGGAGCTGAGGGTTTATAGTGGTACTGGGGATAGTTGTACTGCGACTCTCGGTATCGTGGTAGATACGGCGAAAGAGTTGGTGAAGCAGGATATGATTTGCGAGATACGCTGGGTGGTTGCCAGCGGTTACGACGCCACATACAGCATGAGAACATGGTGGTTAGAGCTAAGCAGCCAACAACGACGCCTAAGAGGTGGTCAGATGGCGGCAAATGGTCAAGTGACAGAGACCTACCAGCTATGGCGCCCGGGGAGATGTGATGAGCGCCTTCGTCACGGGTGGCAATGTTGATAATACTCGTAGTGTTATCCGGTATGCCGAAAGCGAGACAAATCGCTAAGAAAGGTGCAAGAACGATAGTGTAGAGAGCCAAGGTACGCATGGCTGTCACCAGTACTCCGCTGTATTTATATGAAGCGACTCATAAGGAGCTATACGTGAGAGCCCCTGGGTCGCAGCGCTGTCATGATCGGGTAGATTCCCCCACCCAAAGGTGAGAAGCAAAGCCCGACAAGCTATGCGTCATCCCTCGAGGGAAGAATGGAGAGCATAACGGCTTCTGCCAGAGTAGCTCTCAATGAGCCTCGACAGTTGTCGCAGCCTTCTCAAAGGATTTGGTTTTGTGGTCAATGGGAGAAGCAACTTCGAGTCCGGCGGGGCCCCTGGGCTGATGACTAGTCGCAAAGATAGATGTATCAGCACAATTGCCATTCTGAAGAGTCACAGTGTTGCCACTCACTCATATCGTCTTTCCAGCATCCTGGATCAATTTCCTCCATGTCTCTGCCCTGCCTTCTCTCCCTAATTCTTCCTCGACCTGTACCAACAATCTCATGCTTTCCACCCTCAGATTGACCGCACTACTTTCCATCTCTTCGTCTCTCATGACCTCATCTTGAGACTTTATGGCTGTCTTGCCCTCCTGCGCCAATCGCCTTTCTCTAGCAATCCGTTTCACTATACCTTTGCACTCTCGCTGAACCATGCTCAACTCGATCTCGGCTGCCTTGACATCATGTTTCTCCTTGAGATACAGCTCTCCCAGTTCTCTTCTAGTTCGCAGGACGGACAAGGGGTCGGAGGGCGGATCGTTGGTGAGGAGGTGGATCTTTGCGGAGAGAAGCTGGATACGGGATGTGAGAGGCTGCGGAACAGGCGAGGCGAGGAGGGTGTTGATAGCTTGTATATTGTAGATTGGAGAGGCGGCGACGGCTGGCGGCATGACTGATGGATGTATTGTAGCCAACGATGGGAGATGGACGAAAAACAAGACAAATGTGTAGACGACTTTTTTGACGCGTCTTCACTGCTGCGACTGTATCGCCGACGCGACTGACTTGCTTCTCGGATCAGAAGAGCACACAAGTGACCGATTTGCAAGGTCAAACCCCCCGGACCATACAAAATTGTGACGAACAGAAGCCTTATAGAGTACCGGCCTGGCATATCTTCTTGCGTCTAATCATGACATCCGCCGAGTGATTGGAGTTTGGACATGACCGGTGTGGCGAACACCAAGATGTTGTTGACACATGATTCTCGAACAAGATATCCCTCGCATCACAGTCGCCTTAATCGTCATCTGCAGTCCAGTACTGCCTACTAATAACATATCGCAGGTACTTTAGACAATGCACCCAGCCCGCTATCCTGGCCTTCCTCCACGAATGTCAAAGATCTACAGTCTTTTAGCGCCCCTCTTTACCTTGCTCGCTGCAGCAGTCTTCACGCCCCCGACAGTGTTCCCAGCAGTCTTGACCGCAGGTTTCACCACCTTCTTGACCTCGTCACCCGATTTCGGCTCGCCGTTTGAATTCGGGCTCTGACCTTGCGAAACGCTGGTACCGAGGGGGGAAGGCTTGGAGGCGGAAGAAGAGGGGGGTGAAGGAGCGGTAATGGTAGGTCGGACGGTGGTGGTGGGCACAGATTGGTCTGAGGGAAGGGGTCTTTCGCTACTTGACGTGGCGCCACGGAACTCTGCGGGCGGAAACTGTGGAAGGTCAGTGCAGCCGCAGATAGTCTTGCAGGCAAGAACTCACTTTCGGCATGGCGTGGATACTCGTCATAAGCCGGGCATACTTGGAGCTGGGGTCAGTGAATTCCAAAGTCATCAAATTAGTCTACACACCTTGGAGTATCCCTCATAGTCTTCAAGCAGTTGTTTACCGGCTTCCTCGTCCAATGCGCTTTCAGGGTTCGGGTAGATCAACAAACCTAACAAACAAAGAACATGTCAGCAGCCGTCTTCAAACACCAGGCAGGAGGCGGCTACATTTGATGGTCTGGGGCATGTCAGCATCGCCATGTGCTGCCGGAAATTGCAGTGCTTACCACGAGGACATGTTCTACTCCATACTCTTTCTTCCAGCCTTTTTTCAGTGTGTCCACACAGATTTCGCCAGCCTTGCTAATGTTGGGATGGAAGATCTTGGTGATCATAGTACCTATAGACCAGGGTACCTGTAAGCCGAAGGCGATTGACTTGCAGAGGAAGGCCTCCCGCGTGCGCGACACCGAACCTACACTTTGGCGGGAGATTGGGGAATTCAGGACCAAAAGTGAACCGAATCTTGTAGTATCCGCCCTCATAGGGAGTGCCAGCTATGGGTATCTTCGTGAGCTACGACTGAACTACAACCCAAGGCTCGAGCTAGTTCACTGGCTACCCGCAAATGGTATGCCAGACTCTGACTTCGTGCGACCTTCATTCCCCAAGGCTCTCCGGAGTGTCCTCGTCCAAGCCAATACTCACAAGGCCCCTGCACCCATCCTTCCATGTTGGTGAGGTTTTCCTCGTCGACCACGAGCCTCACTCCCTCGGGGGGGCTATTTCTGTGAGCGACGATCTGTCGAGAGAGCAGTCTGAGAGCTTGAGGGGTGAGAGACTTTATGGCGTCAGCTTGTGTTGGTACGATAGTGGCAGGCGGCGACACACCATCTTATCTTGAGAAGAAGGAGGAGAAGTGGATGGTCAGTTGTTGATGTTGACTGGAAAGTGTTTGTTGACTTGTTTGGTTCATTTTGAATCCTGGACAGAGCGGACGCGTCCGGTGCCAAATGCTTATGCGGAGTTATGCCTATTAGGATTTTAGGACTAATGGGATTTTCAGCAAGGGTTCAATTCCCCTAGGGTGTAATTGTTTTGCTTTTTCTCACTGTCATTCAACGTGTATGTGCGCGTGGTCTTCAAGCATGGACGGCGTAGAGCGCGGTGGAGATATCACGATGTTCAGTAAGGTGTACATAAAATAATGCAAAACATGAAAACGATGTAGGATCAAAACAAAAAGTGATGAGATGATATTTATAAAGTCCGTTGACAAGCCCGTGTAATAAAATGATGCCGCAAGAATATCCTCAAGAAAACTTTCCTTCGCTCAAACTAGTTCTTCACACAAGAGCCAGACTTGAGAGTATAGCCGCTCTCGCACCTGAAGGCCTTGCACTGCCCCCAAACACAGGCGTTGGAGGTGACGCCAGTGAGGGTGGAACAGCTGAACAAGCAAAGTCAGCGAGAGTGCTTCCACATTTGGTCCTTGACAGTGGGGCGATACTCACTCGACGGCAGAAGAAGATCGCTTGCTAGAGCTGAAAGCGCCGTTGATACAGCCGCCACAAGAGTCTGCGGAGTGCGTCAGCGAAAGCTCAAGCACATACAAGGTTCAGGCATATGAGTGCTTACTAAGGTCAAAGTTGGGGTCGACGCACTACAGTTCAGCCCGTCAGCTTGTATTTCTATAGGTTTCGAACCTACGCACCTCGTAGGAAGACGAGTCGCCAGCTACCGCGCAAGCCAGCAAAGGCTCGGGACAGAGGCTCTCGACGGTCGCCCTGGCCTTCCTCAACCTGTCCATCTTGTCTTCCCTCTTCTTCTCATTGTGTGCCTTGAAGGTTGCGACAGGTCGAGCATACACCTATAGTTTCAAGTGAGTTCAAGCCCGAGATGATGAAGCGGTGGGTAGAAGAAAACTGACTGCAATGCCCTCTGCACAAGTACCAAACGCCTGGTCGGCGTTGATCATCTCGAAGTTCTTCATGTTCGGTCCGGAAGCCGAGCAGAGGCATTGATCCTCAGCCGACCGGTCCCAGTATGCGTAGTGTGAGTTATCGATGTGATTCCAGCATTGTGTCTATCATTGACGCGTCGCGTGATGTCAGTCGATGACTATTGGAAATGGAACACAAACGCACGGCACAGTTGACAGCTGAGACAGCTGGGATTGGAGTAGCATCAGACGGCGGGGTGTCGATGGAAAGACACCCTTCCCATGCGGGCAGAGAAGTGGCACGGCCGAGGGTTGCGAGGAGGGGCAAAGCAGCGATGAAGAGGGTGAAGGCAGACATATCGTCGTTGTACGTGTGGTGTTGTTTGGTGATGATATTAGGGCAGGGTTGTGCGTGCAGGTAAAGAGCGTCTAGGGTTGAGCAACGATGAAGCGAGTGTTATTACTCCGAGGAGAAGAAGAGGAATAAGTGGTAACAAATAGGAGATCCAGGAGATGCAGCAGACAGCAGACACAATCATGATTTACAGGAACAGGTTTGTTTGTTTACTTTCAGGGAAACGCCGATAATTAGGCTTTCGGCAATCACCGCTGGACTCGCGTCGGCTCGAGCATCGCAAGAGCATCGTGTGATGGCAAATCGCTGCTCGCTGCAAACTCGTCAGTCCTCTCGTATACCTATGCAATGCCAGCCAAACGCCCCGCTTCTTCACTCTCCGGACCCAACAAACGCCCAAAACCTACCACAAAGCGCAAACAACGCACAGACAAGTCTGTATGGAACTCCAAAGACGATTGGGATACTCTCGTCGCAGAATCATCCCTCTCCACCTCTTCTGTATCCTTTCGTAAACCGAGGTTCAGATCATTCCCTTCTCTCACAAAGGCCTCCGTGGACGCCATTGTGCGAGGCTTCAAAGCTTTCTACGGGGATGGGCAGGCGGGCCAAGACGAAGCGGTCGCGGACGAGTGGAGGAAGTGGTGGAGAACGGAATGGGCAGAGATACCGGGGCATCTGAAAGAGATGGTGAGGGATGGGATATACAAAAGATGGGGAGGTATATTATCGTTGCAGTTGCTTCAAGAGGTGGGTGCTCTTTTACTTTAAAACTGTGCATTAGTCTAACGCACCCTACAGCTGTTCTCGATCCCGCCAACATTGTATCTGCCAGGAGATCTCCTGCCTGCTATCGCACAGGCCAGTCGACTCAAGCCACTAATCCCTCCAACCATTTCATCAAACCTGTTTACGTCACTCATTTTGATCAATTCCCCGACGTCGACGGATGTAGGCCTTGCAGGCCTCATACATCACCTGCCGAGCATTGAGATCGTCAATCTCAAGGGCTGTGCATTAGCCGGTGAAAAGACGGTGAAAACCATTGTGTCGAGGTGCCCGGGAGTTAAGCGGCTGAACCTAAAGGGAACCAAAGTCTCGGAAAAGGATGTCGCACAATTACTGGCGAAATTCGGGCAGCAGCTGGAAGGATTCAAGGTGGACAATGTCATTTTCAATGTGCGCCCATCGCCTCTTGTTTTGCAGAGAGCTGACTCTATGCCTGCAGGATATCGACCATACATTTGCATCCCAGCCATATCCCTTCATGACCCACCTCTGCCTTCCAGGCAACATGCTCAACCGACCGCTCTCGTCGGCGCGGAGTAACACCACCCGTTTTACCGGTATGGGTTATCCCAATCCAAGACCCACTCCCCAAACGACTACCATCTCGTGGCCGACGCTGAATACGAGTTTTCCGAGCTTGACGCATCTTTGTCTACCGGGGCTGCTAGTACCTAATGGTACGGAGATCGGAACCGCAGGGTTGTCTTTGATCAAGCTTGCTTTTGGACCGAGAGGACCACCCGTTCCAATCACATCTATCGAACCCATCATCAAACGCCATCACAAAACACTCAGATCAGTCCATCTGGGAAACGTTTACCCTCGAGGCACCAAACCAGGGTCCGACTTTGATGAGCTCGCCGATACCATACGAAGCTGTGACGGATTGGATACTCTGAGGTGGCAGACAGACGTCCATGGGACCAATGACTCGCTCTGCGATACCAGCATGAGCAACTATGGCCATAAACTGTACTGGAATCTCTTTGAGACGCCAGTAAAAGAGATCTGCCCTCGTTTGCGGGTAAGATATCTTCGAAAGGAACGAATCATCATAGCTGACCGCAGCACAGCGAGTGACTCTCGAGCTACCCGGACAGTACAAATTCCCAAGTGCTTGGTCCTCAGGCTCTACATCACAGACTTTCCCTTCGTTGCTCGAAACTCTCGATATCCCATCCGCCACGTTACAGGATCATGAATCGCTCGCCAAGCTGCTTTGTTGTTATCCCAAGCTGCGTGAGCTGGACCTGTCCGGTACAACGATTGACGGTAGGTGCAATGGAGAGATGCGCACAGCAAGGCTGATGTAGGGGCGTAGATGACGACATGAAGTTGATACTGAGACATTGTCCGCTGGTTTCGAGGATCGATCTTACGTCTTGCAGGGGCGTCAACGTTAGGCATAGACGGAACATTTTCAAGGTATGCTTCCATCACAGAGACCAAGTGTATATGTGCTAACCATTGTAGGCGTTTGATGAGGACGAATCCTGAAGCACCTATTTGTCGATGCATGCGGAGCGCGTGACGGTATATGAACGGCGTCGTGCACTTCCATCTGGACTTTATACACCATCTGGCTGGTATCCAGAGCCTTGCACCGTTCGATAGTTTGACTCCTGTCGGCTTTCCAATCTGTCAAAAAAAGGAAAAAACGACGGCACCCGGGATTCCCAGGTGGTCCCCCACCCTGGTACTAACCGAGCGCTCTCCTAGTTGACTTCGCGGATCAGACGGGACGCGGTACTTTGAGGAGGCTATGGCCGTCGATGTTGACTCCACATACAATGCCGTTATGACCCATTTATTGTGTTATGACAGAGCTGACTATATTTTCCTGCCTAGAGTCGACATACACCTGACATACATGCAATAACATGCTAATCCATAACAGTACCAGACCCGCTAGTGCTACACCGAAAAGATTGATTTTTATCCATAGCCCAGAAAGCCGAGAATGAACGAGAGGGAGACACGGGCAGAGCGAGCTGCTTCAGACCATGACCGTAGTGTCATTTCGAATTCCATGACTGTGGGAATGTGCAGTGATGGTCTGGCTTCTGTCCCTCTGGATCAATCCTGACTCCTTGACCACTACCTCAACCCCAAACTTCTCTCCCAGCATGGCGAGCTCCTTCAGCCCGATCCTTCCCCCGTTCGCGCCAAACCACCCGCCAATCGCTCGGATGCACATCTTGGCTCGGTCAATCTCTCGCCACACCATCACCTCAGCCTCTTCCTCCATTCTCTTGTTGTCTCCGCGACCCACTGACCCGCTGCCAGTGTTAGCCAGAGGGGAAAAGGGGTTGGGCAAAGGGGGCGCAAGAACGTGCCGCATGAGGAACCACGCTGTCTCATTATCGCTGTACAGAATCGACGAGACGGGGACAGAGATGGGCTTGGGAGGCAAGATGCTGCTTAATATAGACGAGGAGGTGGGAGAGGAGCATGGGGAGGAGAACGGGGAGCGGTGGGAGGGTGGAGAGGCGAAGAGGGTGATGTAGCAAGAGGTCAGGATAGTGAGGTAGTCCATCTCTGCGGCGATGGAGATGAGCACCGCGAGACACGAGGTGGTGGGTGAGTCACTTACAGAGTGGCGTATGTATTGATGTATGTTTGGTAGCGCGGTGGGCTGCAGACTTATGACGAGCGATACTCTTTGATGCGACGGTGTCTTTTTCTTGTGGCGGATGAGAGAGAAAGGAGACAGTGAGATGCGAAGGCGAGATGGGCCTCTTATATATCTAGCTGCTCGGACGACAAAGGACCAAAGGACGGGGCTTGTCACGCGACTCCCTTTGTAACACTCAAGACGCATCGCGGCCTGCTCGCGTCTGCATCTAGCGTCAGCAGTCCATGTTGGGTTAAACGTGTATTAGAGCGACTGCGATGGATGGCCTACGCCTCGAGGAGGGGGGGAGGACGGTGTCCAGGGCGATCTGGGGGATATCGTCGTCGTCAAGTAACGGGCCCCCGGCCATGCACGACGTAATAATGCTTCTAAAAGGCAGCTTGACTACGATGTAGTTTGTCGGATATCTCTTATGAGACTGTAGCATTGGACACCAACTTCTCGTCAGAGCTCGAAGTGTTTCTAGCAGTGATGCATCAAGGCAAGAACGGGGAAGGGAGGTAGACGCGGACAACCACCATCAACAACGCAGCAGCAACAAGCCGAGCGTGATCGAGAAAGAGAGTGTGAGAGCCATCGATATGGATGTTCTTGTCTGAGTAACATCATACATAGGGTGTAGTCCATTTATATAATGAGTATAGAACCGAAAAGTTGCTTGTGAGGATTTGACCGTCCTCGGAAATCCTAGAAGAGCTCGAGAGGCAAGAGTCAGCCGATACTATGTTTCGAGTATGCTCAGTTGTTGCGGATTCGCGATCAGTCCAGAAAGTCGGAAGTACAAGTACGAGATGCGTAGCGGCTCTAGGAGAGGCAAGCTCGATGTGCGTTAGAGGTAAGAAAAAGGAGGAGTACCTTCGTCTTATATGCATCCAGCGCTACAGGCAATAAACAAAGTAAAAGTAGGGAGCACGGGACGAGAAACGTCTATCGGGGCATATGGCCTCGATAGACCACAAGGACGGTTCTTCAGCGATATGAGGTGTGGCAGCTTATGGTGAGCACTGCTGGTAAGAGGTGCCGTGGAGACACTCAAATGTATAACTACTTCTTGTACGGAGCGGTGACATTGGAAGCCTTTCCCAAGTCAAGAGCTAAGGCGACTTTGAACGCCAAGTCGGGGCTGTTCATGACACCTCGGAAATACTCGTGCCCAGGGCCAAAGGCATAGACAGGGACGTCCACCTACATCTCGTTAGCATGTACGATACCCCCCCCCCCCCCAAGGACACCGGCTTACCAAGGAATGCACACCCTGGCCTTCACTAACGCCCAGATTTCCGGTCATGGTAAAGCCTCGATCATTGTCCTCGGGGTTGAAAAAGTAACCGGTCGTGTTCTTGACAGCAGGAAGACGTTCGTGCTCGGTGTGGACTTCGTATTCCTCTCGGTGGTCGGGTGTACCAGTCCATCCGTGTGCAATGGTATATCGAGGATCCCAAGTAACAGGAAATCCGGCGCCTTGAGGACCAGTGAAAACGGAATGGTTGCCGGGCTGGACGCCATCTGGGACTTGGTAAGCCGAGAGACCAGAACTGCCGTAGGTCCCAATCGCGTTCCGCTTGGCTCGGTCAGAGTCCTGAGCTTTGAGGTATTTCGTATCAGCAGAACCAAACACATCGACTGCGGGCGAGTCAGCTATATTCAACTTTCCAGGTTGAATGAACGCACAGCCGTGACCATGGTCAGCGGTGATGACGACCAAAGTGTCTTCAAGCTCCCCGATCTTTTCGAGATGCTCAAGAACAGCTCGGACAGTATCGTCGAGCTCCAGAACCTCACCCAGAGCTCGATCAATGTCGAGGACATGCATTTCTTTGTCGATGAGGGCAGCTTCAGACATGAGCATGAAGCCGGTGTCTCTCTCTTTGGATCGGGTGTGAAGAATGTCAATAGCTTTGAGAGTCATGTCTTTGAGGCCGGGTTGATCGTGGCTGGGATCGAGCGTATCAGCACACTGCCTCTGGGTTGAAGGTACGAACGCTGTACGTACGCGCCGCGCTCGCCCTGAGGCGTGACAGCCAAGTCCAAAAGATCGGTGTACACGTTCTGATCAAGCCACGTAGAGATGTTGCCTTGGGTGAAGATGGCAAGAGCACGTTGGGCGTTGTCAAAAGCCTCGAGGGCCGTCTTGTTGTAGCCCACCTGGTAGCCGTGGGAAGCCCATCGCTCGAACTGGGAGACGTTGCCGTTACCTGGACTAGGGAGGAAGTTTTCACCACCGCCGCCTATCCATAATGGTCAGCTGTTGTGCGCACCAGCATATAGAGCTTACCGAAGAGGAGATCCACGCCTTCCCAAGGATACCAAGAATAATTGCCGGAAACACCGTTGAGATACTGTTCGACGATGGAAGTGTATTGAGATCTCTGGGACTAGAAAGATCCGATATATGTCAGTCGGCATATCGGGCATGGATGGAAAAAGCGGACAGTGTGTGTAACAACAGCGGCGGGAGTTGCATCAGCAATGTAGGCTTTGGAAACGATGCCCACTGCTTTCAGTCAGCCTTGTTCTGAGAAAGTATGTTGAAAGACCAACCTTGGCCTCCCGTTTGTCTTCGGAACATTTCAAAAATTGTTTCAACTTTGGGGTCACCGTAAGGCTTTCCGGTCGAGTCCTGTCAACCCATCAGTCAGATATATTCATAGTGGGCAGACGAGCTCCTCACAGTGTAAGCGTTGAGACCGTTGACGGTCATTTTCTTGCCCGAGAAAAGAGCAGAAGCAGAGTTGGCAGAGTCGGTGATGAAGGAATCGATGGAATGAGTCATCTGAGCTCCGTAACCCGGACTTGGAGGCATGATCATCAGTTCTACGATCTACGAGCATACTTAGCTAGAAAAGACTCACGCCTCGTCCAGCTTGAGCTTAGTCTGATATTTGCCGTTGATCGTCTTATGTCCCAAAAGCCTCGCGGCGGACAACATGGACCCGGCCATGCCATCACCAACGAAGAAGATGACGTTCTTGGCCTTCTTCTCCTGAGCAAGAGGGAGCACTTCCCAGGAGGCTTTGGTAATCATACCATTGTTGTAGCAAAACTCGACATCATACTGCCCGGGGTTGTGAAGCTGGATGTTCCGGTAGGATTTCGATAGAACATTGACGGGCGTGACGGCTTCCTCTTCCTCGGCAAACAGGTCTTCGTAATAAGTGAAGTTGTGTTTATCGACTGTCAAGGCGCATTAGCGGAAAACTCCGCACTCCAAAGGCTTACACCAGCGCACCTTCTGGATCCGCAATGCCAAAGAACTGGGAGACGTCAATCAGTTCAGCGCCTTTGCCACCGATCTTGACGGTGAAGTCGGGAGCAGGGACACCATTGTTGTAAGCCTCAGACCCGTTGACAGGAGCTTGCACTTCCACACGGATGTCGAAAGTCTCTGAGCTGAAATTAGCTGACGATCAACCACCATTTGAGAAGACACACGACCAGCAATGAAATCAGTCCTAAGATGTGTCAGCTCTCTCAGTGATTCGCAGGGAGACAACTTACTGATCAGGGGGCCAGACACAGCCGAGCTGAGGACAGGCACCAGTTCTCCGGAAGGTCTGCGCAAAGACAGGTGTAGTCAGCAACGCGAGTACCGCAAACAGCGTTCCAATATAGGCCATGACGGTTCCAAAAGACTGTTTTCGAGTACTTGCCCGGCCGTGGGTATGCATGTCGAATTGTCTGCTCTTTATCAATTACTCTCGAAATGAGTAATGGATTATGCCAAGACCAAGGTGAGCCATACGGATACGACACGTGCCGCGGATTGTGGATGGTCGAGTCTCATCTTGCTGTTCGGCATGCTGAACTGGGCGGTCTCGTGGTGTGCGTACTTCTGTCGGCGGTGGGCGGTGGGTGGGAGCAGAGCCTTCAACGGGGAATACCAGGAAATGCACGAATATTCAGCCTTGTGATGTGGAACGTGCGTTGTCGAAAGACTGCCACTGGTCACGTTGTTCTCGTTGATGCCATGTCGGTCTCGGAAACCCGGTGCCTGGGTTTGCGCGGGACGATAGTAGATGCCAAGACTACCCTTCTCTCATGCGGGGTGCAGATGCATCGGGCACCACCGAAGCTCAGCAAACGCTTGTATACCATGGCGATAGGTGTAGGTAGCCCCAACGATGACCTGACACGTGTGATACTCGTTTTATTTCTGATGAGAGCGAATGATGCGTACATGTATGTGCTGAATTCTAATCAAGACCCTCGTCCTGCATGTATGCCCCCGGTGTCTTCCTGCTCGGGTCCACATAGGCGTAGGCATGAGAATCGTGCACGACAAAGTCTTCCATAGTAAGTGGTCTGACCTTGAAGCCCTGTAATCACACAGTCAGCAAAGTCCCAGGACTCGACTGTTGAACGCACCTCTTTCCGCGCCTGCTCCAATCCAGCCATGCCCGCCTTGCCCTTCTCGCGCATCAACTCTCTCACAGGGACCATAGCAGCATTCCGACATGTCTCGCGAAGATCTGATCCTGAAAGTCCGTCTGAGCGTCTGGCGAGTTCCTCTATTGAAAAGTCGGGGGAGAGTTTGGTATGGGCGAGCATCTGTCAAGAACCATTAGTGCTGTGAAACGATTCCTACTATATACTAACAAGATTGAGGATCTTGGCTCGTTGTTCGTAGCTCGGCAATTTGACGGCGAACCTCTTGGGCATACGTCGAAGGATAGCAGCGTCGATCCTGAGGAAGATATCAGCGACCATTGCGAGACATGGCACAGTGTGCTCACTCATTTGGCCGGTTGGTCGCACCCATGACCATCACCCGGACATTGCTAGTCGTAGTCAAGCCATCCCACAGGGTCATGAACTCTGCCTTCATCATCGACGTGACCTCGTGATCACTCTGCGAACGCTCTCTGAATAATGTGTCGATCTCATCTATAAAGATCTAGGAGCGTAGAGAGTCAGCGTGCCGTTTTCACTCATTTTTTCACTCACAATGCTCGGCTGGAGCTTGGTCGCCAGTGAAAAGAGACCCGCCACAAGCTTGTTTGTTTCACCAAACCATTTGTTAACTCTGAGCCCAAACGTCAGCCGCTGATCCATAACATGTTTTACCTCACTCACAAACTCGAAAGAGGCAAGTTGATGAATGTAGCTCCACTCTCCTTGGCCAACGCCTTTGCCAGCATGGTCTTTCCACATCCCGGATGTCCATACAGCAGGACGCCTTTCGGCGCGCTCAGCAACCCGTTCTCGTTCGCAAACAGCTCCGGGAAAGTCAGGGGGTAGATGACCGTTTCTCTGAGGTTCGAGATGATATCATCAAGTCCCCCTATGCTCTCAAAAGTCACATCGATAGACGAAGGAGCGACAATCTCGGCGGCGATGATCTGCTCATACTCGTCGAGGTCGAGGGCTGCGAGTTGCGCTTCATTCATGCCTGTTTGCGAAAGCAGGTTCTTTCCCTTCTCCTTGTGCTTTTTCGAAGATGAAGAGCTAGGGTCCATGCTCGATAGAACGTATCGAAGGGCGTAATACAGGGCGACTTGGGATGCTGCAAAGAATGCAACTGGTGGCGAGATTGTCAGCACGTCTGACGCTGTAGACTTGTAGAAAGAAGCTCACCATCCATGACAACCTTTCCGACGTCTCGCGGGGCCATCTTGTGAGCTCAAGGTATACCGATGTAAGTTGTCGGTGTGCAGCCGGCGTTGAACAGAATTTTGCTCGCGACCCCCTCCAGAAAGTCGTCATGGCAATTGCAACAATCCGAAAGCCGAGTAGCCAGCTTACGTAACAGGAGGCGCCTACTGCCGCCTCCACCACTTGTAGGCGTGCGAGGCGCGGCTGCTTTCTGGCGACAAACATTGTAAACAACAAATCCTCTTTCTCCTTATCCTGATCTCCAGGTATAAACAGCAGTCCCCTCGCTCACCTACCCCCTCTGATGTCCTCACAAAACGTCAACAGCCTCATGGCTGGCCTCTCTGTGGGCGGGCCTCAGTCACCCTCGGGCTCGAAGACCAAGCAAGTAAACAGGTCACACGCCGCTTCATCCTCCCAGCCCCAGTCCCAGAATCGCTTACCTCCAGTGCTCAAGAAGTACATGAACCCCGGTCTCGTCAGGCCACCCAACAGCGCCCTCTCCAACAACAATAGTAACCCTTACGATAATCGCGGTCCGCTTCTGACCCTAGCCGGCGTCAATGTTGCCGTGCCTAAGCCTGGTTCAGGTTCGCCCATGGGTAAATCCAAGGCGTCTTTGGGGCACCATACTGCTCATGGTGTCCATGGTCCCGCTCATGCGACGGCGCAGAGGGCGATGGCCATAAATCATCAATCTGGCGCCAAACACGCCATGACAAATGGAAGTAGCGCGAGCGGCGCTAGGGGGGCGGACCTGGGGCGATACGATGGAGGACTGGAGGAGGATGAGGCAAAGGCTGGGGAAGCTAGTGGACCGTCTGCAAAGACTTTGGAGATGTCTAGTGCCAAGTGTGTATTATTGCGCCTTGTCGGAAGGGCCCCAGCTGATGTTTTGGTTAGTGATGGCGGCAAGATTGAGCTCTCCCTTCCCTCGTTCCAAATCGGCAGACCCCTCGGTAAAGGCAAGTTTGGTCGAGTCTACCTTGCCAGGTCCAAGCAGCCCCCTCACTTTATTGTTGCCTTGAAGTGCTTGCACAAGGCAGAGATCATCCAAGGCAAAGTCGAGAACCAGGTGCGACGAGAGATTGAAATTCAACAGAACTTGAGGTGTGTCTTGTCTATCACAGGAGGTCTGTCACTCACTTCTAATCAGACATCCCAACATCCTGCGGCTATACGGCTACTTCCATGATAGTAAACGTATCTTTTTGGTTCTCGAGTACGCGGCGAAGGGAGAGCTGTATAAGCAGCTGTCAAGGGTAGGCAAGTTTGACGAGAAGCGAAGTAGCAGAGTGAGTTGCTCTTATCTCTACATGTTCAGTTCTGACTTTCCTCCAAGTATATCGCCCAGATGGCCGATGCCTTATTGTACCTGCACCGAAAGCACGTTATCCACCGTGATATCAAACCGGAGAATCTTCTTATCGGCCTGAACGGAGAGCTCAAGATTGGAGATTTCGGATGGAGTGTGGTATGTTGCAGAAAGCTCCTATTGTCCCGGGTGCTCACATTACTTTAGCACGCCCCCAGCAACCGCCGCAGCACCCTCTGTGGTACTCTCGACTACTTGCCCCCTGAGATGGTTGAAGGAAAGGAGCACACCGCTGCGGTCGACCTTTGGGCTCTGGGTGTTTTGACATACGAGTTTGTCAGCGGTGGACCGCCTTTCGAGGTAAGCAATGTCATTTTACCACCGTAGCCCGCCCTGACCATCCCTCAGGACCTTTCCGGAAGCGCCGCCACCTATCGACGTATTCGAAAGGTCGACTTGCACGTTCCCTCTTCTGTTTCTCCCGAGTGTACCGATCTCATCAAGAGGGTATGTTTTTCGACGATTGTACCAGTGCTTCACTGATATCTGGGCTAGCTGCTTCGTTACAATCCTGAAGACCGCCTTGCTCTCACAGAGGTACTGACACACCCTTGGATCAAGAAGTATGAGAAGAAGAGGTCGGACGGTAGCAGAAAGTCATGAGGAGGCTGGGAGGTAGGGAAGTGCGGTCCGGCGTGTGTCGGAGGTCGTGGTTGGCATCATGAGAGTCGATGAGCTCAGAGGCCTTAAGCCTTGGAGTCATTATACCCCTCTCGATTAAAGTTTCATATCTTGTATATTTGTCCTGCATACACATTCACATAACGACTTTTATCGCGTTCGCTTCTCTACTGGCTCTCCAGGCGCTGATGTCATGGACGAGTTGCTTCTGGGCGCGCCTTCTCTGGGCTGTGACATTGATGGGTGAAGCTGTCAAGTAAAGAAGATGTTACATACACACCATGAAGTATCAATACAACCTGACATTCCGAAATGACCAGCCCCCGTTCATGCCGCGAGCGCAACCCGTTCTTCCTTGACAGTCTCTGGTCGAGATCCTTCTGTGAAGGTCATGGTGAGCCTGGTAGTGCCAAATAGCGTGAGCAAGCAGTACGCACCTTCCGCTGCAGGTTCGGCATCTGTCGGAATATCGGTTGGGGCGTCTGGTAAAGATAAGGTGGGCTGTGTCTCCGGAGCGGAAGGCTGTAGAATATGGTGAGTTGTCATGCCTTTGCGTGACAGCTTTGGGGGCATGACATACCATGGCTTCTTTCTGTAGCCGCTCGAGCTCCTCCTGTACGGCATCCTCTTCTTCAGGGGACATCTTTGACATGAGTGCTTCGTCGATTTCCTGCATGAAGCTCGTCAGTCCCACAAGTGCAATGCAGCGGTTATGAACACATACCCTCTGATAATCGATGCCTTCCCGAGTCTGGTCCATCAACTTGTCCACCCTCTCGATAGACATCTCCTTATGCAATTCTTTAAGCACATTGGCACCCATTTCAAGACCATGTAGCACAGTATTTTGTATTTGGGTAAATTCGATCGTTGCCACCTGAACAGCGTGTCAGTCATGCGTGCAAGCCGGACACCTTTGGAACGGACTAGTTCTTGGAGGGCCATCAACTGGGTGTCGGTCTTTGCTAGCAGCTGCTCCTGGTACTTTTTCTGCCTCAAGGCCGTGAGAGCCCGTGTCTACCATGGCGTCAGCAGGGTTCGATAGTTGTATACATCGAATGGCACACCTTATTGCCAGCTTTCAGAGCTTCTCGGGCGATCTCCTGTTCGCGGTCCAGGACGATCTGTAAACGTTTCTGATACTGTTTCATCTTGTCTCGCTGCAGTTTGAGACTGACAAGGATCAGCTTGTCTATCGCTGCCAGACCAGTATTGACTTACTCGAGAATGGCTCTATCTTGAGAGGTTATCTTGGGACCCGGCTGGGCCATGCCCATCTTTACCAAAGTGTTCTGCCAGATACCCATGGCCAGTCGTATATGGTTATCTGAGAGATAATTAGGACACTAACTATGCACGAGATTATGGAGAATGATTAGACAAGTAGTTGCTCGGAGGACCGCATACGGTGACGAGGGCGGCGGTCGCCGAGGGACTTGCTTGTCATTCCGAGGGTGAGCGCAGTCCATTTTCCCCCATTGTCCTCTTTCGTTTCAACTACCCAGCCACACAAGGGGAGCAATGTTCGGCGTGTCGCTCCAGGACCGCCTCAAGGCTGCAGTCAATACCCTCGAGGCCACAGGCTCCTCCCTCCACGCCCGCTCCCTCGCGAACCAGCAACTCCTGGACGCCGAGAACAACCGCCCAGGTACCCCGAGCATCAAGTCGCCGCCATCAGCCACATCCCCACAGGTCGGGCAGCTCCCAGAGACACCACAGAAGGGTAATGAGGAGAAACACGCGATTGCCGAAGCTGGCATCCATCCCTCAGTCTCCACCAGCCAACTCGCCGAGAACGCGCTGTCCGGTCTGCGGCGCTCTTTTCATTTCGGTGGAAAAAGCCAGACTGATCTAGCTGGGATAGTGGATGGGTCAAGCTCGGCTCCTGTTTCGCCCGGGGCGCAAGGGCTCAAAGCTATCGTGTCTCCTGGCCCAGCTTCGGCCGGGGCGACATCGTCAGATTCTACATCCCTTAAAGCTCCCACTACGATATTCAACGTGGGATCGGGCGACGCGTCAGAAGCTATTACGCCGATACCAAAATCGCCACTGGCAGGTACGCCCACCCCGACACGGTCTGCCAAGAGAATATTAGACACGCGAGAGCCTGCCGATATCCCTTTACCACCCTCTCCTGACCTGTCAGCTGTGCCCTCTGCGAGCGTAGTGGACCCTCTAGGCGCATTGTCTCTGGATGGCAGCGGCGATGTTGCTGGACTGGGGATTGCTCTAGCCGGGGGCGCTGGGTCCGATGCAGATGCCAAGGCAAATGGCGACGAGACACTCGTAGACTCTGAAGGGACTGCCAGCAAGCTCGCAGCTGCGGAGAGGAGATATGAGGGTGCGTCGGTCCTTTAGAGGTCATGGCCCAAGCTGACAGCTCTCAGATCTCTCCCAAAGATTCACTACCCTTCTCACCCAATCCCACAAAGCCAATCAGATTCTGAAAGACTTGACGCCGCTCGAAGGGGGTCTAGGAGACCCAGAGGCCCTGGAGGGATGGGTGAGGATGATGAATGGCAAAGTCGGGATGATGGGCGAGGAAATGTCGCGTTTGGCAAGCAAGATGGAATGTCAGTACGCGTTTTGTTTTAATCTGCAAAGCTAACCCTCTATACAGTACAAGAATCCAGAATAGAGGAGCTGCGTGATACTCACCGCCTTGAACAATCTTCCCAATCTGAAGTCATTGCCAAACTCCGTTCCGACCTCGCCGATGCCCAATCTAAAATCACATCTTCCACCACCTCCTCTGAAACACTCACCCAGCTCCGCGCAGACCTCTCTAAAGCTCAGACGCAAGCCAAAGAAGAAGAAGAGAAGCGCACGAAAGCAATATCGCTTCTCAAGACTGTCAGGCTGAAGCTGGTCAAGACGGAAAAGGACAAGGAAGAGTTGGAGAAAGATAGGGCCAATGAGAGGGCAGAGAGGAGCAGGGCAATGGACGAGGTGGAGAAAGTCAAAGCAGAAAGGGAAAGAGAGGTCAACAACCTGAGGAAAGGGTTTGAGAGAGAGCTAGCCGGTGTCAAGGAGAAGGCGGAGAAAGATTTGAAGGATAGAAAAGCAGACTGGGAGTTGGAAATGATCACCACCAAGGTATGTTACGCTTGCAGGTCCTAGTATTCATTCTCATATTCTTGACAGGCAACACAAGCCAAAGAGCTGTCCCAGAAATCAACCAAGATCGCTGGTCTCGAATCCATACTCAAGGAGCTCAACATTGAAAAGCAACAAACCCACTCTGTCCTCCAATCAAAACAAGCCGAAGCAGAATCTGCCAAGGCAGAAATGGAAATTATGCGAACCAAGACGAAAGAGTTTGAATGGCAACTGCGCGAGGCAGAAGAGCGATGCGCGCTCTTGGAGGCTGGGGATCAGGGTCGGTCAAATAGCGAGTTGGATATCCCTGGTGGGAGGAGCGAGTCGACTTCACCCGGTCCGGGCGCTTCACCTCATGACGTTCAACGGCTTTTGGCGGAATCTGAATCTCGCGCCGAGTCCAAACTTTCAGACCTTCGTGCAAGAATACGGGCCTTGGAAAAGGAAAGGAACGAGATGGAGGAAGAGTGGGCTGGAAAGGTGCAAGAAAGGGTGCTGGAGTTGGAGAAGATGAGGAGAGTCCTGCAGGAGAAGGATCGGGAGTATGCCGAGAGCTTGGAAGGGCTGAAAGAGAGGGAGCGAAAGATCGAGGAAGGGGAAAGCAAAGTGAAGCAGCTCGAAGCAGATATCATCCGACTGCGGACCAAGGTCGAGGAGGTCAAGAGCGATAAGACGGTTGCTGTCGAAGCTGAGGTGAGTTTCTACCATTTCGAGATGCCCAAACTGAAACCCTTGCCAGCGTAAAGCCCACGAAGAGCTGGCCGCCTTACAAAATCAAATCACATCCCTTCAATCTCAACTCGACGAATCGAGAACTCATGTCACCCATCTCAAGTCTACAAATAAGACACTCCGCGATGAAATGCGTAAAATCCAGAGCTCAGTACAGCTTATGGAAAGGCAGCGAAACCCTGGTGTAGGGTACTGGAGTGCGGGGGCTGGCGGTAGCACGGGCACAGCAGCAGGTTCCTCGGTCAGTGTAGCAGGATCGGGAGTCCTTTCTCCGCCATTACCGAGCGAAAGTCCTGCACCGGGGAGGAAGAGTCTGGAAAGCGTGAGAACGACGACAGCGACCGATCTGGGAAGTGAGTCTGGGAGGAACCAGGAGGAAGAGGAGGTCAATCTTGAGGTATGCTCCGCTTCGAACCTACTGCCGAGGCTGACACTGCTTAGTATCTACGAAACGTCATCTTGCAGTTCTTGGAACACAAAGAGATGCGACCAAATCTGGTGCGGGTCATGTCGGTCATTTTGAGGTTTACGCCGCAGGAGTTGAGAAGGCTCAATGCCAAGCTACTCACATAGACTGTGAGAGCTACTTGTATAGTATCTCGTGATGTACAATACTCGTACTCTTCAAATTGGTGCGATTAGTTGGGGTGGGTGACTCACTCCATTGTGTCAGCGACCTATTGTACTATCATGGAGCTGAGTTCGAGACATGAAACGAGATAACACATCATACATGGCTCGAAAGTGATAGTGATGCAAAGGAGGTCTACCCCTCGTCTAAATATGCAGACTCATAAAGTACAATTGTTTCTCCTATCTGTTTGTATGTTCTACATAGCTCATTGTCCGCCCTGTCGACCTTCAGTCTATATAGCAAATCCCATCCCACTTTGCCTCTGTCTTTGCTTGCTAGACCCACGACTCGTTTCCGTCTCCTTGCTCCACTGAGACGCCGACTGATCCGAGAAATCCGGCACCTGATTAAGATCGCGCGGAATTTGGGGAGACGCCTGCCTACTACTATGCTGGGAAGAATAAGGCGAATATTCTTCAAAATTGCTTCTGCCCCTTTGAGACCCTCCCCTGGAACCACTTCCATTCCTTGGGCTATTCGCAAACACCTGTTGATGCTGAGCATCTATGTCGAATGTACCGCGGACAGGAGAGAAAGTAGAACGTCCCAGTTCGTCCACCCCCTCAAGAGGTGTATTACTGGTTTTACGCGAGGAGTTTCCCATGCTGTTGGTACTGAGTTTTCTCGATGGTCCCCCCAAACGACCCAAGCTACCGCCCCTCAACACCGGGCTAGTGAGATTACTTCCGCCTCGTCCTGTACGCCACCCATCCTCACTGCTTAACGACGCTCGTTTGAAGTCCTGGGAAGTGCGATTCATCCTCATGACCTCCTGCTCAATTTGAGCCTCAACACCCCTCATTGAAGACGGGGATGTGACTTCCATTGGCGAGCCGAGCGCGCCTCGGTGAGGAGAGTCTTCATCCTGAGTGTACCCTTGTATCAACGGGGATGGATGTCCCGGGTCAAACGTGGTGCGCAGAGTGAGAGGTGGGGGAATATCGCCTCGGGAAGGCCGGGAAGGCGAGTCGAACTGGGGGGCATTGGCAGGACTGGGAGGGTACGAGTATAGACCGCGAGGAGTCCCCTCCTCGGACAGCAGAGGCGATCGCGTGACCTCCTTCTGAGGGCTGTACATGGCAGCAGGTTCGTACCCTCCATAGTCATTGTAACCATACGATTTGTGGAATTGGTCGACGGCGCCTTTGCCGCGGAAGCTGCCAGGGTGAGATTGAGTCTCCGCGCTACTATAGTTGTCACTAAAGTCACGCATGCTCTGCTCAATCCTTTCCTTGGATATGGCAGCCTGAGCAGCTCTCTTGTGCCTCCTCCTTTCTTTACGATGCTTGATGCCAAGCTCGTCTTTCAGTGAGCCTGCAATCCACGCCTCGCGGACCAAGTCTTTGTCCTTGGGCAAGTAGGATTGTTTGAAGGAAAAGACGAGCCAGCGAGGGAAAATGGCGACAAAGACCGTGAGAACCGTAACGGCCCAAAAATTGAAGGTGGTATAGAGGACAGAGACCTGGCCGTTGTAAGGGTAAGCGGCGAGACCGGAGTATATGGGGATCCAGATGTAGATGAGAAGCGTGGAAATCACGTTTACGACCCAAGTGATAACCGTCCAATAGCGGGTATTGATGCTGACGTAGCCGTTGGCAGCAATGACACCGGCACAAGCCACCGTGGAACCAAAGGCTCCAAGCGAGTTTGTATCCAAACCGTCACTTGACCAGGTCACTCCGCCCGCATACGCAAAGTATGGGATAAAGAAGATGACTGCCGATTGGTACAGGCCATCGATCATGTAGGTCCAGAATCGGAACCGTGTATACTCGAGACCGGCGATGCCCCGCTTGTACAGCTGCGGGAAGTACATGGCTGCTGTCGCGTGGACATCCTGGTCAAAGGCGCCCATGATACCGACAGGCAGAGATGTGAAGAAGAGATTGAACATGAGAATGAAGGTGTATTCGAAGAGATAGGTGGCGTCAAAGCTGTAAAGATATTGTCAACAATGGCTCAGCTGTGGCATGAAGGAAAACTGACCTGCTGAAGATCAAGAACCAGAACATGGAGATAGTCCAGATGACGTTCTTGTAGAAGAAACTAAATACCCATCAGCATGCGCGCTTTGCCTTTTCAGGCAAAGACTTACTTGGCGTGCATATTCGCCACTCGGACATAACTCCATCTTCCGTGAACCAGCAGCAGCCTGGTTAAGAATCTGAACTGTCCGAAAGCATAATCCGCCGACATTGCGGCTTGGGAGCCTTCCAAACCATAGAGACCGACACCAACATTGGCTTCTTGAATCATGGCCACATCGTTGGCTCCATCTCCAATAGACAAAGTCATAGCATTGCAGCCCTCTTTCACCTATGATCGCCTATCAGCATAATTTGATAATGTGATTTTCCAGTACTGACCAAGCGGACGGTCAGAGCCTTCTGAGACGGCGACACTCGACAGCAGATTACGGCCGCACATTGTGTTCCCAAAGACAGGAACAAGCTCTTCAATGAAGGTTGCAGCGCATACCTCAAACTCTCGCCGTCAATGACCACTGCAAACTCCGCAGCGGTGTTCATCCCAGGCCTCGTAATCCTGCTTCCACCCGGAGTCGTGGGAGGCGGGCCGACGATAGAAGCAATCTTGTTGAGACCTGCTTCAATTTGCTGTCTCGCACCGTCCTCGGAATCTGCCGAGATAATCATGACCTCCATATCGTTTGTGAGAAGGTTACAACTGTAGCCAATCTCGATAGCCGTCTGAAGCTTGTCGCCCGTGAGGATCCACAGCTTGATTCCGGCTCGGTGGAGAAGGGCGATAGCGTCGGGTACGCCTTCCTGGAGCTTATCCTCGAGCGCAGTGGCACCAAGGATGGTCAGGGAGTGTTCAGCCAATTCACAGGCTTTTTCAATCTCTGCTTCGCGGTCGACGGTGGCAGCACTTGCAGCGTCATACTTTTTGGACCACACGTCAAACTCTTCTTCAGACATGTATCGGTAGGCAATACAAAGCGTTCTGAGACCGCCGTTGGCAAATGTCTCGAGATCCTTGAGGGTAGATTCCTTGAGTGCTTCGTCATGACCATCGGCGAGCCTGCCATAGATGACACTATCAGCACCCTTGCAAAACAAGACGAGCCTTCCGTCAGGTCCGCGAGCGACGACACTCATTCTTTTTCTACTCGAGTTGAACTCGAGCATTCTGAGCGGTGTCCATCGCTCGGGGGTCCCGAGGACTTCAATGTCGAGCGAGTGATTGTTTTTCGTGACGAATGGGAAACCGATATCTCTCGCGGCAGCGACCAAAGCAGCTTCGTCAGGACTCTCCGCCTTGTAGTCCAGCTCGTACGGTTTGGAGGCTTCAGGCGCATCGGCAAGGACGGAATGACAGATGGCCAGCGCCCTGAAAAAGTCGATGATGGGCGCGCGTCGAGGGTCTGAGGGATTGGCAAGGTGTTGAGCCAGTTCAGGAGATATGAGGGTCAATTTGTCCTCGCGAAGATAGCGATTGTCGAAGCCGCCCTTCATAAACTGAAGCATCTCCGCCTTGAGCCCCTCCATCTCTTCCTCCTGATCCTCCATGGCCGGGCCAGTCTCTTCGCCGTCGCGTTTTCGCGCTCCCATCATGGCTTCAGTGAGACCCTCGCCATACGGAACACCCTGGATAGAGCATTTCTTAAACTCCATAATGTTCTGGGTGAGGGTTCCGGTCTTGTCGGAAAAGACGTATTCAATTTGACCGAGGTCGTCAGAGATATTCCAAGTTTTCGGGACACAGGGCGTGTCGTCTGACCTTTGTGAGCTTCTGACTTGAACTGCGACTCTAAGTCACTTACATGGCTCATAGTACATTTCAACGTCTTGAAAAATAAAGTATGCTTGAATCTGTGCCACTGTCAGTTCCACTACCTAGGACCAGAGTTGACTTGCCGTTTTGACGATTTCAACCGTGATATACAACGAAATCGGAACGATATTCTGGAAAACCAAAAGACAAGAGCTACACGTAATCAGCCTCACCCATTAAAGCTTGCAAATGACTTGCAAGAAAATGATGACAGAGTCCAAGTAGATATTGTCACTAGCCTCAGCATTAGGCTCGTACCACTCGGCGCTCGTGCCCGTTAGTGAGCGGTACCATCCATCTGTAGCAGGTTAGCGATACCCCCATAGATCAGACGCGGACGTACGCAAGATCGCGGTAACCAGACAGAGCACAATCAAGATGACAAAGTTCATGATGACGTTGAAATCTAAGAAAAAAAAAGTCAGCACGTTTCACACAAACAAACAAGTCGCACTCACTCGTCTCCTTTTCGATCTTGCTCCGTTTCGACCTGCAAGGTGTCAATAGACATTCCATAGGTACAAACAAGACTCACGGTGTTTCACCCCCATTCATCATGATTTTCGAATCACCTCCAGTGAAAACGACCATGCCAATCACCCATTTCGTGTTCCTCAGCGTACAGCCCCGCAGCAACAGCTCATTAATCGTAATAGCCTCCTGCTTGCTCTCGGATGCTTTCCCCACCGAGTCGGCAGGCGTATACCTGAGGACACCATTGTATGAATACAGATTCGCATGCGGCGCTTCTGAATCCACCACGAAACGCGCATGCTCCAAGTCTTCCTCTGTCTGTATGGACGAAGTCGCCTTGAGGGCCCGTCGAATTTTGAGATTGGTTTCACCATCAAGGTTTTTCGTTTCGACAAAGCAGAGAGCGTCCGGGGTGGAGGTGGAGAGGACGATGATGTCGGCTGGGACTTGCTCGTTGTCTCGTAGCAGGACAAGGTCGCCAACTTCAAGCTTTTTCCTGCAAGATCGTTAAATTTGAAGACAAGCCAATGGTGAGCTTACCAGAGTGTCCTTTCCCATTGCGCCGAACCAGGTGCCTGTCTTGACCAATCCATCACACCAGCACTCTTTCTTGACGTGACACTCGGCATGCTGGAAGACGAGACGCGGGGTAGCAGTGATTGCCGGTGCCTGCCACTGGATACAGTGCCCGATGGGGACTCGGCAGTGACATTGACAACAGGGGCGGGGATAGATGCCAGGGGAAAAGAGTCCTTGTCGGTGACTTGCTCTGCAAGATCTTCGTCGTTATGACTATCATAGACGATCTGGTTTCCCTCTGTAGCCTCACGCTCTCTCAACTTGCGCACGCCTTTCGACGGCTTGTTGGGATCTACACATCATGAGCCACGTTTCTTCCACTAGTAAGTCACTCACTTGGTCCCAGTCCAAAGATCCGTTCGATCGTCGTCCGGGGGTCTGACGGCTGATTGACATTCGTCCACCCGCCGAGCTTTGTGGTCGCCGAGTTGTTGACTTGATCGTCTAGCTTTGATCTTCTCCAATCTTCAAACCCATCCTTGATCGCTGTCATAGCGAGGATAGCTATCAACGGAAGCATACCGATCTGGGCATTGGGAGCGCCAAAGATGGAGAACGCCTGAATGATGACAAGAAAGAGAAAGTAGATGTTGGCTACCCTTCTGAACTGCTCCAACAAATTCTTGGGAAGGAAGGAGATGATGGTGTACTTTGAAGTACGGACCTTGTTACGCACATAGCGAACTGAGGGCTCGCCCTTCTTGTCGAGGAGATAGCTGGGGAGGGACGTGTTGACGTAAATTGAACGTCGTTGAGGCACCTTTTCCTTGCCCTTGGCAGGGGTTTGCTCGGGCGGTGCCAAGGAAGCAGCAGTAGGCGGAGGTGGTGAGTGCTCCACCGCCGATTCACCGCCGTCTGTGGTGTGCTCCACCGCCGTCTCTCCGCCATCTGTGGCCATGCTGTCCCGCCTAGAACCGTTGACCGACGCCCCTGCCTCACTCTTGGCTCCCCCGCTCTTCCTCTTGAGCGTGCCCATACTCATCCCCGACGCTTTCCGCTTCATTGTCTTGAATATCCGCCGTCTCTTTTCCCGCTTCTCTGCCATGGCCTCTGACCTAATCGACTCTGCAATGACCGAGTGCGCCGTCTTGACGGTCCTCAGCCGCAGCTCGGGGTCGATGGAGTGGGGATCGAAAGTGTCATGCGCCTCGTCGTTGTCCGAGTCGTCATGATCAAAATAGGAGTGGGAGGGCGGGTAGGGTGCGAGGTGGGTGGTAGAGGGCGCGTGGTGGTTGAGAGGGTGGTCGGTGTAGCCCGACATGGTTTTGGAGCGCGGCGGTGGCTTGGTGTGGATAGAGTTGTGAGAGATGGACACGACGCGTCCAAAAATGTCCTGGCTTGAACGCGTTTGTTGGCTCGGCCGGACGCTATTCCCAGTTTAGCGGGCGTTGGGATACTAGAGATGAGATGCGTCAGCGGTGCAACGCGTGTATACTGTAGGCCGACGGCATACTCACCCCGTGCCGCTGACAGGAGGAGCAAGTGAAAGGGAAGAAGGGGGGGAAGAAAGGAGAGGCGGGGGTGGGATGGCTGACGTGTGCGCCTCTATGCAGGATACTACTCACTACTAGCTATAGAAGAGATGCAAACGACTGTCCACTCCCTCTGCATCTCCGAAAAGCTCTCAGGAACTGTACGCGACTGACAAATCGGTCCCTTTGTCTCTGCATGCGTCGCCCCGCGGCCACCTCCACCTCTAAGAGCATGCCCTGCACTCGCAGCTGATGGTTGCGAGAGACAGCATAGCCTACCCATGTACCACATGAACAGCCAGCTTAGTCTACTGATGGGCATGGATCCATCTACAACACGCCACACGAGCCGTCCACATCTCTCTCTTGATCCGGTCATAATCACAAAGGCATCGCTCGGGCCACTCGCCAAAGCCGTGAGCCGTGTTCTGTATCCAACGGAGCTGCTTTCAGTGCATGGTGTAGGTTGGCAACACTCCAGGTACTCCCGATATACCAGATGCACTGTCAGTCCCATCCTTGTTGTGCATGTTGAACGATCAAATGGACGCAGGCGCAGCAGCCGACATTATCTTGCGGCCACTTGTGATGGCTCCGGGCCTAGTAGCTGTCGCCCACATCATCAATCCACACTACCACACATGGTTTGCACTCAGTGTTCGTTTGGAGATCTAGGACGCGTTTGAAAAAGCGGCGACCCTGCAAATACAGGATGGTAGCCTTTGAGGCCTCTGACTGGCCACTGAACTGCGCCTCAAAGAACGCGTCCGACGCGACGCGCCAACGAAAGACCGTCGGTGTACCCAGCCAAGTCCCGTATTGCCCTACGATCTCGTACATATATCACATGTGCATCACAAATGCATTCGGCCATAACGGCATGGAATGACCAGTCTAGCTGATCGGATGAAAGGTATATAAAGTACAATTGAAGACGCGGTCAACGGGATTTGGAACGGATTAATGGTGATCGAGCGGTAGCCTTCGCGAGAACAAGAATCTATCGAGGTCTACGAACAACTAGCCATACTACGCGGAGGGGGTTGAATGATCAAAGATCGGAGGGTATATATTAGAGCAAGTTTCGACTATATCACAGCCTAGTCCGACTTTCGGCGCTGCATGAGCATCCTCTTCATCACCTCGGCCCTCATCTCCCTCTCCCTCTCCTTCATCATCTCCTGCTCAATCTCCCCGCCCTCTGAAAGAACCTCATCTTCATCCGACTCGCTCTCGCTCTCAAAGATCTCGCCCTCGAAAAGCACAACGTCCCCTTCCTCTTCGTCCGAGTCGACCTCCTTGCCGTCCTTCAACACCGTCGCAGGCGCAGGCGTGCAGGTGATCATCGGGATAGACAAGGTGGGGCTCATGCTCCCTGTGGGGGAGGCGAGCGCCGGGGAAAAGTACGAGCGGCGAGGAGAGGGCGTGGTGGCAGAGCGGAGCGGAGGGGTGCTGATCATGGTCCTACTGGTGGGAGAAGCCTGGCCGGAAAAAGTACGGAGAGGCGCAGCGCGGGGAGTAGGCACTTGGCCAGTCGAGACCGATCGCTCCTTGGGGGGAGTAATGGTAAGAGCAGGTCTCTGAGGAGGGGTAGAAGAACGACCGTTGCCAATGGCAGCGAGCGAAGCCAGCTGGTCGGCAGAAAACGTCATGGGGGGCATCGACACCGGCCTGCCAGAGAGCCTGCCGCTGGTACGCTCGCGCAGGAATGGCGCCAATCGAGATTCTTTGGTGGGAGACATCGGAGCCCCAGACTCGGTGTTGGGTGGCGTAGAGGGGCGGCGGTTGAGGATGGAGGAAAGCGCGAGCCGGGCTTCGAGACGAGGAGCGGGGCACTCTTCAGTAGGCGTCTTGATCACCTCGATGGATTCTTGGCTGTCCATACGGACGACGGGCGCCCTGTGCGGGGACTGACGAGAGGGTGCACCGAAAGTCATCTTGGCCTGGATCTCGGCAAGGCTAGGCAGACGCATCCTGTTCTCCTTGTTGCCAGAGGAAGGCAACGCAGACTGGGTCCTCGCATGCTTGGGCGCATCGTTCTTGGCCTTGGAGGCACGCTCGGTGGCGGAGAGACGAGGCTTGAACTCGGGGGGAGGACGCGTCTGGTCGAGACCCGAAAAGGTCGCCGCGGTGGGAGAAGAGTAGCCGTGGCTCGCGACCGACTTTGCCAAAGGCGAGTTGGGAGGAAGCGCAAAGTTGTAGGACGAGGGGGAGATGGGAGGAGACGACATTGCGTTGTCATCGGAAGCTAAAAAAGTCGCGTGTGTAAGCCAACATGCCAAGACGGCGCACGGGGACGGTAAAAACTTACATCGAAGCAAGACTCGTCGGTCGTAGCCATTGGCATCCCACGCAGACTTGCGAACAGCCTTCTGGGTCCAGTCGTCATGCACCCACTCGTCGCGGTCGAAACCCGCAGCAGGGGCGGGCCAGCCCCCGGAACGAACGAGTTCTGAAGGGGAGGGCATCTTGGGCAAGCTCATGTGAAGCGAAGGCGAGTTGGGATCCGGCTGGAGAGCAGCCTCAGCCACAGAGAACGCCAGGTCGCGCAGCGGAGTGGGGTCGGGAGAGGAGAACGCGTGGTTGGGAGCGTACGCGGGCAAGAGGATAGACTGGGACATGATTAAGGGTGTGATACTGTGGAGGCCTGCTCAAGTAGGACGCGATAGTAGTTGCGATGAGTGAGACGTCTTGAACCCAAGGCTGCCAGAACCGAGGATGGAGTATAGGTGGAGTTGGAAGGGTACGGAGAGAGGAAAGCCTTCAGATCCTTTCTGATGGGAACGAGAGCAGGGGGTGTTGGTGGTGAAAGGAAGGGTGGAGGCGGCTTTGTTCAGATCCAAGTCAGCCAGAGTCTCGCTGGGGCTGGACAGGGAGAGAAGGGATGAAAGGGGGGAGTATAGAAGAGATGGTGAACGATGCAGCTTATATCCCCTTCCAGCGAAGATTCGTGTCTGAAACGCAAGGCACATGGCCCACGCACACGAGCGAACACGACAGCACGCGCCTCCGAACAGCCCTCCTGGACTCGCCCAACATGTCTTTGATACAATTGGAACGCGACTCACCTATGGTGTACGTACGCACAACTGCACTGCTTGCTGATTTTGCGAGCAGTAATAAGAGCGGCGCGGTAGCAGGCCGATGGGTAACACCCGAGTCACGCAGGGCAGTGGAGGGAGGGTTGGAGATTGGAGTCGTAGGTCGTAAAGATCGTCAATCGGCGTGAAATATCACAACAGTATCGCCTTTGTTGAAGGGTGAGGGGGCGCGTAGAACCCTTGATAATTGCAAGGGCGAGTTGGTTGACTACTGCGTGAAGTGCAGTGGAAAGCGCAAACGACGAAAGAAATGGAAGAAAGGGAGACAAGAAAGATCAAACGACTAGCGCCTGAGAGTCAAGAAGGTAAAGAGTGTGTGGGTGCGGGCGCTGGTGAGAGAGCGAGGCGCAAGAGAGGCTGGTTGGTGGGGCCGGGTGGGCGTCGGGCGGTGAACCAGTCAACCGTGTAGTGGGAGAGAGAACAAAAGCGAGCCGAGGCAAATCCTGGACACCGGAGCGAGGGGCGAGGGAATTTGCTGAGGGGGTTCCAGTGGGTGATGGAGAGGAGGAAGAACGTCGTAGATGCGAAATGCGAGATGAGATGGGCCACCGCGCCAGCGAAACAACGGAAACGAAGAGACTCGTGCCTGGCGTCTGCACGCGCAAAATCGCCCAATGCAGCAAAAACAACACGCCGGTCTCGGGCGTTCCGTGACAAACCTGGTTCCTGAGGCATAATCCCTTGCTTTTCAGGGATTACCGCCCCATAGCGCGTTTCTGATTCGCATACATATTACAAAGTCAGACGCGTCGCGTGCATGCCTTGCCACCAGCTGTGGGCTTGCGGCCAAGCTGGGAATGTGTTGATGGAGCTTGCGATGTCAGGTTGTACTGCAAGCCGGATGGTTCTGCCTCCAGATACTTCCTAAGACCACTGGTGTAGGGGCATCATCGCCGAGTTCTGCCTCCGAAACGGTCGTTCAACATGTCACAACTGAGGTGTTCTGGCACACTGCTGACGTCTTATGCAATTGATCGTGAACGGGAAGCGGCAGTAGATCTCCGAGAGGTCAGACAAGATGCATGGAAACCAGGAGACCGACAGTTCGGCATCGGCAGTCGGCACCAATGCGCTAATTTATCATCACCAAAAGCCGGCCCGGCTGTGCTGACGAGATGTCTGCACGGCGCGTACAGACCAGATGCAAGAAAGTCTGTATGCATTGTCTTGCGTGCGACATGCTCCTGATGGCGCAAACAGATCGGAGCCAGTCACCCGTGTATATATCTAAAGTCTATGACGAGAGAGTACATTCTATATGCGGTTATACTCCAAGCAGGTCTTTCTCCGGAAAGTAACAAAGAGAAGGGGATCTTGAACAGACAAAAGGAGAAACGAAAAGTATTATTATCGATACAGGGCGACACCTTTTCCTCTAGATAACAAAAGACAGACATAAATCATCACACCCGGTCCGCCTTCTAGATGACAACCGAAATACCACCAGCGACGGCCAGCATCAAGCCAGCAGCCCAGCTCATCACCAACACCCATGGGCCCTGCGTCGCCACACCCCGAGACCCAGCACTGTCACTCGACGTCGCGCTAGCCGTGCTAGCCACACTGGTCTGACTGCCACTGCTGCCATCACTGGTCCCTGACGGCTCCACACTGTTGACCTGTCCTCCGCCGTAAGGCCAGGCGTATTCAGTCTTGTTGGGAGCAACAAAGCATGTGAGACCGATGCCTGTGCCGTTGACAAAGTCGAATGGAGAAGAATCGGGGACGTCGATGGACACGTTGACTAGGTAGGTGGATTCGGAGAGGAGGGGGACCGAGGGATGAGGAGTCTTCCACCCAGTCGTGCAGTTGGGGCCTTGCACGCCAATCTAGAAAGTGATGAGGTTTTGACATCTGCAAGGAAGAGGCAGGCACTTACAAAAGAGGTATTTCCGAAGAAGGTATTGTTTTCAATCACAAAGTCTTCCGCACTGGTAACACCCATGCCAAAAGCAAACGCGCCGGATAAAGAGTTGTCCCTGATTACACCGCCAGTAGACTTGTTTGCGCCGAATCGCCTGAGTCATGAGGTCAGCTGTGTTCTTGGTTGTGTTCAGAGACTCACTGGTCAGAGAACCATGCGTCAGGTCCGAGAGCCTATAATCCGAGTCAATTTCTGTACGAGTCATAAGTTCAGCACCTACAATGCCCATCTTGATGATAGCTCCATAGTCCTGAGGACCCAGTGTGTCGTTACCCATCTATGGCTTTGTCAGTGCGCGTCTTCACGATCTTGCTTGGACGTACACCAGTAGCGAAACCTCCGTAGATTGTGTTACCCTCCACAACAGTATGCGAGTAATTCCCAATGGGCTTCCAAGGTTTAACGTCGACCACTAAGGCAAGTCAATACACCTTTCGGTGGCGACGAGGCTATCACTTACTGTTGATACCGCCAATCATGATACGCTAGATAGGGTAAGCCTTCGGTCTGTGAGATGGTTCTGGACATACAGTCTTGGCTCGAATAGTGTTGTTTCTGATAGTCGAAAACGGCGCGCCGAATACGACGATACCTCCATCCGTGGCGTCCACAATCTCATTGTTCTGCACAAGACTTTCCGAGCACGAAAGGGAGACACCATCGGCCCACTATCACAAGGTCAGTCGTAGACTTGAGAATACATATACACGCACATTTTGGTAATAGTCGGTACCGCAAGGACCGATATCATTGTTTTGGATGGTGGCGTTGTAACAGTTAAGCTGTCCTTCAGAGCTAAAGTCGGGTCAGATTTACATCTCGGTACATGATCTCGTGGACGTACATGTGCATGCATGACCACCCTCTATAGCCAGAGCGGTGAGCATGATTCTGATATAGACTTTGCTAGGACGAAACTTACCTGGGGTCGTAGGTCTTGACATACTCTATGGTCTGGTTGGAGTTGACACCTCCAAACTCGATGTTACCACCGCCCCCCTTGTAGATCGTCTCATTGGCCTTCCTGTTTCCGTTAATCTAGAGGCCGAGTATTGGTCAGCACGAGTCATGCGGCGGTAAAGGCAGGGCGCGAGGCGACAGAAAGACTGACGATGATATTGCGCAGCACAGCTCCATCCCGACCTTTGGTTGATGCAGAGACGGCAGTGGTCTTGTTGAACCCGCTGACGACCAGCGTAGCACGGGTATCGTCTGTGGGATAGCCCTCTGTCGAGATTTCCTGCGCGCCAGTCAGCAGAGGTCCGAACGCGTCTGTATACACAAGACATACCTGGTTGATAGCGGTGTAATTGAGGACGTCGCTCAGCGCAAAGACGTTGCTGGGACATAGCTGCAAGGTGTAGCCAGCACCCCCATCTTGGATAAGCTTCTGAAGGGCGGCAGTGTTGGAACTGTTGCTGGTACAGGCGGCCGAGACGAGGAGCGGCGCGAGGAGGAAGGCTGAAAGGAGTGGGACGATCATCTCTCCCGGTCTGCACAAGGCGTGATTATACGAGAATAGAGAAGATGGAGAAAATATAAAAGCTGCTGTAGGTTATAACCTGGTTAGAGCCAGGTAGGCGATGGAAGTCCAGGAGTTCCAAAAATCTGGGACTAGAGTGTAACCTAAAGAATCAGTTAGCGCGTCGGACCTCGTCAAGGAGGAGGCACGCTCAGGGGCACAGAGGCCGAACCAAACGTCGCTCTGCGCGATCGACCGTTTGTCCACAGGTCGCATGTATTTTGGAGGCACCCGCTTGGACCCACAGAGGATGTTAGGAGGAAGCATTCCGTCCAATTCATCATCTGCACCTGTATGCATTCCCCAATTCCACAGTGCAGCGAGATGCCCGGCGGCCGCGGCAGGGCAAGGCTATTACATCATACGCCGTAACGCAACAATTAGAGCATCGCCTATCTCCTTGGCGATCACTTGTCACTCAACCCTCACGATAAGCAGCACTCGACTCGGCTCGAGATACTGTAATCCATACTCTGCAACACAAGGGCATACAAGATACATCTTCAGGCGAGAACCATCCTACCTCGACAATACCAGATCGCGGCCATCCGAGTTGTATCGATCAATTGGCATACTGGCGATAAGTAGTCGTCATGAGCGGATGTGACATGCCAGTGCTTGGAATGGGCATCGATGGGCTCTCCAGAGTTTCTCCTTTCGTGTCCGGGTTGAAGATGTAATTCATGCCAAAGCCCACCTGGTGATATGTTAGTGCAAACACGCTCTCAATTTTACACACTCACCGTATAGGGAACACCGATACTGCTGTCTTCTCCAGGGTCGACTTTTGTGACTGTCGTAGAGCCAGAGGCTTTACGGATCGCGTCGCTACTGACGGGTGCATCTTTGGGTTCGGAGGAGGAGGAGGATGAAGTCTTCGAGTTGGATGAGCTGGAGGATGACGACGAAGGTTTAGCAGACGAGGAAGACGACGAAAGGTTTGCGGACGAGGAAGAAGAGCTTTTTGCTCTAATTGCGGCTTCCTTCTCCTTCATAGCTTTCATTTTAGCCATCTTTTCTTTTCCTGCGTCAGCACTGGAGGCAGAAGGGGGCTTTGAGGGGGTTCCAGAAGAAGAGGGCGCTTGAGACGAAGTTGATGAAGACGAGGTAGAGGCCGGTGCGGCAGCCGGTGGCGAGCTTGCTGGAGGTACAGCTTTGTTGACCTCTTGCGATACCATTTGCAGACACAAGCACAGCAGGAGAAGGAACGCAAGTGACCGGTTCACTGAAGAGTCAGGTTGAACAGCCATATCCACAGAAGAGCAACGTACAGAAACTGATTCCGATGATCATTACCAGGTATTTCGTACGCCACAGTTTCTGCCGCTGCCTGGGACACATCAGCACAGTTGCATACACATTTCGACTCACTTGTCTTCGACAGCCTGCTGCCTCGCACGCTCCGATTTGGCCTTTTCGAGTTCCTTGGCCCGTTTGGCTTCATCCTCTTTGGCTTTCGCCTTTGCAGCAGCCTCTTTAGCTGCCTTTTCCTTCTCCATAGCCTTCTCTTTTTCCTTGGATTTTTCTGATTCCTTCTGCTTCAGCTTTTCCTGCTCCTTGGCTTTCTGTTTCTCCTCTTCTTCCTTCTTCTTCTTCTTTGCCTCCTCTTCCTTCTGCTTCTTCTTTGCGTCTTCGTCGGCATCCTTCTTGGGTGCAGGCTGTTCGGGCCTGTTGAAATGTCCTCTGTATTTTTTGGTCAGCGTGGAACAATGATCGATGATGTCTGCTTACACATGTGCAGGCATCCCCTTTTCCCACCAGAGCTCTTTCCCGCCTGCCGAAGCCTTCCCCATCGGAAATGGCCACGGCATCATCTTGTTCAACCTTGTGGTCAGGAAAGCAGATGGGTGAGCACGGAGGTCGTCCCAAGGGGAAGGTTCCTCCGGCTTGGGCTCTTCTTTCTTCCTTTCCTCTTTCTTTGCTTCTGCTGGCTTGTCCTTGGAGGATGAGGACGACTTTTTCTCTTCGGGTGGCGGTGGGGAGGGTTCGGGCACGATCTGATTCCACATGATCACAAAACTGGGAATCTTTCAGCGAGTTACCTCCATTAGTCGACGGATACCCACAGCAGCACAGCGATAGTCATGTGGACATAGGTGATGTGAATTTGAGGGACGCCAGGTAGTAGTCCTGTCATCTGTACCACTGCATAACCTATCAGCATGTATACGTATATCGGTCTCCGGAATTCCACAACACACAAATTGCGCATATGATGATCAAGAATCCCCATTGTAGGAGGAATGGTGCGGTATGCCTGCCCGTATCAGCCGTCTCCCTGTCTCCCGTCAGAAGGAATCGACTTACCAGACCCTATCTGCTGCCGGGATGAGGTTTGGCATCACGTTGGAAACCATGAAGAATACCATCCCGATGATCAGGAGAGCATAGACGGGTGTTGGCCCAGAGACCTCTCCGCCGGGAGTGTAGGTGTAATATGGGTAGGCTGGTTGAGGGACGTAGGGATTGACGAACATGCTAGGGGGTGATGAGGTGGATATTGAGCTTCATTGGTTTACGGTGTGTCAAAAATATGCTTCAGTTCAGGCCGCGTAAGTCAGAGCCACTGGAGATATCAAAGGATTCCTTGCCTGTGAGTTGTCACGAAACCTTTGTCTTCGTACACACCACAATCACAGGCTTTAAGGTGTTTCAACATTCGAGCTACTTGCGTATCTCGATTCGGTGGCGGAGCACACAGTCGAGGATAATTGTAGAATGGAAACGAATAGTGAATCCATCGACGAACCGAATGAATGATCACCATCAGTTCACGATATCTGATCGCGTCAACGCGTCCTCAAGGGTTACGTAAATCCGGAATCAGCGCCGAAAGATCCGATGAGCGACCAAGGCTCTTCTGTACGATGGCAGAGGGGATTTGGAGGAGTTAGCTGGGCAGAAAGAGCCCCGTCCAAATGCATGGCACCCTCTTTACGTATGCTCGCTAGATAGTGCCGCCTGATGCATCCCAGGGGTATCAGATACGCTTCTTTCGGGCCCGACACCAGCGATGCCGGCGAGCGCCGCCCCATTACGCGAAGAACGCCGACGCTGATGAAGCATGCTTGCCACAGAAGGAGTATCCCATCTCTCTTCATCACCCAACCCTGCCCCCGCCCTCCCATATCCCTACCATGCTCCCCCTCAGAGCACTCGCACGCTCCGTGCCAGCTCGCCAGTGCCGCTCCGTGCAGCTCGCCCGATCTGCGGCATCGTCACCATCAGCGCGGCCAGCGGCACACTACCTGGCCATCTACCGCTCACAGGAAGCCTCCAGGTCTTTGCATACCTCTTCCATCAGGCTGAAGGAAAAACGCTGGGTGAACAGCACGCCCCCTGCCGAGGGCGAAGACGAAGGCAAGGAAGGTCCCCAGGCTAAAGAGCAGGCGAAAGACTCGGCAGCCGAGGCAGAGTCATCCAAATCCGCCGAGGAGCGTGCAAAGGCTGAGGTCGAGGCGTCCAAGCCTGAAAATGTCAAGGCATCTGCCAACTCGAGCTCTGGAGCTGGTTCTGCACCTCCCGCGACCCCTCCAGCCGGCGCGCCAGGGGGTGAGTCACCACCCGGCGGTACCCCCAAAGAGCTTGCAAAGCCCATCATCCCCTCCATATACCCGCAGGTCCTTGCTATCCCCATCACCCACCGACCTCTCTTCCCTGGTTTCTACAAGGCCGTCACTGTGCGCTCACCGCCGGTTATCAAAGCTATCCGAGATCTCCAGGCTCACGGCCAGCCTTACGTTGGCGCATTCTTGTTGAAGGACTCGACTAGCGACTCGGACGTTGTCACAGATATCAATCAGGTCCACCCTGTTGGTGTGTTCTGTCAGATCACGAGCTGCTTTACCTCGCAAGAAGGTGAGGGCAAGCCCGAGGCCTTGACTGCGGTCTTGTTCCCACACAGACGGATCAAGATCGATGAACTGGTCTTGAATCCCGAGGAGACTGGTGCTGGCGACAAGGTGAATCTAAAGACCCTCGTCGAGTCTGTGCAGAACAACGAGAAGGGTGAGGGAGAAGTGGAGAGCTTTGAGCCCGAGGTCCCTACTGTGGAAGAGGTTCGAGAGGAGCTCGCCGCGGTGCCAGAGGAGCAAAAGGCAGGAGAGAACAAGAAGGAAGAGAACAAGGAGGAAAAGCCGGAAGAAAAGGTGGAAAACACAAAGATCGACTTCCTCTACCCTCTCCTGCCAGAAGTGTCCTTGACCAATGTCACAAATGTCGGCCTCGAGCCTTATGAGAAGGACTCTCAGGTGATCAGGGCGATCATGAGCGAGTTGATCTCGGTATTCAAAGAGATTGCTCAGCTTCAACCCATGTTTAGAGAGCAAGGTGAGTCCAAAGTTGTTTGGAGTGAGGGGCAATTCTGACTCTGCTGCAGTGACAAGCTTTGCCATCTCCAACACTTCTTCGCAAGTCTTTGATGAACCCGACAAGCTTGCCGACCTCGCAGCGGTGGTTTCCACAGCCGACATAACCGACTTGCAAGCCGTGCTCGCCTCCACTTCGATCGAGGACCGCCTCCAGCGCGCTCTCGTCCTCCTTAAAAAGGAGCTCATCAATGCCCAGCTGCAGTTCAAGATTGCCCGAGACGTCGACACCAAGATCCAAAAGAGGCAGAGAGAATACTACCTTATGGAGCAGCTCAAGGGTATCAAGAAGGAATTGGGCATGGAAAGCGACGGCAAAGACAAGCTCGTGGAAGGGTTCAAAGAGAAAGCAAGCAAGTTGGCGATGCCAGAGGGCGTGAGAAAGGTCTTTGACGAGGAGCTAAACAAGCTTGTCCACCTCGAGCCTGCTGCAAGCGAGTTCAAGTGAGTCTAGCTGGGTACTCTGTCGGATTGGGCTAATGATCATCAAGTGTTACGCGTAATTACATCGACTGGCTCACTCAAGTTCCTTGGGGCGTCCACACACCGGAAAACTACGACATTTCCCATGCCATTAAAGTCCTTGACGAGGACCACTACGGCCTGAAGGATGTCAAGGATCGTATTCTCGAGTTTATGGCCGTCGGCAAACTCAGAGGTACGGTGGAAGGTAAAATTTTGTGCCTCGTCGGCCCTCCTGGTGTTGGTAAGACGAGTATTGGCAAGAGCGTTGCCAGAGCTCTTGGCAGACAGTTCTTCAGATTCTCTGTGGGTGGTTTGACGGATGTGGCAGAGATCAAAGGTCACAGGAGGACATACATTGGGTGAGTCAGCACATGTTCTGCCTTTGACACGCTGACACCGTGTAGTGCTATGCCTGGTAAACCCATCCAAGCCTTGAAGAAGGTTGCCACCGAGAATCCTCTTATCCTCATTGACGAAGTCGACAAGATCAGCAAGGCCTATAACGGCGACCCCGCTTCGGCTCTTCTTGAAATGCTCGATCCGGAACAGAACAAGTCTTTCTTGGATCACTACCTTGACGTCCCCATTGACCTCTCTCGTGTACTCTTCGTCTGCACTGCCAACGTTCTCGAGACCATCCCCGGTCCTTTGCTCGACCGAATGGAGGTGCTGGAGGTGTCTGGATATGTATCGGCGGAGAAAATGAGCATCGCGGAGCGTTATCTGTCCCCTCAGGCCAAGGAGGCGTCAGGATTGAAGGATGTGAAGATCGAGCTGGAGCCGGGAGCGATCGAAGCTTTGATCAGATATTACTGCCGAGAGAGTGGTGTCAGGAACTTGAAGAAGCACATTGACAAGGTAAGCCATCCAGCCATTCTCTCGGCCAAATCCTGACCGTTTGTTAGATCTACCGTAAAGCTGCCTTCAAGATCGTCACCGATCTCGGCGAAGAGGGGCTTCCAGAACCCAACTCGGCCCCTATCGAAGGACAAGTCGAAGCTCAACAACCCGATGTCAAGCCCCCCTCCGAGCTGAATCCCAACGACCATGAGGTCGAAAAGAAGAAGAGCACAGAGACCAAGGCGGACGTGACTACCGTCAAGCGTGATCCTCTGAAGATTCCAGATGACGTCCATGTCACAATCACGCCGAGTAATTTGAGAGAATATGTTGGCCCGTAGGTCCATCTCGTTTGATCTGTAGGGGCTCTGCTGATCCTGTCGTCAGACCTATCTACCACAAGGACAGGCTGTACAGCAAAGCTCCTCCTGCAGGTGTGAGCACTGGCTTGGGTTACCTCGGTAATGGTTCTGGTGCTGTCATGCCCATCGAAGTCAACGTATGTCAGATTCTCCACCTGCGTAGATAGTCCCTGACCCTCTTTAGGCTATGCCTGGTAAGGGCAATCTTCAGCTTACCGGTAAGCTCGGAGAAGTGATCCGGGAATCTGCCCAAATCGCTCTTTCTTGGGTAAAAGCCAACGCCTACCTCTTGGGTATCACCAAATCTGAAGCGGAGGTGACTCTCAACAACCGAGACGTCCACTTGCACATGCCCGAAGGAGGCATCGGCAAAGAAGGACCTTCGGCTGGTACCGCAATCTTGACGGCATATGTGTCTTTGTTCACAAAGACCAAGGTTGACCCTGATGTGGCTATGACGGGAGAAATCAGTCTGTTGGGACAAGTGCTGCCTGTTGGTGGACTGAAGGAGAAGATTTTGGCGGCGCATCGCGCGGGTATCAAGAGTGAGTCCTGACCGCCACAGGCTCGCTCCAGTACTGATTTCTTATCAGAACTCATTGTCCCCGCCGCCTGTAAACCTGACATTGACGAGAACGTTCCCGAGTCCGTCAAGGGCGGCATCGAGTTTGTCTTCGTTGAGGACGTTCTTCAGGTATTACACGAAGCTTTCCGTGGAAGCGAGGCAGAGAAGAGATGGCAAGAAACATTACCAATGGATGAGGAGCCTGAGAGGGTGAAGCATTGAAGCGACGTCATTTCGGGGGGAGGCATCTGGATCGGAGCATCGTGTTGGGGGCTTGTAGGCCGTATGATGGCTTGTACAAATAGATATCTGATTCGCATATTTCTTGGTATCAATACACAATCCATTGCAGAGTAGTGTGGCAAATTCAATGCATCATTAGTAGACTCATCTCATAGAAGTTTCACAAATTATCAAGACTCAAGACTCGACTCTGCCGCTCGAGAAGTCAATAGCAACGTCAATTTGGTTCCGCGACGGTTTGTGGTTTTGATCTAATCGCAGTTCGCAAAAGTTGAGTTCTTGTCAGTTTTCAGATATTTCCCATCCATCAACTCTTTGTGGCAAGAGAACAATGCGCCCTTCTCCCCGCAACCTATCTACCCTCCCCCCGACTATCCGCTCTCTCCTCGCTGCCAGACGGGCTGCCCCTTCTACGAGCTCGTCCTCCGAATCGCCGTCCCAAGAGTCGCAACAGATCGAGGTCAACGGATGGATCAAATCAGTCAGAGGACACAGGAATGTCTCTTTTGTCGAGCTCAATGACGGGAGTACAAGTGAAAGTCTGCAGGCTGTCTTGAAGGGCAAGGGGAAAGCCGAGGGGTCAGTTGTCTTGTCAGCTCACATTCAACAATGCTGATTCTGCAGATAGCCTGGGGGTCGGAACAAGCTTGTCGCTGAAGGGCAGATTAGAAAAGTCCAAGGGGAAAGGGCAAGACTTAGAGCTTGTCATAAATCAAGCTCAGGTCGCTGGTCATTGCGACGCCCAAGTATGTCTCTGCCGCCAACATGAATGTACGCCGCTGATCAATGTCTGCAGCTGTATCCCATACAAAAGAAGTCATTACCACCAGCAGTGCTGCGCGAAAATGCTCACCTGAGATTCCGGACAACTCAAACAGCTGCTGTGATGCGCATACGAGA